GGACGGGGGTATCCTGGACCAGGCTGACACCCTTGACTCCGTCCATGATGTGAGCGAGGGCATCTCGCAGCGGCTTACTCTTGATATCGACGACGGTATCGGTGTATCTGTTCTCCCAGTCGAACTTGCGTCGTACGGTGAAGATGTACTGGTCCCATTCGTCTGCGCCGGGGTCCTTCACCGTCTCCGTGAGCTTGTAGTTGTGGATCGTGCTATCCCATACTATATTTGACGTTAGACATGATTATACGGTATGATGATAAACAGAGACTAAGAGAACTCACGTTGATCAACTCTCTTAAAGGCAACCTTGGAGGCTCGTTTGCCCTTCTTCGCCTTGGCCCTGGCCTGGCGCTGGCCGGTGGTGTCTACAGGCGGCGGATCGACAAGCCCCCGTCTGAACCTCCTCATGTTCCGGATCTGAATCTGCTGCAGCTGGGCGAGCTTCTGATCCCGGGTGAGTCCGTTGTTGTTGGTAGTGTTGACATCTTCCTCCTCTTCCTCCAGCTCGGCCTGCTGCTTGAGCAGCTTCTTCACCAGCTTCTTGGTCGCCTTTTGCTTCTCCTTTTGCTTCTTCGTCTGGTCTGCGTCAGAGGAGTCCTCGTCGTCGCTGTCGGACGAGTCCTCCGTCTCTTCCTGTCTGCGAGCACGAGCCTTCTTCTTCTCCTTTAGCCGTCTGGCCCGCTCCTTGGCCTTCTTCTTCTTCTTCTTCTTCAACTTCTTCTGGTCGGCCTCCGAGTCGGAAGAGTCTGACTCTGAGCTGGTATCCGAGTCCGACGAGTCCGAGTCTGAGCTGCTGTCGTCTTCCTCGTCAAGGTCACTGTCACTGCTGCTGCTGTCACTCGACGAGCTGTCTGTGTCGACCTTGTTCTTCTTGCTCTTGCTCTTCTTCTTCTTCTTGCTCTTCTTCTTACTCTTCTTACTGCTCTTCTTGGACTTGTCCGACTTGGAATGGGTGTTACTATGTTTACCGCAGGCAGACTGCTTCCTGGAGGCCGCCGTAGCCGTCCCGTCCGTGGTCAGGGAAGCGTTGACGTCTGTCTTTGCAGCCAGGGCCTCCGTCGTGCGGTCCTTTTGCTTGATCTCGAGGCTGTCGCCCTTGTCTGCCATGCTGGCGGTGTTGGCGTCGTCCGGTACGGCTGAGGAGGTCGAGGGCGTGGAAGGTGTCAGTGTTGCAGCAGGAGTGTCTCGTTTGGAGCCGTCGATGGAGGAAGAGGCAGCTGTCGAGGTCTGGGGAGGTTCTGAGCCAGCCATGAGGGAAGAGAGACGAAGGTGATGGCTTTATATATATGTGTGTGTATGTGTGTATGTATGGGTCGAGCAGGCAGCAACGGCCAGAAGAGAGCTCAACCAAGCTCAACAAAGCTCGAGGCCCACGAACTCACGCGCTCGCAAGGCTCCAGAGCAGGCAGCAGGCAACAGTAGCGGTGAGAAGACAGAGATGTATGTCTTGTATTAATATCTGACAAGCCAGTTGTCAAGCTGAAGATGGCTGACAGGGAAGCTGTTTTGTATACGAAGCTGTTGAGTCAGGGTCAGCCTGCAAGCCAGAAGGAGACAAGGGACCAAAACGACTGCCAGATATTACCGATACAAGAGAGGCAGACAGAGATGCTGATGTTCCTGATGTTCCCAGGGTATGCGAGGCGAGAAAGCAGGACAGGAAGCTGACTTGGTTGGTGACGGCGTAAGAAGTGAAGCGGCCAGTTAGCGGCCTTTCTTTAACTAAAAGCAAATAAAAGAAAAAAAAAAACCACGGCCGGTGGAGCTGCAGGCGCCGGCAAGGATCGCGACTTGGACTTATACAAACACTTATCCTCCGTGATTTGGCTGTGACTATGCACACAGTATATGGAGGGCATCCAGCTGTCTAGTCTCCGTAAGCATATAACCAAGTATACAGGCATCTCGTGTGTCAAGGACGAGTCTGTTGACTGTCATCGCCAGGCTCCAGCTGGAGTCGGTGGAGCTGCGACCCGCCTTCTCCACGCCCCAGGCATGCCCCTTGAAGGCCCCCCCTAGAGCATGCCTAAACCCTCGCCTTAGCGTCGCCCTAAGCAAGCCTAAAGAGAGCCAGAGTTTGGCCCCGAAGCAAAGCCTAGCCATGCCTAACCCACGCCTAAGCATGCCCTGACTGGCTCTTCCCTCCGCCCCAAGCAGCGCCTGGCGCCAACCCGATGGGCCTCCTCGTCCTCCCTTTCTTCCCCTTGTCCGCTGATGCTTCCATGTCATGTCCAAGGCCTGGCCCGCCTTCCTCTACGATATACAACTATACAGCATGGTGTTTGTACTGTACATGCTTGAGCATAAGTAGACGCTGACAAGGCACTCCTCGATCGTACACTGAACCTCCCAAGATACCTCTGCTCTGCTCTACGTGGCAACTTCTGTATACTCCGAGATCGGCCTACAGGATGCAGGTGAGCTGCAGTGACACGCTGTAGAACTTGCAAGCGTTCAATCGCAAACATTCAAATCTCTTGGTCTTTCCAGCTAGCTATCTCCAGTACTTTGTGATTAGTGATACATGTAAAAAAAAGGTCGAGGGTGACCGCCCAAATCGTTATGCAGTTTACTCGTCTGCTCCCGTGCCTTTCTTCCGGCCCAGCTCCTTGAACTTCTTCTGGAGGGCAGCGGCAGGGTATCGCTTCCCACCTGCGCTCTCCATGGCGTCTGCGATGCGGCACCACTTCTCGCTCTCGAACTTCTCCTCGATCTCCATTTTGACCTGCAGCAACTTCGCCTCCTAGCCACCGTCGTCAGTACAAGCAGTCATGCATAGCTAAAGAAAGGACGTGGACAAACATCTTGGGCGCTGAAGACGGTAAAGTTCGCCTTGATACGCTGGTACCGGTTGGACAGGGTGCTGCCTCCCACGGCCTCGCCCGTGATCTCTTCCCATGCGGCCCTGATCTCGCTCCACGGCTTGTTCTCCTCGTCCCTCATGCGAAGCATCATCTTGTCTTCCTCGCTCGCTTCTTCGAGGGAGCCGGGCAGGGCGCGCTTCCCTGCTTTGCCGGGGGTGCCCTTGCCGGGGGTCCCGCGCTTCTTCTTCGAAGGCGTCTCCGCTTCGTCGTCAGCCTCTTCGGCCGTCACGGTGCCGACTCCTTCACCGGCTGTCTTGCCTTTGCGGCCTCTCTTGCGAGGCGTCACGGGGGTTTTTTCCTCCTTCTTGTCATTAGCTATACCCGTGAACACACACACGCACACACCACATATATACATGTATATATGTACGTATGTATGCGTATAAAGAGAGAGACGAACTTCTTCCTTGACAGGCCCGTTGGCCTTTTTGCCGTTCATGGCCTTCCCCTTGGCTCCTTTGCCCTTGGCAGCTTTGGGGGTCTGGTCTCCCTCGACTTCAAGCTTCACGTCGGCCTCGCAGGCTTCCTGAGACGACTCGGTGGTGGGAGTCGTGTTTTCCTCCTCGGAAAGCTCGTTCTCACTCGCGTCTTCCATCTTCACGTCCGTGGGCTCGGTCTCCACCTCGTTCAGGGGGGTAAAGTCAACCATCTTGTTGTGATATCAGAGTGGCAGCTTAACCGGAAGACTTTGATGATGATTTTGCTGAGATTCTGATCAAGAAACTGTATAAAAGAAAAAGAGTTAAGAGAGGAAGAAGAGAGAGGGTGAGAGGAAGAAAATAGGGGGGGGAGTGTGAAAAGTCCTAGGTGATGTGAAAACAACACACTACCTAAAACTAGCCCAGCTCAGGTTTGACTGGGGGAATAAAGAAATAGAAAGATACTTTCCAGTTGCAGGGCAGGCAGAACAGTGGACAGAGAGGCTAGTCAGTCAGAGCAGGTTATGTTCACTTTCTGTCCTGTCGGAGAAACACTTCTAGTAGAGTCTTCTACAGGAGGCACCAAAATACTATAGAAGCTCTAAGTGAGGTTTCTTTCTCTGCCTACTGTCCAAGGACATGGCATCCTATGTCAAAAAGTAGGGCATAATATCTATTTCGGAGCATAGCACTCCAAGTATAACAACACAATTTAAGTATAACATAGTTATACATGTGCATCCCCTGCTTACCATAACCTCAGGGAATATGGGTCACTATCAATATATAAATTTTCAATCTACACAGCGGAGCAAATGTTAATGCCTCAGGGGCCAGACAGTCCAGTAAAGAGCTATATATAAGAATGACATAAATAGTGATAACTAGAGGACTTAACATCGTATAAAATGAATAACCATTTAATCTATATAACGGCGAATGGTTAGGTCCGCGGTAAGTTTGCCGCCAAGCGCCACCGCGCTTCCCTATCTCGATGTTATTTTAAGAAACCTTTACCTTTCCGTCTCTCTGGAAGCTTTTTTTCCAACGTTGGCCTCGATGATGTTGGGATTACGGAGCAGAATATGGAAACATGTCGTTGTGAAGCATGGGTGTACCTGATTCTGGGACCTCACCCACTTGTCACCACATGCTTGTCCGTCAGTCCCAGCAAAGATTTCATCGATCTCGAGTTTTATGAAAATGGGAATCTGAAGCAATATGTCGACAGGCATCGTGCACACATCACCGAGACGACGCTGAAGGGCTGGACATACCAGATGATAGAAGGCATCGCTTATGTTCACTCAAAGGGAGTGAGGCATGCTGATATTAGACTTGATCAGTGGCTACTTGATGGGACGTTTACTGCCCGGATGAGTGACTTCAATGCGTCAGGCTTTGACCCCCAGCCTGGTCTGGGGCTCGACGGCAAACTGGCGTTGGGGTTAGAGAAGCCGAGCCACTATCTCCCTCGGGACCCCGAAGTTGATAGTACTGTGCAGTCGGATCTGTTTGCACTGGGGTCGTCTCTGTACGAACTTATGGCCGGTCGGAGTCCCTATGAAGAACTTGATGATGGGTCTATCGGCTTGTTGTTTGAAAAGAGTGCTTCCCCAATACCGAGGGACTCTTGTTAGGTACTACCATCACAAGCTGCTGGAAGCGAGAGTTTCTCTCTACAGGGATATGCTAGGCTATGGAATCAAACGCTGTCCGAGAGCAGGCGGCAGACTTGGTGACCAACTGTGAATTTTTTTGCGCCATCGCTTATGAGCCAAACAATTCTGTATGCGCTCTGGCTGTGCTCCTCAAGTGAACGACAACGTCCGTTCAGCTGCGCAGCACGACAGGAGTTTTAAGAAATCACTTACAAGACCAAAACCACCAGAAGGGTGAAGTTATTCTCCGCTCAATTTTAGCCGAGCGGGACGGCCCGAAAGGGTCCTCACTCCACTATTATCCACAAGCGATGGGCTCGAACCATGAAATGCTCTATCCAGTGGTCAAACAGCTTATGGATGCTAAATTTATACGACGTAGTGTGTAACACATGTTTATTCTTGGATAAACGTACGGCTGCTTAATTCAAAGTTAAGGTGTGGCTTAAATAGATATCCGTGGCTTATCTAGTGCATCGTCGGGCGCTTGAGCATGCTCTTTTTCGTCCATCTCACATTCATAGTATCGTGGGTGCGTTTCTTCTGTTCATCTCCGTTGCAGGCGATACTAATTCAACGATATAATACTTTAGATGAGCATGCAATATTCGTTTGCTACCCTGCATAGTAAGGTCTCGTCTTATTCAGAGTCTCAAGCCGCAAAACACCAAAAAAAGCCCAAAAAAACATACGAAAGTCGGGATTCGCTGGTGGTCACCCACCCAACTACTAACCGACCGGCAAGTGGCTTAAGTACAGCTGAGCGGACGGGAAGCTCTGTTTTCCACTTCCTATGTTCGTATGTACCAGACACAAGGACGAGGGGGTAGATGTAGGGCCTTCTTCTGCAGGCCACATAGAAGGTTAAGCTCTTACTTTCGGAATTTCGGCTGGCTTTCCCGGCTAAACTCCCGAGAAAGCCTTGGCTTAACACTCCGAATAGACGGTAGATAAGACATAAGTAGATACAAGACAACAGGAGAGTGCCCCATCTCGAGTCTCTGCTCATCCCCCAAGATCCTAACTATCAGTTATGTGCCTGAAAATATAGTGTCATGTTGATGAGCTTCCTGCATCGGACATGACTCGACCGAGAACCTTAGCAAGACTCGAACAAAGGAGAACCAGCCAATAAACTAAAGACTTTGCTGGTCTCTCAATGCCTGCGTCTTCCCTGTCAGTCCTCCCTCTTCCCAGGGCTGAGAGGAAGGGAGCGCGATCGAATTAATTAACTACCTTGGGCCTTGCTATAGAAAATTGATACAACCACCCAGTTACCCGTTAGTTGCCTGGCCTTCTATACAAGTGACTAGTATGGGTGCACCATCTACGCCCCAAACCAAGCCCGAAGTGGTGACAGTTACAACAGCAGATGAAGTGCCAGTTCAGCTGGAGGCAGCAGGTTGTACAGATCGAGGCCTCCGTGCTTGGACAGTCGTTGTCGGCGCCTGGTGTGCCAATCTCTGCGGCTTTGGCTGGGTCAATTGTGAGCTGGCCTCTCTTTTTTTTTCGCTCTAGGTATTACACAGTTACACTGACATGAGCATCTGTGTAAGCCATCGGGGTTTTCCAGGAGTACTATCAATCGCATCAGCTGCAGTCCTACTCTACATCAAGCATCTCTTGGATCCTATCCCTGCAGCCATTCGTGCTCTTCGCCGCAGGCCTTGTTATAGGAAGGGTACGCACCTCAACTTCTTTTCATCGAAACAGCCACTTCTAACCCACCGGGAACTAGATATTCGACAATTACGGGCCAAAATGGCTCCTTCTTGTCGGCACATTCCTTCAGGTCCTTGGGCTTATGATGACGTCCATCTCCAGTCAGTATTATCAGTTCATGCTTGCCCAGGGTATATGCGGCTCGCTGGGCGCAAGCCTCACGTTCTACTCTTCAATCGCATCGACAGCAACATGGTTTGACAAGCGACATGCTCTGGCTTTCGGGCTTGTCTCTAGTGGCTCTTCTTTCGGCGGAGTCATATTTCCCATCATACTGTCCCGTCTCTTACCCAATATCGGATTTGGATGGACCCTCAGGGTCTCTGGGTTCCTAGTATTCGTGTTGCTGGTTATATCCAACTTGACCGTTCGGTCTAGGGTCGCACCCGTTCCTCGACCTGTCAGGTTTCATGATTATATCAACCCATTCACGGAGCTGCCTTTTTTCCTGCTCACAACGGGTTCCTGCCTTGGTTTCTTTGCCACCTTTGTGCCTATCAACTATGTCATCCTGGAGGCGCAGACAGGCGGAGTAGACCGTGACTTGGCCGGGTATATGCTCACGATACTAAATGCCGCTAGGTAGGTTATCCTGATGCATTCTATAAATAATTCTTCCTCACTAGGCTAACTCGCCTTTTAGTCTACCCGGTCGAATACTACCGGGTTATCTGGGCGACAAATGGGGCCGGTTCAACGTGATGATCGGCATGTGCGGGCTTTCTACCATTGTAGTGCTCGCCCTTTGGCTGCCCGGCACACTTACTAACCCTGGTTCCGCAGCCATATATATAGTCTTCTGCCTGCTATATGGCTTCTTCTCTGGTGCCTTTGTGAGCATGGTACCAGCCCTGCTCAGTCAGATCTCCGCGGACGTAACCAAGATTGGAGTCCGCCAGGGTGTTCTCTTCACTTGTGTCAGCATCGCAACGCTCACAGGAAACCCGATTGCAGGTGCAATCTTGAATCAGCAGAATGGAGCGTACTGGGGTTTACAGGTCTTTGCTGGCCTGATGATGGCTGGGTGCGTGTTCTTCTATATCCTTGCAAGGGTCGTTACCGGTGGATATTCTCTCGCCAAAGCAGTCTAAGAGGTGTAGTCAGTTAACGGGAAATAATAAAGAAAGACGGAGTATAAATGTAATAAACGTCAGAACTTCGTTGAGAAACACTTCATGGTTGTAGTTTGACGGCGAGTATTTTAGTGATACTTGAGCCTCATACTGTATTTACCGCTATTCACTGTATCATTGGCCCAACGGTGTAATTTTTATTAGTCATCAAGCCGTCACCAGTCACTTCTTTGTCTTGTAAGATATAAAAACAGTCACCACCCAGCAGTAGAATATCTTCCTCCTCATCTTCTATCTTTCAGCAGTCCTCTCTGCAGCTCACGTTCTGTTCCCTAATGCCAATAGCAAGCCGTGGCAAGCTATGGGCATTACCAGAATGCTGAAACAAGAGGAAGACCCACTGAAGTCCAGAATTCTTACTACGTAACGACCAGTGTGGTCATAGGCAAGACCGTACAAACACTGGTCCCTACTGACGCTGCTGCTGCCAGATGCGAGGCACTCTCCAAGCGGACCCTTGTAGCGGTCAACGCCAGCTTGGGGGTATGGACAGCCAAGGAAGGGCGCCTTTTCCCGTCTTTATCTACATCTTCCATAGGTTCCGGGCAGGGACGGATAACATAGCCTCAAACGATAGACACAAGACACCGCTTGAAGCATTCGTTATTGCGCATCTTGGTAGGAAAATGCCACACGTTAGTTCTATGCTCTTGATCGGACCCCCCAAGGGAACACCTCAGATCAAATACACAATATGAATGAACTCAAGGATTGAATAGAAACCAGGGGCGAATCCGTGCTGTTTAGATGATACCCAAAGCCACTTTATTATAGTACTGGATATACCACGTACTATCCTCGAAGAGTTTGACAAAACTTATCTGGATAAAGGCCCAAAAATGACTGCAAATATTCAAATGGTATACTTTTCCTCGGAGGCAGGAAAGAGGAAACCCTGGCAGAGATATTTTCACACTGGAGCTGGTCAAGCAACGAATACCAATAGCACTTCTGTCAAAAAGCCAGACAGCAGCTTTACATTGACACATCGCGACCGGCCTATCTTAACAATGGAGACAGGAATATCCGAAACCGAAGTTAAACAGACTATAGCTGCAAGGGGTTGCTTAGAGACGATAGGATTATAAACAAACAGTGCTAACAATAAAGTCAACCGTCAATCTCCGCATATCACTTTTAAAGGGTGAGAGGTTCCGGAGTAGTAGAGAGTGATGCGCTCTTCACTGCGACCAGCAGTTATGGAGCAGGTTAATGTCTCTTATCCCAACACAGTCACCAAAGATATAGGTGATATGGTTGCACTATTTGCCAAAATAGCTGGCTACGTACTACAAAATGCCAACGAGCATGATATCATTATTCCCAAAGCTATATTCGAAGATATAACCAGGGATGTGAAAAAGCTTCTAATCCCCTTATTATTTTATGTTTTAATTACTACTCTATATGTATTTACATCCAATTAAGTTTAATATCTTCACGAACAGATGTCTAATGGCAAAAAGGAGATTTAACTGTGGTTGATGCACCTTTATGCAACTAAAAGCTGGTGCTTATTGTTGGCCGTATGAGACTAACTGGTGAGTCACGCATAGCTACATATTATATAGATGACTTGACATCCAGCAACACCTTTAAAAAGGCGATAGAAAGGGATTTTGAGAGAAGCCTGAAGCTCATCAACAATGAACGAACTCCTGGTCCGGTCTTGCCAGAAGGGGCCCCTGACTCTGATCTCCCTCCCGGCGGAGATACAGGAGGCCATCCTCTGCCAACTTGACTGCTTCCGCATTCTGAAATCCGCTGCTGCGTCATGCCGCTCATTCAGAGACCTCGTGTTATACCAACCAGGTAGAATCGTCAAGCAGATACTACGGACAAGTATTCCTGACGATGTGATCCCCGAAACTTTCGCACTCTTAATCCTCAAAACTCCCAATTACGAACGCTAAGATTGTCAAGGGCTTTATTGATGATTACTTTGAATCACTCAAGAAGATACCAAGGCCAAATCTCTCCTTAAGTGAGGCCGTTGCGCTGGAAGACTACAATCGGCTTGTCAATAACTTTGCCCGTGACTTTGCTCGTAGGGCTCTCTCTAAGCATCCCATCACCAGAGTGGAAGAGAAATGTCCGTGGCCTGTTACCGAGAGAGAGAGTTATCGTATTCTGCGGGCCTTCTACAGATTTGAGCTTTACTGGAAGTTATTCCAGGGGACAGAAAAACCACGCGGCGAAAGACATAGACAATTAACCATCCCTCTCAAGGACCATTCAAAGCTTTTCTTTGACCGTTTCGCTCCGTGGGAGAACGAGCAGGTTGCCTGTATCCAGGATTTCCTCCTGCGGTTAATTGACGAACGTGAGTGCCTGAAAGAACGGATTCTCACAACTTTGTCTCTAGTGTACAATGATGTTGCTGCACACGACGTGGAATGGGGTGAAGCGGATATTCCATTTAACGAAGGTTATGAGGCTGGGACATCAACGGCTATAGACTGCACTATCTAAGTCCATCCTGTTAATTTAATCTCCCTAATGCACTTATCTAGATATCGCTGGGGTTAATGTTCATTCATCGTCTCCGTGTTACGAAGAAATATCACTGTCGACTAGAATTATTAAATGCCCATCGCAGATTTCAGTTAGCCTCGATTGACCAGGCTCTTAAACCACATGAATTATGGTTCACAGACCGTGTTCCATTATCAAAGTATAGTGATGAGCAAATAAAGCGCCTTATCCAGACACCTAATATACGTGGACATCGGGGCCCAATAAAGGTGTGGGGGATTACACATTTAAACTTGTCCAGTAGTGATTTTGTGATGGCCGATGAGCATATTCCTCTCCGCGAAAGGGGGTATGTTATGTGGAGTTATGACAGACTGAAAAAATGGGGTTGTTTGAAAGTCCCTGGCAACCACTACCACCAGAGTCATACCACATTCCTCATGAAGCGGCACATGAGGTACTTGAATCCCATCGCCGAAGGACACAGATCTGGTTAAAAGGTGGGCGTGGCTGATGGAGTAAAGAGGATGAAAGCCGGGTTGTATATGGACGTTAAAGCACGATGCCTTGAGAAATTTATAAAGCAATATTTTATGCAATAGAGAAAAAAAATCATCAGTAATGATAACAGATTGATCCCATTAACTATATAAGAAGCTCGAGTTTATTTGATTGCCTATAATTTAAATCGTCAGTTACTGAATAAAATGATGATCTTGAATGATAATCTTGGTGAGGGGACATGGTGTCAGAAGGAAGGCAACAATGCTGTATCCACATTAAATGTTCGGATCAGGTCTGTGTATTGTATTCATCATGTAATGGACATAGGAGAAAAATTGAAAATCACCATACCTTCTGGAAAACTCCTTTATGTTCTAAGTCATGTTTAGAGCTGCTAATGCCCCTGGTGTGCTTGTGTTAGTCGAATTCCAGCAACAACTGATCACCAAGACTTCAATGCTTAGACTTGGCAACAAAGCCACCTGCTCCTCAATATTAGTTCACATCACACTCCAAGCTCGAGTACCATCCATCTATTCGACCACCATCTGGGGCATCCACGACAAGTTTGTCAATGCCGAGTGTATGTGGCACCCGCTATAGCACCAATAGACCACTCGTGAGGCCGATTCGAAGGTAGCAAGAGCGTTGATTCGAGTTCGTGTGAAGTTGAAGTTGAGAAAAGAAAACGCGAAAAACTTTTTTCTTATTTATGGGTTACGCTTATATAAGCAAATCAAGATTAACAGCTATATATCACGTGATTCTACCTTGCATCGCGGCTTTTTGGTTTCTTTTGATGGAACGAAGAAAGTTGATGATAATAAACAGACACAAGAAACGAAAGGGTTGGATGCCCTTCCAGAAATAATCTCAGACTGTTGAATCGGGCTTGCAGCCTGTTTGATTACCCCCCTGAACTTCACCGCGAACGGCTCTTGTCGTCGAGAAGGCCATATCAAAACCCCCTCAATCCATAGCAATACCATATCCTGTTATGTTACAATGGTACGGGCTGCGCCAGCTGTTACTTTGTTCTTCTCTTATTACACTACTAACCCTTTTTTTTCTTAAATATAGCTACCACTAGGTCTTTTGAATGCGGCACAAGGCCATCCAATGCTCGTGGAGTTGAAGAATGGAGAGACACTGAACGGCCACCTTGTGAACTGCGACAACTGGATGAACCTGACATTGAAGGAGGTGGTACAGACAAGTCCCGAGGGCGACCGCTTTTTCAGATTACCAGAGGTTTACGTCAGGGGGAACAATGTATGTTCAACTTCTATCCACAGTCGGCATAATTCTGAAAGTCTTGGGCAGTGGAACTGACTGGGCCTGTCTCTTTTCATAGATAAAATACCTTAGAGTTCCCGAAGAAGTCGTTGATTTAGCACGAGATCAACAGCAGAGTCAGCAATCAGGGCGGGGTCGTGGTGGTGATAGACAACACAGAGATTCAGGACGAGGTGACCGTGGGCGAGGCGGTCGTGGTGGAAGGGGACGTGGCAGGGGAAGATAGGATGGCCGCCGTGATACTGCACTTTTCAAATTATTTCTTCGACATGGGAACGCACACAATCAGATAAACAAAAATATTATCGAATCATGATCGACGACTATCACAAAACAACTTAACTACAGTTGCGCATCCACTTGTGAGATCAAGGATAGCAGGAGTTATACGGCTTAGAATAAGATGTGTACTATAGGTCGGAATTGACTCAGAAATGCGGCTCCGTTTGGAGGCTAATATAAACAGAACAGCCCAAAACTAAAAAATTGCCTCATAATTTCTATCTATACATACCATCCTTAAGCCATAGCTATATATACGCAAATACCCGAAATCATCTCAATATCAATAAAAATATACCCCCAAAGCCAAGGGCAACCTGCAACATATATACCATATCCTCCCTACCCGATCCACAACACCATCCCTGCGTCTAGTTTATGCTTTCGGCTTGGAATCGGTGGCAGCCGAATCACTCTGCTCTAGATAGCTGTCTTCATGTGGGCGCTTTGGCTCTAACAGTTCTCTCTTCTCTCCGTCGTCGGCGCTTTGCTCTTGTCCACGCCAATCGGCAGCTTGACCCTCTGACACTTCTTCTCCTGGACCAGGTTCAGCAATGACCTTGCCAGGCGGTGGAGCACCAGGAACACCAGCTTCTGCCCCTTTGGCCGTTGCAGAATCCTCTCCAGGAGGCGTATGATACCGCCAAACAACTTTGAGACGGTCTAGCGACCTTATCCCTTTCCTTGAGGTCCCCTTGATCCCATCCATGGTGTCCCAGTCAATTTCGAATACTCCGGAATCGTGGTCATGGCCACCTTCGAAATAGGCATTAAACCAGACATGGCCGACAGAGGTGACCATCGACCAATCTGTGTATGATACCGCTGCCCGTCGTTCAAAGTCGATATTGACGTCTGACGTAGGCACGATGACTGGTTTCTTGGGCCGGATAACAACATTCTCCGTTGCATCGCTTGGGACAGAAGCGACGGCTGACCAAGCGGCATCCATCATGTTCTCTGGCTCTGTGACGTCTCGGACAGATTTGGTCGGAGTAGAAGATGCATTTGAAGAGGAAACATCTTGTTTGCCCACCCCTTTCTCTTCCTCCTCCTTTCGGGTAGAAGAAGGATCCCCCGAAGGACTGCTGCCGTTCTGGTAGAAGAATTCATCTTTACCGAACCGGTGGAATCGTTTTATCTTCCGACCTTCATCCACATACCCTTCCACATCGACTTTGAGTCCCTTTCGTAACCCCCAGATATGAATCTCAACAATCTCAACAGGGCGTTCGACGTATATCTTGTTGAACACGTTCTTCCAGCGCTCGACGTAGCCCACCCATCGAACCTGGCTGGGTATACTCACTCCGGCACCGAATCCAGCTCTCATCCTGCGCTCCGTGAACTGTTTCATTGCATCCTCTGCGCTCCAGCCCTGCTCACTAATAAGATAGCTGCAGGCAACAGTTCCGCTTCTGCCCTTGCCCGCCTTGCAATGCACCACCGCAATTCTCCTACTCTTTCCCTCGCCGTTCAGCCAGTTCCGCATACTGGCCATAAGCGGTGGTATCAAAGCAAATGGGGGTGGATGATGGTCTGGCCATGGAAAATGATGAATACGCCCGTAGACTTCGTCATCAGGATATCCAGTCCCTTCAGCACGGAATTCAAAAATCGACCAGTCTTCTCCGTGCTTTGAGTCAAGGAAACGAACGAGGTCTTCTGTAGGGTTTCGGTACGCGCGTTTAGGATACGTTGACGACGGGCCAGATGTCGCTATAACTGCACGCTACCAGTTAGTGTAACCAGGTAAATTTGACAGCGGTTCACACTGGCCGTTGATACTGAAAATATAGAGGCTACTCACTGTCATCGGTAACGTAGCACAAGTCAAGACATGCTTCAGGATGATGAATTCGCGGACCTGCCACGATTCTCCGCAGAAAGGACGCCTATTCAGACATTAGACGGGCACATCTCTGCCATACACACGCATTGGGCACCACTCACCATTGTGTATCTCAGAATTCGGCTTCTGGCCTAACATACCATCATCATCCCAGATATTTAACAGTTAATCAAGCAATGAAAAGAAGGACGCGGGATGATGTCACTCGTGTTTCTCCTTGTACTTGGCGCTTGGCTCTTGGCTTATAAGAAAAGTCGAGATGGATTATATAGAAGTATAGATTGATGGACGCTACATGGTTTGGCTATATAATACATTAACTAATATACAAGGTAGGATCCATAGTTAGTCTCTATGAGGATACGGGGCGGTCTCATCCATATTTCTCTCCTCTTCCGCCACAGCTCCCTTCCCACTGACCGGTAGAGAGAAAGCCCGCCGCACACGATGGGGCCTGATGATGCCTCGAGAAGCTGGTTTACGGACAGCCGAGTCATGCAGAAGCTTGAAAGCGTGCTCATCCTCCTGCCCGTGGCACTTTTCGCGGATATCCTGCTTTGCCTGTCTGGACAACTCGAATCCAGAGCCGGCCATCTCCAGCAGATATTTATAAGCTATCTCGAAGCGGGAGAGCTCGACACATAGTAGGATAAGATTCTCATACGTCTTGCGATCAGGGAGGATTTTCATCTGGATCATCTCCTGCACGAAGAAACCGGCCAGGTCAGCATTGTTCGACCCCCGACACGCACTGAACAAGATGTTGAAGGTCGATGTTTCCACTCCAGAAGAGCAGAGGGTATGAAGTTCTCGATATAAATCCCAAGCCGTCTGTACTTCGCCTAGATGGGCACAAAGTTCAAGCGCAACGTTGACCAGGGGAAGAGGCATCTCCAAATCTTCGTCTCTCTTCAGTCGTTTAAAGGTTTCCCAGACAGATGTCGGCGCCACTTTAGCCATGATGAAATGGGATAAGAGCGTTCGAGTAGAGCCAGCCTTGATGCCAACGCTGCTGCTGCCCATGGTACAAAGGATACGGATGGCCGAATCAATGTCATGAGCCTCCACATAAGTGTCAACGAGTGACTCGTAGTCATTTAATGTGAGCACACTGTTACGCTTCCCCAGTACTTTGAACACCGAAGTTGCTAGCCGGCTGTTACCCGTTCGCGCACTGATGGCAAGGACATTGTCACAAATACCGTACGGAGGATTCAAATGCCCCAGCTCAACCTGTTGTTCCCAGATGAATTGAGTCAATTCAGCATGCATCGCAACACTAGAGGCGTCCAGCAAATGGTGCCATAAATTTGGTGAGAAGGTCAGACCAGCTTCGACTCTTGATCGTAATATGTGCAAGAGCTCATCGAATTCCCCATAATCTGCAAGGTTGTACATGAGAAGCGAGTAAAGCCAGCCCTGAACAGGCACATGCTGCAGCCTCATGTGCTCCAGAGTCTCGAGCGCCATTTCAAATTGTCCTTCTCGAATATATCCCGTTGCGACGTTATGCCAGCCCGCAGGGCTAAGCGATAGCCACCTCTCTCGAAGTTTATGAATAATCTCGGATCGAAGCAGATAATCGGGATGAACCGCCAGCGCCTAAAGGGAAACAGCAAGGCCATAAGTCAATATTCTCACGAATAAAAGAGATTCAACAAGACGGAGACGTACCTTTAATGCCGCATGTAGAGTCCCCGAATCCGCCACTATTCCATTCTTCTCCATATCATCCAGAAGCGCCTCTACCTGCTTAGCTGACCCCTTGATGCACTGGGTATTCGCCAGTATCATTGCGCGGTAATGGCGAGTCTCCGGGCGAACATGTCTGTTTCGCACAAGCTCCGTAACAACCTCCAAGGCAGCAGAATGGCTAGGACACTTCTCGACAACATTCTGCAGCGTATTTTCCAGGTTCCCGTTTGTCCTTTGCTTGAGACCTGAGGGTAATTTGCTCTCCCGTAGCAGCTTCCGGACGGTCTTCTGCTCCTTTGGCTTCAGCCGCCTGTGTGGTTTGGGAGAAAGACTCGGCTGGGGGCCGGCAGGCTTCTTGCTCTGACCAGCTTCTTCGCCACCCGATTCTGGTACTGAGGAACCGGTAGGCTCTGCTACCGTCAACAGGTTGAATGTCGGAGCGAACGGGCACTTGGGGGAGCTGTGAAAAGCTCTGCGCGGCGAATAAATGGCATCGTCAAAGGGGAAGCGTTGCCTGGTCGGCTCAGAGAACAGACGGCCTAGAGAAGGTCGAAAGCAAAGCCATAGCCCGTCTATGGCCACAGTTCTGGTCGACATGCTTTGCTATTCAACTTTTCTCCCAGCTTTTCTGCTTAACACCATAGCGGAATCGCGGATAATTATTCTACCATGATACGACGAAAATCCAGTAATATTACGGTTGTACCACATCTTGACCAACACCTTATAGGCCACGCACTAATTCGAATATTACCCACCTTTTCCCTAGCGGTCTCTTCTTTAGCCCACGAATCAGGGTGATGATCAGGATAGGATACACCAACGCCTCGCCAGACGACATGGCCGTGAGACATCTCTGTGATAAGAGTCGCAAATTCTGTCTAAGCCTGATCTTTTGTCGCGTAAATCTTACTCTTTGGCTCGAGAACTCTGAGGTTGAGAAAACGCGTATTTCCCTGTGGCACACCTGATATCTCGCGGTTGTAGACCAGGATCAAACCATCTAATAATGCACCCAAATAACGCTATATAGGTGGGTATAACGTAATGGGTCACAGTAATAGGGTTGTCCTTCAAGAAGTAGTTAGTTAGGCCGAACTCTGGGTATACTGAGTAATATACCAGGCAAGTCTCTGACTTGGCTCCTCGAAGCGAGCTGGAGAGCATCTCTCTTTGGAAAAACACTGTTTGCTGCCGAAGGATGGCCGCCGTCACAAAGCCCGCGAATTTGGCATCTACTATGAAAAGTAGGCTCCCTGTGGAGCTCTGGCTCAGGATATTTGAAGAGGTACGTACATTCTACTTGACTGTATGGTTGGGAAGCTAAGCTGAGCTTTCCAAGGTTTCCCAGCTCGACGAAGATGCCGTAAAATGGCAGGAGGAGAGTGTGGCCTATCTAGGTCTAAAATCTGCTAGTCGATGCTGTCGCTTTTTTTATAGCTTGGCCGCTCCCATAATCCATCATACCATCGTCCTCGAGTACTCAACTAGTTTTGGCCAAGGGCTATTAAGGGTCCTAAACGAGAACAGTGCCATAGCGCAATATATACAGGCAATTGTCCTGCCAGAGCATACGGTATATGGACGTCTCTATGAAACTCCGCAGATAGAGATTCTGGACCAGTTGAAAGGAAAGGCAAATTTGAAGGAGTTTAGGTATATTATTTAAACTACCTTCGCTATTTGTTTGTTTGAAACGCTAATCTTTTACCAAAATATCCAATATAGACGGGTATTGCATTCTTATGAAGATATGAATGACCGATTTGTCCAACGTCTCCTCCAATACTGGCCATCTTGTCGATTATCTATCGTGGGAGGTCCATGGTCTATGTGGATGTTACCAAACTTCCAGAATAGGGAAGGAGAGATATATTGCTCGCGTTCTCTGGTTTCGCTTGGTTACGCCTGGGACACCGCCTTTGCCCGCACTTATGCCGATTCCGACTTCGATGATAGCGATGGTGTCGAGTATAGTGATGATGATGATGATGCCAATGGGACCACCGCTGCCAAAACATTGATAAGATCTTGTCCCAATCTAGAGGACTTAAAGTTGACTCAACGGACAAAGAAAGGTCGCAGCAAATTTTTGGAGAAATTCACATTAGACTCGAGTGACAGGCTCCCTCCCTTGAAAAAGCTAGAGTTACAGTTTGTCTACCTTCTACCTGGCCAAGGGTTTCTATGGTCTAAGTGTGCAAACTGGGGGAGGCTTCAACACCTTGTCTTGGCTATTGATAGCCCTCGAGAGTTTATAGAGTGCTTTACTGGACTCGTACCTAATCTCTCCTCATTTGAAATACGAGTCCGGAGCCCAATTGACAAGGGTATTATTGCAGAACCTCTTAAATTATTTTTAAAAGGTATCTATAGACTCCGGTCATTTATATCCTTCAACGTTCCTAAATCGGTTTTACCTACTCTATATACCTACCATGGGAATTCTCTCCAAACCCTCAAGTTTAGATTACTAGTAGTTACTTGCCGTGACTATAAAAGTATTGAGAGTGATTCAAAGAACCCATTTCCTAATCGAGAGAGGATATATGAAGAGGAACCAAGCTTGGGATATCCCTCTACTCCTCTACGGAACTTTGTATTTTATCTAAGTACAAGGAAGCACTATGTTCGTCCCCTTTCTTTCTTATTTTTCCGATTTTTCTATATCCCTTGTATTAACAAGTGCTTAACCTCCAGGCTTATACGGAAATAGACCAGCATCTACATGCTGAGGATATGGAGAATATCCGACTGTGGTTCCCTAATGTCTACGACTTCGCATTTGATTTGGATCCTCGTGGGTGTCTGGTATGTCAATTATATATTTAATGGAAAACCTGTTGCTCTTAGCTAACCTTGTATATCTTCAATAGCCATACGACTTGCTTACTTCTATCTCGCGGCATCAAAGCCTTGAGCACTTACAAATTCACCTACCATATAACCTTGAATTTGAAAATCCTCCTGGAGAAATATCCTTCCAGAAATGGATCGAGTCCATATTCAGCCACATAGATAGCCAGAAGCGTGACTTAGTGAGGAACCCTTCCTGGCCGCAAGGGAAAGTGCTAGAGTTCAAGTCACTAGCTCTCGCGATAGGAAATTGGGATAAATTTGACGTACCTTACAAAGCTGCGGTGGGCGAGGTCATGTATCGTTGCCGAAGGATGCCAAATGGCCAAATAGGCAAGGCAATGCGTTATCCACCGTTACGGCCCTCCGTGCCAATGCATGTTTTCAAGCCATACTCGGACTCGGACACGGACTCGGACTCAGACTCAGACTCAGACTCCGAGGACTTGTTGACGAATCTTGCTTGTGAGCCATATATGATTTTCCATAGGAGCGAACTAAAAAGAATGATGGGTTTAGCTTAAGGTGATAATATCTCGAGCTTACGGCCATCTAGACCGCCAAAATCAATTATACCATTTGTACTCCGTATTATTGTAAATATAGCGAGCATACGTTAAGGATATTTACTGCTACAATAGAGTATAGAGTTAAAAAGAAGACGCCATTGATATGTGGACTTTTCAGTATCACGTAACTAACCTTGCGTGGCTGCGGCAGAGGCTGTGATATTGCAACGAATTGCAATGCTCCGATTAATTAATGGATTGATCAACGGATTACTCGATCACCGTGGTTACGCTATACTCCATGATTACTCAAATTTGGTTACCTGCATTTGCCATGAAAAGATGAGACGAAGTGAACGACGCCGGGACTGGTATAGGAAGACGGCCATTTTGCCTTTGTTTTTTGCTATTTAATTATGCTAGGTACTTCGTATATTCTTATCTCCACCCCATAATCGGAATTCGTAAGCCATTTTATGCCGTTATGACTTTGATACTGACTGACATAAGGTTAAAATTATATTTTCCAAGCAGAAGAGGCACCATGGGGCAGCGCCGTAAATGAAACCCCTCATGCTGACACACAAATATAATACCCTAACCATAACTTCGAGCAATCCGATGCCAAAACTGGATTCAACGTTTTAAACTTGTTCTCGTCAAGATTGTAGCTCTGCTGAAGTGACCAACAGGTATCACCTGATTTTACCAGGTGGTAGTTCTTGCATTCCTTGATGGTACCAGGGTATAGGGGCTCATGGGCCGTCGGCTGCGGTGCGGAGGCAGTAGACGTCCTCGTTGGTTGCCCTTGCACACCGACACACATGTGATATCCTTGCCAGAGTGATGAGCAATCATCCTTTACGTCAGGGTTCCATCTCACGAAGTTGTTATGTGAAAGGGAGAATTTCTGCTCAATACTGTAGCAGTTATCCCCGCTTTTAACAAGATAGAATTTGTTGCAGTTTTTGACCCTTCCTGGCTGTTGAGGCTGGGGGTTCATTGGGTTGGCCGTAGGCTTGGGGGTGCTGGTTGTAATGGGCTTGGTGGGAGTTCCTGGCACTCCAGTGCAATAGTAATATCCTCTCCAAAGGCCAGAGCAGTCAGACTTCACAGCTGGGTTCCAGGCAATGAAATCTTCGAGGGTGAAGGTCTTGAACTTTTGGTTGACAATCACATCACAGTTGTCGCCAGAGACAGCTTGATAGAAATTCGTGCAAGTATTGATTATGCCTGGCTGGGTGGGCGAAGGACCAGGGGAACCAGTTGAAGTTGGAGCTGTGGTGGTACTGATAGTGGATGGGACAGTTGCCTTGGTACCAATACAGACGTAGTAACCACCCCAAAGGCCTGCACAGGTGTCGCCGACAGCACTTTTAAGTCTCTAGTATTAGAAATATGTTTTCCAGGCCTCATTATGGTTCACATGTAGGTGTGATGAAGAGAAATCAGTATACATACGGATTCCAGGCATTAAAGTCATCTTGGGAAATCCCATTGGTCTTAGCAATGTCGTAGCAATTATCACCAGGCTTCACCTTGTAAAATTTGGTACAATCAGGGGTTAGACCCGGTTGTGTAGGGCTTGGTACTGTTGACGTCGGGGATGCGGGTGTCAACGTGGGTGTCGATGGCGATGTAGTAGTGGTATCACCGGTTGTGGAAGTCTGGTTGGGGAATGACGGGGTTGGCTTTGGAGGTGGCGCTGCAACGCAATACGCATGGCCTTCCTCAAGCCTCGACTCGCAGGCATCTCCCAGAGAAGGATTCTAGAGGAACATTATGTGAGCGTGAAGTTATAGGGATTGGAGGGAATAAGATCATAAGGACAAACCCAAGCGAGAAATTGTTCTTCGGTGATGTCGAAGTAGCTTAATATAGCTCCACATTCATCACTAGGGCTGATACTGTTCGCCCAGTACTGGCAGCCTTGAGCTGCACCAGGGTCAACAGTTCCATCTGGAGTGTCACCGTTTGACCATCGTCTGATTACGGCCCCTTCAATAAGTGAGAAGGCAAGGGCGTGGATAAAGAACTTGTAAATCATGGTAGGCATTACCCAGAGTTTTTGGGATGATGATGGCCGCGTCCTGTGAACCAACTTGAGACATAGCAGAAAGAGATACATATATATATTATATTCTCTCAGCCATTGCTACCCAAAAAGCAGCCGTGGTGCGCTCTTCCAACAGGTAACTGAGACCATTCATGGCTCCCGAATACCCAGTGCGTCCCGGTCTGCTCCGACCTGGACGAAGGAACCTGTGCAAACTATGTGATATTAGAGCACCTATTGCAATCGATGCCCCGCCTATCCTGCAGCCATGTATTTGTTCTCCAAATGTAATACTACCACAAACAACGTGGTAGTACTTTTGTCTGGAGTGGATAACTAGATCCTTGAAAGACAGCGGTTCCCGGGCTTTATTAAGCCTTGCTCCCGAAAATAGGGGAGTAGTTAGAGTTCGCCTTGAACTCTAACTAGCGCGGCGACGCCTTTTTAGCTCGATAGCAGAACTTTGACATTTATTTCGCAAAGTTACCCACCCGGCCCACTTGGCCAACGGTTAATATCTCGCATTTATTGACAGACTTGCCACAGAAGGTGGTCTCTGAACGAAACTAAGCATGTGAAGAGAGAATACCTATTGTGGATTGACGAAGGGCGCCGCTTTTCAAGGAGGGTGACTTCTAAGTCAGAGATACGCGAGACCTTTAGCGGCTACCAGCATATAACAATAAAAGACAGATTTTCATATATTTGCCTCTTCTCTACAGACGAGCCTCTGGTAAAGAATATATGCTACAATAGATATTTCGTATGTAACATACATAAGCCCAGCATAGCGTTTGGTTCGTATGAGAATCACTTTGGTGGTTTGTCGGAATATCCCTTGAACCAGGCGTTCTTCTCCAAGTACATTGCTTTGGAAGGAGTTAGTAAAGTATTTCGTAGTTATGGACTCTTGGTTGCGAATAGGTAGCAACTCACCAACTGCGTAGAGGGCAAAAGTATCTGTAATATCATTAGCGCAGCCGTTTGAAAAATACATTACTCTGCTGAGAGTATATACACTTACCCGCATTGTTCAAGGCCAAATCGCTGTCTTTTTCTGCTAGTAATTTCACCAAATCCCAGTCATATGCCGCTTCCGTGGTATCGGGAACAATCACATCAACTGTAGTTGTGATTAGCCTTCGGTAACATTCTATCAACTCGAGGTCTGTTGTGCGGAATACCTAGTCTTAAATCTCCAACTATCTGCCTACAATGGCTGAACTCATGGATTGTGGTCACGACAGGATTTCCGAGACCAAATTCCTCCAGATTCATGTTTTTTTCGGGAAATCTGGTGTCAACAAGCGACCTCAAAGACGGATTGTATTTCTTATATTTTGGTTCGTTCATCGATGAGAATAGGAGTGGACAATATGTCAGAACATCGGCGCCGTCCAGCACAGTCGTGATTCCCAGGGCTCTTTTGTTCTGGTTACAACCGCCAGCCTTTAGCTTCTTTTGGCCTCCAATCTCTGCGGGGAGGTCAATCCAAACATAACCTTTCTTCACTACACATATGATCTTGGCCATTAGAGTCTGATGTTTAGCAACCTTTCTGGGTATAACGCTTACGCTTCTTGTGGCCCTCTGGTGCTTCGTCAAGTAGCCAATCATCACCGCACCAGATCGAGACAAGGGAATCTGTAGACACAGTAATGCCACCCAAAAGTCTTTCCGCAAAATCTGTAGATATGCGTTAGATGATTCGTTAATTCATCTTCTCAGTAGACTAACCTAAAACCCTTTTCACTCTCGCACGGCCAGGCGCGTCCTTTTTCTCGTCCCTAAAGTATACCCCGCCAAAGAAGACTTCAAATGTTGCGAGTGCTACATAATTCGAGCCTTGGAATTTACTCTTCTTAGTTGGCTTAGTTTCAAGTATTGAAAGAAGGTCCCTTGTGCGCTCAATCGTCCGGCTAATCTATATCACGCATTAGTCTTGCAGAAATCAAGGCAAATTTCATCAAGGTTAATAGCTTACTGCTGCAATTGCATCTCCCTTCGCAACGTCCAATAAGGCCACTTGCTCAGATGAGCAACTACGACGATTAACATCGAACCTAGCTCTCTTTCCAAGCAAATTGGGGTATTGCTCTCCGAGGATTTTCGAGCTTCGTTCTGGCACCGTTCCATTCTCACCATGGATAGGAGTAGCAGTGGCTTGTAACAAGAAAATGGAGAAGACGAGGGCCAGGAACACCCTGACATAATTGAGAACCGGTGTTGCCATGGGAGCTGGATGCTTTGCTCGCTGCAAAATGCTGCGAGGTTGGGACGAATGAATAAAAAATGACAGGAGCCTGAGAATTGTTGCCTATCGCCTCATATTGAACGAAATATTGTTAAAGTTGGTTGACCCTTTTTATCCGAGTGAAAAGCGCAAAAAATATACCGTTATCCACAGCATCAGCCAGAATTGACGTGATGGTATCTCAGCATGCTACCTTGGACGGGCGGCCCAACCCTACCGCATAGGCCGGAGTTTGCTATTGGGAGTAAACATATTCAGAACGCCCGCGATGTCTGACCAGAGCATAGGTGAGACAACATAGCATAGGGCATTCGAGCCCCACCCTTGGTGGACTGGGAAGAATTGGTATAGGTATAGGGAATAAAATAATGGAGATATGGCATGGTTATAGTAGAATTGTTATATATTTACCAACGTGGGCTTATATAGAAGCATATGCGTTCAGATATGTGCATGGAGTAGCTATAGAGATAAGGAGTTGTCAAATGGTTCCTGGCTCCACCCTGTAGTTGTTTATATCACGTGATATTAAACTCAAAAAGAACTAGTAAATTTGACAAAACTCCACCATCAGCTTCATCCCACTTCGCACAACATGCCTACCTATACCCGGGGGACGTTGAAGGTCAATCCGAGACATGGAATACGTCTCCCTTTCCGATAGTCCTAATGGAAATCTAGACACGTCTATTTACGTCTTTTTACGTAGAACGGCCGTTCCATCAACAACCATGATCCGCTTGTTTCAAAGACTAATCTTACTGGACTTGAGCGATGACATCTCTATCAATTGTCCCCGACACCAGTGGTGAACATCCACATCCTGGCTGCTCTGACCCTCCTATATTTTCACGAAAACGGGCTGATACGGCCGGAGATAGGGTGTGGAAAGACGGCAACTTTTATCAGTTACTTCAGCATCACGTAGTAATGCTCCGTGCCTTGAATTCTGCATGTGAGAAAGTTGGGTCGACCAATTTTCCCAATATCCCCCTGGTTGCCCTCCTTTCATTTTCTATTTCCTTCCTTTCATTCTCCTTTCATATGCGCTCATTCCTCAACCAACACATAGTGCAATACCTCAGCATTGCGCAATGAAGCACCTCGTTGCTCTCAGCATCCTGATATTGGGATTTGCGCTGCAAGTGTACTCCGGAGGGGCTCTACTTGCTACTAGCGCATGTTCTGAGTCCCAAAAATGCAAACAGGGCTGCTGTAGCAAGTATGGCAGCTGCGGGTTTGGACCTGATTTTTGTGATCCTGATGTTTGTGTATCTACCTGTGATGCAGAGGCTGAATGCGGCAGTAAGTTGTTCTCCATTCACGACAAATGTTGGCTTTAGTGGTGCCCTCGAAGACCGTACTCGGCCTGAAATACAATCATTAAGAAGTGAGGCTGACATTCGATCAGAATACGCCAAAGACGGCAAAGAGTTTTGCCCACTCAACGTGTGTTGCTCTAAATTTGGGTAAGTCGTTTTTAAAAGCCTTGTTTTGGGTGCAGAAAGCTGAACAATAGAAAGATTCTGTGGGACAACTACGGAATTCTGCCAAGATGGCTGCCAGAGTGGCTGCGATGCGATTAGACGACCGTTAGTACATTCTATCCAATTTACCAAAACAATCTAGGCTTAACAGGTCCTCCTTCAGTTCTTGTGGAGGTACATCAAGCAGCGGCCGGTACGTTGGGTACTACGAGAGTTGGACTACACGAAAAGCTTGCGATAGAGTTCATCCTTCAAACATAAACATAAAGCCATGGACAGTATGTATACAGAATATCCAAATTCTTAGTGGCTCATCTAACTATTCTATTTTTAGCATTTAATCTTCTCTTTTGCTCTTATAAACGAGGCAGACATGACTATTACTTCAATGCATCCGGATGATAAGGAACTTTACATTGCATTTAATGGCTTAAAGCAGAAGAAACCATCTCTCAAGACCTATATTGCCGTAGGTGGGTGGGATGCTGGAGGCAAAATATTCTCGAATATGGTTCGCTTTCCTGGGACTAGGAAATCGTTTATCGACTCTGCAATTGGATTGATGTATAAGTATGGGTTTGATGGCATCGATATAGACTGGGAATACCCAGTTGCCGACGATCGTGGTACGTACCTCCCCCCGATACTCTTTAAAAGTTTTCTTGGAATGCTAACTCTACCATAGGTGGATCTCCTGCTGATTACAAGAATTTTGTGACCTTTCTAAAAGAGCTTAAGGATGCTTGCGGGTCTAAATATGGTCTAACTGCTACAATTCCGGCTTCCTATTGTAAGAATCAGGAGTTATCTTGGGCATTTTTATTTGATCTAACTAAGCTTGCAGGGTATCTTAAAGGCTTTGATATTGCTGAAATGCAGAAACATGTCGACTGGTTTCACATGATGACCTACGATATTCATGGCGTATGGGATGGCAATAGTGAATTCACTGACAGCGTCATCAACCCACATACTAATCTAACTGGTACAGTCGTCCCTGAACTCACAAATTTCCTTCTGCTAACGTTTCTCAGAGATCTCCAGGGGAATGGATCTGCTATGGCGCAATAATATTGATCCTTCTAAGGTACTGTTGGGATTGGGATTCTATGGTAGATCATTCCAGCTCGCGGATGCATCTTGTAACACACCTGGATGCCAATTTTCTAAAGAGGGTGGGCCAGAGTCTGGTGGAGCTGATGCGGGAATGTGCACTGGCACAAGGGGTGTCCTATCTGACTACGAGATAAACAGGATTCTGAAGTTTAACTCGCCGGAGGTTTCATACGATGCCACAGCGGGAGTAAAATGGATTACGTGGGACAAGGATCAGTGGTATGTATAATATACCCCTTCCAGTTCTCACGTCCTAAGGTCTATTCCCTAGAGCCCTAAGCGGTAATCTAGGCGGACGACTAGAGTGAGTAATCGTTTTCTAATGCTTATATAGGGTCTCATACGATGATGCAACTACCCTAAAACAAAAAGCGGATTTGGCAAATTCAATGTGCTTAGGAGGCACTTTTGCATGGGCAGTAGACCTTGGTGGCCCTGGAACACTTAAAACCCCCAATAACATGAGGCAAGGCGAGATAGGTTTAGATGGAGCCAGCATGGACGGAGGAAGCGGTGGCTCTGGTGATGTCTATATTTCCCCAGAGATATATGATAACGACAACCCGCAGGTGTCATGTGTACCACCATGCAATCTTATCATGCCACCTTGGACATTGCCTACCCCTACTACGATCTCATTTCCGCCGTACATCACCTCTTTAGAGGTGGTTTGGACAACAACCACGACGATAACGCTTTCAAACGGTGCTATATCAACCTCAACCGGAATCTCCAGGACAATTCAGACCACCACACTCACAATTCCTCCAGGTATGCTATCATATACAACACTCATCTATATAGAGGTGGTAAATACTAACCTAGTGCAGTTACTACTTCGGTCATAGAAATGTGGAATTGGAATATTACCGAAGCCAGCGCCACCTATACTGAGTATACCCTCACTAGCAGTGTTGCCCCGGCCCCCTTTATAATAACCAATGATCCAAACCCAGAATCATCTGCTGGTAATTCTCAGCCTGTTGCAACAAGAACGATCACACCACCGCCATACCCATACTCTTTCGACACAACACAAAAGACCAACCTTCCTGTCATCACTTTCGATGTGGGGCCCCCGTCGCCAAAATGCACTTCGGGGTGCGGGCATAAATGCAAAAGGTTTTGTCAAGGGCAATGTCAGACTAATTGTGATGATGGGGGAGATGATTTCATTGACCCGAAAGACCCGGATCCACCCAAGGTTGACCAATGTAGAGGTCCTGATTGCCACCGAGGAAAGTGTACTGGGCCACTATGCGTTCAATATGGCTGCAAGGGCGAAGACTGTGACGTTGGTATCTGCGTTGGGCCACGTTGTATTCCGGGCGCATGTTCAGGGCCTAACTGCGAGAAGGGCTTTTGCGTAGGGCCAGGCTGCATACCCTCGGGCTGCGTTGGTGCTCACTGTGGATATGATGGTCGCTGCTTCGGTCCGCAGTGCATTTCGTTTGGATGTTTTGGCCAAGATTGCAGCTCCATTGGAACTTGCACCGGTCGGAAATGCACTCCTGTTACTTGCACCGGTCCACAGTGTCAACGCGGCGTATGCAAGGGTCCAAATTGCGACCAGGGAGAAGATGAATGCAAAGAGAAGCAAAAAGCCCCTTACTGCACGGAAACTGTCATTGAGGATGAGTCTACAAGTACGACACAGACTGATTGCAAGACTGTTACCGCTTGCTCTGCCGAGCCTACAACCATCACAACTACGATCGCGAGCGACGCTTCTGAAGAATTAGACTGTGTTTATACCCCTGCACCAGTAGCAGACGATAGATTGGATGCTATTGCAAGCGAGATTGTCTCACGCCTAGAAGAGCGGGATGCATCTCGGTTCGATGACGTTGGCACAACGGAAACTATTTCTACTCCTACATCGACGACGACACCGACAGCTAACCCCACTCCATCGGTAGTATCTTACGACTGCAAGGGGTCAATTTTATGCCCCTCATTCTATAATTTGAGAGCATTTTGTGATCAAGCAAAGGCGTACCTAGTCGGAAATCAGGTTTATAAGTAAGTACAGTGTCTAGCCCCTTTCCTCCCCCCCATTTCATTTTTGTCTTAATACTTTGAGGAGCTAGTGTGCTAACATGATGGTCTACTCAGGACTTCATTGAAGGATGGTGGTGGCTCGTGTTATACTGACGGCTGGAACGCTGGAACCGGTTGCGGAGTGTTTTTACAAGGGGAGAATTGTGAAATGACAGGGGACCAAATGGCGGCGTAAGTTCCACGGCTATATTTAATAGAGAATATTATACTAACGCGTTTACGATTCGTGTAGGGCGTACGACCATCTACACCAGGAATCTGGAGGAGGCTGTAGGGCCTGTGGATCCGTACATTTTTCCAATGGCTGCCTGCTTACCGTCAATTACGTTCGGGTTTGCCACACAAGCGGGACATCATCTTTTAACTGGAAAGTGGCTGACGATGAAGTCTCCTCTAGCAATGGGTATAACGCCACGACGTTACTAACTTAGGAGTTGTATGTATCTATAATCTACTTTGTATAGACATGACTTTTGATAATATATTTTATGTAGTTAATTATCCACTACTTGTAAATTCCGTATACCACTATAGTTAATCTATCTACATAATGATAGTTTAATACTTATTAAAAGATTACTATCTAATTCTTCAGACATAGGAAACTCTTGGGTAAAACCCCTGTAGTAAACGCCAGAATAAGTATGCCTAGGTGAATCACATACAAAGCGACCAAAGGCACCAAAGTAGCTATGAGACCATGGATGATCCAGATGATCCAGATCAAATCCCCGCAGCTTGAGAGCCTGGCAGCCTCATGATGGGTTCAGATAAACTAGTTACTCCGTAGCCAGTTCTGGGGAAACGCGGCGCAACCTTCAGCCTCGCTGCTCGCAGCCGGGAAACGCATATATATATATCCTTTTGCAGGTATGAGTCAACATTCCTTGTACCCTTGGACGAGCCAGCCAGTTGGCGTGGATTTAATATCAAGCTTGGCTGGTACAAGAAGAAAAGGGCTCGCGTCTTTTTTTACGTCTTTCCCTGAGCATCAAGTTTCCCCTTCCCAACGATCGTGGCCCCGACGATATTACGGTCCCATCTTCCGACTCGACATGACATGGCTGGAACAAGCTAGGAGATAGTTAGCGCAAGAGTCAGAGAGATTGTTTGAAATTAACCAGAACAGACGCCAAACAGAAGGATGGAATCCTTGTCGATGGGAGGATTCTCGGAGATTGCTCCCATATATAATTGAACTTCGAACTCCCTCATGGCTTATATATTCTTATCCTTTGTCATTCCATTGCTATATGCCGTATCATCGCTGCCGGCATATCGCCATTACACAAATACCCGTGGGTTTGGTGTTGCACATCCTCATGTCTAATATTAGGTAGAGACTTACGGCCTATACCTAAGGTCTTTAAGCTCACCAATATACATACATTTACACCCTTGTACACGTTCAAACTCATCAACCAATCATCCTTCGCTGCTCCTGCTCATATTTGACACTATTCTATAGACAGCTTAATAGATGAACTTGGAAGAATATGTATTGCAACGTAGCTGCTTTTTTTTTCTATATACACCTAGTTTCGAGTATCTATGCTCTATGCCAAATAGCTTGCACTCACTCTGGCCCCATCCATCTCACGCTGAAGTCGTTCTCTCTTCTTCCGCTCATAGATCCCCCTGACCACCCGCTTCAACTGATCCTCGCCCTCGGCGAAATTCGACTTTGCGAGGTGGACGGCGGAATCGATCTGTTCTGCGGTATAGATGAAGTTCCACGTACTCAGGTAGTCTTCCTCTAGCGGGTTGAGGATCTTGCGTTCGCCGTCCTTCTCATCCTTGTCTGGGTTAGGGAGAGCAAGGCATGCGGGATTGGGCAGAAGGGGGAAATAAGCAACGGCAATACCAGCGTGAGGCTGCGTGAGATGATACTCGGACTCTTCCTCATTTGTTGTTGATGCATGGAACAGCCGTTTGGACGGCGGGGATTCAGCGGACGATATGCTTTCCTCCGTGGTACCGAGCCAGATGTTGCAGAAGGTCAGGTCGGGGTCATTTCCACTAGAGTCTCGAGTGCGTGCTTTGCTCGCTTCCTGTGCAGAGGCGACTTTTCTGTCTGCTTCTTCCTTTGTTGTCTGGCTTTCCTCGGCGATGATATCTGCTGTTTCCTGGGGGGTTGCGTTCGATTTTGGCCATCCAGCGCCGATGGGCCACCCCTTGATACCACGTTGATGAGCGTAACCGTCAACCACAGAGAGCCAGTTCGCTTCTTTGCTGTCGGCTGAGACGTCGAATGCAACGATGAGATCGACGTTGCGGCCTGGCCGAAGTAGCGGGTAGATGGGCAGGTTGTTACTCATACCAGCATCCATTAGTCGTAGATGCGAGTCCTGAAAGACAGAGGCGGGACATGAATCAGGCAGTTTACCTTCCAACCCCAAGACGAAGTTGGGTACTGTTGCAGGGTCGATAGGGTGAACGCGGGTGAGGTCCTCGCTTTTACCCTCGATAAGGGCATCGATGCTGCTGAAACCAGCAAGGCCCATGAACGCTGGCCGGATTTCCTTGTAGTAGTGAGCAAGTGTGGCACAAAAGGCACTTCCCCAGACCCCCATGAGGGCGGGAACTCGTAGTTCAGGGACGGCGTATCCATGAGGCGCGGCCACACCCTTCCCGTTCATGAAGTTCCTCCCCACAGCCCATGTAGGAATGCCAGCGGCGAATTCTTCACAGAACAGTTCGTAAGGGGTAAACTCGAACCACTGGAACCAGCTTTCCCGTCTAGAGATCTCCTCGAGTTCATCTTCGGAGGCGTCCATCTGAGACGGCTTTGGTATCTCATGTCGAACCGCCGTATAGATTGGCATCGGATTCGCCCCACCTTTGACTACTGCACGTTGGCTAGACAGCTGTAGGTCACTGTCGGTCAGGGCAGCCGTATCCTGGGGCACCATGAGCCTTGCTGCCAGCAGTATCCCGTATACATCGACGAGGCCAAAATCGGCCTTGGGGTCTCCCTTTAGCTTCTCAATCACGCCCCGTAGAAGGTACTTGTTCGTAGGCGAGGTAGTCAGGATATCGAGGGCCTCGGGAGGGAAGGCTATGTGCGTGTGAAGCCTTGCCTTGAGATGGTTAATCATCTTGCCAAAGTCCTGGCCGCCGATAGACGAGTTGAACAGCGTCTGCAGCCAGCATGAACCGCTCACGCCGGCAGTATACGTCAAGCAGTCCCAGAGCCCAGCCTCCTTTGCAGCCATATATGACCCCGTACCGGCGATGAGAGCTCGCAGGCCGCCTCCAGACGCACACATGGCGATAACAGGCACATCGTCTGGATGCACCTGGTCCTCCGGCAGCCCCAGGTAAGATGCGAGGTTCCTGGCAACGACCTTACGGCGGTCTGCAAGAAAGGACTCCTCCTCCGGACACAGGGTATCTCCTATCCTCACGTTTGCTTCCTCGACAATGCTCGGGTTGAAGCTGGGATCACAGGCTTCCTTCCACACGTCGTCAGCCACCGACCCAGGAGCCATCGAGAGCTCGCGCTGCAGGTTTCGAAGTATCTCTGGTGAGAAAAACGTCCACCCGGGCGAGATGTAGTCCTTGAAGACAGCCGACCAGTCTGCACTCCAGTCAGACGAGCTGAAGTAGCCCTCAGCAGTCCCGAGCCTGTCCGTCATCGTCTCCCACGCTGACATTGCGTCCTCGTCCGCCTTCTTTTCCTCCTTCTCTCCGGCATTGTTTATACTATTCTTGATCAGCTTGTCCAGTGCAGATTCTTCCGCCGTCTGTGGTGTCTTCTTCGCATTCCATGCCGCCGCGCTGCGTCCGGCATCGCATCGAACGCTCTGCTTGCCCAGCAGTGCGAGCGAGGCACTGCCAGTCACGAACAGCGCGCCCTTCAACGCCTGCCGCCACCTTGCCTGTAGGAACCTGGCAGCGCCCATGACAAGTGAGAAGATCCCCGATGAAACAGTGACAATCCTACTCTGAAGCTGCCATGACGGCTTGAGAGTTGACGTCGCCAGCTTTTTGCCCGCCAGCCATTGACTTTTGGTCGGGATCTTGGATGTTCCGGTATGAAGTCATCCTTGCGCTTATCTCGGCCGTTAGGAAGCAGATCAAGCGGCTAATACTAGAGAAGCGTAGAAGTATTATATAAAAGTCGTTGATAGTTAGTTGTTGCTAGTATACATGATGTTATAGGCTTCCCTAGTAGGCGGCTAACAGTATCATAGCATGCTGCTATGTGGAAGGGCTCTAGGAATAAACCGTGTTAGTACGTTCTTCCGCCTCTATATCGGTGTATTTTACCTGGGGTGCACCCCCGGGAAACCCAGCCAACATCTTCGAAGAGACTGAATGGGGCATTGTAAAGACAGAGAGCTTCTCTTGTAGAATAACTAGTATTCTGTTAACTGAGCTCTGAGATGTCAAGTTGTTTCTTTTGTAAAAGTCGAAAGAGAAAGCATTAACCAATCATAATTCAGAGTATAACTTATTTCTTATTGGTTGTTAATGTAAACTTGAATACCACGTGATGGAATATCATTAACCAATAATAGATAACCTTGGCAATATATGAGGCTCTTGGCGGTAAAACCGCCCATGATATCATTTAGAGAAGAAGACCCGGTGGTTGAGCACTCCAACACCCTCATTCTCTCCCTGAGCTACTTGAGCACTCTTTCAAGGAGCCAGCGCCGATCAGAGCAGGACATTATTACCTATGATATTATCTCTACTCGACGCAGTGCCCGTCGTCAAGAATACAGCTACCTCTATGTGAAAAAGGGGGGACACGCCCATCTTGTGCCACCACCAATGACGAACTGGCGTACCGAAGCAACATCAAGTAGGAGTTAGAAGCTATGTATGTGTCGTTTTTTTCTCCAAATATTACCTTGAATCTGTCGACGACTGACTCTTCCTAGCTAGGGCAGCGCAATGGGCGCACCACGAAACGCCGTCTATGCAGAGGAGAGTGCGGAGGTGGAAGTGTTATATGCGGACCTTGAAAAACTCAACACCCTGACGAAACGAGTCCAGGGCTCTCTATCTCGACTAGAAGCCAGCGGAAAGGTAGTCAAGAATGCGATTGGCCCTATATACGGCAATACTCAGGCTCTTCAGGCCACCACCACAAATATAGACAGAGTCAACGAGGCCATCGAGCGGATGCGCCGCCCGCTGGACGTAAAGGGACAGGAAGAGAGCATTATACGAGCTGGGTATGCAAAAAAACACCCTCATTTGAAGGAGGCTTCTTCTACCGGGCAAATCAATCTAACCTGAAGACCTCTCTGATAGACCGCAAAATGCCGGGTTACCCCAATTCATCGGTGCATTGAAACGTATCGACCTCGCACTCACGGACCTAAATGCTACAAAACTCCGATCAAACCAAAAGGCTGTCTCTGAGTTCAGCTCGCTGCTTAATACCGGCAGTGGAAAGCTGCAGGATCTGTTCAGATCGGTATTGAGGGGGGAAGCGAACACGATCGAGCCACTCCACTACCTTACCAAACGTGAGCTTATCTATCTACCATCGGATAAACCCATGCATGTCCTAGAAACTAAACTAACATACCCTCTGTAGAGCTCTCTTTCCCTCTATTATCGCAGGATGCATTTTCCGACCTTGCTCCAGCCGCAGGCGCAATTACAGCCGCCTCTAAACATACCCCCCAACAGGGCCACATCGAAAACCCAGCCATCTCTATTTATGCCGAAATTCGTGGCCCATACCTAACGAACAGCTTGCAAAATCTAGCCACTGCCTCCATCAACACTGCAAAACGCAGGCCAGTCGATGGACCCTATAAACAAGGGACCAACGGAATCGGCGTGTATTCAAATGTGATAGAAGGGATGTTTATTGCCGAGTATGAAAACATCATAAAAATATTCCCTCCAGACCAACAGGGAAAGGCTCTCCAAGCAACATGTCGGCCCGCTCTGGCAGAATTCTCCAAGACCATGCGTGAGCTAAACATGTATATCAAGTCGAACCTGATCACCGATTGCTTCCTTGCCTTTGAGATAATCGATATCGTCACCTCACTATCATACCGCCTGGATTCTAAGACGGGAGACCTAAAGAATCTATTCTTCGAGGCTCTACGGCCCATACGTGAGACGGCAAAGTCGTCTCTGACCGAGTTATTGGAAGAAACAAAACGCAGGGCAGCGTCCCTCGTCACTCTACCTCAAGACGGCTCTCCAGTCCCACTGGTAAACGAAGTGATGAGCTCCCTCTCAACACTAACCGCGTACTCTAAGCCTCTTGCCTCCATCCTCACATCCCTGGGTGACGGTAACTGGAAACCTTCCGCCGTACCCAACGCCGCTCCCCTGGACGTGGGACCAGACAGTTCCACGCTGCTCTCCCATTTCATCCTCGACATGATCGAAACGCTCTTATCCTCCCTTGAGGCTCGCGCCCGAGCAGTGCACAAGAGCAAATCAACCCTCGGCGTCTTCATCGCTAACAACGTCCACATCGTCGATAGGGTCATACGCAGCACACCCGAACTGTCAACTTGCCTCTCTTCTCCCGAAAACGCTAGTAGACTCGAAGTGTGGCGCAAAAAGGGCGTGTCGATATACCTCGATGCCTGGCGTGATCCGTCTTCGCATCTGCTAGATGTGCAATATACAAGCAGAGGCGGTGCCCGGCCTACTTCAGGCGGACCAGTCGATTCAAGCGCTATCGTCAAGTCACTCTCTTCCAAGGATAGGGATGTAATCAAGGATAAATTCAAGGCCTTTAACTCCTCCTTTGACGAACTCGTTGCGAAGCACAAGTCGCTGAACATGGAGAAGCCAGTGCGCACCTCGCTGTCCCGTGAGGTGCAGGCCGTCATCGAGCCGCTGTATGCCAGATTCTGGGATAGATACCATGAAATTGACAAGGGGCGGGGGAAATACGCCAAGTACGATAAGGGAAGTCTGTCTGCTCAACTCTCGGCTCTAAGCTAGATAGTTACAGATTTGTGAAGGTCTTGTTTTTTCCGTTTTTGATATAAGCGTTCAAGTACATACTTTTGCTATCTTTACCTCTATGAATATACCACCTTATTTTCTGATGAACTTGGATCTTATCATCTCCCACTAAAAAGCACACCCGATATACACACCTAAGCATTGGTTTGGCGGCTCATACTTAATTCGCTTTCACCAGCAAACATATAAAAACTTATCAACATAGACATATATCTCTAACTTGAAGCATCCGACGCATCAATAGTGTTCAACGCAACGGTTCAATTCTATCAGAATCTACCACTACACTAAAAGGAGTGAGCCCACACTAATAGTAGGCAGATGTTGAAGTTTGACAAATTCATATATGCTGGTATACTATATACACATGCGGAACATATTCAAGATATCTTTTAAAGGCTGATGTATTAGCTTAACTCGAGAAAGCACGAAGATAGAAGACAAAAATTGAATCGTTTAGATTAGTATTGACAATCGATATATCTAGAGATAGATAGGTGCATGGGTATGTAAGCGGTATATAAACAGGTAGACATAAATGAAAATCCTGGTTCTTATGAACCAGGGATGAAGAGCTAGACAAGGCTAAGTTAAGTCATGGGCAAAATGGAGAGTATATGATGAACACAAACAAAAAGGGAAGTGACGGAGTAGCACAGATATATAAACATTAATAGATGCGGGAGGAGGTCGTATTTTCTTTTCTCAAGCTTTCGAATGTGTATGTGGTGACAAAGATGTCACGGCTACCGGCCTGGGCCCATCTCATATATCTGCTCAGGCACAGGTCCGGCATGGGTAGCTGACATTGGCGTGGAAGCCAACTCGGATGGAATAGGTGACATCTGCTGGGAAGAACTGACGGCTGAGCCGGGCATTTCGGCATGCTGTGGTGGCTGCTGTGGTGGCTGGTTAAATGGTGAAACCTTCTGTTCGTTAGGGTAAGTTGGGAGCTGGTCATCTACTGGGGGCTTCTGTTCTACAGGAGCATAGTATCCCCCGGCAACAGGGCCCTGTGGGTTCGTGCTGGTTGGTGGCATATTGTTGTTTTGCGTGTAAGCGGTAGCAGGAGCAGGGGCCGGGGTGTTATCTGGCTTCTTGCGCAAGATGAACCACCAGATGGCGATGAGGATGGCGGAAACACCAGCTACACAGCCAATGACGATACCGGCAATAACACCACCTCCGAGACCGTTGCTATGCGGAGGAGGTGGAGGATTTGGGCCGGGAGTCGGGCCGGGGTGGGGCAGGCCGGAGGAGGACGGATTTGGTGAAACGTCTGATGCAGTGTTGGTAGGATCCCCAGAATAAGTGTCTGTGGTGGTGGATGGGATGTGAGTTGCAGAGTATTTGGAAGCATAGTCAGGTCCTAGCACAGATGAAAAGTATTGCGAGAGCGGCGAGATGTTATCTGATACCGAAGCGTACGAGTAGCAGCCAAACAGCTTGGTGTTTTTATTGAAGACATAGGTTCCGCAATAAGGGAGAGTTGAGATGCTGCACTTAAGAGCCAAAGAGTCCTTGGAGCAGGCTTCATCACAACTGACACTTGATGCATAGCAGGTGGTTGGAATGGTGGTGCAGTCGTTGATATTCTTGCTGAGACAGCAGCCAGCAGCGTTTCCAGTGTAGATACAGGTTGCGCGAGCATTAACGCAAGTCAGGGGGTTCTCTATATTTTTATGTTAGTCATTTTTTTTGTTTATTTCCCTGATGTAATGCAAAATGGGTGGTTATCTAGACGAACCTGGGTCACCATCAACCAAACCACAATAATAAGCAGGGGGAGGGAAGGGAATCAGCAAGCTGCTTGATCCTGCACTCTGTCTCTTTACTAGCTCAGGCGGTATTCCAGCAGGCAGGCCAGGAGCAGGTGTGGGCTTCGGGGTCATCCCGTTGAGAGCAACGAGCCCAGCAGGCGTTACAGCGGGCATAAGTTGTTCCAGCGAGGCAGCATCGACAGCAGCCAGAGAGAGGAGGGTGGCCACAAGGACCAGTGAATGTCCAGCCATCCTGCTGAACTGTCTACTGCCGAGCTTGCGCAATGGGAGGTATATAGGTGTAGATGTTGACCAAAACCGGCCGTCCCCAACTTCAGACCTGCTCTCTCTCTCCGCTGGCAAGATATAGAAAGGATAAAAAATAAGATATACCAGAGCTAAGGCGTCTGATATCTCCTATCCCAACGAAACGAAAGATGGAGGTGGTAATATCACGTCAGGATATTCGCTCGACCAGAGAGACAAACAGATGAGAACGACGAGAGGAGAAGAAGAGAAAGAGAGAAGGGAAAAAGGGAGGATGCGAAGGAAGGAAAAGAGATCGGCTGGTCATCTTTCTTTTCTTAAAAAAGAAAGGAAAAGGGAATAGAGAAAAAAACACCAAAGAGAGAGAAAGCTTTGAGCCTCGCCGCAAGCTCAATTGAAAGGGGGCTCCCCTTCCAATCCATCCCCAAGCTATTACCAGAAAGAGCTAGTGAGTAGATGAGGCTCGTGTTCCCCGTCCGCTGACTCGTAGAAAATAGGATTAGGCCTCGCTCGCTCGAGTCGATAATTGGGTCTGGGGCGGAGAGATGGTGGACTCGGAAACGAGCCATGCACCAATCCAGGGCAAAGATGGGCACGATGGCAGCTATCTTTAAACGAGACTTCATGCCAGCGGTCAAGACATATAAATAGTTTCAAGGCTAACTTTCCTTGCTCCATATCTTAACGTAGGTATTTTTCTGCGCCGTATGTTTTAGACATGTTTGATGTCTTCCTGTCTCTGCGTGAGGATGTGTCTTCATCTTGTTCATATATATTCAGGGGTTGAAGGATTTCAACTCTCAGGGATTGACCCTGTCAGAGCACAATGCCCGGCAGCAGAAAAAAGCAAAGCAGAGCAAACAAGCAAGCAGAAGTGCACAACCCCCCAACCACACGCCCTAGCAGACAGCTAGCTGTATCCTGCCGGGTAATACGGAGTATACATACTCCGTACTCTGTACAAGAACGGTCGTATCTGGTGGGCAGGTTTGGGCAGAAGCGTCCATCGGTTACCAAGCCGATACACAGCCATGCCACGCCTTGCTTAGCGAGCAGAGGTTCAGCCGCACAGACAAACCATACAAATATCGGGATGCAGAAGGCGAGTTCCTTGGTTCATTCACGTCTAAATCAGAGGCAGAAACACGTTACCGCGGTCCTGCCATCGTCCCGCCATGCCATGCAGTGCCATGTTCCATCATGCAGCGTCCCCTTATATACATGGCGTCTCCCGATAAAGGCGATAGAAGTCGGTGCATCGATCCTTTTGGCTTTCAACTGCCAGGGGGTCGAAGTTATTTTTAGCTCGCCCGCACTGCATCTCTGACATGTCGGATGTCTTTTGCTTTGCCGCTGCATTGGCTTTGCTTTGATATGGGGCCGTTTGTGAAGTCATCTCGCGTGGTTTGTTCATTGACTCCCGTCTTTGATCTCGTATCGTCTTCTCCTCGATCATCCTGCCCTTTATCCTCATCTCCACCATCTTATCACTTATCATCATCTCCATCTTCTTCTTCTTCTCTTCTCTTCATGCTATCAACTTTATGTTTCTTCCTTCTTTCCCTTCCTGTAAAGTCACGTGCATCCATTACTCATCCCTTACTCATCCCATCTTAGTCATGTATCACGTGAAACGGGTGAAGTCGGGCCTACTCACGTGCTCTCACGTGCCACGGGAAAATGCGGGGCGGGGAACCTCGGGCCGACGGAGACTCTTTCTCCGTGCAGTCCCCGTGACCTCGAAGCGTGTTTCCTGCAGAAGATGCAAAGGTACCTCGGGGTACTTCCTGACACACACAAACTACTAGGATACAGAAGTATCTTTAAGTACCTTGCCATGAGGGGGCCCTCTCGTCTCTTCTTCCTCGTGCGTCTTTTCCCGCTTGAGTCTTTTTTTTCCCTCTCTCTTCTTTTTTCTCTTCTTACTTCTCGCTGCGAAGAGTTTTGGTGTGTTTGCTGCCATCTTCACGGCTTCACCTTTTCCTCTTTCGGGAAACTGGCTGGCTTAACAAGGTCAATTGGCGCGAGGGTGCCAGCGAGAGAGAAGAGAGCGAGAGAGGAGGGACCCCCGGGGAAAAGACAACCCACATACTACGGCAAACTTACCCTTCTTTTTCGACCTCGGCATCCAGTTAGTTCGTCGCTCTCGTGACGCCATCTTCGAGTCACAGTCGTACGATATAACGAAGGGAGATATATATGGGAGTTACTGCAGATACAAGAGAGGCAGGAAAAGATACCAGAGAGCGAAAGAGACATACCGGGACTGGAGGATAGACAGCGCGAGAGAAGGCAGCCATGGCGTGGAGGGCCTCTGAGCGTCTCATGGAGACCATCCGCCATTACGCCTCGTTCCCAGCAACGGGCGTCTCGCTGCGGCAGATGGTGCAGTTTGGAGACAAGCCGTCGACAGGTATGGACCAGCAATTGATCTTGTTGGGGAAGACGCCTTCGTTGCAATCACAGCCGGACTGACTCCTGTAGGAACTCTCTTCCGGGCGTCACAGTTCCTGTCGGAGGAGCTGCCCATACGGCTGGCTCACAGGGTGCGGGAGCTGGGAGACCTGCCCGACGGGCTGAACGAGATGCCCTCTATCAAGAAAGTACAGGAGTGGTACGCCCAGTCGTTCGAGGTACGTGTGTTCTCTCTTTGCTGCAGTTATGATAAGTCGTTGACAGAATAAAAAAAAAAAAACAGGAGATCACGAAGCTGGAACGGCCGAGACTGTCGCAGGAAGTACGCGCTCGGCTGCTCAATTCCAGCAGGATGAACGGGCGTGAGCCACGGATGCTCGAGCAGGCGACCCCCAACCCCAGCGTAAAACAAGGGCAGTACCGCTCCTCGCCTACCACATCCATCCTCAACAGCATCTACAGCAATGGCAACTCCAGCGTCATCGGTAACAACGGTAGCACGACCACCACGACCACGGCAACCAATGGCGCAAAACACCGTGTGGCAGGGACTCGCCGGTATTTTGTTGCCGCGGACGACGGCGCCGACTGGCCGCCCGAGCTGATCGACTACAATGCCCGTCTGGCTGCGACCCTGGACACGATAAAGCGACGACACGACAGCGTGGTCACCACCGTGGCGCAGGGTGTGCTGGAGTGGAAACGGAAGAAACAGCGGCTCCAGATCGACTCTGGCATACAGGCCTTCCTGGACCGCTTTTACATGTCTCGTATCGGGATACGCATGCTCATCGGCCAGCACATCGCACTCACCAACCAGCACCACACCTACCATCCAAACTACGTCGGTATCATCTGCACAAAGACAAACGTACGTCAATTGGCGCAGGAAGCCATCGATAACGCTCGCTTTGTCTGTGAAGACCACTACGGCCTCTTTGAAGCTCCCAAGGTTCAGCTCGTCTGTCGTGATGACCTCGACTTCATGTACGTGCCCGGCCACCTGTCGCACATGCTCTTCGAGACGATCAAGAACTCGCTGCGAGCCGTCGTGGAGACACACGGACCAGAGAAGGATTCGTTCCCTGTAACCAAAGTCATCGTCGCCGAGGGAAGGGAAGACATCACCATCAAGATCTCTGACGAGGGTGGTGGTATTCCCCGATCCGCCATACCGCTTGTCTGGACGTACATGTATACCACCGTGGACCAGACCCCCAATCTCGACCCGGACTTCAACAAGAGTGACTTCAAGGCACCCATGGCCGGGTTCGGATACGGACTGCCCATCAGTAGACTGTATGCCCGCTACTTTGGCGGAGACCTCAAGCTTATCAGTATGGAGGGGTACGTCTTTTATACATACATATAAAGTATATAAATACTGACATGTCTATAGATACGGAACAGATGTGTATCTACACCTCAACCGCCTCTCGTCCAGCTCCGAGCCTCTCCAATGACAACTACCCGTCATGAGGAATGGGCGACCGCTCGTCCATACATCGCGACACTTCACACCAGCTCAACTGCAGCCATCTTTGAGCCCATCCTCATCGACGCCAACAGCCGAACCCCTGATGCCACTATCAACACCAGAACTGTTTCCTTTCCAGTATAAATCCTCTTCCCGCCCGGCTGCCAAAGAAGCAGGACCATCCTGGCTAGCGATACCGTGCTCGAACAAGAAGCCAAAGCCAAACCTATATCAACGCCTGGCTGGCGTCTCGCCCTTGACGGCCATGAACTCGTCCGTGATTCGATCACGGATAAAGCGCAGGGAAGTCTCGGAAAGGAAGCAAGTAGGAGATGCCGAGATATTGGTCAATCCTGAGAGAGCAGGCCTCTGAAGCCTTTACTCCCTCCCGTTGGATCTTTTTAATTTCCTTATTCATTTTTATTACTCTCTCTTTTTTCACTTCACTGTACATAACATACTAACACAAGCCACGGTCTGTCTTGTCTGTATCCCGTTTGTTTGATGAGGATGATACGAGACAGGATGATTGGCTATGACAGGACGGGTGGTTGACCACCTACCATGCAACCAGACAGGTACGGTGAATACTACATATACCGAGCTATCTAACAGCATTTTACAACGGAGCCGGAGCAGGCGAGAGGAGCAAACAGGCGGGCAACCTAAAAACCTGAACGTCTTCAGGAGGAGTTTATTCATGCATACACATAACCGATATGTGTTTCCATGCGTTCATTTGGTTTAGATCTGCTTCCCATCTACTATCATCTACTTTTCTATACAAGACAGAATACAACAACTACCCAATTTTCGGATAAATATCTTCATAATTCATTACAAGTAAAATTCCAACATGCAACTCAACATCAAGTTCACGCCCTGCCTTTTCCCTTCCTGGCCGTCGACGGAGACGACGACGACGACATACCCGAGCCATCCCTCCTTACACCGGCATTACCACCCGCAACCTGGCCCGCAACATCAGTAGAGAGATACTCATTCCTCCACCCGCCGTTAACCTCCACGATATCAACAATAGGCATATCCGCCCTCACCTCAAACGTACCCGCCAGACTCCGACCGTCATCCATCCATCGCCGCCCAGGCACAGACATAGGCAACTTCGCTCCCGCCATCCCACCCATACCCATGGCATCAGACCTATGAGCCTGCAGCAGCCTTCCGGCCTCGATATCATGCACGATATACTTGCGTGTCGGCGGCTTATCCGCCGGTCGACGGGCGAGCGAATGTATGAAGCGCTGCCTCGTCTGGGGAATAGACTACATCATATCAACAACAACAACAACAACACCAACAAAAACACCAACACAGTTAAACATATATGCGTATTTACGTGCGGTGCTCACCTCATTGTTAGAAACGGCGTGGAACATGAGCATTTCCAGATCATCTAGGACACCCAGCGCGGCATGCCGGCGTTCACGAGACTCGGTTGGTTCCCAGAGTTCTTCCGCATACACGAATTTAGGATGCAGGTCTTGAGTACGGTATGGTTGGCCCGGGGCTGGAGGATGTTAGCTCATGTATCCTCTCTATATCTATATCCAGAATATATGTATATATCTAGAGGTACCGTAGAACATGCCTGGGGCGCGGGGGGCGATTTCATATGCTTCTTCTTCAACGTTGGCTGGGTGTGTAGGAGACGCTGGGGTGTCGATGTCCATTTTGAATGCGTGCAGTTTGTCCTTTTATGTGTATGTATGGGTATAAGTTGTCTGGTTGTCTTCTGTCGATGGTCAAACTTCTCGATGGCAAGTCTGATATTCACTTACATAAGCACAAACATCAAGAAGAAAATCTCATCGCATGAATTGACATTTCATGCTTGGTCTGAATTAATTAATTAATATACATAGCAGGTTCGAGCATCCATCTCTTCTCTTTTCCACAGAAGTAGACAAAAGTACGGCTCTAACTGACGAGAGAAAGAAAAAAGAACGAAGAAGAAAACCCATTCTATCCCTCCGCATAACAGCATGGCAGGCAGTAAGTTAAACATAAAAATAGATATAGAAAGAAAAAGAAGAATATAAAAGGAAGAGGGAGACGAAATGGCATTTAAAGTGATGGACGAGAAGGAAGAGGACCGATAAAACTCCCAAGAACTCCACGAAACAGTCCACGACAAGACAGACTCATGTATTTGTAGTTTTTAAGTAAATGGGAACGAACTCCGACCCAAATCAGGTCGTGTCAGGTCATGTCGTAGACTTCTTTCGATGCCGCTAAGTGAAGAAGATGAACTGGACTTGGACTGAACTTTTTTTTCACTCTCTTGCTTTTCTGTTGTTTCAGACCCTGTTGTTTCTCATCTCGAAGCTGTTCAACTGTTGGCAGATGGAGAAGGAAAAAGAGACATGTGATGTGTCTTAGGCAGGGTTTCCGCAGGCGAAGGATGAGGATGCTGGCGCAAGATAAGGGTTCAGCCACGCGAAAGAGCCGGCCAGTCACCTTCGCCAGGGACTCCTGTTGACATTGGGCGTGAAAAAGTGGCCTGAGAGAAGTGGAATACAGCTCGGATGAAGAGGGCCTCAGCTCAATCGCATCCGTGTACGAAGCTGTTCTTGGGCCAACTGTAATCCGTGTCCGCCCTAGAGAGAACCAACATCTCCAACGTTAGCAGCTAGTCCACCTAGTCTCTTGGCGTGTCGCATATTTCAGGGTTCAGAACTAGCGGTTGAAGGGGGGAATTTGGGGGAAGGGCTTGTCGGAAGGCGCGGAGGTGAAGAGAGCAATACGAGGAGGCTCTTTTTCCTGACACGAGGAAGTATATAAGAGCCGCCCAGGCTGCCACGCGAGGGAAGAAAAAGAGTGGAAAAGTGGGAAAAAAGAGAGAAAAAAGATACATACCAGGTGGTGAGGTTCGGATTGTGGTAGACTTCTTTGTGTTTTCTTATATATTCTGTCGTCTCCATGCCGGGAGGATCACAGGTGACGCTCGTCTTGCCCTTTTCCTGATAGATGCGAATATAGTCTATTCGCATTGTTACCGGAAACAGCGGCGCGAGGCCGGTCATGTTTAGGGCAGCGAAACTGTTGGACATACCCAAGTTTGCAATTAGGGCCATGGGCTCTTTTGGGATGACACGCTGGCCGACATTGCCATTGGGGCCTAGGGCGCGGGCGTCGAGTTTCCAGGACTTCTCCTCGCCGACGTACCAGGTGATTTCGCCCTTTTCACCCGGCGTGTAGTCGAAGGCATAGACCTGGTACTTCTTGCCGTTGTACCAGTCATTGTTCAGGTTGGTCACGCCCGAGATGGCCTGCTGGAACACGCCGCCTCGATAGGCGTTCATGATCGTGATGCTCGGGTCATAGAGTTCCGTGAATTCTACAGACGCATTAGCTTGGTCCAGCAACTTGAATAAGGTATATCAAGGGAGAAGATAGAACTCACCATAGTTGGGCATGTACCAGATATCAAAAGGAGCGACCTGACAACTCTGCGAGACGTCTCCGATAACGTTAATTGGCTCCTTTTCACCGTGCAGGGCGTGCACACTGGCTTCGATCACGTCTATCTCGGGCGAGGTCCTCGACTTTCCTGGAGTCGGGTGATCGGCACCCTGGCAGGTGCAGGCAGGCAACCTCATGCCTGGCAGGAAGCTAAGACCACCCGGGTCACTCTGGTTGGCGGTGATGCCGGCATCGCACTCGTCGTGGTAGCTGTAGGGCCACATTCCATCGGTGGTGGCAGGATATCCGGGACGACCGAGGTTTCCCATGGCCCAGAAACCGGGCCAGAGACCGGAGACGTCGCCTCGTCCAGGCAGAGAGATGCTGGCCTCGAGCCGGCCGCCGGTGAAGCAGAGCTGGTTCCAGGACTGGACCATGCCAGAGCGGTAGTTGAGGTAGTGGTTCTGGAAGGCGTCGAAGCGGAGCTCGAGTTTGCCATCCTTGGTCGTTACAGCATCAGGGTCATACCACTGTTTACGGTCAGTCGAGTTGAACATTACAATGACAGAAACGTTGTTTGACATGCCTCCAGATCCTGTGTGACGCCGTACCAGATGTCGACCGCCTGCAGGTAAGGGTCGTCCTCTTGGAAGAACGTCCGCCCATCTAGCTTGAATTCATCCGAGAACTGCCATTTCCAATTAGATGTTGTTTTTTTTTTGGTGTGTGTGTGTATGTATGTGTGTGGGAATACGCACCACCAACTCCATGTCCTTGCCATCAGCGGATTTCTTGGTCATGGCAGACTTTGGCGTGTCTGGATCGATCAGGCCGGTCCTTATATTCTTCAGCAGCGGTATGTCCACGTCAATACACATGGGATCTCCGGCACACCCGCCCTTGATGGTCGTCAAACCATGTATATACGATCTGCTAGGTCAGTCAAAGAGCATAATCACAAAGAGATACAGATACATACATTACAGGATATCCGATGAACAAGGTAAGGACACCACCTATGAGCAGTATCAAGGCCCCGATATTGGTGATGCCACGACGGTGCCAGATATCACACTTTCTCTCCTTGTCGTTGGGATCCGGGTTATGCAGCTCGTCGTCCTTTTCGACATCGTGCGGGTAGACGATCAGGTCTCCGTCCGGGAAGATGGCGAACTTCTCGGTGACGGTCTGGGTGGTGATGCCGTTCTCGTCGTCACTGCTGCCTGCCCTCGAGGGGACGCGAGAATCGTCAAAGGGGCTGGAGTACGTGTATCCGCCGTACCCGTAGCTGGCATGCCGGCTCGCGGCATCTGAGCTCCAACTGGTCCGTCTGGAGGAGAAACCGGTATAATCTGTGCCTCCCAGCCCCCCGCCTGCTGTACCAGCCGAGCTCCTGCGAATATTCGGGTACGGATAGCCCTGGGAAGAGTCGTCTACGTATGCTCTTGACCGTCCCGGCACGGCGAGGCGTTCGGTGGACTCGTTGCGGGAGAGACTGTCGGGGGGCACGGGAGACGGGGAAAAGGTGCGCTGCTGAGGCGAGATGAGGGCCCGTGGAGTGATCGGGGACGGGCCCGCCAGAGTGCTGCTTGCTGAAGACGGGTTCGTGATGTTGTTGCTGCTGTCTGCGAAAGGGTTCTGCGGTTCTCGCTGGACCTGGGAGTTGATCTGGAGCGTAGGAGTCTTGCGGAGGCGGTTTGGCCCATTTCCACTGCCATTGCCAGGCCCTTGAGGGTCCATTGTAGCGTTTTTTCCCCCCTTATATCTATCGACTCATCGGTTGGTCTTTTTTCTGCTCTTGTGTCGAGGTTGATGTAGGTGATGTTGATGATGTTGATGTTGTGTGGTTGTTGCGATGGCGATGCTGACGTAGACAAAGATGACACCGAGTTATTAATCGACGGACGTTCGAGTACCAACAGACGGCGACAGACTAATGGTGACAGTGAAATAGTAATGAAAGTAGGGTAAACAAGTAGTATAGATGAAGCTGTGGATAGTTGAAGCTCTCGCCCGTCCAAGAGGAAAAAAAGTTGCAGGGAAGAAAAATACTTCAAGACGGCCAAGCCAAGTTGCTAGATCGCCGTCGCCATCTACTTTCGATACTATGAAGAAGAAGAAGACACAAAGACGAGATACATAGTACAAGAGAAAGGATAGAGAGAAGACCCACGCGGGTTCCTGAAACCCTTCTTTTTTCTGCTTGTCTTACTCCTGATATTATCATCTGTTGCTGTGCTTGTGTGTGTGTAATGACGTCCTCGCCACCGAAGCAAGGAAACAAACCCAAGAGTCCATTTGTTTCTCCTGTGGAAATTAAGTGATACATCCCAGTCGGCCGTCCTTTTGCCCATCTTACGCCGCAAGTTTACCCCCCCCCCCCCCCCTGGTGGCCAACCCGCTGATCGCCAGCCAACCGTCCCTGGCAGAGTTTTCTTTGGTGGAAGTGGAGGGATGGGCAGAGTGGTAGAGGAGAGTGGTAGCGACTCTTCAAGACTCGACAGCCCTCGCCTTGAGGCCGACAAGGCTGGTGTTGGTCCTGGTGAGAAGCCAGTACTCGCACCTCGTCTCGTCGTGCTGGACGCGGTAGACTCTCGCCTGGCCGTCGCCGTCGCTGGTGCTGTCGTCCTGGCTGGCCATCTGCACCGCCTCGAGGACGCGCGCGTACTGGCCGTGTCTGTCGAACTGGCTGGCCGAGAGGACGCTCACCTGTGTGGGCCTGGCTCCATGGACGAGCCGTGAAAACTCCTCTGTCCACGTCAGTCAGTATATTACACAAGGAGTAGACAGGAGTAGATCGTAAGAGTAAAAGGAGAGGAGGATACCTTCTGACGGCCAGTGGTCGCAGGCGAGGACGACAGGCTCAAAGGGCTCGTCTGTCTCGGAAGAGTAGAAGGCGTCGATACGCAAGGCAGAAGGGATCTTGTCCTCCTCGACGTCAAGTCTCTTGCTCTCGATGAAGGCTGAGTCGCCCGCCGCCTTGTCCGTCTTCCTGCTCTCTGTCTTGCCGTCTGTGAGACCCTCGTTGGCCTTATCCAGGAACGCCGCGTAGGCAGAGTCGGAAGCCATCTTTCGTGATACTGAATATACTGAATACACTGGCGATTCTGCTGGTGCTGGTGCTGCTGATGCTGCTGAAGAAGATAGAAGTAAAGACGAAGGCCGTAAAGAGGAGAAAGAGAGAGAAAAAGGCCTTATGACGCAATGGAAGATTCTTGCTCGCATCGTTTCTTGTTGGATTCTTCTTGGTGGCGAGTTTACTTTTACGTGGAAGAAGTTATTTCTACACACAACTACAAGACAGCAAGGAAGAGGTAAAACTCAAGATGGCCTTTTTATTATCATATCATCAAAGCAGGAAAGAAGGGAGGGGGAGAGAGAGAAAAAGACATGACTATGAAGAGGTGGTAAGGTCCTTCTTGAGAGTGCCCAGGAACGCTCTCTTCTCTGCTGGAGTCTGGTAGGCACCGTGGCCGAACTTGGAGGAGGTATCGATCCATTTGAGGTCGACCTTCTCTGTCGCCTTGCGCGAGACCTGGGGCCAGAGGGTCTTGCGAAGGGTCACTACTCTCTTGCGCACACCGGGGATGGAGCCCTTGAGCATGACAAAGTCGTTCTTCACCTCGCCGTAGCGCACGAAGCCGCCCATCCTATGGAAGTTAGCATACCCATCACTTATCATTACACATAAAAAAGGGGGAACATACGGGGTGATCTGCTTCTTGCTGACGTCAAAGTCAGTCGAGGCGTTGCCCTCGTCGCCGGCCTTGCCGATACGGTAGATCTTGTGGTTGGCAGAGGTACGGTGGTGGTAGCCGTCCTGACCGGCGCGAGCAACGGTCCACTGGACGTGGGATGGATGCCAGGCACCGATACAGGCAACCTTTCGCAGACCCTTGTGCGTCTTGCGGGGAAGTTTCTTGGTGCCCCATCGTGAGGTTACGCCGCTGAAACCATGACCCTTGGTCACGGCAATGACATCGACTACCTCGTCCTTCTCAAACACGGTGTCGACGTCGATGGGCTTCTCGAACAGGCCGTGTGCGAACTCGACCTTCTCTGCGATGCTGCCACCGTTGACCTGAACCTCCATCAGGTGTGCCTTCTTCTGCTTTAGGGGGGTCTTGCGGATCTGGGTGTGGGCGAGCAGACGGACGACGGTGCAGTAGTTCTTGATACGCTCCAGCTCCCGGGTCGTGGCCGCGGCGTCGGCGTGGGTCTTGGCGTAGCGAGTGAACGCCTTCTTCTTGCTCTTGTACCAGTTCTTGTAGAATCGGCGCTTGACCTCGTCGGAAAGATGGTCAGCCCAGACGGTGGTGAGCGAGCGGAGACCACGGGGGGTCTCGATGTATCCAACGATGCCGACGGCAATCATCTGCTCTCTCTTAGCTTCCTCATCTCCTTCTTTATATATCACAACATATCAGTAACATACCGGTGGGGTTTCGACGATGGTCACGGCCTCGACGACCTCCTTGCGGTGCATCTTGGCTCCAGGACGCTCGAGGTCACGGACGATGGTCGTCATACCGGCCTTGTAGCCCATGGTGGCAGTGAGGTGGACGGGCTTCTTGGGGTCATCCTTGGGGAAGCTGCACACATTCATCAGTATACGCTTCTATATAACGTCTCGCTTCAACTTCCTCTTCCTCACCTCTTGACCTTTCCGCGGTGTCTGGCAGCGCGCTTTCGCGGCAGGTAGGCAAGAGAGCCTGTTCATCCACTGTCAGTCTTCGTCCCTCTTCTTCTTCTCTCCATCTCCATCAACGTCGAGGCCTATCTCACCATGCCTTGGGGCTTCGTATTTTCTGTGACTCCTGCAGCGCACGTCTGTTAGCTTCAATGGCACATCATGACCTCTCCCCTGGCAGCTCTGTTACTCACATCTTGACCCTGTTGTCGGCGGGTTAGTATCCTGCGTGTTGGTTGTCGGTCGGAAATTCCAGCAAGTCGAAAAGTTCTTTTGATAACAATTTTTGCCTTTTTGTTCTTTTGTGTTTGCCGAGTATGTGTGGGATTAGGTAATCGAGTCACGTGTGAGTAACCGGGAAAAAATATAGTGGATTATGTCATCAGATCCCATCCGACTCGCTGGTCTGTACCCATTGGACATCAGGCCTTTTTGTCCCTTGTAGTCCAATACAAGATAAAGACGAGTATCATCTATGGACTACAGATACACCCTCGTTACTACTGCCGTCGATTGACAGGATGAACATGAGTGATACTATGCATGTCTGGTGAGGCTGCATTCATGAAGCTGGTAAGGGTGCACGCAGCCTCAGCGCAGTAAAGTGGCACCCCCAGTTCAGTTCATCTGGACTATTTGATATCCATGATATATATATATACATACTACGAGAAGAAAAATTCAACAGAATCTCACAATATATCTGTCTCGCAAGCATGGAAGCTTTCTAAAGCAGCTTTCAATCAGCCTAGAACTGAGAGCCCGGAAGAAATCAAAGGCCACCTGGGCCTCAACCTCCTACGAGATGTCTCTGAATCACTCGTCGACTTCATCTTCGTACATGGGCTCGGTGGAGGGTCACGCAAGACGTGGTCCCTCTCACCTGACCCAAAACACTACTGGCCAAGGGAATGGCTTAAGCAAGAGCCTGAGTTCCGCCATGTGCGCATACACAGCTTCGGATACAAGGCTGACTGGGCTGAGGTGGGTGGAAATGTTCAAGGCATTCATGATTTCGGGATCTCCTTGCTGAATGCGATCGATGAGAGTCCTCATATCATTAGAAGTAGGGTTAAAGGCTTGCTACCAGTTTACATAAGAGAGTGCATACTAATGTACCTTTTTCTAGACGAAGATCGTGTTTATCGCCCATAGCATGGGCGGAATCGTCGTTAAAAAGGTATCATACCACTCAATCTCATCACTATAATGGTAAACGCTAAAGTAATTAATACAGGCATACATCCTCGCCCGGGAAACTCTTCGTTTAGAGGGATTAGCAGACCGCATTCATTCCATCTACTTCCTCGCCACTCCCCATCAGGGTTCTAGTATGGCAGAGGTACTGGAGAGGATACTCCGGCTGTCATTCAGTACTAAGGCCTTCGTGAGCGAGCTCAGTCCTACTTCCAAGTCGACTATGGATATCAATCATTCCTTCAAACCTCTTACTACTCAAATCGAACTAGTTTCGTTTTATGAGACTCTCGAGACAAAATTCGGACCAGCCTCTGCGATGGTTATCCCTAGAGGCTCTTCATACCTTGCCCTACCGAATGAAAGAGCAATAGCACTGCACGCAGACCATCGCGGTGTCTGTAAATTCGATAAACGGGCCGATCTCAACTACAAAATACTGCGCTCCTCGTTCTGTACTACCCTCCGCCGGATAATTCCAAAGCATATATTAGAGCCACCACCACAAGGCGGCCTTGCTGATTCCTGCGAAATTTCAACAGATGAACCCCATCGATTACCGGAGTTGACTGGTGTATCGAACTCTCCTGTAGATGAAGAGTATATCTTGGAAAATTACCGGCCCATGTAAACGCTATTGATTGAATGATAAACATAGGCAGTTAAAGCGAACAACAATAATACACCGTTCTATATGTGCTTCCTAGCAAACCTAGTCCTGTGGGTTCCTTTCTTAACAGTCTGATATCATCCGGGATAGGGCGCTTTGTGTCCAGTACATAGTATACAGATTTCGCTAGTGCTGACTGGGTACAAGAAAGGATGCCTCTAAGCTATTGCCATGGAGGTCTCCCAGAACCACTTAAATAATATCTGCTTCCTAGCAGTGCAAGTTATTTTTTTGATAATTGGTTGTATGTCCAATAGAGCTACCCCTATGCTCGAAAGTGCAATTATGAACGTGTGAATGTCTGGTATCCATCCCAGCTCTTTGATTTACTTTATTCAAACTAAAAAGAATAATGTCATGTCTTTTGCAATCCATCTGCGGCAAGTTAGCAAGTATAAAATGACACGATAAGAACAGCCTCATTTCCTATAAACATTACATATAAAACTGGAGGCGAGTGGTCTTTTATAGAGCACCTGTACTTCAATTCCTAACCTTGACTTCCAAGTCCCAACCTAGAAGCTGTCAACGCGGGGAATGGGCCAAACACTGGTGAATCTTGAGTGCTACGGGAGAGGTATCCATATGTATGTATATGCCACAGCCATGGCATTGGGGTCTTTGCATATACTGAAACTGCCCAACAGTCTCCGTGTAAACTTCCGTGGTGTCGGTTAAAGTAAATAAAACACATTCAGTGCCTTCAAGGTAGTAGTAGACATTTCCTCAGGCTGTTATCGCAAAAGCAGAGGAGACTAGACAGCGATGTTGAGTATCAGCAGATGTTTTCCGCCAACCAGACCAAATGTAGCCGGAAAATAATTCAACTAATATGGACCCAGGCTGGGGCTCGTCCAAAAGCTACGAAGGTTAGTCTCGTCATCGAGTATATCTTGCTTAATAGTACTGATGGTATGATACTCCACAAGACGAAACGGGCGAGTTATCCTATTCAACTCCCGAGTAGACTGGCTGGCGATGAATACTGATTATAACTGAGCTAGACAATGAAAAGAGTGTATACAAGGGCAGGCTCATATATGCAAGACATGCTATTATGGGCTGATTACTGCGAGCAAAGGACTAGAGCTTGCAGAAAAAGAGGTCTGTTTGAGATTTGAGTCAACACGTTAGTTACTGACCAGTCACTTTGTTAGTTCCGTGCTGGCTCCAACGTGAGTCTGCCGTTCGAGCGGGCGGGTTGGTTGCTATAGTAGCATTGATTAAGCACAGGGAAAATCCATGCTTGGGCCTTTTCAGCCCACTTCTTATCGTCGCCTGCTATTCCTCGGATTATATAACTAACCTAACTCAATAACGAGGAACAAACGTCTTCCATCCAGTTAACTAGCGGTGACCTCCGATACCTGTCGATCCTCAGAGAGTGTCTGAGGAAGAAAGGGTTTCTTACTTTAATTGCAAGGATGTAAATATTATTATCTGACATAGTAGAAGTCCTGCCACCAATAACTGAATCAGCTTACCAGCTGCAGAGAATACCAGGATTATCTTCGTGATCCTAATTTCTACCTACTATGTAGTCATCAAAACGGTAGGTAGGTTTGCAACACCTCGAAACATGAGCTAGGCCACGATCGATGCGAAGAAACCCATGACTTATTATGTATGCAGCCTGCAGAAAGCCTGGATCCTTAATCCACAGATAACTGATCCCTAGCCGGTACCTGTGCGGAAATCTCCTTTCTCTAGCGGCCCTCCAGGCATCGTTGAGCTGGGACCTTTTGAGATGGATTTGTGCACAAGGATCGACGCTAGACCAGACACGGTGACAGAAGAGTTACGCTGGAAGAAACGTGCAGGATATTAGTAGAATAGCAGTAGATATATCCCTCGGCGACTGGGCGGAAATGCATTCGAAACCACTGACATGTTGTCAGGGCTTTTTATGCCCAAACCACTGGCATGGACATGGAAATCAGCAAAGCTCTCCAAGCTATAGGAGAGCGTATAATTGCTGTACTCAGCGGAGTCATGTTGGGGGGCCCTCGCAGCACTGCATAGAACATCCCCGAATGGTAAATCTGGATGCCATGTCGTAGCTCAAATGGCGACCTGCTGTAAGAGGGTGGGGATACGGATAGCTCACACATTTATGATGGGGCTTATGCCGGGCGCGGAGGTGCCTAGGTTGAAGCGTAAGCGTTAAGAGAAAGGGTGATGATATCTCCCCGGATGACCTGGACGGCAAGAGGCAGAGCCAGTTCATTTTCATGTGCATGGGTGGTGTTGTCGACTGTGCAACGGGGGGGTTGTCGATGGTATGTATGTGTGATCCCGCTAGGCCTGCGACTATGGATGCGAATAGGGGGTTGAATACCAATTCCCCCCCCCTCCCGCCTGTCTACTACACAGTAACGGACGGCGCGAGGTAATTATGGTGGCGGCTCAATGGCAGACCAAAACCGGTTTTCCCTGCGTCTGCTTTGCCGAATGCTTTAAGCACGTCGATAAGTCTGGGCCTGTGGCTGGCTTGGGTGACGGGAAAAATATGTATGTCGACGCTTCTGACTTGCTTGGTCGGCTCAGCCTTCATATCAGTTCCCTAGCGGGAGGGCCAACCGAGTGTTACAGGTCGCCTCTCACATATGTCATATCGGCTTCTGGTCAACACTGTCCAGCGTTCTAGCGTCCAGTGGTCTTATGGACAAGAGGAAGCTGTTCATCTTTATACTATGTATATCAGGAGGAGATGCCCACCCTCAGCAACTAAGCTTAAATTACACGTGACTAACCCTAACTCCGCGACTGCCCAAGCCAGAAAAAATAAAATATAAAAAAAGCTAAGGGCCCGTTCGACCATAGAAGTAAACAGGACGGAGTATGTGAGGTAGATAGATATAGGGGGGGGGGATATTAATATGGGATAATATAGTCTTGGGGCATGACATGCATGGAGGCAACTTACGGGGGGAACAGCGACGCAACCAGAGAAAACAGGAGGAGGGAAGCACAGATGGGCAGATGGGTTCCGTGGAGGGGAGCGGGTAGAGGCTGGCTGGCACATCGCGAACTGGGTCACTGCTCATGCATGTGTATCTGCCGTGGTCTGGTGGTTGCTAGTCCCCGTGGTGTGCCCTCCCAACGACGCTGCAAGGGAGTGTGCTACCCTCCCCTGTCCTAGGTGGTGCGTCGAGATTACTGCGTGTAAATAGGCATGTATCCAAGAGTAGGTTCGATGTACACGCTACCCGAGCGATCCATGATCCATGGGGCGAGTGAGTATATTAGGTGCTGCATGTATAGTTAGTGTATATCTGCCATGTATGGACGGAGTAATATAAAACAGATATATATATACTATGTACATACAGAGTATGGATTAGTATATGTCGAACTGTGGGATGTGCTGCAGGGGAGTGACGGCAGGCCACTCGCTGTGTATCTCCCTTATACACACGCGCGCACGACAAACAAGCCACAGCCTGAAGGAGGTAAAAGCCGTGGCAACTCTGGACTTCGTCTGGTTAGCTCTGATGGTCGACGTTGGTGTCCGTCCGTGTCACAAAAAGTAAATTCACTCACTGCCATCCTCTTCGTCCCTTTTTATTTTTCTGCTCCCTCCATCTCTTCCTCTTTTTTTTTTTTTTTTTTGCAGTTTAACCTGTACTGTGTCCCCCTTTTTTTGCACCATAATTGCTTTTTCACATCCCATCTCCGTACTTTTTTTTTCTCTTCCCTTTTTTCCACTTTCTCGCACTCTCGTTTCTTTTTTTCTCTTCTCGCTTTTTTCCCTGCGTTTTGCTTTTTGCTGCCTTCTCCATAGGTATTCCTTGTTTTTCTTTTTTTTCAGGGGGGGAATGGGGAATGGGATGGGGACGGGGGGGATCGGGCTAGTCGACTGAACGGTCGGTGTCGGCTGTCAAGTGGGCGGCTGGCCACTTGCAGTTCTGGTAAAGCTCGTATACCCGTATACCATCCTGCGTGGTCTGCCTGGACGCTGGACACTGGACTGACACACCGGACACATGCATACGCATACACATATAATAAATATAAAAATAAATATAATCATATATATGTACGGAGTATACGGGGTGTGTGTGGGTGGTGGCTTGTCACCAGGAGAGTTGGGCTGACTGACAGATCGACTGAAGGCAGGCACACTATATATGTAAGTGCCATGTAAGTGTGTCTTCTCGAAGGTGGACGGAAACCCAAAAAAAAAAGATGTTTGCTTACCGGACGAGCCAGGAAGAGGACGAGGGATCGCCGTAATCTCCCTTGCAAAAAAAAAAAAAACCACCGCCTCAGATCACAATCAGTGCAGCCGTCCAGGGTTGTGGAGCATTGTTATGTGCACTTAAGCTCATCACCAACCATAATCATTAACATGCCGTTCCTTGTATATGTATATTTATATACGTGTATACATAGTACATATTTGTAATGCCTGCGATATGATGCGATGGGAGAAACGTGTTCACTTCGGGGCACGGGAGCAGGGGCGGTGGAGCAAGGTGGAGAGCTGGAGAGAGCTGGAAGGAGTTGACAGAGAGAGACTTGTTCAGTCGAGCGAGGCCCTGCGAGCAAGGGCGGCGACCAGGGCAGCGCCCGATGCGATCGCGCCGTTGGTCTGTTGCTGTTACATATTAATGTTGTTTTCCTTTTTTTTTTCTTTTCTTTTTTGTTTGGAGGGACAGGGATAACTAATTCGCCGTGCATCGTCCTGTCCATGGTACATGTACATGCTTCCGTATGTACCTCCCCGTCGTGTACCTCATGTATACGTTACTCAGTACGCACTCCGTACACACTCCGTATATAAACTCGTACATAGTAGAGTGAAGGGGGAAAAAGTGACATAATCCGCACAGGGCGTGACATAAGCCGTATGCGCTGACATAAGCCAAACAAGAGAAGGTGCTTAACTAAGCAACGGTAGTTAGGGCTAGTTTGGTACGGGTGGATCCCCTTATCCTCTCAAAGAGGAGTGGGTCTACGGGCGGGTCCTTCTTGGCGGTGCTAGCGCGGTTCAAGCGTGCAGGAAGGTGGGGACGACTGGAGAGAGCACAAGGCCCACTTTTACACACTTTTCTTTTTTTTACCTTTTTTTTTATGCTTTTTCAGAGAAGAAAAAAAAAAAGCATATACTATGTATAAAGTATATAATAAAAGCGGGCCCCGGTGGGTGGGGCGCGGCATGACGAAGGCGGCCGAAGATGGAAAGGGCGAGCAGAGCCTGTTTCATGGTTTGACCACGCCCGATCTGGCAGTCCTGGGACATTAACTTATACGGCGACATCTGGACATTAGACATAGCAGCGCCGCAGTAGAGACACACACGGCGTAAGAGGTGGGACGGGAGAGGCCAGGAGCGGCAGTAGAGTGCAGGAGAGGGCGTAGACGGCTTTGCTGTACGGTTGTAATACATAAACATCGTCTGGAGAGAAGTCCGGGAGGTGACATGGTTAAGGTGAATGGGTGACTGACTAAGCGCCGCCCGAAGGAAACCCTTCCCACTAGCGCCAAATCCTCGTTCAAGCCCATCTCCCACCACTTCTTCTCCTTCTTCCAGCCTCTTCTCTTCTTCTCTTCGCTTCACTTCTTCTCTCTCTTCCTCTCCCTCTCTCGTCTGCCTCCCCCTTTACACTCTTCCCTATCCACTGCCTTCCTCTCGCGCACTACACAGCTACATTCACCATCACCATCACCACCACTCACTGCTCGCTGCTCACCGTCATCATCGCTACTCTCCACCGTGGCTGTCTTCCTGTCGACATCGCCGGCAGACACTCGTTAGCCGTTCAATTGCCTTGCTCTCTCGCCCAACTCCTATCATCTCGTCGTCTCGAGGAAAGATAGAAGAAAATCAAAGACTTACCAAAACAAAAAGAAAAGGTTCCTCGTGTTTTCATTTTTTTTTTTCTTTCTTTCTTTCTTTCCACCTCGAGAGGATAACAGTCAAATCTGTCACTGTCACGCCCTTGAGATAGAGAGACACGCGATGGCGTCTCACCCACAGCCATCGCCACCCATGCACCCCCATCCTCACCATCCGGCCATGGCCAACCACCCACAGGTCAACGGCCACCTGCCCATGCAGCAGCAGCAGGCCCAGGCACAGCAGCAGGCACAGCAACAGGCACAGCAGCAGGCCCAACAGCAGGCCCAGCAGCAGCAGCCGCCGCCAGGGCCGCAGCAGGGTCCTCAACCGCAGCCTGGCCCGCCTGGCCCGCCGCAGCAGGCTCCAGGACAGCCCCAGAAGGGCATGCCTCCTACCATCTCGCAGAAGATAGCACAGCTCAACGAGGGCGTCTGGCTCCAGATCGGTATGTCATCCAAGTACATGTAACAAGTAATATATAAAGAGAGACTAACGGTACTAGGAACGTTGTCTGAGCTGATGAACGACTGTGATGGTGCGATGTATGCCTTTGAGCAGGCCATTCGACACAACCAGTGGTCCATCCCCGCCATGAGTGCCATCTCTTGTCTCCTGCGTAGCCGGGAACAGTTCCAGAAGGCCATAGAGTATCTCCAGGCCATTCTCAAGCTCGACCCCCAGTCTGGCGAGTCCTGGGGCTCTTTGGGTAGGTCGTCTCTACATTTGTAAACAAGAAAAAAAAAAAAAAAAAAAAACAGAGCTAACTGAGCCGGCCAGGGCACTGCTATCTCATGCTCGACAACCTACAAGAAGCATACACGGCCTACCAGCAGGCCCTCTACCACCTGCGTGATCCCAAGGAGCCAAAGCTCTGGTACGGTATCGGAATTCTCTACGATCGATACGGATCGTTGGATCATGCCGAAGAGGCCTTTTCCCAGGTCATGCGCATGCAGCCGGACTTTGAGAAGGCAAACGAGATCTACTTCCGCCTCGGTATAATATACAAGCAGCAACAGAAGTTTGGGCAGAGTTTAGATGTAAGTTTCAGCAATTTGTCACCGAGCTTGTTCTCGACCACCGGCTAACCTTGGGGTTGACATAAAAGTGTTTTAAATATATTGTCAACGACCCGCCCCGGCCACTGACAGAGGAAGACATCTGGTTCCAGATCGGCCATGTCCATGAACAGCAGAAAGATGTAAGCTCCACCGTCATCACGATGTCGGGAACTGATACTGACAACTTCTACAGTTCGAAGCAGCCAAGGCGGCTTATAGACGGGTGCTCGAGCGTGAGCCTAACCATGCAAAGGTCCTGCAGCAGCTCGGCTGGCTCTACCACCAGCAGAACAACAACTACAGCAGCCAAGAACAAGCCATTGAATATCTCGAGAAGTCTGTTTCCGCAGGTATGTCCTCCCCCACTCTCCCTATACTTGTCACACGGCTTATATCTAACTGGTTATGTATATAGACAACAGCGATGCGCAGAGCTGGTACCTGTTGGGACGCTGCTACATGTCTCAGGCCAAATATCCCAAGGCCTATGAAGCCTACCAGCAGGCAGTATACAGAGACGGCCGCAACCCGACTTTCTGGTGCTCCATCGGAGTGCTGTATTACCAGATCAACCAGTACCGCGATGCGTTGGATGCATATTCGCGCGCCATCCGTCTGAACCCGTACATCTCAGAGGTGTGGTACGACCTAGGCACACTGGTAAGTCAGCTTCTTCATCTTTAATTCTCATCTTCCTTCTGCTATCTGTTGGTCTTTGTCGCAATATTAATTGGGATTATGTAGTACGAGTCATGCAACAACCAAACGAGCGATGCATTGGATGCGTACGGCCGCGCCGCTGACCTAGACCCAACCAACGCGCACATCAAAGCGAGACTGCAGCTGCTTCAAAGCGGACAGGCGGGTGGCGCCAATGCAGGCAACGCCCCAGCTCCCCAAGATGTGCATCCTCAAGCATATCAGCAGGCTGGTGTTGGTGCTCCGCCAGGCCCTCAATGGGGCGCTCCCGCTCCTGGGCCGGGTGGACTGCCACCCCAAGGTCCCGCTCCGCCAGGCCGTATCACTGAATGGGGCCGACCAAGTGGCGAGCCGCAGAATGCCAATGCTCATGGACCAGGAAGCCAGTTTGAGCAACGAGAAAACGTAAGAGGACCTCCTCCTCCAATGCAATCATCATCCCAAATTCAGGTTCGGGTTCAGGCCAGCCCACGCCAGGAGCAGTTCCACGAACCGCACCCGCCCTACCGGCCTCCCCCATCCATCTCCTCCCGCAAGGGCCAATCCTCCCCTTCTCCCAAATTCCCCTTGTCGAACACGCATACTTATACTGGAACCCAGGTTCTCCCACAGCTAGTTCCCCCCCAACAGCATGATGGACCCGGTGGCCCTCCTAACGGTCCCGGTCCAGCGCCTGGCCCTCCCTTCCAGCAGCCACGACAGGGTCTCGGACCTGGTCCTGGCCACGGTCCCGGCCCTAGCCAGGGACCAAACGGCGCTGCACCTTCACAGTACGGCCGGCCATTCACTCCACCCACTGAAATCCGCCCCATCCGCGAAGACCGTCCTGCCTCAGCCAACGGCAACAATGCCGCTGCCAACGCAAACAGCGGCGGCCCGGGCCCATCCTTCCCACCACCACACCAGCCGTACCACCTTGGCCCCGGTCCTGGCCCCGGCCAAGGCGTGCAGCAGAACGGTGGCATCGCTTCAGGAGCTCCTGCACCAGCCGCAGCCATCGCAGCAGCGGAGGCAGCAGCTCGCGAGCGAGATGAGAGGCCCGCGTCCAGCATGAAGCGAGTGAGAGAATGGGAGCCCGAGCCTGGCCCTGGTGCCGGCCCGGTCAAGAAGATTGCCAACGAAGAGTCACGCAGTCGTCTTGACGGCAGACATGATACCAGGATGGAGGACCAGCAAGGGCCTCTCACCACTCCCGGTCCTCTCAGGGGCCGTCCCGCCGCGCATCACCGACCGGGCCCGGTGCGAGCATGGGGGGCGGTCAACGTCGGTCCAGGACGCATGTCTTCGCCCCGGGATCTTCGACGCCGCAGTTCTTCCGAAGGCCGTCGTGATGATCGAGACCATGCCGACGAGCCCATGAACCATACCATCCCTCAGAGGCCGCCACCACCCGCCAACTCTCCCACCAATACAGCACATGGGAGCCAAGAGCGAACCCCAGACCCCTGGTCAGGCTCAGCCGGGCCCATCCGGCCCACAGTCTCTCCCACCGCTCTCTGCCGGCCTCCCAAAGGACGAACGTGACCGTGACCGCGAACGTGACCGGGAAAGGGAGCGTGAACAGCGCGAGCGGGAGAGAGAACGAGAGCGGGAGCGAGACAGAGACCGCGAGCGTGAGAGAGAGCGCGAGGCACGCGAACGAGAGCGTGACCGTGACCGAGAGCGGGAGAGAGAACGGGAACGAGAGAGGGACAGAGACCGGGAGCGGGAGCGGGAGCGTGAACAGCGTGAGCGTGAGAGAGAGCGTGAGCGAGACCGCAAGGAGCACGCCACTCTCCCTCCCGTCTCCGTGCCGGCCGTACAGTCCCAGGGCCCGCTCGAGCCGCCAGCCCGCAAGATGGACGTGGACGAAGACTACGACGACGAGGGCGACGACGACAAGAAGGCCGCCACGATGGGCAAGGGCGGCAGTCCAGGCAGCGTCAACGGCGGCGGCAGCAGCGTAGCTGGCCGTGAGCGGGAAAGAGAGAGAGACAGCCAGCGCGAGCCTCAGGCCTCCTCCCAGCGAGACAGGGACAGGGACCGGGAGCGAGAGAGGGAGAGAGAGGCCGGACAGACGAAGGGGGAGAGTTAGTCGTCTGTGTCCACCTATCAAACCCTAGGCTGGCTGGCTGAACTGACTGACTTGACGAAGGGGATGATGATGACATCTTTTTTGTTGCCCTCTTTCACCTTTCCTTCTCTCCTTCTTTTTCCTTTTTTTTTTTTTTTTAAATAAACTTGGTCTAATCTTTGCATCTTCTGTTTCCTCATGTTCTCAATCTTGCCTGTTTCTCTGTTTCGAGTTCTCTTCTCCTCCCTTGTTTGCTGTTTGGACCGTGGGCACTGGAGCTGGAGCACAAGGCTATCTCTCTCTCTACATCTTCCCATCTTCTTCCTCTTCTCTTTTGACCTATCAACCGTTCTTGTATTTATGTTGGCCTTTTTTCTCTTTATAAAACAAGCTTAAACTTCAGCCGCAAACCTCCATCTTAGTCAACTCTTAGTCAGCGTCTTATATAACCTTAGTTATCAAGCTTACTCATCCTTGTCATCCTGGTCTTGGCACGTCCTAAAGCGGCGATCTTGCTCTCTAATTCTTCGCTTTATTTCTCTGCCTTTTTCTCTCGTTTTCTTCTTTTCCTTCCAACTTCCATCGTCTTCGCCTTCGTCGCCCGTCGACCTGTCGACCGTCACGCTCTGCCGCCCAATCCACGCGAAGGAGGGCCAAAAAAATAACAGGGCCACCACATCTACGTCTGCCACGCAAAAAAAAAAGGCCCAAGACCAACAAGAGAGCAAAAGATGGACGCCAACCCCTTCCACTTCCGGGCGACCCTGCCCACGCCAAGGGGCTCGGCGCCTGGGCGAGCTTGGCCCCCCCCTTCGAGTGTTTTTAGCTAAAGCCAGGTAAAGGTTGGTTAAAGCTTTAACTGGTGCCCAGTTAAAGCCTAGTTAAAGCCAGTTAAAGCCAGTTAAAGCCCAGTTAAAGCCGGCTGGAGCTCAGCTGCACCCTCAGCCAAACGACCCCATCGCTGACGCCTAGCGTTTAGTTAAACACGCCGGAAGCTCCACGCCTACGACTCCACGCCTGGAGAATGGGCGCCCAGAGACCGCCTAGGCATGCCCAGCCCTTCCGCCAGCGCCGCGGGCCCAGCGAGGCCTCCCATTCGCCCGTCCGCCGCCGAGCGCCCAGCGACGCCTTTTTTTTTCTTCGCCAGCTCGTTGCGCTCGCCTTTAAATCTCATGCTTGGAGCCTCTTGGTCTTTTCTTGGTCGTGTCGGAGATTCTGGCGGGAAAAGAGAACGAGAAAGGGGAATGTGGAATGGATATATAACATGTCCGTTCCAGCCTCAACCCTTTCTACAGACACACATACACATATACGAAAGGCCAAAAAAAATAAAGGATACAACAGTTACTTGTTATCGCCGTGTGCGGATGCAGGGTCGACCTGTCGATGTCTCTCCGCGCCTATCGCTGAACCGAACCCGAACTAGCTGCTGCAGCATTGCTTCCTCCACCACGACGAAGAGAAGAAGATGATGAAGGAACAGAGCATGACTTATACGCCGTCTTATGCTAACGACGAACATCGCCGCATCGCCGCCGCTGCTCTGCGGCTCTCGCACCTGAACACGGCCAATGACGTCCGCGACGATGCTGCTACTTCTAGCCCAGACCGGCAACTCGGCGGGAGGGAGGCAGAGCCTGACAGTCCCATCGTGCTGCCCCAGGCTGCCTTTATCCTCTCGTCGGCCGCAGAGTCTGGCTCCGTTGATGCCGAAGGCGATGTCGACGTCGACACCGACCGAGATGCGGAGGATTGGCGGCGGATGAAGGTCAAGATGGGCAGCAGTCGAGGCTCCAAGGACAGCAGCCTGCGCCGCCACGACGTTACCTCGCACACTTGTCACAGCCATCACAGCTACCAGAGCCATCAGAGCAGACACAGCCAGGCCAACTGCCATGACCGGCATCGTGTCGACCCAGACCACGATATGGAGGAAGACGAGGGCGAGGACGACCCCATCGACGAGCCAGGCTGCTCGCATGAAAACGCCTTCTTCATACTTGTATGCATTCTCTTCTACCAAAAAGGAAAAAAAAAAAAAAAAAAAAAAAAGGGAAAACAAGTTCACCAGACTAATGGCTGTTCTAGCTCCGGATATCTTTCTATCTACCACCCTTTACGATCTTTGCTGCCCTCTACGCCTTTCTATCACTAATATTCCTTCTTCTCGCCATACCCTTACGCCTCTGCCCACCCTCGCAATTCTTCAAGCCGCCAACCTCCCTCACCGAACAGACATGTCGACTTCTCGTCCCCTTACTCAGGCTGAACCGTCGGATAGTAACCAGCACAAAACACAGCCGTCGCAGCCACCCCAAACGCACCGCCAGAAGGCACCATAGCACACATTCTACCACGTCGACCATAACCTCGCCCAGGCAGTCGTACACAAACTCCACGCCTGTCTCAGCGTCATTTTCAAGTTACACCATCCCCACCCAGCCTGTCACCGTCACCTCCAGGCCGTATTCAAACTACTCTGCGCCCATGCTGGTTGCCGTCCACCTGCTCTCCCCCCTCCTGCTGCCTCCCACCTTGCTCGCGGCCTGGATATGCGCCTGTTTCTGGATTTTCGTCATGATAATGGGCAATCCGGACGGCAAGGAGAAGACCGACGATGGCCGCGCTGCCGTCTTGGCGGTTAGGAATTGGTGGTGTCTCTGGCTCGCGAGCGCAAGGAGGAAGAGGAAGAGAAGCGGGACAGAGGCCGTATAGAACCCAAGGGAAACTCTTGCTTCTATCTATTCCTTTAATGCTTCTGCATATGTACTTTTTAATGATGAATGAGATAATACCATATATATTTTTTATTTTATTTTATATACCCTCCTCACCCCGATTCAGAGAGCAGTGAGTAGCTACTGGGTAGAAAAGAATCCTGGACGCATATGTATACGCACCATGTAATTCCCTGCGATATAAACATGGATATCAATCTTAAAATCACTTTCCAACCCTTCCTCTCCCCTTACCGCCACCGCTGCCACCCCTAGAATCCCTTCTACGCTTCTCGATCCTCCCACTCCCACCAGGACTGGCTCGCTGCTTACCCATACCCAACCCCCGTCGACCCGTCTTAGCCGCAAAGTCTTCTCTCTTCCCCTTGCCCGGAACCGCCTGTCCACGCGCCTGGTTGCCCTTCTCATCATCACCGGAATCAACATCCATCTCATCCTCGCCTCTCTTCCCCTGGCTGGCCTTCAGTCGTCCCTTTTGGCCTTTTCTCAACGCATCTGGGCCGCTCACCGCGGTGACGTAGGCGTTGACGCCTGACGCCTCGCCCTCTGCAGTAGTGGTATCCATCGCATCGCCACCCCCCCGACCGTGGTCGCCGAGAAGAAGCTTGCCGTCTTCGTCGACACGTGGGCGGTGTCTCTGTTTGTGTTTGGAGGCCAGGAAGCGTACGGATGGTTTAGTGCTGGAGATGTTTGCCAGGGCGTCCGGAGCAAGCAGGTCGAGCGGGTTGGATTCCGGCGACAGTTCACGGATATACTGCTCTCCGCTGTCATCTCCTCCTGCTGATGTGGTGCGTCGTTTGCCCTTGTGGGCGATGGATCGTTTGGTTGTGTTGCCTGCACTGTCGATTTCAATCTCGCTTGCGTCCGAGTCGTCGCCGGATGAAAAGTCCGAGTCAGAGCCGTAGACGGCCTTGTCGAATTCATTGGTGAACGATTTGGTTTGTCCCTGTGTCTGCTTACGGGGCTGCTGCGTCTCCTCCTCGTCTCCGTCGTCGTGCTTGGCTTCCTTCTTGCGCTTCTGGCGCTCTCTCTCCTTGCGAATCGACACCACCAGCTTACGGTCTGATTCCTCCACCAGCCCCTCGACAAAGGCTGCACCGAACTTGCGTATCAGTCGGTCCAGGATGCCCTTGACTTTACTTCTCAGTCGCCCCTTGTGCTCCTTACTCCACATCATCAGCTTGGGCACGGCGGAGGGAAGACGGGGCTTGAGAAGCTCGTCCGGCAGCGCTACCACCGCAACCTTGACGAAACCGAGCACAGAGCGGACTATCTCGCGGTTGTTACTGGTCAGGAACAGCTCGATTGTCTGCAGCAGGTCGGACTGCATGGATGCCGGCAGTTGGGAGTGGTACTCGAAAAGTAGACGTGACATGGCCGTTACACTGGCAGCGACCATGTGTGGAGAGCTACCAGCCAGGCCGGCAGACACCATTGTAAACAATTCCTCGACTGTGGCGGGTGCGTCTGGTGCGTCGTCCGGCATGTGTGCAACGAGAGAGTTGCGGATCTTTGTGCCAGGTGGGTTGCGCTCCGGGTCTACCATTCGCTGGGAGGTGTGAACAAGCAGGGCAAATGCAGCTGTCCTTGCCTTCTCGTTGCTCTCCTTGCATCCTAGTACGACCTCGGAGAGGATGCCAGGGATGAAATGTAGGTCTTGCGTAGGTAGATAAGTGACGATCTCGTGAATTGCTAAGAGACGGTCCCGGTGAGCCGGGCCAGGCGTCTTGTCCGCCGTCGAGAGGATGAGCGCCTGCAGTTCTGAGTTACGTTCGGATAGAGCTGTGCGCCCTGCCTCTGTGCCTGCGAGACGGGGGATAAGTTTGTACGCCTTCTTGATGAGCTGAGGGTCTGAGGATGACTTGTTGAGGACAACGGAGGCAAGCGAGAAGAGAGTCGCAAAGCTGCTGCGAGGGAGGTAGATGGACATGGTCACAATGAGGTCCATGAGCGTATGAGACGTCGGAGGCATTTTATCTTTACGGGCCATGCCGGGCTTAGTGCTGTTGTTGGCTTCTTCCTCGAGAGCGCTCTCCAACATGGATGTCACACGGGAAAAGGTGTCAATGAGTTCCTATACATTGTCAGATTATATAAAAAAGATATCAAGCAGGAAAAAAAAAAATCCTGTAGCATACCTGTTCGCCTGTAATGCTTAGATAGGTGTTGATGCATTGTAAGATGTAGCCCCTGAACTGCGGCAGCGTCTGGCTGTAGACGTTGAAGAGCACTGCGAGCATATTCCCAGCAAACCCGGCAAGGTGCTCTATATTCTTCCTTGCCTCTTCCTTGGTGACTCGTCGTTGCAAGATGAGGTCTTCGGTCTCAGACTCGACAGAGGTAATGGCTTGGTTCGACTCGACCAGGTTCTGCAGCGCCTTACATACGTCTACCCTTAGTTCTGCCTGTTTGTACAGCACATTCGACAGCAGCTCGGCGAATGGCTGGTCGAAGGCCTCTCTCATGTCCAGAGGCAGTTCGCAGAACCCAGGTAGACAGGCCCAAGTCTGCTGCACAAGAGTCTCAAATATCTTAACCTCAACCGTCTTTTCTGCTTCCCCGTAGTCCATCACCCGCTGATACAGCGCTTCACTCAACGGGACAAACTCGGAGCGGAAGTATGCCAGGCTGGTGTTTGCTACGTGGTCTCGTAGAATGGGAAGAAGCCAGACACGGCCGGGTTGACCGGACTTTTGCTTCACGATATTGAGTGGAAGAATATCGAGGACGGCCTTGGGGCCCATGACATTGATAGCAGCACCCAGGACCTTTTCGGCCTCCTTTTTACCCTGGAAATTCTCGTTGGCTCGCAAGTCGCCTACTATCCGCACCACCTCGTTCATGACAGGCGAGCTCTTCCACTGAAGCGCGTTGAACATGGCCTCGAGAACGTTGAATATTTCAGAACGTGCAACCTGGTACTTGACAGCAAGTAAGCCGGTGGCCGACCTAGCGAGCTTCTCGATGATTTTCTCATCGTACACTGATGCTTCCAGCAGGACAGATTCCGGGACACAGGCAACAAGGAGCGAGATCATCCCCTCCGAAGCTGAAGTGCGAATATTCCGTGATGGAGAGGTAAGGAAGCTGGCGAATAAGTCGAAGAGCTCTGGCAGCTTCTCAAACGTTTCTTGCGCAGATACCTGTGCAGAGACATCGTAGCCTCGAGATAGAACTGCAATCCAGGGTGGGAGCAGCTGCGAATCGTTGTGCGCAGGTTTAAGCTCTGAGATGGCGTCCAGGAGACGGGGCAGCTTCGAGGAAGAGAACTCGTCTGCCATTCCTGTAAATATCACTTCGAACACTTCAAATGTGCCCATAGTAAGATATTCGTTCGACGACCTGGCGACGTTCATGAGCAGCTCGCACAAGGGTTCGATCTTCCTGCTCGGCCAGCCTCCCGATGCTGCTGCGACGGCCTTGACGAGCTGCAAGGCATGCGACACCGCCGGTTCATGATGTTGCTGCTGTTGGTCATGCAACTGCTTCCCTTTCCTCCCCTGTGCCTTCAACGTAGCTGTGACGCTATCATTTAATGTCCTCAGAGCTGTTTCGGCGCATAGATCCGCCGCCGGATGGTCCAATGACGGGCTTGGAGGAGGCTGTTTAAGAATCTGTATCAACGCATCCTGTACTCTCTTCCGGACTTTTGGTCTATGGTCCACGGCCAACGCCAGCATTCCTGCAATCGCCCTACGAGGGCCTACCTCTGACGCCGGCAGTGCCCACGCTGCAGCATCCTGTGCTATCAGTAGGTTCTGCAGACATCCGACAGATGACTTGAGCAGCGGCGCCTCGACCTCTGCGAGCGTCAGGGCCGGCACCAGGCTGCCCAGTATCTGCGCAAACTTGGACCGCAGTAGCGGCGCGGGAACGAAAGCTGAGACGGTATCGAGCAGATACACGACTGAGGTCGCTAGCTCTTTATTCACGATTCCCTGGGAGGTGTTGATGGACTGCGGGAGGAGGGCAAGCAGAGCAGCAAAGTACGCCGTTGCAGTGAATTCAGCATTCTGGTCGCGCAGCGTGTCTTCGACAGCAGAAAGGACAACTCCAGTCTGTAGATATAGACGTTAGCAGTCTGTATCAATTGAATATTAATTGCTTTCTTGTTACTTACATGATGCTGGTTCTGAAGTTTGGGAGACTTGATCTTGTCCAGCTTCTCATGTAGCGACGTCATGATGAAGAGATGTCTCTTCCTCCCAGCTATATCAGCTTCCAAGGAGATGCTGTGCTGAAGCTGTCCCCAGCTTTCTTCTGGTTATGAAGCCGGAAGTTCTTCTTCCTCCTCTTTATGGTTTCTGGATAAATTTTGGGCGTAGCCTTTTTTTTTTTTTCTAGGTGGGTTTTTTTCTGTTATCGATAACTTAGCAAGTTGTGGGCCAGCAAAGCAGCTAACGAAGAAGCACAAGGAATACTTCTAATATTATATTTTGATGGACTTATAATGGTTTAGATATAATCGTTTATTGTCTGTTATTTGTGTAAGATATAATAAAAACAGACGCTCTTTGCACAGGACATGCATTTCACAATATTCTGCAGGGCCTGGCATCATCCAAGGACAAGATGGACTGGATAAACAGCCTGACAAACTAGTAGTTGTTCAGGCAGTAGCTAGTACAGCTGGTATTGATGTAAATTGTATCAATGTGCTGCAATCCACCATCCAGCTAGCTCCTTGGTCTTTAAACTACTCTATGCGGAGTACATCGGATTTCCACAGACCAGAGCATTCGAATCAAAATAATATCTCTCCACTATGCTCAGGTTCAAACCCGAGAGCCTGCAAGTGTGTGTTTCGTTTCTTATCTTTGCGCTTTCGCTGGTCCTCGGCCTTCTTTCTCAGCTCTAGGACTTCAGACGCAGGTGCCAGTTGGTATGGCTCTGGGATATCGTCGTCTTTATCCAGGTCCTGTAGTGAGACGCGATTAGTCGAAAGGAAAGTGAATCAGTAGTATGGGAACGCACAATCTCTCCAAGAAGTAATACGTTCTCTCCTCGGATCAGGTATACTCCTCGTGGAATGTCGGCGTATAGATTCTCAGCGTACAGTCGTTCAACCGTATCTTGTAGTACTATGTTGGCTATACATTCATCAGTACTTGTAATTCGGCAACTTAAAACAAAAAAAAAAAAAAAAAGAAATAGAATGCGTGTAGACATACCAAACTGGTCCCAACTTCGCAATACTCCAATTAACTTGCGGCCGTCGCGTAAAACCAAAACCAACTTCTCTGTGTTCCAGAAATGTTGAACATCAATTAGCCCATAGCTTCAAGCATACCCTAGCATAACGTTTCCTTTCTATTTATACGGCATTTTCGCAGTATATAAGAGTCCCTACAAATGCAAAGAGGCAGGGATCTTACTGTCCGTCAAGTCCAGTAGCTGTGCTGCAGTTGTGAAGAGTTGGGGAGGTAGCTGAGGAGGGCCTTGTGGCTCAAGGAGCGGTATAGCGGAAGCTGGTGGGATCTGTTGTTGCTGTGGCTGCTGCTGCTGCTGCTGCTGCTGCTGCTGCTGGCTAGGTGGGCTTGGTCCGTGATGTCGTCCAGCTTGTGCATGGCGCATAGAGTCCCCTGGCCTTGGATTGGCAGCGTCTAGAGGAGGGAAGTTGTCCATTGTTGTGATCTAACGTTGTTTGCAATGCCCTTCGAATTGCGGGCGGATATTCAGAGTTGTGGGGATATTCTCTTGTGTAAAATTCGATAAGGCTTCGGGATCATATGCAGCGGCCTATCCTGGGCATTGTGATTTGCAAGGAGCCAGCAAATATTTATCTCAGTCCGGAAGAGAGAGAGAAAAAGCGAAGAAGAGAAAAATAAACCGTTGAATTTGATCAAAAGAAGATCGAAAGAAGCATGTCCTAATCAGGCAACTTGCGCTCTTCGACCTGTTTGGCCTGTTTGCATGATTCTTCGGACTTATTTTTATTCCGTTGTCATGTGATGTCCCTGGGACGTCGGCATTTTTTGTATTTTCGAGCTACAAATATATCTAACGGATAAGTCTTGTATAACTAATATATAGAACTGTGTATATCATGGATAGAAGCTGCTCCTGGGATGTGCTGCCTGTTTTATGCTGTGACGTCTTTGATGGAGTTAGTGGTGTCTATAACGGGTTTACCTGAAATGCAGGAGTCTGGAGATAAAGGGACAGGAATCTCTTTGCAACCACGTTCGGTGATGAAGTGATAGCAAGGTGAAAGCTGGGGTTGCGCTTATTGGAAAACTAACGGTTATCAAGCTATTGGAGAGGGTTAAGTGCTGCTACGAAGTTGAGGCAGGTGTAAAGCTTCCTTAACCCGGTTGTACTTCTGGTATTGCCGAGAAATAATCTTAATTACTACATATTAGCAATGTTCATGGCTAGATATGGAGACAGTGATCCCAGAAGAGGTATGTAATTGCAGCTATCCATTCTGACCAGGTAAGCCTTGTACAAGATATTCCTGCAAGCCACCATGGCTGATCCTCGAGGATGTACATACTATGTAGTAGTTAACTACATATAAATAGTTCATTTTTAAGACATCTGGTTGAGCTAAAGTGAATCAAATTACAATGGATGGTCACCTCTTTTGCCACCAGATGAATGATCCTCTGGTGTCTGTCGATCTCGGTGGCTTGGTCAAACACTAGGGATGAGAGAATAAGCCTTTAGGCGACTGTCTCAGGTTTCGGATCCTCCACAAAAACACTTGACGTGCCAACGCACTCAGGTTGACGATACAATGCAGCTTTTCATTGAGTGATGCCTTAGAATGGCAAGTTCCAACCAATGGACAAGCAAGTGGCTGAATCCTTCTTCTTGCGCACCAGATATTGTTGTTCCTCTCAAGATTCTAGACGAGAGCAACGGGGGAGGTATATAAACAGGTCTCTCCACGCTACAATTCCTCATGTGTATCATCCATCACTCAAAACACGAACACATATCTCCTTTTTGAATAAATCTGCCTGCACGCTTCAGCAAGTATGAAGCTCTACTGGATCGTCAGCATGATGTTTGCCGCCACTGGGCTTGCCGCAAGCCTCGGCACTCGAGATAATGCCCTCTCGGCAGAGGTAATGAAGATGATTCATATCTCCCTTTAGACGGCGGTTCCCAGCTAACCGATATGTCCAGTGCCCCGTTGACCGTCCTTGCAACACCAACCGAGATTGCGCTGCCACTTACTGCCGCTGTGTCGTAGTAAGTATACAATCCAATAGCTGATAAATTAGTGGAGCCACTCAGCGCTAACGAGTAAATCATTAGGACAATGACGGCAACAACGGCCGCTGCCGCCCATGGCCAACCTAGATGATCCTTGCGGGTTCACTCCATAAATGGGAGACGGTTCATAATTGAAGATGCGCTTGTCCTGTCTCTGGGACTTTTGCAAGTGGCTCTAAGAGGGTGATAAATCGATCTTATATGTTCTTGTCATGATAGACATGATGTGTATAGATACAAATGAAATACATTTCTGGTACTTCGTCAATTTCGTATTATCAAATAACCTAGAGACACCCATTAAGGATAAACATGGCTTACCATCAGTAACGCTGACATCATAGACGCCGCAGTGGTATCGTTCAGTCTTTGCTATTTATTTGGTCATTGAAAGGTCGAATACGTGAAAATAAACTCAGAGGAGAGATATAATCACGTGATATCTACCTGACGACAACAACAAAAGAGGCGAACATTATTGAGACTAACGACACACACATACAACGACCAGATTTCGTTTCCTCTGGTCGCTTCTATAAGCTGGCAAGTCTGCTAAACTGTGCCTTTTACCATCTATATTCGACCCTAAGTCACCGTGGGGCCACCAGATACTATTTAGCCTGGCCTTGAAGAGCTGGAAGACAAGGACCCATGTTCAAATCTACAGGAGTACATAGCTATGCAAAGGAGGCTTAAGTATACCCGATAAATACTCCGCTCCTCTCTCATTGCTCAGAAATGGCGGTTCGCATGCCTATGCGTCAACGTTCCGTTCCTGTGACGGACCAAAATTGAACCTAACTTCGGGTAATTCTCGCATTACAGTCGGATTCAATATCTGCCCTGTCCGTGAATGTCAGACAGAAATCTTATTTCGGTCACACAAGGCTACAGGTGCCATGGCGGAAGGCTTCACATCTCATTCCAGGCTATTACTTCTCCCTTCGCCCTACCTAGAAGTCACTATATCAATCCAAGTATCTAAAACGAGTGGCTATTTCTCACTTATAGCGTCAAATATCTTGGATGGCTCTAGGAAACCAATAACCAGTGCCGGAACATTTCTTGCCTAAGCTGAAAGGGCTGATAGGTACTATTTTGTATCGGAACAGGACAGCCATTGAACTGGGTTTAATACTGGGGAATTCGCCGCACTGGTACCTATGGATACTTCCCGGATCTAACGGGTTGCCGCTATGACCTTTATGTAACCCGTTCGCCCGGAAAGTCCCTTGTTTTTGGACACAATAAATATACCTTGTGCGCCTTTATATTTTTTAATTTATTTCCTGGTGGGGAGTTAAAAAAAAAGGTGGAATCACGTCGGGGCCCATGTTACTATAGCCCAGGGATATGACTACTATTGTGACGAGACACAACGATGACACAGAACGCAGGAATACTTCGCTTAGGTTTCATCATACACCTGGGATTGGAATGTTTTGTAAAGGTGAGTATACAGGTCATATCCTATATCTTGGAAGCAGTTCAATTTCAGACCTAAGAACTAGGTTCTAATAAAAATCGAACTTTTTTAGTTGGACGAACATATACTAAATTGCAACCTTGAAAGCTAGCTCCATCATCGGTTGAAGTGAAATAAGGTAAAACTGAAAGTTTAACGGATATCATGAGCCATATGGCAACCAACATGAAGCCATTGAGATATAAAACAACATTCCAGAGGAGAGAGAAAAAGGTTGTTACTGATTGTGATAACCTAGCCTCGCCCGCCGTATCCCTCGACAAAGCATAGAGCACTGGCCCGACTGCCCCCAAATTCTATGACAACATCTTTATTGGGGGTAGGTTTACTTGCTGACGAGGCCATTGAGTCATTTCGTCCAGTCGCGGATCCGATGGGAATCTAGTCAATAGTTCGGCCACTAACCCAGCTCCTAGGCCCTTAGCCCACCAGGTGCGAGGTTCCATTAGGTGCATGAGAACTGCCCAATGCATAAAAAGAAGCAGAACTAAAGGATTCCCGCGCCGGGCTTCGCACACAGTATTCTTATCCAACATGCTCAACCATGAAAGTACCAGACTTTGGTCTTGCTTCTCACGGAATATTGAGAAAGCTAACTCTAGCTTTGATACTAGTCGCTTGATAACATTGTACTCCTCGACGTTGGCAGACGCCAGTGTCTCATCCGTAAAGGCCATTAATCTTCGAAAGGCCATATCGGTGTTTGGCTCATTATTGACCGGGATATCTTCGGATTCTATCCTGGTGCCTGACGAAAACCAACTTATTTCTAGCCATGAACTGCTAGCAGAGAAAATGCCCTTGATCCCCTGCAGTAGCTCAAAAATTGCTATTACATCTTCTAGAACAGTTCCGCTTTCCCTTCCACCCGGTGCTATCTGCGTTGAGGAGAAGGTGAAGACTGTGGTAATGACGGCAAATGCAAATACAGCTTCACAATTGAGAGGTGTGATATTGTTTAGGGCCTCGCGGAAAGGGGATGAGGCTAGAGTATGATATCGAAGGGCAGCATCAAAGTACGAAACCACCTCGGATGGATGCTTGACACTTGACGCTATATGCAGGGCTGCCAACCCCAATATGCCATCCATTAAAAAGTGGCTGGATAGCGCCAGACGGGGGATATGAACCTGCCATGTGTATCCATCTTCGGGGACACCACAAAGGCTTTTATACGAGTCGGTAGTGTATTTGTGGGCTAATTCGAATTCAAGAAGGCGTGCGGCTGGAGGGATAGGGGAGACAGGCGGAGCAGACGGGGGCCCTGGACTCGGCTCGGGCCGTCCATTAATGGTATTTGGAAGGGGAGCGTTCGGTGATAAAGATGATTGTATAGGAGAGGCGTCTGCAGATGTGGTTGACGCTTTGATTCTGCGAGCAACCGCCGACGAAAAGACGCAGTTTATCTCTCTGTTCTGACAGTTGGTGCAAGGAGGACCACGTTCATCGCACTAAGCAAGCACAGACAAATAAGCATAAGGCCAGACGGTTAGGCAGTGGACTGCGTATATGGATGGATATATATATGAATCTTCATATATTGCTAGGCAGTCAGCCCTAGCGATCAGATTGGATCAGCAAACAAGATAGAGATGCACGATGCCATTTCCACCGTTCACCCGACATCTTAAGAAGGCCGAATAATAAGATCGAAGGGAAGGGTGTTTACTTTTTGAGGAGATAGGCGGCGCAAGGGCAAAACGAACGAAGGCTCTTCGTGTGCTGGTCGGACAACAACCCTACCTTAACTCGTCTTTGCTTGCACTGGTCGCATCCATTCCGCGACTTCTTGTGCGATCTCCGGGGCGCCATGTTTTAACCACCAGTCCCGCTGCATTAATAACAGCCATAACCTGCCGGCATGTCCCAGAATGACAGGTCGCTCAGTCGTTAGCTGGCCTGTCTGCGCTCACCGTAGCGTGGTTGGGATAGGGCCGCTCGGGGGCGCTAACCAATGATGCTGGCGGAAGGCCCGGATAATCCACCATCCAGCTCTGAAGAATGCAAGATGCGTCCATCCATTCAACAAGACGCTGCGGTTCTCATTTCCATCCAAGGATTTACCTGACTGGCTGACTACGCTTCATACTTGTCTGATAATAGATTTTTTTTATCTAATATCTTGTACATATGTGTACAGGAGACATGGTGGACCCATGGAGCCCATCCAGGGTTTGGATGAGCAAGAGAAAACGAAAGCGAGAACGAGCGCAGGGAAGCGAGAACGAATGGCTATCAAATTCCATCCGCCCAGCACTATTATTGATACCAACGTTATGCATTATTAACTGCTGCTTCATACTTATCGCAGGCGATATCCAGCACTCTTTTTCTTCAGTTCAACTATTACCTCCTACATCATATGATGGACGAAGGCTCGATCTGATACCCTTCCCCATTAAATACGCTCTCTACAAAGAAAGGAACAGAATCTTATATCCAAAATGGCACCTAGTTTTGCAACCTGCACAGAAGTTGGGCCGGCGTGCCCTGTTGAGGCCACGACCTACGGATACTATCCTCAGCTCGGGCCAAATGCCTTCCTGACTGCCTTCTTCGCACTTCTCGCTCTCATTCAGCTTGGCCTTGGAGTCTTCACACGCACCTGGTCATTCCTAATTGCTGTCTTCATGGCCTGCGCTCTTGAATCGGTCGGTTATGGTGGCCGTTTGCTCATGAACAAGAACCCTTGGTCAAAAGATGCATTCCAGATTCAGATTGTATGCCTCATCCTAGCTCCAACTTTCCTGGCTGCTGGCGTCTACCTGACGATTAAGCATATCATCCTCTTCGTTGGACCGGAGCACTCACGTATCAAGCCAAAGCTGTATACCTGGGTCTTCATATTGTGTGACATAGGCTCTCTTATCTTGCAGTCAGCCGGCGGTGGTGTTGCTGCTGCTGCCACGAAGAGCAACTTCAAACTATTGAATGTTGGCAATGGCATTATCATCGCTGGTATTGCCTTTCAAGTGGCTACTATGTCAGTTTGCGGGCTGCTTGCCCTAGAATTCTTTATCCGGGCTTACCGGAGCGGACAAGGCTTTTCCAAGAGCTCATCTCATGGAGCTGCAGCGCATCGATCTTTCTGGATCTTCTGTGCTGCCGACGCCTTTGCCTATGTTGCCATTTTAATCCGATGCATATACCGGTAAGTACCCAGTATACCCCGGGCAATACGTTCATGTACTAGATGGCTATATAGATTGCCTGAGATGGCTGGTGGTTGGGGAAATCCCCTTATGCGAAATGAGAAGGACTTTTTGCTCCTCGATGGAATGTAAGACTGCCGTGTCCCCAAACCCCACTTTTTTCTCTTGCTAAAACCTCTCCTAGGATGATTGCTTTAGCATCCGCTACCTTTACTGTCTTTCATCCTGGATTCTGGTTCCCTCCCATGCGGAAAGGTGGGTTGTCAAAAGACGCCCAATTCGTACCTCCAAGCGAGGGAACCAGTGTAAATGATTCCACGGAGAAGTGAACCAACCAATATTCCAAAAACAAAAATCCCACTCAATTTCTTTCTCTTGATACTCCAGGACTGGTGTTTGTTACTTTATGGACAAATTTTCCTTTTTCCCGCATACATAGTATATGTGTTGACAATAATGTGCCGTTTTAGCGAAGCGTTCATTGCTACCTGTTTTATATCCTCGCTTCCACCCCCTGTAAATAGATGATTCATTATTAGATTCAAATTAGATTCGCTTATTATGTGAAGCCAGAGTCTCCAAACCATAGTTCTCTTCATAGATTTGTTGAAGCCAGAGAGTTTCGGGGGCTGAGGTATGTCGTCATAACCCCTTTCCTTCCAATCATCTCCCTACAACAAGTTGATGGCAACTTGGATATCTTGCCTCTTCAAGAAGAGAGATTCTCCCCTCTATGTGCTTAGAAATGTGATTCTATATCGTCGATGCGATCTGGTTAAGATGGATATCTAACATTTCTATAGGAATATATATTGACCGGACACAATATATACAACGCCTCTATCTCGACGGTAAAAGGACTACTGTCAATATGGCACCCCCAAAGCAAATATTCAAATGTATTGGTATCGTTGGAGCGGGAAATATGGGAACTACGATGGCATATGGCTTCGCTGAAAGGGGGATCAAAGTATCACTCTGGGATGTTAAAGCTGAGAATGTGGACAATGTGATGAACAAAGTTGAGGGAGAAAAGGGAGTCCAAGAAAACATCCAACCCTTTTACGACATTCATGAATTTGTCAAAAGCGTTGACGTGGCCATTGACCAGGACGGACGCGGTCGTCGACCTTTCATCTTCTCCGTTACCCACGGCTGGCCGGCGGATTCTGTGTTGGCCCTGATGATGGACTATCTAGAAGACGGAGATATCATACTTGATGGAGGCAACGAGAATTACCGAAACACCGAACGGAGGCAAGAGGAAATGGAGAAACAAGGAGTTAGCTGGATTGGAATGGGTGTGTCAGGGGGGAACCATTCGACAAGACATGGGCCTAGTCTAGCCCTTGGGGGAGACTCTGATGCTATTCGGGCTGTGATACCCCTGATGAAGGAATTTGCGGCCCAAGATGCCCGAACAGGTGAGCCGTGTGTAGCCAATGTTGGAACCAGAGGTGCAGGCCACTACGTCAAAATGGTCCATAACGCGATTGAGAATGGGATGCTGTCCACCATCTGTGAAGCATGGGCACTATTGCACTATGGCCTAGGCAAATCGTACGACGAAATCGGTGATATTTTCGAGAATTGGAATTCAGAAGGACCTCTACGGAATACGTTTCTCTTGCAAATAGGAGCCAATATCTGTCGAGAAAAGAAGGAGCAGGAAAGGCCTGAGAAGGATGATGGCAAACAAAGGCCAGCTGATAAGACTTATATGCTCGACGAGGTGCCTGATGCTGTAGGACATGACGACGATGATACCGCTGGTACACTATACTGGTCGGTAATGGAGGCCGCAGACCGGCACGTCTCTGCTCCAAGCATCGCAGCCGGCCAGTTCCTCAGAGTCTCCAGTGGGAATAGGAGACAACGGCTCAAAGTCGCTCAGAAACTGGATATTGCTCCTCCAAAGAAACTCACGCACATTCACGATGTCCCGACCTTCGTCGAACAGCTTCGAGATGCAACTTACATCTCCATTCTGGCTTCATTCTGCCAGGGACTAGAACTGACAGCTCGCGGGTCCAAAGATGAGAAATGGAATACAAATCTGGGAGACTGCTTGAAGATCTGGCGAGCTGGTTCTATCATCCAGGCAGAGTATATATCAGACTTGTTGATGCCAGCCCTGACCTCAGGCGCTCATATTATGAATATGAAACTGGTCGATGAAGTTGCCGCAGCTATAAACAAGAACTTCGATTCCCTGAAGCAGGTCGTCTTGAAGGGTACAGAGTCTGATGCGTATATCCCCTCATTGTCAGCGAGCTTGGAGTATCTAAAGTATGAAGGAGCAAGAATGCTGCCGACTCAGTTTATGGAAGCCGAACTGGCCTTCTTCAACGCTCATCGTTATGACTGGCCCGGTGTCAGGGGGTAGGCATGAGATTTGTCCGCCATGCGAAGACTTTGAATGTTGTCTGCCTTCGCCTTTTCTTATTCTACTCAGTTGAGCTCGAGTCTTATGTGCTTCTCGATGTCTTTCTCGGGTTTGGATAATTTATGTCCATCACGTGTTTATTATTTATTTACATGAAAGTGTTTTGAACAAAAACATTGCTATTATCAAATTTATGAAGGGAAATTGAATCAAATGATAATATTCTCAATAATAAAACAAGAGTTCAATGCGCAAAAAAGGGTATGCAAATGCAGGCTATGAAAAATATGAATATGAGAACAGAGAGAAAGAGATGGGCCGGTTGGCTACGGGTTAATCTTTGACCTTGGGCAAGCATTCGAAAGACGGGGTCGCCTCTGTCTACGTTCCCTTCGAGAGCTGGTCTGAATAAAGTATGGCTCTGCAGCCGAGCCATTCTGTGGAAGATGCGGTGGCGTCTCTCTCGTGAGCTGCAGCAGTTTGAACTGCTCCGTCGATATGATACCCATGCAATACATATGGCGCATCAGATCGAAGTCAGGACACGGTTCTACCTGGCAGCAAGCTCCCCATCGCGGGTGTTCATCAAGGACATGATCCAGCATGTTCTGCCAGGCCTCTCCTCCCACAGGCTGATGATGATGCTGATGCTGCAGTTGTTGTGGTTGATGCTGTGGATTTGAAAAGGCCTGCTTGCAAACTATGCAGCTGACTTTACTCGGTGGAGGATGCGACATGAGGTGGCTGGTGACGTGAAGTTTCCAGTCTTCGGGGTCTTCAAACGATTTATCGCATTCGAATATTCCTGCGAATATGCATTTCAGAGCGAACGGATCCACCTTCTCATCATGGTCAGGGAAAGGAGCAGGTAAGGCAACGACGGGGCCGCCATCGTTTTGGTGAAGGATTTTGGGCCTGGAGATATAGATATGCGGGCCCTTTTCTGGTGAGTCGATGCTCGAGCTCGAGGGCATCGACTGCGAGGGACATATAGAGACAATCATTATGAAAGTCGGTGTACTTCTCCGCTCGTTTTCAAAGGCCGACAGGCAGTAGATAGGCTGCTATTCGATCCTTGAGAAGATGAAAAGGACTATACACTTCATCGATAATTCAGGCCAGTGGACGAAATCGACCATACGACTAGGACATGTAGAGGAGCAGCGATATCGAGGTCTTATCTGTTTGTCTCTTACAGACCTCCTGGAGCGCAAGAAAGTGCCTAACGGATCGTTGAACCTTCGGCGTTCAAGTCTATATGTTCTTAGCAATTATTTCGTACAAGCCGCGAGAACTGAGAGTCAGATATAAATATTGCTCCTCGATTCTCTTCGAACCCCTCCTCAGAATTGGGCGTCCTTTTTCTCTCTCTTTTCTCGACAAGGATCAAGTCACGCTGGGTAGGGCATAAGGAATGGAAATTTTACTTACATTCCATCGTTTGGGCACAAATAAGTAAATCTTCGGCCTTGCAGGTGGAACTAACTGCATAATACATAGTATGAACCAAAGACCAAATAATAAAGAAAAAATAATTCAAAGCAAGCATTCCAGGCCAATTGGGTTATTTTTTTCTTCATGTGGCTTGCGGCAAGTCAGAGCTAGCCACGTCGATGTCCCACTTACATCTGCATGAGAACTGTGGAGATTAAAAGGCGGTTTCCCGGAATCATCATCCAACCGTTTTTTTTTTAAAAAAAAATCGTACATAAAAGGCCTGGCACTGCGGTTAAATGCCGATTATGCCTGTGCAAATGCCTGGCCACGCTAGTGGGAGGCAAGCAATTCGATGTTATGCTGTTAAGTTGGAGACATAAGTAGCTTAAGCTTTGAGCAACCAGCTGTTCGCGATGGACTGGCTTGGTCGAATTATCTTCATCTACAGGGTGAGCGTGTTACCTCTTAACAGCCCTAGAGCCAAGCATACGACTCATTCCAGTGACTTGCTGCCTGCATCTGCAGTATGGCCTTATGCCCAAGCGGAAATTGGGAAATCGTTAGGCTCGTGTACAATCCGTTAATCTCAGCTTACTGGCACAGAATAAGGCCGCTGATGAATTTGCATAATGATAAGGTTAGTCTGATAGCCGTTCGATTTCACATGGAATGTAGCTCACCAGCTAGTTATTGTATAAAGTGACCGCATAGCGCTAAGTGTAAATATCTGAATGGAAATACAGTGGTTTGGCAGTATAATGAATGGGAACAGATACCTGGAATTCTAAAGGAGCCCAACGGCTAGGTTTCAATGATGGATCCAATTGTTATTTGTCGTCAAAAATGGGCAATTATTGGTTAGAACTGGTTGAAAGCTGACCATTACGATGGGATAGAAAGCATTCGAAGCTCCCATCTTACACCAGTTACTTGAACAATGAACCAAAGAGACACAAATGCTACATTCCAAATAGGACCATTAGCTATACTGTAATAATCAAGAGTCAACTCGTTTAAATATGGAGCTAAATTGTTGGAGGAGTTTCCAAATGCCATGACAGTGAAATTAGGTTTAACCACCACAGGTGGGCCTTGGATGACATCCCCAGACCTACCTTAGATTACTTGATGGTTGGTTTTACGCATATTCGGTAACGAGCTTCGTGTATTTAGTATCGAGATTGATCGGACCATCTCCAACCTTGTGGATGGCATTAATAGATTTACCTTGGATACTAGCAGGCTCGCGGGCTTCAGAAATAACCGTACCGATGTCCCTACGCGCTTAGTGGGTATGTCGTTTGAATGTAGAATTGAAAGGACATTTGAATTAACATAGCTGTATCCCATAATGATATACACAACAGGAGCCTTAACATGCATCTGCGTCTTCAAGGCACCGCCATTTCTCCTGACTAGTAGTATCCCTTGGTCTCAAGCAGTCTCTGTAGCATGCGGGTACTTTTTGCGCCATTTTTCTCTCGTTAAACACTCGCTATTCGTTTGTAGGAAATTGGTGATTTTGTGATTAAGTTCTGGACATAGTTGTGGTCAGAGAATTGTTACAAGTAACTGGAAATTACCTTATCACACTTACCTTCTACAGTCATTTCCTCCCTTGGCTGCAAAGAGTAGTGGTCTGTGTACTCGTGGACAAGAATAAGATCGCTCGGAAGTGGAGTACCTATTTGAGGTCAGCTTGCATTTTAAACATGACCTATGCAACTGACCTGGGGGAACGGAGTAGATGCAAACAGAGGCGCCTTTGAAGGTTCTGGCAAGGTTCTGCATAATAGGAGTATTTGGGCGCATCGAGGCTCCATTTGGACCTAAACGACGTTAGAAGAAGATATCCGCCTGGCCTCCCATAGTTATAAATACTGATATAGTTCTGCGGATCAAGAGCTTTGGGCAGAACTTTCCCCTCTGTAGTTAAGATGTCGAAACTCCTCTTCTCTGGTTTTATGGGGCCTGGGAACCAACGTAAGCGAATAGATCTCCCATTGTTCAAACGAAACATCTCCTTGGGAAAGACGGTGAAGGCACGAATAAATCCGGACATGATTATTAAAGTCAGTTAGAAGGGGAGCATATGGTCGGTCATCGAGTGGGATCAAACCAGCTGTTTCAAAAATGAGTCGTAGTTTAGTACTGAAGCATGTCGAATGTCCTTAGAGGGAAGGTGCATTCGAGGCTAATCAACCTATCTCAGTAACTGCTAATCCAATTTTATCTGTGATGCTTATATGAATAAATACCTATAGTTTTAAAGCAGCCCAATTCAATGATGGATCCAATCGTCCTTGGTGTCGTCGAAGGCTTTGCAATACTGATGCTCCTCTAACCACTTGTCTGCAGGAGTTGTTGTTCCACATTTCAAATAGAACTCGGTTAGGATGTTGTTCAAGTCTGATTTATCTACTGTGAGTGACCGCATTCAACGATTTCATTAGAGGGACAGCCTTACCGTTTAATGGCATGGGAGATGAAGGCAAGAGAGAAAACCGACTGCGGATATTCCGCTCGCGAAGGAGGACAAGTGTGTTTGGTATAGAAGTTCCTATTATCATAATTAGCTTAAATAGTTCATACTATCTGAGTTGATGGCGCAGTCTTACCTTTCGGGATGCACAGATAATGAGGATATGCAAGCGGTTGTCTATCTGCCAAGTTTTCGAGGTAATAATCGACGGACATCCGAGTCAGTTCTTGCATGAAGAAGGTATTTGGCATAAAAATGGCGCCGTTTGACACTATCCACGATGTAAGTAAAGTGTAAAAATATGAGGGAAAAGTAGCCCTACGTGAGTCGGAAACCTCAGGGTATACGAGCCCATCTTCCGAGACACTGACTGCGTCTTCAACTTCATCGTGCTCTTGCTGTAGTTTTTGGTCGTATAACCGGGACTCACGGTTAAGCTGGAATCGATACAAAGTTGCAGGAAAGCTGGAATGGATTGAGATAAGAGAAAAGCTACGCCGGGTATTGAGAATGCCATTTCCACTGGCTAGCGGGCGCCGAAAAATGTTCTTAAACATCGTAAGCTGTATCGATCGATGATAGTAGTTGACTATGTTCTCCTCACGCGTTAAAAAGAGCTTATCTGCTTCACTAGCAACAGAAGACAAGATGAGAAGGAGATGAGATGTGAGAGAAACAGACAGGTCCTGTAGACCTTAATATATGTGTTGGATTATGTCATCCACTCTGCTTCAACTCACACACTAATGGTTCCCATTGGACATCACACTAATCCGAAAGACTACATAGTATTAATATTAGTGAAGAAAAAAATACGCCGTTCAACCAATTATTTCGTGTATCCGTAAACACGCGAGTGTGTGTAACTAAACTTTAAATTAATAATCAGAGCGTCAAAATTTCGCTTAACCACTAGTTATATGATGATTACTGGCGCTTGATAGCCAAGATAAAAAGAGAACTTCAATAACAAGTTGAAGACGATTTTTATTTTTATTTTATTTCTTTCTTTTTACTTATTAACCAGTTTACGAAGAAGCCCCGAATAGAAATAATGTCAAGGTTTATCAAGTCCTACAATGTAATACCAAAGGAGTTGTTCCGCATAAACAATGGCCTTGTTGTCCGCCTGCGTGCCCACCCCGGCCCTCGAAGGCCGTATGGCCTCTTCGACCTTTTGACTTACAGGGGAATGGTCAAGCCAAAGGCACTCGACCCGGCCACTTATGAGCGTGAGTATGCCTCACCGCTGTAGTATGTATAGGTATATGTGTAACGACGAACTAATACATGTCTATAATACTGAATTTAGCACCCAATGGAGCCTCGATGCGGCCCAATACCCCCAAGATGCAGCGAGTTGTCGGGACTCTTAGAGGAAGCTCAACCTACATATATACGGTCCCTGCAGGTCAGTGATGTTTGTTAGGACCACAGGTATCCAATTGATCTCTGACGGGAAGTAGGCATCCGTATACCAGAGGACCTTATACTCGTTCATGAATTCAAGGACCATTATTCCCTACAGGCTAGAGAGGAGATGACGGTAGATGGTGAGCTAGAATAACATCTTATGGCCATTGTGCTCGAACGCTAACTGTTCTAGACCTCAATTCCAAAATTACTCGTTTTCTAGAGGGCAGTGGCAGGTTCCTTACGAAGGAAGAATGGCTGTCGGAGTACCCGGAAGCGACTGAGACCGAGTGAGGGAGCTTCCTAGTAACTAACGAAAGGTCATGGGGTTCCTGCTCTGAGATTGGCAGGATTTATGTATATTAATTATTAAATCTATGTACAAGTAACTTATTTAGTCTCCTACCTGTTTGATATCACCAGTTAGGAGTTTTAGGCCCAGCCAAGAGATGTCCGCAGCAGCTTATCGATTTAATATGTGTGCTCAGCCCCGCCCGTGTATCTACATATCCCCACGGTGGATAACGCTCTCGGCTATTTGTGTGTGTGTGCTGTGAACTGGTGGTTCAGGGGTAAAAAATCCAAAGTTGTTGCTCCACCCGGTATATCTTTGACAGACTCGGGAGATAAACCTGGAAGCTGCTCAGACTGCCATTTGATAATTCTCCGGCCTCAGTTGAGAGATGAATAGTTATGGAGTGCGGGTTTGATAGAGTAGGTGAAAAGGTGCCTGGGCGGAAAGTAGCTTTTTTCGCGTATATTAGACTGTAATATATGGCCTTGGAGATATCACAGCCATCCATGTTAATATGAAGTTACAACTTTGCTGAATAGCGTACTTAGTAGATAAGTCCTTGATGTTGATGTCAAGTCGATGTCTTGAAGAGTGTCGGTATCTGGAACAATAGTTGTAGTTAACGCCTCCTTAACTTCACGCTGTCTCCATGACCATAACAACGACAACATCATCCGGATACATCAACGGAGCGCACTCTAGATATGGATAGACTATAAATCTACTGTCTAGATGAAATTCTTGGCCTTACGTGGCGTCTATTTAAAAATAGGCTGAAATATTTACAGGTTTTTCTCCCCTGCGCAGAAAAAAAAAAGCAAACATGGGAGCATTTTCCACGAGATCGATCCCAGAAGACAAGAAGGACATCCCGTCCTTCTGCCGATTGACTTCCCAGCCGTGATCTATAGAGTCGACACCAAACCAGACCTGGAGTCTCCTCCGGCCGGCGTCTTCCTCCGCTTGGCAGAGAGTGGCTTGTTTATGCTAGTGCCGGAGAGATGAACAAGGGGCCACTTTCTCCCCGAGGACCATGAACAAGCTACACACCACAGGATCAGCCCTCTCTCTCTTGACGTAAGGGAGCATGAGATGAAAGCGGAAGAGAAAGCAGAAGAAGGCTATCAGCGTTGGTGGTGGTGGTACCGTGTGAGGAGTACGGTGTTGCAAGCATGCAGCTAGCCGACTATCACAAAACGCCCATCATCCACATATCACGGCCATCAGCTTTTCAAGACGGACACGGGAGGCGAAAGTTCCCCTGGTGGAGAGCCTGTTCCTCTCTCTTAGCTATGTATAGCCTGTGGAGAAGTCCCGGGCAAACACATGGAGATGACCGGCCTAGGATGAGATGTATAAATACGCATGGATGAGCCCATCTTGCTGGTCGATATCAGCTAGAAAAAGCAGAGGATATCAAGAATAGACTGACATGACCCGTCTCGCTGGCCTTGTCGCCCTTTTCGCGGCGGTGGCTGCTGTCAGCGCTGCTCCCGGTGCATCCCTGGGTAGAAGACAAAATACTACTACAACTCCTGATTCTAATATCACCGTCGACTCTAAGCCTCAATGTCGATGTTTCCCAGGAGAACCCTGTTGGCCGAAAGATAAGCATTGGGATGCCTTCAACAGCACCATCGGCGGAAAGCTGGTAGCCACAATTCCCATCGGGAGTCCATGCCATGATAGCTCATTTGGTCCCGCCGACCCATCTGCCTGCGCCATTCTTAAGAGCAAATGGGCCGATCCAGCAACTCACATCTCCAGCTCTTCTTCTCTAATGTCGCCCTTCTTTGCCAACGCGAGTTGCGATCCGTTTCTCTCCACGAACGCTCAGTGCGTTGTCGGGACGTATGTCCAGTACGCCGTCGCTGCTACAAACACGGATGATTTCAAGAAGACCATCGCATTCGCCAAAGATCGAAATCTCCGTCTCGTTGTCCGTAACACTGGTCATGATTTCTATGGAAAGTCTACCGGTGCCGGCGCGCTGGCTATCTGGACCCAGGGGATCAAGGACATCACCCTGATGAACTACCAGTCTGACGCCTATACTGGTACTGCTATGAAAATAGGCGCTGGTGTCCTCGGCCAGGAGGCCTACGAGGTTGCCCACCAGAATAATGTCGTTGTCGTTGGAGGAGCCTGTCCATCTGTTGGCATTGCTGGTGGCTACACTCAGGGTGGCGGCCACAGTCTTCTCACCACCAAGTACGGAATGGCGGCCGACCATGTCCTCGAGTGGGAGGTTGTTACTGGCAATGGGGATCTTGTGGTTGCATCTCCGTCCCAGAATCAGGATCTCTACTGGGCCCTGTCCGGCGGTGGTGGAGGAACCTATGGCGTTGTCCGATCTATGACCGTCAAGACGTTCCCTGAATTAAAGACTGCCGCAGCTACTCTCTTCTACCAAAGCGCAGGCATCAATCCTGATCTATACTTTGAACTTTTCAAGACCCTCCTCACATGCATGCCCGCTATTGTGAAAGCAGGTGGATCGACCATCTGGATCCTCACGCCGCTTGGCTTATTGATTGCCCCTGTGATCATCCCCGGCTCGTCCAAAGATAATATCGATACCATTCTCCAGCCATTCCTCCAGAAGTTGAAGGACAATGCTATTCCATTCCGTATGTTCATTACAATATCGAGTTTATCCTTCATTCAACCTTTCCTAACCCAACCACTGCTTAGAATACTCCAATGTCGACTATGAATCCTACCATGACGCTTTCCTGGCAACAACTCCATTCAAGACCCTGACCGAAAACCACACTGGCGGCCGACTCATTCCCAAGTCTCTCGTTTCAACAGACGATGGACTGAACCAATTCGTTGCGGCCATGCGCGCAATTGTCGAAAAGGGATCCTTCATCTCCGGGCTCAACCTAGATGCTTCCAAGAAGATAAATTTCGCAGACAACTCTGTCAACCCTGCATGGCGTGATGCTGCCATGACTATCATCCTCCTGACGTAAGGCAGGCCATTCTTACCCTTTCCCATGATCAAGCCTCTGACGCTGTTATAGTTCATTCTCTCATGCCGACTGGAATGTTGCACAAGCCAACCAACGGGCAATGACCGAACAGATTGTCCCTATCATCAAAAAGATTACTCCGGGAGGTAGCTGTTACCTTAATGAAGGTGACGTTAACGAGCCAGACTGGCAGCAGACCTTCTATGGAGCTTCATATGAGAAGCTCTTGGGCATCAAGCAGAAATACGACTCCTCCAGTCTTCTCTGGGGCCGTACAGCCGTCGGTAGTGAGGCGTGGACTGAAACTGATGATAAACATCTTTGCAAAGCGTAAGATAGAGATGGGATGGGTGTATACGTGTAGGCGGCACTAATGTTTGCGCGACCAGTTATTTAGAATCGCACTATACATAGTATAGTTTGGCTCGAGTATTTAATAGATAATGGCTAATGCTTTTATGATATACCCTCTTCAATGTTGCTATCGTCTCTCTAAAGTGCGCGGAACTGAAAATAATTGCTATTCAGAGATTCAGTCATACAAAACATCGTAATTAATCCAAATGTCAACAACCCAAATGTCACCACACTATATACCATCATCAATTTCTCGTTTGTAAAATTTCAAGAGCAATCTCCGCCGCCTTCGTCTCAGCATGAATTCGGCTTACTCCATCGTTAATTTGACAAATCTCCTGGTCTCCCACAAGAATCTGGCAGTTCCATCGCATAACTCCATGCTTATGAACATCTGACACAATGTATTTCACGGTGAGGGACTGTACGATCTGGCCCAGACGCTGTTTCGGATGCATGAAATCAATGTTACCATCGTCCAACACGCGGTTGAGGTAGCCCATAAGGCCAATGCGCGAGAGGAATGTCTGACACGCCTCCACGGATCCACGTGAATCAATGAATATTGCGCCCAGGATACTCTCGATGATATCCGAGAAGAACTTGGGTGCATTGAGAGTCAAAAGTAAAGTCCAGGGGTATCTGGTACCCGACCGCAGGGCTTCGTCTATCTTCTCACGCAACTCCTCGAACTTCCGGACCGTAGCAAGCTGAGCATTAGCAATATCTAAAGCGGCCGAATGTGACATATACTGCCATAGAGACACCCTACGGGTAGAAGAGGTGATTTCGACCTTCCCAATGGAGGACGCGGATACGTCTTCTCGCTGTTCGTCGGTGGAGGTATTCATGCATAGGAAAGCAAGGTAGTCGGCGTTGACTAACGCAGTGCGCATCAGGTGCATGTCTTGATGAGGAATCTCTTTGTTAGAGCGGAACAGAGCCCTTGTCACAATGCTGTCGAGAATCGAATCCCCGAGGAATTCTAGTCTCTGATACGTCATCCCACTAATTGGATTACTAGGATGCGACAAGGAGGTGGCCAGAAGAGCCTTCTTCGTAAACGAGTAATCTATCAGGGGTTCAATCTTTGACAGGATATCGTGAGGGGCATTATCGTGGAATTCCGGTGAAGCGTCATAGAGCATTTCTATGCGCTTTTCATACGATAGCCAGTTTATTTCCGGTAGAAATACCTGTAGACAGTGTAGCGCTTTGTCTTCTCCCCCGTCAACAATGGCCGCGCCAATCAAAGCTTCAACAACATCTGCGAGAGTTTTAGTAGAAATTTCCCTTGTTGAATTCTTACCAACTCTTCCTGCATTGGCTGTGTACGTAGAGTTGTATAGCGGTCGCCATTTTGCACCTGTGAAACAGGCTGTGAGAATGAATCTGTCCAACCCTGTCTCTATAGTAGCTTTCCAGAGTCGAGAATTGGATATGATGAAGCCTTTCTTATGTGACAAAAGGCCTTCATGCCAAAATGGATGGTCCACCAACAGCTGCATAGATGTATGGAGCTTCAAGGCGCTATCCCCAAGGAATTCCAGTCGTTGATAATTGGTACTTTCTCTTGCCGAGGATGCACTGATCGCAGTCAACACTAGTTGGATATCCTTGAATCCGATAGGTGATAATATGGTTTTTGATAGCTCCTCGGCCAGCAAGAAGCGTCCCACGGTATGAATAAGGGACGGGATGAAGAGGGCAAACTTTGAGAACCCAACAGGTAACATGGATATAGAGCTGTCTCGAACTGGATCACACTTCCTCCCAGTGTGATGGGGTTTAGAGTTGTCAGTGTTGGCCACGGGATGTAAGAAGTCTGTCCTCTTAGGCCACTTTTCTCCTTCGATGTGCAGTATCTCTTCTACTTTTTCCTCTTCGTCCTCTTCACATTCGCCGTCATTTTTGCTCATAACGGGTTTCATCCATACAAATTTATCCACAGTCCAAGGTCTAGCAGTGATATCTGTCCGTCTTGCGAGGCCGAAGTCAACGGGGCTCAAATTGTAGTTTTCAATGTCTTTTCCCAAAATAGACTTATTGACTTTGGTACACCATTCTTTAAGCCCGCTGTACCCCTTGTCTAGAGCGGGGACAAATACACAAGAGAAATCTCGGGAATCACCATTCATTCTACTAGAATATACGGAAGACAGGAGAATATGCGTAGCCAGGGGAGCCGAAGTAATATCTTTATCGGATATGGTCAGGGCCTCCGGCGAAACCGATACGGAAAGGGTACTCGTTTCGTTCCAGAATAACTTGAATGTGAAGCTGCAGGGAAGAGGGGCGGGTAGAATTAATAGCATTTTTGGTAACTCTTCTGTGCCAGAGCTGATGACAATACTGCTTTGGTAGAATGTATCTGTGGCTTGCCATTGATCAGCAATTGTTTCCCAGGGGCTAAACGCCTCAGAGCAGGTTGCCGTGCTCGGGTGTTTTTCAATGTGTGCTGTTTCTTCATCTGTTGTATGACAGTGTTCCGGCATTAAGTGTTCGTTAACCAGGCTAACTTCGTAGAGCTGTAAGTATGCTTGAAATGCTGCATCCCTTTTCGCCATTTTCTCCTTCTTCCATGTTCGGATACCCTCAAATTCACGAAATTGAGGATCCAAAGCAGTTGGAAGAAGTACTTTGGCGGTAAACATGGTTCCAGCTACAGCCTTCGAAATGATAAAATCCGGCTGGATATCTGTAAAGTCACAGGGTAATGTTGAGCAAAAGTGGGAGAGGTGCTGACGCGCATTGTCAAGAGTTAGTAGTGCCCTGGTAGAATAACATATAATCAGCAAGCAATCCCACAAAAGTGGATCGTGGTTGGCTCATACCCGGTGGACTCTATCCTCAGGTTTTCATAATCATTTTCATCTTCATCATCACTTTCCTGTGCCAAATATTCATCAATAAGTTCCTTGTTATTCGAGTACCTTTCTTTCATGATATCTTCCATAGCTTCCCAGTCCTTTTTTGTTGAAGTATCGTCTTCAGCATGAAATATCACATATTTCGAGTTTGCCTTTCGGGCTCTACCCCGTCTCTGAACAAAGGATCTTAACTGTTTTGGAGGATCAAAACAAACAACAAGGTCGCATGCAGAGACGTCTATGCCCTCTTCAAGGACAGAAGTAGCAACAAGCAGGTTCTTTTTTCCGGATTTCAAGTCATTTATAGAGTCCTTCATGTCTCCTGGCTTACTGAGCTCGGTAATGTCAGACTTCCGAGCAGCAAAGGCAGAATTTCCTAGAAAATAATCCGATTTTATATGTGTTAACTTAGGATGCTGGGAAATCAAGTGTGTGAGCATAACAGCTGTTGCTCTTTGCTCAACGAAAATTATCCCTCTCGAGGTGCCTGTGTGTTCTGATGATAAAAGGTGTATCAGATGGTCCACCTTCTGTGAAACTGAATCCGGTGCTGTATCCCAGTGTCTTTCCCCCATAATCTCAATCACCGGCAGCATTGCATTGCATATAAAGGACGCATCGTCTTTATCCCATTCTGACCAATTTTGGTCTATGAGCTTTGCTTTTTTGTCATGGGCCCGTCGGTATATTTCAGAAATATATGTAGACGCGGCCCATAGCCCAAGTTCGCTAAACATATAGACAATTTTGCTAAAGCATCGCTTCAGTTGGATAAGACATGGCGTTTTCCTTTCAAGCGCAAGCGTATATCTCTCTTGGCTTTTGCGGTCATGTTTTCCTTTGTATCTCTGGAAAAAGGGGTCATCTTGGATATCTATGCTATTCAGCATAGCAAAAAACTTAACCTCCAAATTGTTAAGAAGCATCAAGTCTTTCTGGTATGAAACTTTTCGCAGTTCTGGGATGTGCACAAATTGCATCATCTCTTCTCGGTGGATATTTGGCGTCTTACAGCACGCATGGAGGTTTAATTCCAGTTGCCTAATTGTCATTAGCTAACCGTGTTTGAAATGTGAAATGTCTAAAGGAAATGATGAGGACCCTTACCTCAAGGCATCCTCCGCAGAACTGGAGGTGGGGCTGGCAGTAAGGCCGAGGATATACGGAAGGTCATTTGTCTTACGGAGCTGATGAACCTGTGCATGGTAGAAATTCTGCATAATCCTGTTTTCAGGGGCGGACTTGACACAGTGATGGGCTACATTGGAGAGTTAGCAAACACGTATGGACTTGACCAGCAATCTAGGAGTAGGGGATCCTATATATATTGAACATACCTTCATCGAAAACGAGGAGTGCTATCCGCCGTAAGGTAATGAATCCATTTGATAGTGCATCAAGAAGCACCTGGGGCGTCGAGACAACAATCCTTGTATTTAAAAGAAAGGCATCCCAAATTTTCTGTGTAGACCAACGCTCCAGGTTGTCTGCCCCAGTCAAAATCCTCGTCTGATAGGCAGGGAGCTGTTTAGAAATAGCTAGGTACTGTTGCTCAGCTAGCGGAACTTTTGGAGCTAGAAACCAAACGATCTATACATACCGGGTCAATATCAGAGTCACTTTGGCCAGACATTTCAGGGGGTTGCTACCTTATGGATCGGGCACCTTTCCAGCTCGTGTCGAATGCGAAGAATTGCACTATATATATGTTTATATATTTTAGTTATTCCACTTGACCATAGGTAAAGAGTCGATTGATTTGATTCACGGACATTTGAGTCTTTCCGCTCCCAGTGTCCATCTAGTTGAGACGTCAGCGGCAATTCATATTTGGGTGATGGATATATATAAAACTAACCGCAACTATTATATTTTGTTTAAGGCTCTCCTCCAGCATCTCAACTTGATATGCTCTTGATTTAACCACGGCTGAAGCGCCCTCCTGGCCATTGAGGCTGGCTCCTCCGGCTGATTCATCTTGAGGCATCTCGCTTGAACCCAAACTTGAACTAGGCCTCTTCCTTTTCTGTCCATGTTCCTCTAGTAAGAATTTCTGGCTATGAAGGTCCAGCTCCACGGCGGCCATGTATTGATGTTAGACGTCGGGGGCTCAATAGTGAATTAATACTTGTTCATTTAGGCGTTTGTAGGATGTTTCTGGTGGGTCTTCGCCTTTTTTCGATGAATGAGAAAATAGGCACGCAGGAGTAGTAAATTAGAACGAAGGCGTAATGACTTAGGGGTTTTCTTCTATTGCTGAGATGAAATTTTAATAAATACTGGGCGCTGATGGAATTCTCTGGCGCCTTTGATGATGCATCTAAGCGAAACCCCGCCTTTGCCTGCATAAAATATAATGAGACAGTAGGTTTGGGAGAAGAGAGCCAGTGACAGAGCTAACGTTTGATATAGTAGTATCACCATGGCTCAGAAGTTTTCATTACTGATATTATGGTAAATTTAGTCTATCATAGGTTGGTCAGGTAGTCTTCGATCTCCTCCTTACTGAGCTTTCTGAACCGAGGTCCTCGAGCCCCTTCAACGCCTTCGTATCCAAGTAGATGGTGTGCTGGTGGTCCAACGATACCTATTCGTGTCGATTAATTGAGTGTGGTTTGGGTAAAAAAGAGGGCCTAGGCTAAACTCACCAATCTCAATGGTATCACCATTCATTTCGCCTTCAATTGTCTCCTTCAGCGTTAAAAGAGCAATGTGCACTGCGTCTTCCAGCTCTAGACCCTCGGTATATCTCTTCTCAAGGAAGGTCTTTGCGCTAGTAGAGCTCTTTCCAATGGCTGTCGCCTTCCATGGATAATAGCTTCCACTGGGGTCGACCTGGTACAAGCTTGGTCCGCCCTTCAAAATACCTCCTGTCTTGCCGGAAGCCTTCTTCTTCTCGGCATCTGTCTCTCCCTCCTTGGCCTCTGGGGTTTCTGGTTCGATACCATCATCCCAGCCAGCAATGAGCAGGCTGACACCGTACGGCCGAACACCGCCAGACTGAGTAGCTTCCTGTACAACGCGGGCGACGTCTTGGACAAGTATTCTGGTAGGAGGGTATTCGTTATAGATACGCTTGTAGTTAGTGTGAGAGGTCTTGCGGGCCTTGTCGACGAGCACGCGGTAGTCTGGGCCCATTCCGGAGTAGACCATGCCGATATCAGGAGTGATCAGGGAGACTTTAGAAAGCGAAGGGGGATCGATGAGGGGAGACAATGACTTTTTCTCTGTAGCGAGGACTACTCCATTTGTTGCTAAGCGCAGGATAGTATCAGCATTGGTTCGATATCAGTAGCTCTGCGATTGAGCTTACCTTTAATTCCAAGGGCAGTTACACCCTGGTTCACAGCGTTTAGAGCATATTCTACAGGGGAGTTAGCTTGATACTATTTCTCGCCGCGCGTGAGTAAGCTTCCGTACCGATCTGAACAAGTTTCCCACTGTAATAAAGGTCAGTTTTGAGCTCATGATAGCAACAACAAGGCGTAGGCTTGGACGGTACCTTGGGGAGAAGGTCGTCAACGAGAACGAGTAACGGTCGGCCATGGCCAGAAGAATGTATCGAAACTGCGAGCTTGCAAAGCTAAGGCACGGTAAGTCAATAGGGTTTGAGATCTTGCTGCTGGCTGTCTTGCTATCTCTCTCGGTGCTTTGCTTTTGTGGTGTTCAAGCTGTCTCTTCTCTTCTCTTCTTGATGTTACTCCAAGGCAGATGTTTACGCGGCTCCGTAAACGGCAATATTAGCCGCCCGGCTAAACTTGCTGCTTTGGGCGATCCGGCCAGCTTTCTGTTTTATTGCACTTTTGCTCACTTTTTTTTTTTAACATGACAGAAAGAAGCACTTATATAAGAGCAAGCTGCGCATCACCGTCTCATGGCCTTGTATATATGATGTTACTCTCGTCGACCTGGCGGTTTAGCACTAATATACATGTTGAGGCTGGCTGAAGAGAGCTTCTCCTTACTATCAGGAATAAAATATAATACCATTCACTCTAGGAACCATGAACAGCCCTTCGTGGGAGTGGCCAGAAGCTACGAGTACACAATCACGTCCGGAGGACTCTACGGCCACTGCAGCGCCTGAGCAAGAGCAACCGAACGGGCAGCCTGCCGGAGCAACTAAGACGTATCCAAATCGGACGTGCAGGATATGTCTCGAGTCCGTTCCTCCAACCACACACCTGCCATCTGATAGCCTCCCAAGTTTCTTGCAAGCAAAGGTCCGAGTAACATACGAATCCTCAGATCCCGAGTTAGGACGCCTCCTTCGGCCCTGCAAGTGCAAGGGCTCTTCGAGATACGTACATGAAGGATGTCTGAAGCTTTGGAGAAATGCCGACCCTGCATATGGGAGACGGAATTACTGGCAGTGCCCAACGTGCGGGTTCGAATATAGGCTGGAGCGAATGACATGGGCAAAATGGATCAACAGCCAAGTTACTCAGCTGACTCTTACTGTTGGAATTCTACTTTTTACCGTATTTGTGCTTGGGTTTGTGGCCGATCCCATTATCAACCTCTATCTAGACCCCCTGGATACCATCGCCGGTGAACTGTGGGAGGATGGCACAGAGAGATTCGTCGTAGGAGATGCGAAGTCAACTTGGGTTGAACATCTTCTCAAGGGACTTGCGTCACTAGGAGTATTATCTTTTCTAAAAGTGATGCTTGCTCTCTCGCCATGGCAGTGGTGGAATTTGCGCAACTCCGGACTGCTCGGCGGGTCAAATCGGAGATCAGCTAATAGCGGGAGGAGTAGAGCTGCATCAGTTAGCTGGATAGTACTTGCTATTGGTGTAGCCACTTTTCTCTGGGTAAGTTTTTGCATTTCGTTTCCTTGTTCCATTTTTAATTTACTAACATGAATTAAAAACAGGGTGTATATAAAGGTGTTCGCGCTTGGAGTTGCCGAATACTTGAAACTGCCGGGCAGCGAGTCATGGATGTACCTCTAGACGGCGATGACGAAGATGAGGATGTAAGAGTCGAACCTACACCCTCAGCGGACCAACGTCAACCCAGAAAGAATGATTAGCCCCTCTCCAATATATATTTCTCCCTGCAGTCAACGATATTCCTCCTCACACTGTAATCAAGGCTCCGGCAACTCCACCGCACTACTTTAAATTGTCATATCCTCCCAATGATATGCCAATTAGTCTTGTTGCGAAGATATGATAAACTCTTCACTATCCATCGCCATCACCGCATCTGTGCACAAGTTTCGGCCCTTAGTAAACGTTCTGTTTCTATGGTCCACTATGGAGCCTCGCCAGCTTGTGGTGTTGGCTTTGGGAAGGTTTGATCACCGCCTCGATTTCGATGAACTCGTTTTGGGAACCATTCCACAGGCACCCACTTATTTATGGGGGATCATGTGCTCGTCGCTAAGCAAGTTCGCTCGAGGATGTGGTATATCCCGTTCGTCTAATAATGTCACTATATTATGTATGTAGCTCATGTAGTAACTCCTAAGGATGCTGTTACATAGTACGTGACATAATGCAAGGATATGCGCTGCTGTCCATGAACCTTAACATTCCGCGATTGGCGTAATGGTTACACCAAAGGCTTCTTTCTTGCTGACATATAAATCTTCGCCATAGGACTAAGGAGCGGACATAATATGTATGGGCCTCCCTTATTGCTTGACCAAAGTGGCTGCCATATCTTTATATCCGTCAATCTGATGAGTGGTAGCAAACAACTAAAACTTACGTTTAGTTTAAGGTTTTTCCTCTTTTGATTGGGCAATTTCGACCACAAGTAGTTAACGTGACTCGACTATATTTCTCATGTTACTTCCACATGAAATCTGTAGATGGAACATTCCTATGCTTGGAATACCAGGGCCTACCGTTCCTTCTTCCCCTTTCTCATACCCCATATCGGCTTGCCGAGTACTCTCATACCGACGGTTACCGTATGGCCACACTTCATGAGCCGCAAGGTTGGTTTGCCTCCGCTGGCGGGAAGGGCGCGGAAGATAGCCATGCCATAGTATGAGGTGCTTTATGGCTAAATCTGTCCTCTTATCCTCGCAGAGATGAAAAATGCTTCCATGTTGTTATTAGATTTAACCGTGTGGGTGGGTATATTTATTCTTCACGTATGTGGCATGCGCCAGACCTTCCATTACCGCATCCCTAAGCATAGCCTGGGTTTTGTCAGAGAGGCCCTGAGCGATGCATCTATACCGTGTAGGAGGCTCATTAACTCTAAGTACGCAAAGCCGTACTGTATTAAATAGGCCAGCTGTAACTACGGTAGTATACCAACGGAGCCCTCGTCACAGAGCTTTAATCAAACTAACCGATATTCGTACAAGTGAGCCTGGTAGCTGATGGCAGGGTTTTTTCTTTTTCTTTTTTTTTCAGATCATATCAGTCAATAGGGCTACTATTTGGTGGATGGAGTCTCTCATCATCGGCAAAGATGGTAGTATCTGAATTTGTAAGTGTTTGGGTGTCACCGTTGGGGGTATGTGATTGCACAGAAGGCCACTTGAATAGGATCTCCGTGATGTTAACCTCCACCCACACGTAGGAAGTCTGTAAACACTTTCTAGAAGTACAATGGATAAGGCTAGAACCTGTTAGAACACAGTCAGCCAATTAAATCGGCAGACAATCGATAAGGAAAGTCACTACCATAGATCAGCATGCATCTAGAAACAAACTCGTAGCCCTCGACAGTTTCTCTGGCATGAAGGTGGACACTATCCTCTGAGAACTGCGAGATAAGGAGGTAGCGTGCAGTATACTGAACCAGAGAGCATTTAGATAAAGCGTGGTAAAATCTCAAAGGTACGAAGATGAAATTGAATATATCGACGTCGTTGCTTCTTTGGCTGGATTACCTAAGCAATAGCAACCGGAACATCTGCATTTCCGGCCCACCGCCCTTGGGCATCCAGTGGGATCCATATCGAGCAATATCAACGACAGCGTTGATTTTGGCCATTGTAGCGGCTGTAGACAAAGCTTCAACACTTGGTGTTAAGGCTCTCTTTATACGGATAATGATATACATGATTTTGGAAGGAGTTACTTGGTCTGCTTCATGGTCGGAAAATTCCCGAGTAGCGGACATAGAAGTATACGAGAACATAATATGGGATTACCTCATATAAATAAGGATGAGAAAAAGGTACGAGAGAGCCCACCCAGCTACGCCACTGATAAGGGCCTCTGTAAAGTCTGACCAAGATGGCAGTGATACTTTGATCCTCATACATTCATAATATACTCAACTATTAACTAATCCAGGGGTTGGCTATACTAGTTGGCCCCCCATCTTCGATGAGCAATACAGACGAGGCTTCATATGTGGCACTTTCGATGGCAGGGCTATGACCTTTTCGCTCGTCGATTATATATAAAGTACATATATCAAGTGGTTGTCATCATCGTCACCGTTTATACATGAGACTTGACAACTCGAGGGCGCCGGACAATCTGCGGAGATGGCTGCGTTTCACCCCTTGCCGGGCCCGTTCCGTCGAATACTACTCTGACTATCCATACCAACAACTCTCTCCGGGATTCTTCCCCAGGCATTCCGGCGATGCGGCGGCATCCTCTAACGCTAAGTCTGGGTTAGGCAGTTGGGCTGCTGCACCAAAAGGCACTCAAGCACCCCCAGTGTTTAACCCCAGGAGACACCCACCAGGGACACAGGACAACCTTGCCTGCCGACGAAGGCCGCTAAATCACAAAGTACGCGGTCCCAACCGAGCAAGATGTGCATGCTTTAATTTAGGCCACTCGCAGCGGAATAACATAATAATAATTCCTGACCAATGCTGGAAACTGTTTGGCTGGCATACAAATTCGTACACACCCCCGGCTCATCATGTGAGCTTACTTGGTTCAAGGGTCAATGGGTTTATATTATGCGGGGAGGTGGCCATGCTCGTCGTATCTGGTCTTCTTCAAACGTGGATGCGACATGGACGTTTGGACGTGATATTTACAGAGTATAAAACCAACCCTACTCAGCCTTAGGCCTGCTTTCGCTGCAGCACTTGCTCCGCATTTTAAATATAAAAAATACCTACCGTGGAGATCCGGGGCGCTCGTATCCATATTCCAGACCGACTTCACAGAGAGAAAGAGAGAGCAAAAAAAAAAAAAAAAAAAAAAAAGACACGATATCTACATTCATTGCCAGAAAACGAAAACTGTTCTCCGTCAGTGCGACGAGTCGTGGGAGGCGGAGGGAGAGGGTGGTACACCCGTTTTTCATATGGGAGGATGGCGGATACATGGACCAGCTGAATAAAACGACTTATAGAACTTGACCCCCCGTATAGACATATACATCTATCTTCCCTGGGAGTTGGAGCACATGTACCATGGCCTCCGGTACTCCGTCCGCGACTGCTACCGCGGCATGTACGCCATGTCGCACCGTGAAGATGAAGTGTACGCGAGAACCGGACTCGGCGTCCTGCAATCGGTGCAAGCGCAAGTCGTTAAGCTGTTTTTACGAATCTCATCGACGCGGTCGCAAACCAGGCACAAAGTGAGTGTTTGTCTTGAGCTCCTTGCTTGTGAAAAAATGAATCCCTTTCAAAGTGTGCGATTCGACGGTGCGCATTGTTCTTTTTTTTCTTTTGGGCTGGAAGATCGAAGAAAACAAGCAAATTGCTAACGAAACCACCTTAATTATCACCAGACTACGGCCCAAAGCTGAACGCCTAAAGGCTGCTGCTGGCCTTCCTGCTTTGCTCTCGAGCGCGCCGCCCCAGGATAGTAGCCCTGCTGCTGCTACACCGGAAGAAGTCACCAATTCTTCGCTGGATATTATTACAAGGTCGCCAAAACGAATAAAGTCGGATGCCAGCTTTAGCTCGCCAGACTTGCCTGATAGGCCGATACAGCCCGTGATATCATCAGAAAATCCTCTACCTACGAAGCTCGTCTCCATAGCACAGTTAACACACCCTCTCTCGGATAGCCTTGTACCATTTGCTTTGCTGAAGAAGTCGGCCACACCTGGAAATTTCACGATTGCAAATATCTTAAATGCCGAGAATGAAAGCCCGGGCGATGAGTCGTCCTCACACTGGGGGGATTGTCTGGCCGATGATGTTCCCATCGATCAAAACGATCCTGTTTTCCAAAACTTGATCAATCTTCCCATCGCACAAGGCCTTTTTGACAGGTAGGCTCTCCTTCCTCACCCCACTTCTTCCATGCTCGACGTAGTCCTCTAACATATCATACGGACGGATACAGTTTCTTTAAGTATATGAACCCGTTTATTTGCCAATTCGACCCTGTCCTTCACACAGTACGACATATTCGGCACCGGTCATCATTCCTTTTCACCGCTCTTCTATCCGTTGCTGCAAAGGTCTTTTGTCCGGCTCTATACGCCAAACTACACGAGCATAGCGAGAAACTACTTCACAATATCATGGGGTCAGGCAAGAAGTCTCTGGAGATAATCCAAGGCCTTTGCCTTTTGACGCATTGGAAAGAGCCTAGCGACTCGCGCGCTTGGATGTTTATCGGATATGCTATCAGAGCAGGTTTAGAGTTAGGCTTAAATAAACTTAAGCCATCTATTCTAGATAAACCAATGCAGCTTGTTTCTGGCTTTGAGGAAGAAATGATGTTACGGGAACAACGGAGCAAGGAGCGCACTTGGCTCGTCTTGTTCATCTACGATAGGAGGTACGTAATATCCTCTTCTATGATACGCGCTCTATTTATCTATTTATCCCTTCCTGTTTCCATGCTAAGTATTATATATAGTCTTAGTCTACAGCTTGGAATGCCGTCAATGGTCCACATGGATCCGTTGATCCGAAATGTACAAAACTGGCACCAGCATGCCTATGCGGCTCCAGGGATTGACGAGATAGTTACGGCTCTGGCACAGCTACGGATCATCGGTTTCGAGTTACTAGATCTCTTCTGGCTTGACCCTCTCCATACTTCCCCCGAGTTCATGAAGAAGGACGAGTTTATTCTTCGACTATGTAATGATGAACTAGATCGATGGGAGTCTAGGTGGTATTTGATTATAGACGAAGGTGAGAAGATATTGCCGTATAAACCATTGTTCCCATGTCAAAATCAAACACTAATCAACCTAAAAGCCGATGCTACTCTCTGCCAGCGATTCCTTGTCCGATTTTACGGCCATCACCTGAGACTCCTGCTTAATTCATTTCAACTGCAGCTGTCCATCGCAAACGGATCTGCTTCCAAACCTGCGCTATGGGTGTGCTACGCAAGCTCGTTAGAGATGGTTCGGTTAATCATAGATCGACTTGGAACAACTTCCTATCTATATTATTGTCAGGACTCGATCCATGTGATGGTTGCATATGCGGCAGTAGCCATTGTAAAGGTTTGTGACCGAGTATATACGCACCTTATGTTTGGTATAAGCTGGTTTCCGCTAACTCCCTATCTCTCTTAAGATCATTCTGTCGTTTCCTGGGGAATTTCTTGGTGAAGCGGAAGATAAGGTACTCAACTACATCCTGGAGGCAAGTGAGTACTTCGGCCGACAGTCACCAACAAACAACACAAGCTGCCATTACCAAGGCCAGTTCCTGGCAAATGTGGTTGCACAGTACCGAAATTCAAAAGACTCTCCTGCAGCTTCCGTTAAACAGTCGGCTGGTAAAGAGCTATTATGTGACACAATGCAGGAGAGTACAAGCGGCGCAGATGCTAAACCGCAAGTAAACCTCTCACCGATATCCGTTCCACCACTTCACCAACCGCCACTCCCACCGCCCTTTCAATCGTCACAGCAGGACGATCTTAACCAACACCAGCATCTAACGCCTCTAAATCACCATCTCCAAGTTGCCTCGCATCTCCAAAATGACATCTACTCATCCTCAAACACCCCACCACCTATACCTATGCATATGCCGCTAAACGACCCACTGCATAACCCGCACCACGACCAGCAGACTCTTCCTCTGATCCACCCGGATCATAACCAGCAGCTGCTTGCATGTGCACGGCCTCTTCTCCCGCCCTCGAACATCGAGTGTACAATAAGCGGCTCCATCAACAGCGGCATGATGAGTTCGGGCAGAATATTTGCGTCTTCCCCAGGTTTTCACCCACCGACCCACCAGGACAACACCAGTAATACAGGTAACATGATAGGCAGCGGCGGGACAGGGCCTGCCTCAGGGATACCAGTGACGTCAACTTCAGGCCCTCCTGGTAACGCTCCGAATAGCAGCGATAATAATGACAGCTACGACAACTACCCGGCCGCAAATCCTACTCCGTTCAGCAACAACGGAACGTGGGAGAACCTATTTGCGCATGCTGGGTTTAATATCAACAGTGGAGTATTTCTGCCGAACCCTGGAAGCTCGTGAGGTGATTGACGCATATACATATACGACATCGACTTCTTATCCATCCACTGACTTCTCCAACCTCCCTCTCATTTCTCTTGCAAACTTTGATTACGACTGTGAATACTCTTCCCGCCGCTTTTCCATTTTGTATATAGCTATGTAAATACGCCTTGAAAAACGGATCTAAACCCCTGTCTTGTTGAGACGGGGACATTCGTTGTTTTAATAATGCTGATTTTAGCCCATGATGTACGATATCTTCCCTGCGTCGGACATCTTGTTATAATAGTTATAATGCTCTTAACTTCCACTTCCAATAATAATAATTTTACCATCTGCTATACAAGTAATTCGCATAACTGCAGCCAGTAAGCATCAAGTAACGTCTTCGTACGAGTTTCCCTTTTTTTTCGCCATTGAGTGTTGGCGGAGAATTTTATATGTTTTTTTTCTTCCCTTCTCAAACGGCAGCATTTCAACCTCAACGCTTCACCGATTAATCAATTCCAGACTTCTTCTTTTCCCTCAACGACTTATAACATGCTGCGGTTGCAGGGTTGATATAATATGCGACTCGCTGTCACCTGAATATGACAAAGTTCAGGGTCCTATAGCCTTGCTAGGCTGATGCTGCGGCTCAGCCTCTGCCAGGTGTACAATGATGCATGTTGACTTACGGTGTAGCTGAATGGTTTATACAGGCATCCAGGGCTGACACTTCTATATATAACACATTAATACATATATATGTGTTACACCATGATGGGTGCCCTCCATGGGAATGTATATACGGTTGATATCCCACCGCTCTCTGCGTTCAAGCTGTCCCAAACGCCATCGTTAACCAACCCTCCAGGCCATCCTACTGATACCGATCAAAGAAACAGAGAGCACCGCAGCGGCTATTATACCTTCTTCCATCTGGATCTAGCCAGTCAGCCAGTTCCTTTCAACTCTCATCGCCGGCTCTGGCAAGCTCGAGAGTTAGCCTCTCGTATATCCTTTGTTCAACCCATCCAACTCTGCACCATCAAACACTAAAAAAAACACCGCATGAGTAATTAAGAGCAAGAGAACAAGGAAATCCAGACAGGAAGAAGAGTAAAAACACTGAGATCTGGGGCCAAAAGTCCAGATCTACTCATAACTGGGCCGAAGGTGTCAGCCGGGCCACACGCTGCGTCCATACCTAATGCGCGCCCAGCGGTGTATCATCGTCCAACCGAGCCATACTGACATAACTGCTGGATAGAAGCTGATTTGCCGGAAGGATAGTGATTGAATACGCCTCGTCCGCCCCCAAGCTGCATACGTGCATAGTCGACCAGGGGACCTTATACCGCATTTGATGATAATACCCTGATCCTTTGGAGGCCGAATGTATATATAGCCTTTTTAAGGCACTCTGGTATTTGGGATAGGGTACTATAATATCTGTGTGCACTCTTCCTCCACTTTTTGTTTCTCTATCATTCGACCTATATACTGTTGCCTTGCTTTTTAGCCTACCTTGAGCTACCGTTCATGAAGAGCGCACTCTAATGGGGTTGTTATTATTTCGATAACGATATACAGGTGTTTTATTATTCCTTAGTTGCATTCCAGAGACACTGAAAAGATGATACCCCGCGAGATCATCGGCTCTACTTTCAGTCATTCGTCTGATGACCTCCAAAGCTCCCCCACGAAGGAATCCGCAACGACAGTATCTGATCATCACACCGAGCGGCAAAATTCTTTCACCTCGCGGAGGGAATCTCTAACGGCAGCGGAACGGGCGAGGCGCAATTTGAATGCAAAGCTCGCCAACCCCCTTGCTGGACTAAGCCATGCGACCCTGAGAAATCGAGGCGGACGGTATGCTCGGAAATACCAAATTGGGGATGATGATGATATTCGCGCATTCGAACTGGGTGCTGTCCTGGCACAAGATCCGGAGCAATTCGAGAAAGTTGAAGGATTAACTAAGGAAGAATTGGATGTCCTTCGACGGGAATTTACGAATCGTTGGTCACAGCCACGAGAGATGTATTTGGTCATTGTTCTATGTTCGATATCTGCTGCTGTTCAGGGAATGGGTGAGTCTCTTGGTATATTCTAGAAACAAAAACGAGCCCTGATGGCTAATCTTTGAGCAGACGAAACTGTAGTTAATGGCGCCCAAATATTCTACAAGCCCCAGTTCGGAATCGACAATGACGATTTTAGGTCTACATGGCTTGCTGGCCTGATAAACGCTGCGCCGTATCTATGCTGCGCTCTAATCGGATGCTGGCTGACCGTCCCATTTAATCATTGGTTTGGTCGGCGGGGAACAATATTCATTACCTGCTGCTTCTCCACGTTGGCCTGCTTTTGGCAAGGCTTTGTCAATACTTGGTGGCATATGTTCATTGCCCGCTTTGCACTGGGGTTCGGCATTGGTCCTAAATCCGCAACAGTTCCTATATACGCTGCAGAAACTAGTCCTCCTGCGATCCGTGGTGCCTTGGTGATGCAGTGGCAGATGTGGACTGCGTTCGGAATTATGATGGGCTATGCCTCAGATCTAATCTTCTTCAACGTCCCAGATATCCCGAATGTTACGGGCCTAGGCTGGCGGTTGATGATGGGATCAGCTATGTTTCCTGCAATCATAGTCTGTTTTATGGTCTTCATCTGCCCCGAGTCTCCCCGCTGGTATATGAGCAAGGGAGCTCATCACAAGGCCTACAAGTCAATGTGCCGACTACGGTTTAACAAGGTCCAAGCCGCACGCGATCTGTTTTATATGCATACCTTACTCGAAGCAGAGTCAACGATGAAGTTAGGCCAACCAAAGATTTTGGAGCTCATAACCGTCCCACGGAATCGGAGGGCTTTGATTGCATCTGAGATTGTTATGTTCATGCAACAGGTGCGTAATACCATGAATAACCACCTTTCCTCTTTTGTAATAAACGATGCGCCTTGCTGATGTCATTTATACATAGTTCTGCGGTGTTAACGTCATTGCGTATTACTCGTCCGAAGTCTTCCTACAGGCTGGCTATTCGGAACTATCAGCCCTGGCTGCGTCCCTCGGCTTCGGGGTCATTAATTGGCTGTTCGCTATCCCTGCTATATACACAATCGATACCTTTGGTCGGCGGAATCTCCTTCTCGTCACATTCCCATTGATGGGCCTCTTCCTACTACTCACCGGATTTGCCTTTTGGATTCCAGATCACGCTGCGCAAACAGGCTGTGTCGCATTAGGCATATATTTATTCGGCATTGTATACTCCCCCGGAGAAGGTCCAGTACCGTTCACGTATTCTGCAGAGGCCTACCCACTGTATGTCCGATCATACGGCATGGCACTCGCTACTGCGACGACATGGTTTTTCAACTTTACTCTTGCTATAACATGGCCTAGCCTGTTACGAGCGTTCACGCCTCAAGGTGCATTTGGATGGTATGCAGCCTGGAATATCATAGGGTTCGTGCTCATATTACTATTCATGCCTGAAACGAAGGGTAAGACCCTTGAGGAGCTTGATCAAGTTTTCTCCGTGCCCACAACTATACACGCACGCTGGGCGCTGGGACACGTCGTCTACGTTTTCAGGAAGTACGTCCTGAGACAAAAAGGGCTAAAGGAGACTTTGCTCTACGAAAAGGCTGAGGACAAACCAATATCACATACAATGGAGGAACAAGTAGTGGGCTCATCGCAGTTTTTTAGCCTTCGATAGCTGCGGGCTCCTGTTGCACTATCTTTATTTTTATCGTCGTTCTTGCTACAGAAGGGATTGATGTAAAGTATGGTAGTTCGGAAGGCTTGGTTGGGGGAATTGGCGTTGTTACTGCGGGATGTTTTATTGCATATGATTCTACGAGTACGATGATAATGTCTGCGGGGTTATAGGATATAGGAACATAACCATTAAAGGAGTTGGTTCTTGGGAGAAATAGCAATTTGGTATTCAATAGAAGGCTCAAATATGGCTTAAGCATTTTCACGTGATACGTTCTAAAATATAATATCTTGGCATGACAGCGGCTAAATCTAAACTAGACTAGCGTGGTAATGACAAGCGTTAGCGCAGATCATTGACGCTAAAAGCCGCAGCCACGTGGTCTACGCGCTTAGCAGTATCTATATTCTGTCAACAAAGACAAGAGCAAAACCAGGACGCGCTTTTTTATCCGTGAACTCGTTGGTATTTCTCTTTCCCCAAGCCTCTTACTACTGATATCCTGCTGGGAATCATACGCGACTTCTCCTGAGCTCACGTTTCCCCTCCATTCTCGCACAATGACACCTGGCAGCCCAGGTAGCTGTGTCGAGCTGGAGACAAAGATTCGCGAATGCCCTCAGCAGCCCCCACTCTTCTACCATCATAAGTCGGCTATCACTATCAGATGAGAAGATGACAACTCTGGTGCAAAACATGATGTTCCTCATTTTAAAGCATTTGTTAAAGGAACCGACATCACGGATATCCATGAGTGTCTGATTTCAGAGACGGCAGACTACATTCCCAGCCTTCATGTTGAGACGGCTTTGGCAAACTGCATAAATAGCGGGTTCGAAGCTTACTTAAATGGAGGATATGGCCATTATCTCATCCTTATCCACTACCCCGGCCATGGAGGCACGGATCCGGAAAAAGGACAGTTCTTTTGCCCGACAGAAGATTCCACGCGCCGGTTCTACCTTCGATCGCTAATAAGCCGCATTTCTACCTTTTCTGAAATTGACGGGCCTTCCTTTGATGTTGTTATAATTATTGACTCCAACTATTCTACAGCTGATCACCCGACCATCCAGCCAAAGGCTGGCCAGACAGTTGAGCTGCTTGCTGCTGTCAGTGCTGATGAGCACGGAGATGCAGGAGATCAGCAGACACCCAGAATACCTTTACATCAAAGCTTGCTAACATCATAGCTCGAGTGAAAGAAAGTTCCCTAAAAGCTATCGATTTCGCTACCATTCTTGGTCTTGCCCAGGAAAACTCAACTATTAAAATGCCTGTGCACAGGTTCCTCGTAGGGTCTCTCCCTATCAAGATCGGAATCCCTCCTTACTATGACAACCCCCTTCTGTGTTTGCCCGTGCTACGGCCAGAACCTGCTCCTGGAAAGCACGGCATTATCATGTTCTGCAATGTCGCCGGCCACGCAGGATCAGTTGAGGTTCAACGGCTGGTTCAGTGGATAAAAGGCCTCGATGCATCTGTTGCTTTGCATGTTGACGGAATATATGAGTGCGATGGTGCTGGAGGTAGCTCGACTGGTTTGCTCTTACGAGCTCCTTTCAACGTATTTTACACTGTGGAGCCCCTTCCCTGCGTCAAGATGTTGTTCCGAGCGCCTTTTAACCAAGGTAACGTTCCAAGCCGCTTCGCTGGTTCGGAACTAAGGGAACCCGGGGACAAGATCCCAACGCCAGAACCAACTGTTACCAACACTCCGGGTGGAAGCTCTTTAATGATACCTGAAACTATCTGAGCTTCCTTTCTGCCTGCACAACGTTGTATCCTCATATTAATTTTATTGTTACTAGGAGGGTGGCGCTAATGCTAAGGGAAATGGAATGGTTAAGATATAACTTGTTTTTTTAAGCAGCAGCCCACAGTCTATTAGATAAAATGACTGGTTCACCCGCGCCGAGTTTGCAAATACCAGTACCGAAGACCCCGAGAAGGAATAAGAATGATAGGTGATGGTGGTTCAAGTTAAATGGCCTCGGTCTCCGACAAAAAGATAACAAGCATAAATAAAGAAATAACTATACTCCCGGATGAGAAAGGGAGAGGGAAGAAAACTGAACAAACGCCTTCAGGCACCATTATCCTTTTCAAGTCTTTCTCCGAATTCCCGTTTCTTAGATGGATCCAGAGCATCCCACTCCTGGACCAACACGCGATCGATGTCCTCGTCGGTAATTCTCTGGCCGTACGACCGGATCAGGGCTTCGGTTAAACTCTCTCTCTTATGGTTAGTGAAGGCCTCAAAGGCAGATACGTAACGATGTGGGAGCTCACGGCCCGATGTGGCGGGAGGGAAGCTGCTAAGGTCGTTTGTCTGTGGGTTCGCGCCGCTGCTACTGTGGTGCTGATCGGCCTGTGTTGTATGAGTCAGCTGGTCGAGAGATGGATGATTGTGGTGCATCAGTTGGAGCTGGATAGTGGTGGTAAATGGTGTTTGGGTTGGGAAGATTCCTATTCGGGGTATAAGGGCTGATAGGAATTGGCGGAGGTCCTGGTTGATAGTAGTGATATCCCGCGGCTGCAGGTGGAGGTGGAGGAGGAAGAGGGTAGAAGTGATATCCGGCAGCCATAGGAGGATGGAAAGGAGGTTGTGCTGGTGCTGGATAGGGGTGTATTGGGCGTATTGGAGGAAGTAAAATAGGGAAAGTTGAGCTAACTGGGTTCACATTGTTGTTGCTGGTGTCGTTGGTGCTGTCACCGATGCTCTGAGTCGCAGGCCGTTCATCGCTTTTGCGGCTCTTTTTTAATCGTAATGGACGTTCCTGCGGCTGGCGCATATGCGAATCAAAGCTCATCAGTAACGCAGCCTCAAGAATAATCATGGTAATGACCATCATCATGATCGTATTGTCCTTTTCGGCTGCGAGGTCGGCTTACTGTAGGTGGATGACCGGAGCTACCGTCACTCTCGTCTCCCAGCGCATCCAGATCCTCACCAGCTCTCTTCGACCGGCTCTTCGAGTGTTCTTCATCAACCATACTGCCGGACTCGTTCACCAGCGCCATCGCGCGGCTAGTAACTTCCGATTCCCCTCTGCCGCTACCATCGGCCATCCCCATCAGAACAGAAAGCCGTTCTAGCAGTATGCATGATTCCAGGCGCATTTTCTGAATGTACCTGATGCCCTGCGCATTTCGTAGACGCATCGCCTCGTTGTGGGCTTCCACTTCGTTCAACCGTTTCTTCAACGCGATGCATTTCCGCTTGTAGGCAGCTTCGATGCTGGGGGGGTTGGGGTGAGGAGCCATCGACGCGTTCTGCGGGTTAGTAGCATTGTGGTTGGAGTCCGGCTCGCTGGCCATTATCGCAATAACCTGTAGGTATTAATATCCGTAGGCGCAGGTGAGAAGATGTTCCAGGGACGTTCTAACGTCTCTTCCTGGGTCGAGGATGGAGGCTGTCCAGGCTGTCCGGTCGAGCTCCTGTTGCTTGCAGCTTGGTGGAGTAAAGTCTAGGTATATTCGATGAAGCAGACTCAAGGCTGAGCTGAAGACATTATATGGCGGGCGAAGGCGACTGTCCCGGATGTGCGCGGATGGTTGACGTGAGGTTTCGAGGGTTTCGAGGTTTTCGAGTTGCTGTTTTAAAACTTGAAGCTTCAGAGTTGGTTTGGCGGCGAAATCTCGATGTTTCTTTTTTAGCCGCGTAGCGATGTTTTGTTACAAAATAAAACTACGGCAACTTGCTACAGGATTCATGATTGTGCATTTACAGTGTATAATCCAAGCTAAAACTATGTGATTCCCATCTCTAAGTAGCATATTCGGATCGATGGCGGTGGCGGTGGGTATATATAATAACCAAGGGAGTGAGCAGTGGTGCAGAAGCCCATCTAGATTGAACGATATATCAATTACATCCTTTCATTTTCAAGTCCTGCATTTCGTATTCCATCATATGAGGCGTCTCTGTCTCAGAAGAGATGGAATCTGTTGTTGATATGGAGGCGGTTGAGGCCTCGAGCGTCGTGTCGGGGCTGGGACAGGAGGACCTGTCTATATACGTCTCGTCAGGGGGAGAGAAGGACCACACCTAGGATGAGAGTCAGCGAGTCGAAGATGATGGATAAGAGCACACTTAGCTGAGGGAGACTCACCTCCATGGTCGTCTTTCCGGCACGGGTTGCGAGGATGACGGCCTTTTCGGCTTCGAATGCAATACGCCATATGGTGTCTGCAGGCTGGCTGAGCTCACGGACTTGCTGGCCCGTCTTCAGGTCCCATGTCTTGACACGGCCGTCGCTGCCGCCACTGACGATCCGGTTATCGTCAAACTGTAGACTGGTGATGCTGTTGTCGTGCGCCGCCAGGCGGTGGATGGGGGTCATCCGCTCCAGGGACCAGACACGGATGGACCCGTCAGAGCCGCCAGTCACCAGCGTGTCTCCTCGCAGCTGTAGCTGGCCAACGAGAGATGTGTGGCCCTGCAGGATGGCATGGCACTGCCCTGTGTGAGGGTCCCATATCCGCACACTGGTATCCAGGCTGCCCGTGGCGATGCGTTTCCCGTCAAAGGCGATGGCGTAGATCTGGCTGAAATGACCGGCGAGGGTCTTTAGACATTTACCCTCGGAGATACTCCAGACCCTCGCCGTGGTGTCATAACTTCCGGATACGACCAGGTCGCCATGGATCTCGAGACACCGTACGCTCGCCTGGTGCCCGACGAGTATGTTCTTGCATACGCCGGTAGCAAGATCCCATATGCGAAGCGTCGTATCCCTTGAGCCGGATATGGCGGTCGTCTTGTTCGACATCTTCAAACAGCGGACGGTGGAGGTATGCCCTCGCAGTTTATGGATGCTCTCCCTGGTTCAATTGTTAGCAAGACTTGTACTCGCCGTAGAAATGGGGGGAACACTCTCACCCGGTGGCCATGTTCCAGACGCGGACGTCTCGATCACATCCTCCGCTAACGAGCAGGTCGTCCCACGGCACCATGGCCCAGACACCTATCATATGGCCCTGCAGGACCCTCTGATGCTCGCCCTCGGTGTTGAATATATGTATCTTTGCGTTGTCCAGTGCAACCACTATGTACTTGGGAGTCAGATGCAGGCTGGTCACCACGCCCTGATCGGTAGTGATGTGCTTCGTCACGACGCTCCCGCCTTTCCTCCACGCCGCCTCGATCATGTACTTTTGCTTGAAGTGCGAGCGGTAGGAAGTAGTCTTTGTCCGAGATTTCCGGATCCGACTCCGTGACGAGGACTCTGCCACGGGTGCAAACACCTTCATGTCTTCTGGCAGGATCCGCGGCTGCGGAGGACACGATGGCTCGGGTTCCATGTCCGTATCCATGGCGGAAAACGGCTGTCTGGGTGCAGAGGCCGGGCTGACGGGGCTGTCGATGAGGTCTTCGGAGACTCTTCTATATGCGTGTTTCTCACAGAGGATCTTCCAGGTCAGCTCGTCGTTCAGCAGCTCATGCCAACGGGTCGACACCTGAGACGCCCTGGACAGCGTCTTGGGATCGTCTACAAACGAAAGTACCTATCGTAACGTCAGCCATGCAAAATTCGTATCATAGTCTAGTCTTTCCGTAGAGGTATGCTCACTCGCAGACACAGCTCGTTCGGCAGTGTTTCAAAAGGGTCCTTCTTCAGCCGCGGGCTTACGAAATGATGGACGAAGCTGAGTGATTGGCTATCACACAGGTTCAGCACCTCTGCCAGGAACCGCTGCCTCTCTGCCTGGCCCAGGGCGCTGAAATGTGATCTTGCGTCCCGCAGGAAGGTATCTTCGTCTTCGCCGGCGCTCTGCCAGCTGGGCACCCGCTGATGCGGCGTCGGACTCGGTGCAGGAGTGGGAGGAGACGCAGGAGCAGAAGGGTGCAGGTTATGTAGAGTCGGACGGGCCTTGCTGGGCGTAGAGAGAGGTTTGCTTCGTGAAGCGGAGCTGGGTCGCATACTTCCAGAGTGTCTTCGTATGGTCGAGCGGGATGGATGGCTCTTATTGCTGGTGCTGCTGTTGGTGTTGGTGCTGCTGCTGCCGCCGATGATAGTACTGCTGTAGTCTCCTTGAGGAGTCAGATCGTCTGCATCTATCATAGAGACTGTTCGCCTGTTGCCCAAGCTGTTGGGGCCAGGTCTGGGAAACATCTGGCGGGCGTTTTATAATATGTAGGAGTTGTTTCGGTGTGTACAGTAGAGGCGTGTATATATGGGCATCCGCAGCCTTCGACACGGATATCTTCTCGAAACCGGTAGACCAAGTTCAGATCAGTGTATATATAAGCAGGAATCCTGCCACTGGCGACATTCCGTGGTCCAAGGTCGCCTTTCGAAGGGTGTTTTTTCTGCTCTTCGTCGACCCGGCTGTATAGCAGGAGGATGGATGGGATGCGGTGGCGGGAAACGCAGCGACGCTTCTTCTTCTCTTTTTCTTCAGACGAATAGACAGGGTCCGTCGGCCAGAGTTACTCGATCATGGCTCTGGAGCTGATAAATGCGCAAGACGGGACGAGGATCTGGATGGCGACGAGAGAGAGTCTTCCCTGGTGGAAGTTGTTGGTTTTCTTCTTCGCGGTGGCGCTGGGGGCTTGCATGTAATAAGAAGTACCGAGAAGTATCAGCGCTTAAAGGGTTGCGAGCAAGGGATGCTATAGTGAGTACTTCTATAGCTCCTATGGCCTGATATTACTGCTATTTATCTGTACCTGGAGTTATCTCGGCCTTGCGGATGGCCCAGCGTCGAATACAACCAGCTACAATGTCAACTTCTACTGGATGAACCTTTGGAGGAAGCAAAGCCTTTTCAGCCGATCGAGTCGGTCAGCTGGGCTGGATAAAATATCACGTCACATGGGGGCTTTTATATACAAGGAGGCAGATGGAACAGGCTGTAAGGGTCCTCTATAGGTCGTTCGGGCGTGGTGTATACGTAGATGTAGATGTCTAGATGTGAGGCGTATAATAGGGAGAGGGCGTAGAGTAGAGGCAGAGGAGTAGAGCAGGTGAAGGCGTAGAGTAGATGGCGGACGGGGACGAGGGCTGAGTTGGACGTTAATGTGCATGGCCGATTTGCAGGAACAGAGGCATCACCATCCCAACGACGGAGGCAACAAGATCTCTCATGGACTGCTTTGGCCGTTGCGGTGGGTCCCGCCCATCAACGTAGCCGTTCGCATGAGACTCTCGACGGGCTGGCTCGAGAGGGTTGTCCTGCATCGTATGCATGGCAACATAGCTGCATCCGGGTCAGTAAAACGGTAGACAAGTCAATTATATTTCAACGGGGGAGGACCGTACAGGAATGTGCCGGCAGAGAACAAGAGGAGCATGCCCGTTCTCCATCGGGTGCTCTGCTCGTCGCTCGCATGGCCTGACAGTATGGTGTGCGCAATCACCCATGTCAGCAGTGCTCCTACCGGCGCCGCCAGGCTGAAGACCAGCAGATGTGCGCGGGCACTCTTGGTGGAATGGCCCTGCTTCAGCAAGACGGACGTCAGGCCAAAGGACGCAGGAGCCTTGTGTACCATGATCGCCACGAAGATGATCAAGCTCAGCCCGGTGTTGGAGGTAGACGCACCCAGCGCGATGCCGTCTGCCGCCGCATGTATCACCAGTCCAGCGGTTGTCGCCATACCAGCGCTGTACCCGCCGCCGCCGCCAGATCGTGTGCCGTTGGCCGTTCGTGCAGGTGACATTCCTCGACCGATGCCCGATCCCAGGTTGTCCAGCGAGATGTGGTACGGTCTCTGCTGCTGTTTCGAGGACGAAGATGCATACTGCGGCAGCTTGTCGACCAGGTACATCAGGATAAAGCCGCTGACCAGCCCGACCCCGATCCAAGCGTGCGGACCACTCTCATCATGCCCATGCGGCTTCTCCTCCATGCTCCCTCCCCCCTTCTCGCCAGAAGGCTGCTGCTTCTCCTTACCGTCGCCTCCTTCTGCCGGTCCGTCAGGCTGTGGCTTATCACCCTCGGGAGCAGCCGCTTCTTCTCGAACAGAGAGCCAGTGCGCCTCCACCCCGTCGACAGCTCGTGGACTAGACGCCACGGCCGAGGCATGGTCCCATCGAACGTCAACGCCGTGAGCTAGGATACCCCGTCTCCGGTGTGTGTTGTGGACGTGCTGGTGCGGTTTCACCTGAGAGCTGTAGAGCGTCTCGACGCCTTCGGGGATAATTACTATCAGAGACGTGCCTACCAGCAGGCCCATCCCCAGCGCCGAGATGAGCCGAAGCTGAGAAGACGATAGAGAGAAGGTCAATGGCAGCGATCCAATGACAAACGACCTGTTCCAGCATGTATAACTTGTCAGATTATGCCGTAAAAGTCGCGTTATACGGGAGCACTCACGCTGCCCCCATGAGGAGGCTCAGGCATACAAGCGTAAAGAGCCCGTCCATCGCTTCGGAGTGGCCTCTGCTCGGTGCTCGACGTAAATATCAGTCTTTAAGGAGAGGTATCCGGTCGGAGTGTTCTCATCTCATTATGAACAGTCGGCATTCAATTCGTCTTTCAAGGTGTTGATTTGGTAGATGTGGCTACGACGTGGTTCAACAACGGTTGCGCTGCGTTCAAATACCCGTAGCAGCAGACAAAAGGATATATTAGTTAAAACGAAGCAGTGAATATATTACATTAACAAGATCTTTTCATCTTCATCTTCATCTTCATCTTCATCTTCATCTTTTCTTCTTTTCTTCTTTTCTTACTTTTCGCTCAAATTTGGCACGTGATTTTATATTATGTAATATTAAGGTACGGTCATGTGATTAGGAAGTTAAAAAAAAAAAAGAAAAGAAAAATTCATAAAAGACATAAAAACCGTTCAAAGACGAAAGATGAAGGTTAAAAATGATTGTTTCACGCTTCAGACAGACCCTTACTTTCAGGCAAATCATCCTCTTGGTCCAGGCTGTCTCGATATTCTTGTATCAGCACAGCCGGTGAAGCAGCAGTCGAAACATACTGCTGCAGTTTTGCATCTGGGAAGGCCAGGTGCAGTGCAGTGTATACTGAGGCGCTAATTCCAAAGCCAACGAGGAAGCAGAGCTGGTAGATACGAGTAAAGCCCAGCGGAACTTGTACATTGGCGTTTACAGATGTGATGAATCCAGGGAGTGAGGGTACGGTTCCACATATCCACTATACGGTCAGTATACTATGTCTATACTCTGTCGTTATATTGGTGAAGAGGAGACTCACGGCAATGAAAGCACGCCAGTTGAAGCCGTGGCTGAACCAGTATATGCTGCTGTGGTTGCCGGTGTAGAGGTCTTCGACCTTGAGCTTGCGTCTGTGGACGACGAACCATGCCGAGATCATGAGGCCGGTCATGGGTCCAAGAAAAACGGCGTAGCTGCTCAGGACGCTGAGGAAGATAGTGGCGGTGGAGACAAGCTTCCACGGGTTGCAGGCTATAGAGAGGGCGATGGTGATGTATGCGCCACGTCGGATGTTGATGTATTTCGGAAACGTCGCCGCCAGGTCGAATCCTTGTGTTGGTTAACATGGTATCTACTAGTTATATAGCTACACGTATCTAGATGTACACATGGTATTGACGTACCTCCTGAGAGAGCGTTGCCAGGTATGTTGACACCAACCTGTGAGACGACCAGGGCAGCGGCGGCGAAGAAAGCAGCAGCTCTCGAGCGGGACCCGCCATGGTCAATGATCGCCCCGATAAGAGACGGCAGATCCCAATGGGCCTCACCGAATCTCTCCTGGGTCGCCGCAGTGACCAGGACGCCGATGACAGAGCATATGATGCTTGTGAGCGGGAAGCTGATGACCTGTCCGATGATGGCGTCTCCAGGCTTCCTGGCAAACCTAGCGTAGTCATTCTGGTTCAGGATTCCGGCGGATATGGCGCCAATCGTGCTGATGATGCCAAACACGACGAGCCAGCCGGCGTCCTTGACAGGGCCACCGCTGCCAGAGATGGTGGAGCCAAACCCTGCCGGGCCCATCGTTGCCAGAGCCCAGACGAGCAGCACGAATTCAAAGACGACGATGACGGAGGCGGAGATGTAGAAGAACATGCGTAGATTGTGAGGGCGGATGTACGCTACCGGCAGGGAGATGACCATGAAGATGATATAGCTGACGAACTGGGCGGTCGTTATCCCCGTCGAGGGCGAGAGGTGGTTCGGTATACGCTGCTCCAGCGTCGGCCATATCGCCCTGAGACAGACGTATATGCATTCTCCTCCGATGTATGCTTGAAAGCCGTACCTATGATGCTAATTAGGAGCGGCCTTTCTACCCCCGTCTCTATACATGTACATAACAACTCACCATACTATATGATAAAACGGTCAGCTTGATGCAGAGTAGTTATACGGGAAGGAACAAGAAAGAAACAAACTAATGCATACCGATGGATAGGAAGATGCGGTTCCAGATGACAAACTGGCTGCCATACAGGCCCCAGACGTATCTGTTGACCACTGGGAAGCCGATGTGATAGTAGGCTCCTGGCAACGAGTTGAGCACGACGAAGAGGGCGGCGAGCAGGTTCCCGATCACGATGGCGACGATGGCCTGCCACCAGAGCAGCCCCAGAGCTATGAGGGAGCTGCCGGTCATGTACGAGGAGATGTTGGAGTTGATGAGGACCCAGTAGGTGGTGAACGTCCATGCGGACCAGGTCCGCCTCCGGGACTCGATGGGTTTGATATCGTAGTTGATCCAGGGGTCGGGCAGCGTGCCTTCATGTTCGATCTCGAGTTTCTTCAGCAGCCCGCGCATCCTGACCGTATAACAAAACGCCCATCAAAACGAAGAACCGTCTGTATATCTATACTCTCGACGCTCTCTCGCAGACGGTCTCTCCCCCGTCTCGTCACTCTCTTCTTTCCTCCCCCCACATACGACTAATGCCTGGGGAGAGAAGACGATGACCGTGGATCCCCCCTCGGCTAGATATGGTGAGAAGATTAAAAAGAGTGACCGCCGTGGAGTCTCTCTTGTCTGCAGGATGCTCGACCAAGGGGCCCCCCCGTTAGCCACGTCGGCGAACTCCTTGACTCAGCTGAGACGAACGGGCAGAGCTCAACTTATTCAGGACAAAAGGCGTCGAAGACCAGAGAGCTTCAGGACTCCATCCAACCGTCGAGATAGACTTTGTCCTTCCTTCTGCTGCCGGGAAGCAACCGTCTCGCTGGATCCCTGAGCCCGTACGTGCTTCTTCTTTTCTTTTTGGCGTAGCTGAACTAGTTCTTGAGCTGGGTCGAACGGCGCAAACCGTCTCGTCCTCCAGCACCTTGACCTCCCCAACTCCTCCGAGTTTAAAGCATGACAGGAAAGCAAAGGCCCCCTGGCGCCATCATGCTCCGTCCTCGTCCGCGAATGGGAGCAGACGCCTGATCGGAGTAGTCGGAGATGGCCATGGTTGGTGGAAATGGCTGGCTTCAACTCCTCCCTCGCCCACGGTACAATCGCAGTGGGAAAACGGGGGGACCATGCAAGAAAAAAGAAAAAAAGGGCGTAAGTTAATCCCGGGAAGATCAGTTGAGCATGGCTTTCTCGTCTTCTTCCCCTCTTACGCAGTCTCGTCGCGGTTCTTCGTTCTCTTCCTCCTGGGTGCTGCTTGATTCCCGGCCTTCTATTCTGTTCACGGGACGCCCTGGGCCTGCTCGGCGAGGAGAAAAGTAAGAGCCTGAAGGCTGGCTAAGCCGGCCATGTAAGGGAAGTTCTTCTTCTTCTTGCTTCTGCTGCTCTCTGTGTGTGATATATAACTATATAAAACCGATCAAACCGCAGATGGAGAAGAGCTTGCGGAGATCAAAAGGGCCTTCATTTTTTCTTCTTCTTCCCCCCTTTTTTTTGGCCCGTCTCTCTCGCAGATATAAACCCTCAAGGCAAGGGAGCTTCTCTCCCGATACTCCGTTGTTCTTTTTCTTTGCTCCCAGTGCATGTTTATAAAGAGAGTATATAAGAGAAGATGTATCGTATAGGAGTAGATGTCGGTGGAACGAACACTGATGCGGCCATCCTCGATATCACCGCCAGCGAGACGCCCTCCCGCGGCGTCCTGGCATCCAGCAAGACCCCAACCACCCCAGACGTCACCAGCGGCATAAAGAGCGTCGTCGAGAGCGTGTTGCAGAAGTCTGGCATCGATCCCAGCGACATCCTCAGCGTTGCCATTGGCACTACGCACTTTGTCAACGCCGTCGTCGAGGCGGATGCCAGGCGTCTGAGCAAGGTCGCCGTCGTCAGGCTCTGCGGCACCTTCACCCAGCATGTATGTTCGGGGTGTCTCTTCTTCTTCCTTACTCTCTAGTTCGATGGCTGATGGAGCATATAGATCCCTCCCTTTACGGATTTTCCTCCTGCGCTGAGGGAAATCATCGAGTGTCAGACGTACTATCTAGATGGAGGTAGGCCGGTGTCATATTATCTCGTGCTATAGATGTGTATAGATAGCTAACAGGTTCTAGGCCTTGAGATCGATGGGCGAGAGATAACCCGGTTGGACCCTGACCGGATCAGGGAGACGGCCAGGCGTATCAGCGACGCTGGAGTCACCAAGGTTGCTCTCGTCGGTGTCTTCTCTCCCCTCGACCATAGCGGCATCCACGAGGAGGCCTGCAGGCGGATCATGCTCGAGGTAGACCCTCTGCTCTCGATCGTATGCTCTCATACCATCGGCGGAGTCGGCCTGCTCGAACGAGAGAACGCCACCATCCTCAATGCCTCCATCCTCCAGCTGGCCCGGAAGACGGTCCGGGCCTTCGTCCAGGCCATGTCGGACCTCAACCTGACCTGCACCCTGTATCTGACCCAGAACGACGGCACCCTGACCGATGCCGTCACCGCGTCAGAGCTGCCCATCAAGACCTTCGCCAGTGGGCCCACGAACAGCTTGACCGGAGCTGCCTTCCTGGCCTCCCTCGACCGGAGAGGGAGCAGGTCGGGCGTCGAGAGCCAGATACTGGTGATAGACATCGGAGGGACAACCTCTGATATCTGCGCCCTGCTGCCCTCTGGCTTCCCCCGCCAGGCATCCAACTTCGTCGAAGTCGGCGGTGTGCGCACCATGTTCTCCATGCCGGAGGTCCTCTCCATCGGCCTGGGTGGGGGCAGCATCGTCCGCCAGGATGCTACCTCTCACGTCAGCGTCGGCCCTGACTCTGTCGGCCATTACCTGACCAGCAAGGCGAGAGTCTTTGGCGGAGGCGTCCTCACGGCCACAGACATCGTCGTTGCGGCCGGCAGGGAGCAGATCGGAGACGCCTCCAAGGTGGCCGACGTCTCACCGCAGATCGTCGACGAGGCACGCAGGGCCATCACAAAGCTGCTGAACCGTGGTATCGAGAGCATGAAGGTCTCCTCCCTCCCCGTCACCGTCCTCCTGGTAGGGGGCGGCTCCATCATCTACACGGATGACCTCGAAGGCGTGCAGGAGTGCATCATCCCCCCCCACCACGACTCTGCCAACGCCGTTGGTGCCGCCATCGCGAAGGTTGCTGGCACCGTGGACGTTATCGAGATCCTCGCTGGCAGGGACGAGAAGCAGGTCCTTCAGCAAGTCGAGGATGCAGCAGTCGAGCTGGCCGTCCAGCGTGGTGCTGACAGAGACACTGTCAAGATCGCAGAGATCGAAAAGCTGCCGCTCCAGTACGTTACCAACAAGGCTACCCGCATCACGATCAAGGCCGTCGGCAAGCTGAGAATACCCACCGAGGAAGAGGCGGAGGCGGAAAGGGCCAAACTGCCCGTCTATACCAACGGGACCAACGGGGTAAACGGCGTCAACGGCAACGGAGTCGAGGCTGAGAAGGCTGCTGCAGCCGAAGACGTATCCAGATCCGCCGTGAAGCATTCCATATACGCTGACATACCCTCTTACCGGCCCGAAGTAGAGAATGGCGTCTGGTACCTGAGTGCCCTTGACCTCGAGTTCATCACCTCCGGCACCGGCGTCCTGGGAACAGGAGGCGGCGGCCCATCATACCAGCAGTACCTCATTGCACTAGAATGCCTGCGAAAGAATCCCAAGAGGAAGATGAGGGTCGTCAAGCCAGAGAGCATGGCGGACTCTGATGTCTGCGTCTTTGCCTCTTGGTATGGAGCCCCCAGCGTCTCGTCGGAACGTATCCCGCAGGGCAACGAACTCATCAGATCCGTGGAGGAATCCGTCAAGCTTTGCCAGTGTAAACACTTCCATGCCATCATGGCAGACGAAATTGGTGGAGGAAACGGCATGGTTACCTTCCCAACCGCTGTCCACTACGACATACCAACCATCGACGGAGACCTGATGGGCAGAGCTTATCCTACTATACAGCACGGTAAGTCAGTCCCTCTCTATACCTCGAATCATAATCTAATGCACCTGCTAGGAACCCCTTATGTATATGGTGAAACTATCTCGCCTTGCGCCCTAGCTGACTCAAAGGGCAACGTTATGGTCGTCATGGTATGCATCACATAGTTCCACTTCTGTGGGAAAAAACGACAACTAACATAGACAAAACTCATAGAATGCCGAATCGAACGCCAGGATTGAGACAATGCTTCGAACAACTTGCGTCGAACTTGGCCTGTTTGCCTCCGTGTCTGCTGCTCCGCTCACCGGAAAGGCGATTAAGCAGTATGCTGTTCCAAACACCATGTCCCAGGCCTGGTACCTCGGAAGAGCAATCCACCTGGCTCGTCGTGAGAAAGTAGACGTTATCGAAGCTATCGTAAGTTGCATCTCATCGTCCTCTCATCGTAACTATCTAACGCTTTACGCTCTAGTTTAAAACCACCCCTGGCAGACTCCTATACACCGGGAAGATCGTCAACGTACACCGCGACGTCAGCCGTGGCTACACCATGGGATACTGCATCATAGCCCCCCTCTCCAGCGATGAGGTCGCAGACTCATACGACAACTCTGCATCCGCAACATCAACCTCAACAGTGTCACAACCACATCTAATCATCCCCTTCCAAAACGAGTACTTATATGCAGCGCATGTGACGAACCTCGACAAGCCTCAGGAGGCAGTCAACCAGGACGTCATCTGTACAGTTCCAGATCTTATTTCGATATTGGACAAGGACGGCGAGGCCGTTGGCTCACAGGAGCTAAAGTACGGTCTGAGAGTCCGCGTCATCGGTATGGCTGCTCATCCACTTTGGACCCAGGATCAGAGAGGCCTTGACGTCGGAGGACCAAAGCACTTTGGCCTGGATATGGAATGGAAGAGCATTGGGAAGTACCAGAAGCCTCCGAGTGTTATTGATGAATTCAACGTGATTGTTTAATGCTTTTGATTATGTAGAATTGTAGATATCATGTTTTTAGATACTTTTACTGAAACGGCCTTAATATACTGAATGCATATAAGTTATATACCGTGTTAGATATCGACAATTTAACAGTGTGATGATCATTTCTTATAATCTTGAAATGATTAAATATTGGAAGTAGAAGTTGAGAGATTAGATAATCATTGACGTGCTTACTAAGCAAGACTTCGCGTCGCGTTTCTTAATTTAATTCTCGTACTTCAAAGCTTCAGCTTGAAGGGAAGAATAGAAAAAACCAAAGAGGCGCAACTGGTTCGGTGCAAGATGGATAAACAAAATGAGTGTAAGTACTTCAGTATTTGCTGATCTGTTTGCTCAGCCTGCTGACCTGCTGCTTTCTAGGGACGTGTGATGCGAATGATGCAGTGGAAATATCCATGGTCCAACCCGCCGAAGATGGCCAGAAGCTCACCACTCTCTCAACGTTTTACCCGCAGTTCACCTATCCGATCTTCGGGGACGAAGAGACGATATTTGGCTATAGGAAGCTGAATATCCGGCTTCGCTTTACCGCCCATGACCTCCAATCGCACGTCCATATCTCATACGATGAGAAGTTTAAGCAGGTGGAAGATATAAGTGCTGCTGATCTCCTTGGGATCCTCAAGCCATGCCTTCCTGAAGGTATGTAGGAGGGTTGAAACAGCTATATGAATGTTACTAATGTCGTGGTAGCTTCATTCTCGACCTTCGATGAATTTCGGCAGCGCATAAACCAGGACGATGCGGCAAAATTTACACCTCCGGGAAAGCTTGTACATAGCTATTCTAGGGATGATAGAGATTACGAAATATGGGCAGGCTCTCTTGCCGACCCGGAGGTGCGTAAAGTACTTGATAGAATACAGATTTTTGTCTCGTTCTTTATTGAAGGCGGAACCCCCATCGAGACAGAGGACTTCGACTGGACACTAGAAAGATGGATAATATATTTCGTGTATGTATCCCTGTGGCCTTTAAATAATAACGAGATTCTAACTTTATCTATAGATATGAGAAACACAGAAAACCTTCCAACCCCAAGGCGTCCAGATATTCCTTTGCAGGATATGCAACTACATACAGATGGTACTTTTACCACCCAAAGTCATCGAGTGATGCAAAGTTAGGGATCGAATCGAAGACAGAGGACGCATTCGACTCATTCCCACTTTCAAAGATACCCGCGCGTCTACGTATCGCCCAGTTCCTCATCATCAAGCCTCATCAACACGCCGGCCACGGGTCTCAACTTTACCGAACGATTCAAAAGGCATGTCTTGATGACCCTACCATCTTTGAGCTAACAATCGAAGATCCAAACGAATCATTCGATGCTCTTCGAGACTCAAATGACTACCATACCCTAAAACCAGAATTCATCAAACATAATGTCACAATCAACCCCGACCCACTCCCAACTACAAGTTCTTCCGGAACATCCTCTTCTAAACCTCCCAAGCACCCCCGCGTCATGCCAACATCTCTCTTAATCCCCACAAAAGCGCTCGACGAACTTCGACAAGAGTTCAAAATCGCCCCTACACAATTTGCCCATCTCGTTGAGATGTATCTCCTCAGCAAGATACCTGAAACTCATCGTGGCGCGGAGAATGTTAACATGACCCGTCTAACGTCACAAAAGTCCCGCTTGCAAAACGAACATGACAGAAGGTACTATTGGTGGCGTATGCTGGTTAAGCAACGCTTGTATAAACGACATCGCGACATGCTGATACAGATCGATAAAGATGAAAGGGTGACTAAACTAAATGAGACGCTGCAGAACGTTGAAGAAGGGTACGATGTTTTGCTGAAGGCATTTGATGAGCGCGCTTCGCAAAAGCAGAACGAGACAGAAAAAGGGAAAAGAAGAGAACAAGAAGAAGACAACGATGGAGAGGACGAAACTCCTGTCTCTATGAAAAAGAAACAATCGAAGAGGAAATTTACCATTGAAGATGGCGATGAGAGCGAGGAACCCCGGCCCAGGAATGGGAGCGCAAAGAAGGCCAAAATATAAAATGGAGAGTGAACTTCATAGAAACTAGGCTTAATTGTATTTGTGTATGATAACCAAGACCTTCTAGCAAAACAGAAATTGAGAAACTAACTTTACCAGAAGTTTTCACGTTATTCAAACTGATAATAGATTCGTATATGAAGCAAAGTAGCAATATACTAGTTAACAATGAATAGTCCAGAGGCATTAAATAAGGCTAGTTAAAGGCGCAATCGCCCTTACCTCCATTGCATTGTATTCTTAATGCAAAAGCGGAGGGAGATATATCCATCTCATACTAGCACAAGAGAGTAGAAATAGAGTCTAACTGACAAGAAATAGAAAGGCAAAGGTATGAGTGACCAACCAATCAAAAAGGAATATAGACTTAAACACGAAGGATAGAAGTAAGTGAATGTAAATTAAACAAATAATATTGATTCCGAGTCAACCGAGTGGGAGTAGATGATAGAAAATGAAGACTCTTTCTATCCACTCATCATTGTGGCTGTTTCAGGGTCAAGGCTGTCAACTGTATCTTCAGAATCAGTTTCATAACTCAGGATGCTAGTGCTTGCCCTTGGAGAGCCGATTGTGGTTAAAGGTGCGGTGGAAGAGGGGGCTGGCGTTCCGGCTGTATATCTCCGCGCAGTTATTTCTGTGATATCTTGAGGGGCGAGTCTGGGCCGCGTTTGGTCAGCCGCGGCTTGTGCACCGTTAGAATTCACAAGTTCCCCCACAAACTCAAATACTCGTCGTAATCCAAGGATTTCATTCGGCATTGTACCGTCGTCAGACTCTGGGGAGTCAGGTTGTAAACTTGAAATCCGAATATCGTGGTGCTGGGCGCCGCTAGGGCTAGTTGGAGATTGAGCGACTGGAGATATTTCTCCATGGCCTATCAGCCTGTGCCACCATTGTCTCATTCGGTATCGACATGCTGCGGCTCGATAGGCGTGGAGTGTTCGCCTCTCTTCACGGCGAGCTAGCATGTCCACCCGACGTCGTCGGCAGCTTATAGAGTTGCCGCAATGTTTCAAGAGCATATAAATAACAGCCACAAAAAGAGAGACGAATGCAAAGTCACGAATGACATGTTTTATTATAGCTGAGCGGGAAGGTAGTTCGTTGGATGGGGGTGGTGTGGATTTTTGTGGCTCTGTCCAACCTACGTTGGAATTTGATGGGGCATTGACAGTTGTTGTATTGCTAACTCTGGCAGGCTGGGATGCCTCGACTGGGCTGGAGCTGTTTCCATTAGAGTAGTCATCTGATTCACCATCATGACGAATCTTGGACACTGGTCGACAAGGGCTGTCGGCTAAAGATGTTGGCAACGGTCCAAACTGATGCTTCACAAGGCGGAACATGTCCGGGACAAGCTGAAAGGTCGCTGCTATAAAGCACTGTAGAGTCTTACACTCCTTGAGTTGCGCGGTAAGATTGGTACAGTCCTCAAAGAGGTGCTCTCGGATCCTTTCATCCTTCTCCTTGATAAGGCCATCAAGGGCCTTGGCCTGGTCTCTTAATTTATGTAACTCCGTAAGTTCCTCCTCTAAATCCGCAGCAGTGAGAGGAGGATCCTTGTGTAGACTCTCCTGCTGCTTGTCTTTTCCATTGGTGTTCAGCCACGCTTCCAAGATAGATGCTTCATCAGACATTGGTGCTGGGGATGTAACGAGACGTAAGATCTCTGGTTCACCCACAGAGTTAAACGAGACCGCAAATCCGGACGTCGCGTTTCCTTCTTCCTGGCCTGCAGGATAGAATGTGACGGTGAGTATCTGAGCAGCATAATCTTCGATGGAATCCTTAGGACTGGCAATGCACAGGCTTCTCCAATGTAGATGTAGGTCAACATCTTCTTTCTTTCCTGCCAACAGGGCCCGAACCACGCCTTCTCCAACGGCGTTGGCACCGTCCCAGGTAAAGTCCAGCTCCTGGCCATTTAGTCGCACATCACTCTCACCACAGACATTATTTGTCCGTGCAAGGTGAAGATTAAATATCTACCCTCCACGTTAGACTTTAAGGTAATAGATCTAGATAAAGGGTATTTGTTCTACTCCTGACTTACAACGTTGGATTCACTATCATCAAAACACTGCCTGCATGGTGTCTCAAACTCTACCGCAACTGCATCTTTACCTACACGAATACCACATCAGCCATCAGCTATATTGCGAGATGTATGAATCAATTGATAAGGAGAAGGAGGAACTAACTGCTATGCGACTTCAGAGTATCAAACTGGCTTCTATAGGGGATGGGTCGAGAGGAGACAGACACCACCAGCGAGAAGAGGATCAGGAACGTCTTGGCGGACCCAAACATGGTGGAAGAAAACCCCGAGCCCATGGGCATCTCATCCAGCCATGGTGCGCGCAGCTATTTTATCCGGAACGAATGACAAGAGATGATGCTATTTCCACCAAAACATCCAGCGTTGTTTCATAGTCAGCTCTGAGATGGGAAAAAGGAAGAAACGCTGTGACTTCGTGTTAAGAAAGCCGAGAAAGGTGCTGCGCCTTCTTGCTTATGTCATTTCTCTTACATCATATATTACTCAGCTATTATATCACGTGATGTGTCTAGATTTATCGTGATGTTTGTTGTCTTGCTTGACTTCAAGGCATCTTTCGATATCAATATTGTCGATGTACCTGGACAACGATGCCCTGTTGGAAGCATGAAAGGTGCAAACAGGGTGACCTTCTCCGTCCAAGCCCTCAAGAGTCTGCTAATGTCCTAGACTACTCGCATCATAAATGGCAATCGCTTCTTTCCTCTGCACAGGGCACGGCACAATTTCCTGCCTCCTGTAGCAATATAAAAGCTCTTTTACGCAGGATTCCTGCTATACCTGATGCTTCTAGCGTTGCAGAAACCGTTGAAAAACATGCTTTATCCCTAGAAGGATACTCGATATGGAATATCCAGTCAACTGTTGCCTGCCATCTTACCTCTGAGTCGAAGAAATCAAGACCTCAAAATATAAGAATTGGACAGTTAAAGCCTACACTTTGTAGTCTTTCAAATGAATTTCTTCCAGAGTGGACCGGATTTGGCAGTTTAACGCACATTCTTCCCGCTGGTAACTATCTTTGTGTATTCGTTTTGGGTTGGTCATACGTCCTCTCTACAAGCCTAGTTGAGCTCCGAGGAAATGAAAACGACCGCACATACTATACGGATACCAGGGCAACGGTACTGGAAAAGCTGGACAAATCTTTCTCAGATAACCACTATATATTATCAATTGGCAATGCAGATGAACGAGAATCTAGATGGTGGACTGCAATCCTTGCCAATGGATGCGGATGGCGAGCGACACTTACTAGACTTGAGGCTGAGTACTGCTCACCATGGGCCTGCCATCTGAGAGATGATGAATTTTTTACTATTCAACATGATAAACTTATATTCAACTTATCATCTAATATCAACCCTCCATCCTCAAACCAGGCTCTCAGTTACCTTCTTAAATTCGCTCAAGTGCATAACATATTTGACCAACTCCTTACTGCATTTATGGCCGCCCTTACCATACCAAACCATATTAGGTTTGGAGCGCCTGTTACCTTACCGACACCCCGATTATATTCTCACTTGAATAAGCAGAGCACTCTAGAGTATAGGCAGAAGATTCCATCGACTGACGAGATTCCATATTTTATGTCGTTATCGGCCATACCTGGCGTGATATCTTCCTGCCTATTTAGCTCTTTCTGGGAACCAGGAATACCATGCAATCTTGTTAGTGAGTGGCTTCACACGCCGCTACAGGAGATAATGCCATCCCTTGTCGGTGAAAAGAAACACCACATTATTGTGCGAATGCTGGCTGCCAGATCTCCAAACATTGCGCCCTTGCTGCTGGGCTCGATGATAACCGGAATGCTACATAGGATACCGGAAGTGTATAAAAGTTTTATACCCCCGATTTGTCTGGAAGCAGCTGTATGGAGTTCATCGTCACAGTCTTTTATGGACCCGACATTCCACCGTATGCCAAACTTGCAAAGGAGTCTTACATATAAAAAAATCATCCCGCGTGAGGATGAATTTCGGCTTCTTTATATCACAGATTTTGAATCTCTGGATTATGGGGCATTACCATTGAGCCCTTACCCTCCATTTGGGTATGTGCAGCTTGGGGATACTGCTCTTGGAGTACAGTTACATGTCTCATGCGGTCATAGCTTGATCTATAGCCATTGGGTTTGGCGTGGCCAAAAACAGGGGGAGGCGCAGTACTTCGATGACTATGGCTTGGTTCCATCGATCAATATATCCTCCCTTGATAAACAGGGAGACAGATGCTATGCCTCAGCTATACACAATAGCAGGTCATTGCAGCTCATTCAACGAAGATTGTGTGACACTGTCTTTACCAGTCCGCAGCAAATCTCCAATAACGACTTTAACGAAAGACTCTCCGAGACTGCCACTCGAAACCTATTCTCCTGGACCTTTTTCCCGGACGGAGTGAGACTGGAAGACAAGGAAATATGGCATCATGAATGGCTAGATGTGCTCCTTAGTATTGATGACAACGATTCGGCAGGAACTTCCAGTTCGTGCATCTCATCAGCTAAGAGGCGATCAAAATCTATAATATTATCTTGGTTGCAAACAATTTTCATTGAACAGCAAGTGTAGAACATATTAACCACTAGAGCTTATAGATTTTCCTAACACATCCAGCAAAGAGCTGAACGCATCAAACTCCAATTTTGCAACACTCTTTGATTGATAGGTATTTTTACTTCTACTGCCACCCCTAGTGGGCTGCTTCAATGTCTCTAACTAGATTCCTTATCTGAGCCCTACTGTTAATGTTTTTTCGTGGAAAAAAAGCTAAGGAAATGTCTTATCACCCTTGGACTACTCCTACTCACTACCTCTCTCTGTACAGCCGTATGTTGACTGTTGCATAATTATATACAAATACTACTGAAACATTACTGTGTTAAAAGACCGGGTTATTCTATTGAAGCATTTCGGACTAATCTGGAGGGTATGGTTAATCAGATTCGTTACCTCAGGTGGCGTAATTACATATAATCCCTAGTCTTGTTCTCACAGAATTCCCAAAACTCCTTTGCCCTCCCGGTTCCGCCATCCTCAGTCGATTTTGACGCATCAGCCAGGTCCTGTCTCAGTGTTCTAGAAATTCTGCCCCAGGGTATTATATAACACCCGTTTTCCTCCAAGTTTACTTCTGACGACAATCCGGCGTATAACTCGGTTGTGGCGGCTAACTCTGGCTTATATAGCAACGGTCTCGCTAAGAATTTCATCCATGGACTGTGTCTAAGGAGATTTGTATTCGCTGCTCCTGGGTTGAGAGAAACACTGATAATGTTATGAGAAGGTCCAACTCGGCAGGCAAGCTCAGATGCAATGAACATATTTCCAGCCTTTGAAGTGACGTAGGTGCGAGTTTGATCTTGAGGGGGGGAGGTGAGTTCAGACATGACGATGCCTCCCTTCGGGGCGGACAACTCGACGATTTGGCTTCCTGTCCAGATAACGCGTACTGAACCAGGGCTGGTTGTTGCCGCAGTTGTTTCCAGGAGGGGAAGAAGTAATTGTGTGAAGAGGAAGGGTCCCAGGCAGTTTGTTGCGAGTTGTAGCTCAATCCCTTGTTTAGATAGGCTTCCTAGTGGCGGCTGAGAGACGCCTGCATTGTTCCAGAGAATATCGAGTCTGGATTCTTTTTCTTTGAATGCTTCGACAGATGCTTTAATGCTGTTTAGATCGTCAAGCATGAGATGAAGAAACTCCAAGCCACCACCCTCGGGCACAGCAGCCTGTATCTCCTGGATTGCCGTTTGTGCCTTTTCCTCGGACCGCCCAGCGATGTAAACCCTCCCTCCTTTTCGATAAAGCATTTTGACTAGTTCCAAGCCGATGCCAGATGCACCTCCTGTCACGATAAAGACCTTTCCATCCTGTGAACCCACATCTGCCTCTGTCCAGGTCGGCTTGGGTGGGAAAAACTGCGAGAACTGAGCACCCATTTTGATCACAAGCTCCGTATCTGGTGCTGGTTGCCCTTTGGTTAGTGGGAAATGAGATGGTAAATGTTGAAGTCAATCGACACTAAGAGTTAGCAGGCAGAAAGGAAGAGAAGCTTGTCGCGAGGAAGTTTGAGATTAGGCTCTGGGGTTTGAATGGTGGCCCTTGGCGTCAAAGGTCCTTTGTCAATATTCTGAATACTACCTAAACTCCTCCGCCTGGTCACGAAATACTTGAACTGTTGGACAAAAGTTGTGCGACGTTATCATTGGTCTCATTCATTAATAATTAGTTATCATTCTATAGACAGGGCTGATCTTCACCATGGGCATGAGCCGAGGATCTACCACAGTGACCTACCAATCGAGATGGGTCCATATGCACGTTGCCCTCTGACGGAAGAAGGTTATGAGGAGGATGTGTCAGAGGTACTCTATGCTCACCATGTTGAAGGTCGAAATTAAATGACGTTTGGGGGGCAACTAGGCAGGGCGGTTGAGAATTCTACCGTATATCCAGCGAGACTTATTCCATCTAGAACATCGGTATGCAGAGCCACAGAGTTGCGTATCTGCTTGTTACGCTGTGCGATGTCATGATGCACGCTGGTTTCCGCTTTAGGAAGTCGCTAAATATGGAACTTGTCTGTGCTTTGAAACCCCACTTTATAAGCTTAAATCACATGATAAAATCTTTAAACAAACTCCAAAAAGCATAAAATTGACATCTCCTATCAGGCTCTTCAATTCTCTCATCCTCCCAATGCCTTGATGATCCCGAACATGTCAGTTTATGCACTTCGGACTGTGTACATAGTATATACGTATATGCAGCTGGGACAGGGATAAGGCGGGTTCCTACTTAGCTCACTGGCTACCAAACGAGCGAGCAACGTCCAATTTCAAGTCCACGCGCCCTTTTCACTGCTTTTGGTGGAAGCCATCCTTATAATCGGAATGCCGGCCCGAGGTTCTGACACAGCCCCTACAGATGGCCAATCCTAAGTTAAACCGCAGGCAGATGTTTACTCCTCCAGGCGGCTAGAAAAGTCACTGTGGGATACTTATCCGTCACCTCACTATACAAGCAAAAAGTTAAGAACTGGTTGAATAAAGATAATACTTTTGGCAATTGTCACTCATCGTATGAAAATTGACGTTGACCATACATAAAACAACTTAATATTATTTCATCACTAAAAATCAAGATGGAAATAGAGGGGAAAAAAGAAAAGAAAAAGAAAACTATACGACAAGAAACCAACAGGGAAAGTCCAGCCCCAGGCGTATGGATCTGTGCCTCTATTCACCTCGATACCTCAATAATCGTGATATCTTGGGCAGTAAATACTCCAGACGAGATTCCCAGTATGGCTGAATCTCACTGCCTCTAGATATGCGCGAGTATCTCTAGAGAGGCTAGGATCCTGCTTCGCTTTTTCGACGATGATGTTATACTTGGCTATTTGCTTTCTGATCTCCTCGGCGCATGCGACCATCGCTTCCTCTTCGCTCAGAGATCGCTCCTGCATGATGACCCAGACCGCGTTGAAGACATAGTCTAGGCCATCTGCTACAGCTTCATCACGCTCCTTTCTCCAAGAGTATAGGTCGTTTGTGAGACCAAGAGCGGCGTATCCTGGCCTGGCCAGTTCCATACAGAGTTCTAATTCGTCATCCGGGATAGTAAGGGCCATACCAAAGGTCAATGTCCCGAACCAGATTCTATACAGGAGTTAGAATCAAACAAAAATGGCGAGGATTTAACAAAAGTACTTACAGCTCACCAGCATCGATTACTCGGCTAGGAATATACTCCTCTAAAGTATCAAATGGCCGCGACCTTGTTCGAGCAGCGAGTTGAACGAATTTGGACCATGCCTTCATAGCTGTGATGGCGCGTGGGGCATCTATGGCAACCATATTTGCCAAAATCTGGGCTTGGAGCTTCTTCTCCTGCCCATCGTTGGATCTGGCTTCTTGATTCAATGCTTTGTCGTCATCAAAAGCATCCAGCATATCATGATGTTGCCCATCTTTATACTACTCCTGGTTAGCAATGAATATAAGGCATGCAGGAATGGAATGCCTTTCACTTACTCCCTTTAGGTCAAGCTTTTCCATGGCATCTATATGATATATTAGCACCGGATGGTATGGATTGAGTCATAATGGGCCTACCGTCATAGAGGAATGCGAACTCATTGGCATACGAGATGATCTCTAGTCTCTCAGGGAGGCATTCTGGGACAGTTACGCGAATGAAACTATAAGGGTAGCCTAGGCCACCCTTGTAGCCGTGCACCGGACGTACGTGCCTGCTCCAGTCATTCTGGGCGCGGAGCGCGCCGTTGATCTCTTTATAGGGATCCCGATGGATACGAAGAGGAATGCCGTGGGCGAGGCCATCAGTCTCATAGAACATTGGGTCAATCTCATCAGAGTAGTGGAACTCCATGGCCGATTATGATGTTTAGCGGAGATTATATGAGGAGAAGTGCAGGAAGGGTACAGCAAATATTGCACAGAAAATGGATGGAATAGACATGGGAACTAGAGTCCTTACATATCTAGATCCCTAGCCTCTTTATATGTTACCCTGATGTACGTCCAACATTTACAGCCTATGATCCTTTCACACTATTCAAATACCCTATCACCCGCTCAATAACGTTTATAGTACCGAGCATATACCTTTAAGGTACCTCAGGCACGGAAAGCTGCGGCGCACCCAGCCCCTGGGAATGGAAGGAAGACGAATGGGGCCATGATCCAGATTTGCTCGAGGTGGAGCTTTGTCTTGAAGCTGTTCTGGTAACTAGATGGAACCTTCAGGCGGGCCAGCCGATTGTCATTTTCAGCCTGCCGGGCCTAAATTAGCCAACCTACCAGCCATTAACCCAAAAGTAAAACAACAGACAGGGGTCGACTTGCCAAGACGCATGTTTATAGTGCAAGGCTTGTAGTCTAACCAACGGCTCAGCCGCCAAAACAACCATGATAGCTTGGGATGCGCTGACAGCAGGACCACGAGAGCCCGTTTTCTTTCCGTTTGCAATACGTATGTATACATGAAAACAAATTACGGCGTCAATAACTCTGATTGGATTCGTATGCAGGGTCCGTTCTTGGTGTCATCCCTGTTGGCTGCTGATCCGAGATTTCATCCTGGGGCTGCCTAAAACTCAATCGAGGGACGGTACAGCGCTACCAAACCACATTGTGCAAGGCTGGGCTGACTATTTCTGCAAATAAAAAGGTAGATAATGCGCACTGCAATGAATTTCGGTCTCTAGCGAGCATCTTCTCTTCCATTTTCTAATACGCCCTCTCCCTGAAAGCACATACAATGGATAACATATCGTTCAACCTACCCGTCACCCTGACTATATTGGGAGGGTCATATATCCTGTATTCTCTCAGCCTTATCATCTACAATCTCTATTTTTCCCCGCTTTCCAAGTTTCCGGGATCGAAATGGATTATTGCGACTTATTGGCCGGAGTTCTACTATGACTGGTGGTGCAATGGGAAATACCTCTTTGAAATTGAGAAGATGCACGACAAATATGGTGAATATAATCGATCTTTGCCAATATCATTTCCCTTCCTGGTAAATGCAAAATTTCTCTGACATAATGGCTTGATTTGGGAAAGGCCCTATAATCCGGATTAACCCTGAGGAGCTGTCCATTCGTGACCCTGATTTCTACAACGAGGTCTATGTCACAGAGAGTAAACGCAGAACTAGTCACTATGATGTTTTTTGCAAAGGAATTGATTTCGATGGTTAGCTGATTTCCCCCAAGAGAGAGAGGAGAGCTCTGTCAGTGCTAAATTTTCATCAGGATCACATTTACTCACTGTGGACCATGATCTCCATCGACGTAGGAGAAAGCCACTTGAGCCATTCTTCTCCCGTCAGGGGATTATGCGGCTTCAAGATATGCTGGCAGAGGTAGCTCTTAAATTGGAATCGCGAATCAGAGCCCTTGAAGGGACAAACACCGTGATACGACTGGACCATGCATTCTCCGCATTTTCCGGCGACATCATTGGGAAAATCTGCCTAGATAGTGGAGATGAGAGCAAGACTTTTTTGAGCCACCCAACGTTTAACCCCGAGTGGTATGCAATGCACAAGAGCTATTCTAACAACAAGACACCAATCTGACAGTGGGACCAGGTACGATACCATTCACACCATAGTTCGTTCGATTCCCTTGTTCACTGCCTTTCCCTGGATTGTCCAGTGAGTTTGGCTACCCCGTACCCCCCGGCTGAATGAGATGCAACATTCTAACATTAAGCAGGGTTGTGAGCTTTATTCCGGAATCAATCCTTCTCCGGGCCTTCCCAAGGGGCCAAATGTTTAACAACTTCAAGGATGTAAGTAAACCACTTTTGAATCACTGGATAGGGGCCGCGAATCGAAAATAATAGAAATTATAAGCTAAGATTTTTAATATAGGTTGCCAAACAACACATCTACCGGGCTCTAAGAGACACGGAAGAAAGTAAAAAAACAGGCAAGAAGGATACCCATCATGCCTCTCTCTTCCACTATATTGCAACCAGTGATATGCCTGAATCTGAACGATCACCGGAACGACTAGCTAAAGAAGCCCAGGTGCTTCTCGGTGGTGGAACTGCTAGTACTGCACGTACAATTGGCTTTACAGCCTTCTACATAATGTCCGTCCCAGAAATCCGGTCAAGACTGGAGGATGAGCTCAGGGATGTGATGGCAGATTGGCCACAACGCATCCCGTCTTGGGCTGAGCTAGAAAAGCTGCCCTTCTTACAGGCACTAATCAAGGAGTCCCTTCGGTAAGCCCTAGCTCTAATCTTGGTGCATGAAACTAATGCTAATAACAATTTACTCCACAGCCTCAGCTACGGTGTTATGCACAGACTTCCCCGTATTTCACCAGATGTGCCTATTCAGTACAAGCAGTACTCTATCCCTCCTGGAGTAAGATCATATTTCCAAACTCTCTTTGATTAAATGGAAACCATCAAGCTCTAACACCAGTCATCGTTTTCCCCCTCAGGTTCCTGTGGGAATGTCAGCTTATTTCATGCACTCTGATGCGAATGCATTCCCCGAGCCAGATAAGTACATCCCTGACCGATGGCTTGGGAAGATTACCCCTGAAATGCACCGAAGTTATGTGCCATTTACACGAGGTTCCAGAAATTGCCTGGGAATGAAGTGAGTGATCTCTTCCCTTACCTCTACTGGCCATCTAGTGGCTGTGGACGGATCTGCCTGCAGCATGCGTTCCCCTCTTAGCGGCGTTTGCTTCGTATGCGAAGAGATGCATGAGTATCCACAGTTTTGGGGGCTAACAGACTTCTTATTTCTTTCATACAGTCTAGCAATGTCTGAAATGAGCCTTATTCTCGCAGTCCTCTTCCGACCTCATGGCCCCAAGTTCGAGCTTTTCGAAACGGACGAAAGTGACGTAAAGCAAGCCCATGATTTTCTTATCCCGCTCCCCAAAATCGATACGAAGGGGGTTCGAGCCATCATCCGCTAAACTAGATGAGATACTTTTATTATTGCTCACGAATGTATACCACATTATCTCTATGTATATATGCCGGGGTACGCAAAGGCTTCATAGCATTAACAGTTAATAAACCCCAAAAACTACTTTCATTGGATACCTACAACAGAACCAACTATTATGTTCTGCCTCTGTATGGAGTACTCAAGTTAGCTATTTATACCCTGGTCGGACCAAGTCTGGGCTTTTTGGACTTAATATAACTACTATGTAGGTTACTCCATAACTAACTTACTATACTCAAGCCAACGATGGGCCGGCGGGGCGCCCACCGAGACTCAATGTAGAATAAACATATCGCTAGCTGGATGAAGCTACCCTACATCGTATTCGCCCCGGTTATAAGGTTAAGGATTCCCACCGTCATAGTACGGAGTATAGGGAGTACAATGCCAGGCTTTGAGGTATAAGGAGTCAGCAAGGCATCTTTGTTGTATACGTACTATAGCCGAAAGCAAAGCAGAGAAAGTAAACGTTTCTCACCGTTGAAATGATGGTGCCCTGAAGCTTGGATATGCAGCCGTGTTGGTCGTCTATGTATATTACGCCCAGTATTGCCATGGGTTGTATGCAGATGTCGGATGTTTGATATGGGGAGAAATGCACCAATGAAGGATGACAGGCTACCAACATGTAGCAGTGCAGGGTGAGTTTGATCTGGACAAGGGTACCCCATATAAGAAAATGGAATATAACAGGGTTGGTCCCAGGATACTATACTACAAGCAAAAGCTCCTGCCATCCCATCCCTTATTGTCTGGTAGTATCGAACGACCAGTATCGGTCTCTGATATGATCCCAGCCGCACGCCCTATACATACACATCACCGCGGAGTTTACCTCAATCTGATCGCAGTTTAATTCTTACCTCGATCGGTTTCTTCTCAACGAGAAGAAACGTCCTCAGCTCTTCCCATTTGAGTTTCTTTTCCTCTACCGCTTCAAAATCAAAGGCCCAGACTAATCTGGCGAGAATAAGCCTCAGCTCTGCCCATGCAAGGTGCTGACCTAGGCATTCTCTTGGTCCTACGCTGAACGGCTGAACAGCGTTCCGCTGGTCTTTGAAGAAGGGTGACTTTGGGTTGGCACTGGCCTCTGGGAGCCAACGCTCAGGGATAAAGGTTGTTGCAGAGTGGAAGAATGACGGGTCGCGGTTCAGAGTGTAAGCTTGGATACTTACCGCAGTCTGACATAGGGGTGTCAGATGTCTTGCATTTATATATATATATATATAGAAAAGAAAGCAGAGGGTATACGAGAAACAAAAAAACTTACACCTTCAGGTAACAAAGTTCCACAGACAGTATCACCTCCGCGAGGGACGACTCTAGGCAACATCCATGGGACAGGCGGACAAAGCCGCAGGCCTTCCCGTAGTACGGCGTTGAGGTATACGAGGCCCTGAAGGGCATCGAGCTTCATGTCGCTTTCGCTTTGGAATGCGCTGCGTACCTCTTTGGTGAGTTTCGCAAGTATATCCGGATTTGCCACAAGGTGATTCATCGTTCCGCTCAGCGTCGTGGCCGTAGTTTCGCTCCCAGCAGTCGTCATCACCATGAAGGTAGCGTAGATCTCTCCCACTGGCATCTTGGTGCCTCCATCCGCCTTGATAACATGGGACATGAAGTCAGGCCGGTCAAGTTCCCAGCTGAGACGCCGGTCCACCTTATCGACAATCTGCTGGAAATGATCCTTTTGCATCTTCTTTAGAGACTCGGGTATACATTTCATAAGCATGGAAGTGACCAGGGGGAAAAATTTGGTGGCCGATATAAACGAGGCTGCCTTGACGCTGTTGAAAAGTAGAGCGATCCACGGATGGTACCGAGAGTTTTGGAGACAGTCAAACGACTCGCCAAAGCCGAGTTCTCCAAAGATATCAAAGGTGGTGAAGTTGAACCAGGGCCCGATATCAAACTCCGCCCCCTTTTTACCGTCCTTTACTTCACTCGCCTTGTCGTGCATCCGTTCAATAAGAAGATTAACATATTTCTGCACCAGCGGCTCCTGGGCCTTTAGAGCACGTGTAGTGAAGCCGGGAGCCAGTATCTTTCGTATGCGAGCATGGTTTTCCGGGCTCATTGCACTCAGAATCGAATCAGGCTGGCCGTCCTGCCGTGCCCACCAGATGGGGTCCTTGAGGAATTGTTTATGCCCCTGACGGACTCGAAAGATATCATTGTATGCCTCTCCATGCGCAAAGGTGACTTCATCCGGCGCAGTACGTATAACCGGCCCATATTTCTGATGAAGCCTTTCAAAGTCGTGTACTATCGTTCCCCGGATGAGGGCTCGAATATAGGGGAGACGTGTAGCTGCCCATGTCCGAGGACCGGGGATCTTCGCCAGCGGGTGAAAGTACAAGTTGTAGATGATCTTGCATAGGGGATACTATAGAATCTCATCAGTCATATTCAAGAATTGAAGCAGTTCATAGATTTCTTTTCTCTCTCCCGTACCGCCAGCAACAATGCCGCCGCCACCACAACGCCGTGCATTTCGAAGACGGCCATATCAAAACAAAGGACGACGAAGAAGACAGAAGAAATTAGGCACACATATAAATTAGCGAGGAAAAACGGAGAACGGTGCTGGCCTTTTGTCCCGCGTCTGAATCTCTTCACTGATATTTACTAACTACCAAAGCTGGTCCCAGACGGGCTGCAACTTGGCGTCTTCAAACTCGAATCCCACGAATCTGAACGGGACTTTATCCTAGGACTCGGGAAGTCCGTATAATACTTTCATCGTTGTTTATCCCAGCCGTTGCTAACACTTGTTGGTTGTGGTCTTTGTTGGACGGCTTAAGTTATGGCGCTTTCTTTGATAACTACGTAGTAACCACTTAACAACTAACTACCACTCGCTAACTACCAACATATAGATATTTCATCGACATCGACATCGACGTCGGCACCTGCTTGAAGACGAGCCGTGAGGACTTGTCTAACCGCCGGCTTTGCAGTAGCCCAAGGCTGGTCCAGAATTCAACCACCAACCAAGATGGGGAATGTGATATCAGCTTCGGCTGGTGTAACTGACTGGCTGATGATTTCTTCTGGAGGACAAGAACAGCAAGCCAGCCTCGCTTCGCGTCTCTACGCTTTGTTTTGCCTGATCTTCAGAGGTCCTGATGTGCATAAAACCTTTTTTGATGTGATTCGAAAGGCTGGAAGGGCGAATATAAGCAAATCACAGCTGCTGGAATACGGGCTTCGCCCCCCCGGTTGTACACATGAAGAACAATCCACCTGTCCATGCTTGCAAGTTCCGTGTGGGCTACAGACGACCTGATTGAGTGGAATGAGAGAATGCATATACGGCTGAAGACCTCGCCAGAAGGATTTACAGGCCCAGGGTTCCCGGTCATACAAAGCATGTCTGTTTTTAGTACGACGAGCACGTTCGATAGCCCCCCAATATGATCACTGCTCGGTCCGACGAACCAGAGGAACCCTTCGGTGCTTCGTTTAGGCAATTCTGTACAAGTCGAGAGCTTGGGCGAGCCAATGCATGAGGCCAAGGCAACACAGGGAATCGTTGAACGGCATGCTCCTGATCTCCTCATTTATCCGGTAAAATCTCCTCCTCTGCAATGTCCTGCAGCAGGACGAAGGCTCTAGCGCCTTATATTATCTCTCCCCTGCAAGTCTGGTCTCTCCTCCTCTGGTCTCTCTCCAGTTGACTTCTTTTGTTTCTCATCCTACAAGACTCAGCTCTGTCCTCCCTACTCTCTCTACTATCAGACTGAGCTTCGGGTTATAGACGACACCATGGCTGCCCAGTGGCTTGGAGCTATCCCTCCTCCTCCAGGAGTTACCCCTAATATCATCGACCCTCCAAGCCAGTGGGCTGGGAATATTGCCCTTCACACAGTATGCCTCACGCTGGCGACCGCTGCGGTTGCGATGCGGGTATACACCCGTACACTCATAACTCGCACGCGAATGGGAGTGGATGACTGTATGTGATGTCTGTTCTATGCAATTGTTGTTGAGCCAAAAACTAATAAATACGATCTATAGATTTTTGTCTCATTTCATATGTAGGCAGCCATATCCAGCCACCGTTTTAGATCCCAAGGCTAAGGCATAGATATAGGTTTTGACAGTTGCATTTTCGGCGTTGATGATAAAATGTAAATCTCCAAACTCACTTCTTCAAAGAATACTTTGCTAACCTCCTGGAAGCGTATACTTTGGGTATTGGGCGCCATCTATGGGACACTCCACCTCTCTGGGTTCCATATGCCTTGAAGGTAGGAGATATACCCTCCAGGTATCAAGAAATATACGCCCCTAACGCATCATAGTATTTCACCTTTGCGCAATACGTTTACTTGACCCTCACCGCGACAATCAAGCTTACCTTCCTCTTCTTTTACCGCCGTGTCTTTTCGCCGCAGACACTATCAAATATCCTCATCACCTCCGGTATCATCTTCGTTGCTATTTCTCATGCCGCAATTCTCTTTGCGACTGTTTTCTCATGCTCCCCCGTCGCACGCGCATGGAACTTGGCCATCCCTGGGCGGTGCATTAATCCTACCATTCTTCCATATCTTTCTGGCGCCCTCAGCTCGTCAACTGATCTTTACGTGCTCATCCTACCAATTTACCCCGTGTGGAACCTGAACATGCCACTTCGCCGCAAGATCAAACTCCTTGGTGTATTTGGTCTTGGTATCTTGTACGTGTACCCTTCAGCTGACTCCTAATATTCACTCAATCTAACCACCGCTCCTCTCAGTGCCGTTTGTGCTAGCTTGGTTCGGCTTGCAGAGACACCGGTCCTACAAAGTAGCCCCGATGCTACATGGAACATATCTAGGTTGGCTGTCTGGGCGTGAGTGACACAAATTTCTCTACTTTAAATAGAGCGTACATCCATATCTAACCACCTACATAGCGTCATCGAAGCAAACGTGGGAATATTCTGTGGATGTCTATTACTACTTCCCGCTTTCCTTGATCGCCACTTGCCCAAGTCCATTACATCGTCAATCAAGGGACTATTCTCCACTTCAAACAGCCGACGACTCGAAAAGGGTGGCAGTTCCGACGCCTCCTCGAAGCAATACTCATGGCCCAATTCCAACCACAGCCACAAGGTCTCGATATCAACTTCTTCAAAGGGCCACAGTTACTTAGAGCTAAATCCTCCAAACAGTGTCCACGACACTGTTTAAAGATGGTCTATGTATCAGCTATTCTTTTTTTCATTTGTTTCTTCCGTTTTAAAATGTCGTGGACTCTACGGCGTAATGAGCTGAACTTGTATATATCACACTTCTAGGATACCTTTTATTTTCTTTTTCCTTCTCTATTAATTTAGAGTATAGCGCTGCGGCTGCTATTTTATTCTTTACTTTATCTTGAAACTTAAACAGAGCTACTGCGAAATGATAATATTACTGGAATAATAAACTTGTATAGATTTTGTAATGATATTGCAGCTTTATGCCCCTTTCTGAAGCGAGCGTACATAGAAACTAGATGGTCTTTCATCTATAACATGACTTTATATCCCCCAACTAGAACTTGAATATACAGTAAACCGTTAAGGGATATCAAGCTGTGACAAACCAGCTGTCATCACAATCCAGGCTTAAGAAACCTCCGCCGGTTCTTTCCTTTATATCGCTCTGTATAAGACTGATCGGAGTGATGTATGTGGCGCCAAAGGGAGCTGAACTGTCGCGGGCTAACACCAACCCAACGAATTCGCCTTTCGAATTGATGACCATAGAACCTGAGTCTCCCGGCCTTGAAAAGTCGCCATCTGGTGAGAGGACTTCCATTTCAAACGACCGCATTCCGGAAGGCCACCTGACCTCTCTATATAAACGGTTGATTACCCCTGACGTAGTCTCCGACGTACGTCCAAACTTGGCCACCCAATCTCCACACTTCACCTGGCCAAAACTCTTTACTCTGGATTCACCGTCTGCAAAGTAAGAACCGCAGGGGGGAAGACTGAAAGGTCCAAATGTAGATACCGGAGGAGGTTTATTAGCCACAAAAGTACCGGGACTTAAAATCAATGCCCAATCCACTCTGGTACTATCCCTTACTCGGCCTCCAGAGGCAAAGATTACTCTTCCGATAACAGGATCAACCATTCGACCTGATAGAACATTAAATTGGGATTCTATATTGTGCTCGTTAGGATGATCCCTTGGGGGGACGTTAATCAAAACCTTCATCGTATATGCAGCATCACAAGCCGCAGGGTATTCAGCCACAGTGCGTCCCCGTGGATCGTCAGGGACAACTCCGTTAATGTCAGTATGTGCAGCAGTGGTATCATCCATGGACCTGACAACATGGTAGCAGGTCAACGCGCAACGCATCCGGATATCCTTATGTGGTATGTTCAGCCATACCCATCCACCAAGCGAGCCTGGTTCAACATAATTCCCGGCAACGCTGATAGATGCTCCATTAACAGGGGGTTCGGTAATATTTGGAAGGAATCTGGGGCCATCATTACCCCGCAGAAAGGATATCTCCCCTGGGGAAAACTCCAGGTAAATATCAAATGGCACTTTATCCAGGATTTCCAGGATATGGTCCTCTGCCGCTTTAAAGTCCTCGCGGCTCCCGGAGTGGCAGGATACTATCACAGCATAACGTCCCATTGTTTCCGGAGGAAAGCCATTGGGTACCAGGGTATGATAAGCTATTGATGACCAGCAACTCTCCAAACTCGCCCTAACCGCCTCTGCTACCCCTGGCTGGATACCCTCGAGGCATCTGAGCAGAGCAGGATTGTTTGGCAAGACATGAGAGACATCGTTATACATAAGACGCTCATTCTGTATCTCCACTTGGATCTTGCCAGTGAAGCTAGTTGGCAGCTCTTTTTGAAATACTGAGAGAATTTCTTTCGCAGCTGCTTTCCACGAGCTCGGGTTAGTATCATTTGTGCATATCAGTATCGTATGGCACACTTCGCCAACTCCCTTTGCACGCCAGGCACCCAGACGAGCCGAATAATACGCTATGTAATTGCAATAAAGCACCCTGCTGATCTCCGGCTCTAGTACGTCCTGAAACAGCGTCTCCAGCACTGGACTGCTTCTCTCTATCTGTGGCAACATCATCGGCACACCGTGGCCAACAGCCCGGAATTTGTCCTTTTGCGCCACCCACTCTTCAATACTGGGGAGTTGATTTGGTCCTGTAGGCGCAGATGGTTAAATCGACTACGTTTAGCAGAACGTGTAAGGGCCTTACGGGTGATGTAGTTTTGGTCGCCTGGTCCGGCGTTTGCTCGTCGTATGCCAACCATCTTGCAGCAAAGTTAACTAGGTTTTTCTTTTAACATATTGAGCATCCGAAGTGTGAGTTGTGACCATTTTATAGGCGGAAAGGGTGGCAATTTTCTTAGTGACTGTGTTTGACATCATTGACTCCCAGCGGGAGTATCCAAAAGATTGGTAGCGGTTGCCGCGAAAGAAAACTTATTTGCCCCTTACTAAAAACTAGACTTGCGAAAAAAAAGGGGTCGGTTAAATTTGTAGTGGTAGTAAGTAGTATTATCAATTAAATGCAGATTGCTAGCAACTTCTATACCCGTATTCATCCTTGGTTTTCCACAACGCTCCCAGGAATATCATTATGTACAGTCATAAAGGGGGAAGAGAAAGACAAATTCTGGCGGTAGGTAGGAGAATTGAAGGATCACTTGTAGTAGGTATGAAGGATGGCTGGGTTGCCGGAATCCTTGGACCAGATCTCGATTCGGCCAAACTGGGTGCCGACAAAGATGGAAAAGTCACCGTTATCAGCAGCAGCCTTGCATGCCTGGGTGACATCGAGAGGACCCATGTTGTTCAAAGCTGGGACAAGAAGGGAGGAGAAGGGCTCTCCGCTGTCGGGGGCGTTTTCGCCAGTGACGGTATCTTCATCCCAGTTTGAGGACATAGCTTCAGAGACGGTCACGTTGATTGCCGTTTGGATTCGTTGGACAAAAGCAGGGAACTGGACGGTGCACTTCTTGACCTTCTTGGTTGGGACAGGGAGCTGGAAGCCGACAAGAGTGCGGATGTAGGCTAGGCCGCCGGTGTTGGCAAGGAGGGTGTTGTTGTGGCCGAGAGTACACTTGTAGCAGTTTCTCTCAGGGCAGTCAGGGCAGCTCACTGTCGAGCGCAGAATGGTTGAGTCTTTGAGTGCTGGACGACTAAGCTCGTTGAGTGGAGGTGGGGAGGCGGTTGCAACGTTTGCAACCATGGCAAGAGCCGATATGAGTAGGTAGCTGGAGAAATGCATCGCGAATAGCTTGATGGCTCTGAAAAGGTATCAAGGTATCAAAGTATACAAAAAGTATATCAGATCAGATGTCTTCTGGTAGAATAAGAGTTGGAATTGTTGTGCAAGAAGATAAAAGTCAAGGGGCGAGACCTTGTCCTTTATATAAACACTCTGCAGGAGTGACATTCACTCTGGAATCTAAGCTAATAGAGGAATAACGTTCCTGTCATTCTATTTTCAGTTTGCATTGCAAGCGCCAAAAGCTTAAGAAGTAAGACACTCTTGTCGGATAATGCGAATATCTCGCCTGTTCGCCGCCACGTCACTGGAGGCCTTCCTCAAAAAAGAAGCTGAGAGAGGTGTGGACATGACGGCAAATCCTCTGGGCCCATCATGATCGAATCGTGAAAGATCCTGGGTCCCTGAAATACGAGAACTTCTCGACTTAGGCCGGATAGCTCAAGCTTCCTATTGGCTCGACTGAGCTTCATCCGAGACAAACGCCATTTGAGCCTTTAGGATTTTGTCTCTGCTGAGTTCTTTTTTTGGAATGTACTGCCTCCAATGGCAAAAAGAACGATCCATCGAGGGACATGGCTGGAAGAGACTGTCGACGAAACTGCATAAACTATTGCTAATGGGACTGCCTGGCCGGGGCAGCGTTACAGTGGACGGTGGGAGCGAGATCCTGATGGCTGATTTGCGGGTGGAAGAATGCAACTCCCTAGCTCTTCCGCAGTTGTTTCCCGACGATTCCGGGGATTTCAATTTCTGCAAGGCTTCTTCTTGATATTCAATTTATCCATGTTCTTATGTGCAGCTTGTTGTTTTCTTTTTCGAAGACGTTGAAAAAAGGCATGGTTAGTCAGAAGGTTTAGAGGCTGGATTATTATTACTCCGTGATGACTAATGACCCCTTGGACGACCTCGATAGGATCTATGTATAGAGATACAAGGAGAACAGCGCAATACTTTGGAATATTCAGTAATAAAGTAGATTCATTGACAGTAGATATGGAGTAGCCGATATCTTAGGTTGTAGTTGTATATGCACGTACCTCGGCATGGCTTATTTACAGCCCGTAACGTGCACTTTGGAACACGGGCTAATAGAGCGCAGAAGGATCGGGGAAACGAAGTAAGAAACAAGGACACGAGGATTAAAAAGGAGTAAAAAAGGGAAAATGAAACAATCTTGCTCGATAGGAGAAGGAAAGAATCAAAACGCCAACTATTGGGGAATCTCGCGACGGAAACACTGGTACTTCTATAGAATCACAACGTGGTTATCTCGATTTTGATCAGCGCATGAGCCACCTACCTCGTGGATGCAATGACTACTTCTTGAAGGTGAAAGCCGGGGTTCGATAATCAATCGAGGCCTGCGTACAGATCGACAATGATATTTATGCCTGCGATGACGATTTCGGCCCCGATCAAAATGATCACTGTAGCATGTATTAGTTTCCCATTGTACAACCAGAAAATCATTAGAGTGGCAGCTTACCGATCCATTCGAGGTACTCTCCATGCCTATGGCTTGACTGGTCTTTGAGAACAGCAAGTAGATCAGCTATAACATCTAACCGCTCTGTGAGCAGTCCCACGCGCTGGTTCATTTCCAGATAACTTCGAACAGCCTGGTAAATCGGATCAAGCCGAGGCTCCGCCCACATAAGTTCAGGGCTATCAAGTACAGACCCCTGGAGATGAATATTTATGCGAAGTATAAAAAGCTCACCGATCTGCATATTTATCTGCCTGCGCGTGAGATTCACACCTCCGGTTTGGGCAATCTGCGACGGCAGTGGTGACGTTGCCGTAATCGTTTCGCTGACTAGGTCTTCAAAAAGGGATGTCTTGACAGATTGGGAGAGCGCATGTGAAATGGCCAGCTTCGTCATGTAACTTCGAGGGTCACGTAACGAGATGAAGTCGTTGTATATTCGAGCTTGATAGTCACGGGTGTAGTAGAAGTTGAAGTTCTCAACTTGCATGTCCTCTGCACTCAGTACCGAGTTTGCAAATCTGGATACTTCGTGTAGAAACCGGGTTTCCTGTTCTACAGTCATTCCCCATATTACCACAGTCCCGTAGTCAAACAGGAATACTTCTGGTGTATCGATCGCCGTGTCTAAAATGAGGGGTTCGTCAGGTAAAGGAGCCGTTATTAGCGCGTGAGGTGATGGCGGAGACAAGAAGGATTGAAGGTGGTCATCATTGTTCATACTCATATCAAGGAGATTCCCCCTCTCCTGAGTTTTATTTGATTCAACCTCCAGTTCGCTATCGGAGAATCCGCGGTCGAGTTGGGAACGTGGGTCATTGTTTGGTGTTAAGGAGGTTTCTGTGGTACCATCGCTGCGTCGACGGGGGGCTTTCATCTTATCATTATCGTCATAACGGTACGGTGAATAAACGCACTCGTCGAACAGTTTTGGATTCGTGCCTCTTGTCGCTGCTCTCGACTTTAAGAACCTAATCACACTCTCTAGCTTGTACGAATTGGCAGTGCAGTATGCCGTCACACGAGGAAGCCGCTCTCTATCCCCTTTACCCAGTCTCGCTGCATCTCTTCTTGCCGTAGGCTCCTTGATACGGGTTATCTGGGAGTAGACATCTCTTGGAATCTCGTCATCGACCCATACGTCATCTTCACCTGTGACAGGGTTTGGCAGCAGCTTGAGTTTCTGGGTAGTCTTTGTCGTTCTCTGGGGGCCAATCTTCGGTAACGTAGATATCTTCCCAGCAATCCCTAGCGATGGTTCTTGAGAATGCCGACGTCGGAGTTTGCTGTTAAGAGCAGCCAGCACGGGCTGTCCAGTAGGGCCTCTTACGGCGGGGGGAGAACTTGGATGCAGAGGTTTTAGCTGATTGGCAGCATCTTGCGCTTCATATGCTGGTTCGCCCCTTGTCGTTGGGCCGAATGTTACAGACTTGGATGGCTGAGCGGTCGCAGCTTGGGAAGTAGTTTGGGAGGTTGACTTGCCATGTCGAAGGAGAGGAGACGACTCAGACACGTTTGAATTCATTGTGCAAAAGGATATATGCTGTTCAAGGAGATAATAGAAGCCCGCTCATTGACATGTCCGCCACTATCTAGTCCCCCCTATGCAGCTCAAAGACATGCTAGCAATCTTGCGGTGTCAAACCAACTTCCTGATGTAATAAAGCAGCTTCGTTCTCCATCCAAGCTCAGTCACGTGTAAATCTTATTACATAATATAATTAAATGCCAAGACCAGAAACACGTGGATGATCTTCCCGCGAAGGATACGAAGAGAGAAAAGAGAAAAGCGATAGATCAGACAACATACACAGTGATGTGTAGATATACAGGCTGGCGGCTTGTTGGAGTCTAGAGCAGGAATTTACGGATAATAATACTTAGTGGTTTATCGTAACAGTTGACTGTATTCATGATAAGCTACTAGGAGCCAGCTTGATACTATGATGCCTTGCATATGGATCTATATAGGGGCAATGGCAATAGATATAACACTGTCATCAATTGGTTAAACATCACTAACAGCGTAAATGTTTGGCAATATCGTATGGTAAGGTATATATTATATGCCAGATATAGGCCCGGAGGACGGCCTGGTTAACCATGGTGAAAAGAAGATCGTCACCTGTACGGCTCGATCCTTTTAAACATGGAGTAAAGATGTCGTAAAAAGGGTGGTGTGGTATCATTATTTCACTACTGCAACGCCAGATAAATCACTTTTGTACAAAGCTTCTTGGGCCTCCGGTACTATGTCGCAATGCCCCGGTGGCTCCTCTTTTTCGTTTCCCACCAACCCAGTTCTCCCTAACGCGCTTGCTGGCATTTGACGCCTTCGGTGGTAGAGCAGAATTGAAGCCATTGCCCGAATGACTCAACACTCTGATAGCAGTCAATCCCACTTTTATGTCCTTTGGTGCCTTTTCGGCTGCATCTGTAAGCCTGATATGTCTCGGTTTGCCCGTCTGTAGCTTTTCTGCTTCAAACGCAGTTATTGATGGTCGAGCCGACGGCTCTGCATTCAAAATCTCATCGGGAAGCAGTGCTGGCAGCGGCCTGGATAGACTCAATTTAGAGTCTCGTGTTTCAGCACTGAGTGTCATTGAGGTTTCGGACTGTTGTTCGTCGTGCTTTGCTGCCCTAGCTTCCGCCTTTCTAGCCTTGGCTTCCCGTCGGGCGTCCGCTGCCTTTTGAATGGCAGCTTTTGAAGCGGCTTGATGTTGTAAACGTTTTTCATGTTCTCTTCGTTTTTCCCTTCTCAATTGCTCATGCCTGTTATATTCGACATAGTCAGTATCCGTTTAAGCTGAAAGAAGAATGATATAAGGAGAAATCCTATCGAATGACCTACATCTGCCTCGTCTCTTCTTTTTTACGTTCCGCGTCGCGTATTTGTGATAGCTGCACAGCATTGCTGAACGCTTCCGGAGCTTCGTCATCACTACTCTCATCGTCATCTGCTTCTCTGTCTACTTGCGACGCGGTTCCATTCTTCAATTCCGTACTGTTGTCTTCCTTCTCTTCATCATCCTCTAGGTGGGCGCCGTTAGCTTGAGCAGGTTCCTCACTTCCAAAGCGGATTTTCCTTAGATTAGGCATGGAGGGTTTGCTATCCACAGGCGCCGTCGAGGTCGAATCCGTATTTGGTCGGTTAATTATCGTAACAGACTCCAACACCTGCAGCCGCTTAGACTTGGTACCCTCTCCCACAGATGTCGCCGGAGTTGAAGCGCCAGATTCAGAAGCGTTCCTGCTTGAATGACCCTTCCGTCTCTTCTGCGGCCTATTATTCGTATTTTCTGCCACGGTTGATGGCGTCTTTTTGCGCTTTGCACTCAAAATCGGGGAGTCATGGGTCGCAGGCGTTTCCTGCGAAAAAGTCGAATTATGAGTTGCCGTGGCCATGTCGGTGGGCTGTTCTTGTTCGGACGCCGTGTCTTCGGCGTCGTCAGATATCTTGAACAAGCCACGAGCAGCTGTAACTATCTGAGACAACATATGGAAAGGAGAATACTTGAAGAGCCGTGGAAAAAAATAGTTGCTGCATATATTATCTGCATTATTACGCCAATAGTAATTTTGTCAGAATTCTAACGAGCTAGTTGCTTAGTCAGATCACCATTCCCACTTCTTGTGATTTCAAGTAGCAGAAAGATATCAACCAATAATGTTCAATTACCGGTTGCTGCCAATTGCAAAGCCGAAGGAAATGCCTTATGGTCACCGAATTCATCAATGGAGCCTTAACATCCACTCAATTGCGAGACTATTAACTGAAAGATAGTTATTCCATACGAGAGCAAAGGACGGTTACATAGTAACAACCGTCAGATATACTGGGAGACTGCTCGACGGTCCAGACGACAAGAAAATCAAGACTGTCCTGGAAGATACCCTCTTATCCCCGAGACTTACATGGATCTGACATCTGGAGATTAAGCGGAACATGGAGGCGTTGGCTCTAACACCTGGGATAGAAAGGTTAGAAAATGAGGGAGCGGACCAATGATAGCAGGTATGTTTGCTTAACGAGGAACGTTTGTGGCATAGGTTGACGAGCCTCTTAGGGTACCTGTTCATTAGCGAACCATACTCTAATTCAATTAGATCCAGCTTCGGTGTAGCTCATTAAGGGCTTTGGAGACCCTAAGCAGCGAATTCTATTTTTAGGTGGTATAACCAATGGGTTTAGAAGAGACAGAAAGGAGCCCAAGAGTAGGATAAAGCTCTTCATAACATGCGGGTGCCCAGTAGAACGCTTTATACTGGAAGACCTGTGGTCAAGGTCATGTGCTAACTGCTCGGAGGCTGTTCGTGGTTGGGATGAAGTCGAGTTGAGCCTCCTTCATATACTATTAGTCGTCCCCAGAGCTGGTGCTGCACGCCAAACCGGGAATTTTCAACAGTATGGCTCTTTATACCACCAATTGGTAAGGTCTGGTAGGTGGTTTTGGAGAAAATACATACTATGTAGTATGCAGAGTTGTAAATAGCAGGTAGATATTTATATCCTACTTTTAAAGAGAAAAGAGTAAAAGGAACTTCATTGCTCGTATGCCGCTTGCACCCGAGAAAGGTATGGCCAAGTCTCGATAGAACGCTCCCAGGTATCATGAGATGCCACCAATAACGCCGTGTATGATTGTATTCCAAATAGAGTAATCATAGCCATATATTATTAGCTGTAGAGACCTGAAGCCTCAGCAGTTCTTCTTCTCTCTTCAGCCTCCTCTGCGGCCTGGAGGTAATCGTCCTCTCCGACATCGCTCACCTCATCCCACATCTTCTCAAACTCCTTCATGTCGTGTGGAGGTACGGCCCACATGTTCTCTCGCAGCCGCTTATTTCTCTCCCTATCTTCCTCTACCCGTTGTTCGATCTGCTTCCGGTCAACGGTAACCCTTGATTTTGTGGCGTTCGATCCGCCCTTTGTGCTATCCGTGGCGGCGGGATGGCCTAGATAAAAATATGAACAATTTCCCGGGTTGAAATAGAAAATGGGTAGTTGTATTTCAGACACCGTTTCGTGAGAAAGTATCTCCTTTGATTGAAGACCGTTCAAAACACGACGTACATGTTTCACGTTTGCAGCCCCGGAGCCGTCAGCCGGGGCAACGGCATCGACGATTCGAAGGATATCACGCTTGATCATACGGACAAACTCGGGATGGTTCTCGTTCGTGGCCATGTCGGCCAGATGTTCGATAAAGTACATGATATTCGCCCGGGTATTCATGTTACTCTGCAAGCAATTTGTCAGCTCAACTTCTTTATTATGAGTTCAGGGGACCTCTGTTCTGCGCAATCCCGATAATGCTGGCCTACTCACCCTTTCCAATTGCTCTAATATGCATGAGTGGAGGTCCTCCCCCATGTCCCTGTGTTTCAAGACATAGTTGGCTGCCTTCTGTGACGAGGTAAAGGATGCACTTAGATGCTGCAGTTGCGTGGTGAAGCGCATGCGGACCTCGAACGGGTCAGCCATGCTTGAGTGTCGTTGTCACAGTGTCTTCGTGGGCTCATGAGATCATGGCTCCATACCACTCCGTGCCACACCAGGAGGTCTTGTTGGCCCTGTTTTGGTTTGATAGTCGCTGCAACTTTGCGCTTTTTGCGATTTCGCTTTTCGTTTTTGCTTCGTGTTGAAACTTCCAAAAAGGTTAAAAAAGCCATGCTGACGTAATATGCCTTACTTAAACACCCTAAACGGGTAAAATCGGGCGCATGGGCCCCTTGCCACCGGCCCGAAGTTCTTCCGAACCTTCCTTCGTTTAAGGTTTTCATCTAACAAAAATAAAACTTCGTCATATAAAAACAGCCTCAGTTCCCGTGCGAACTCCCAAGAACGCCTCTTGCGCCCTTTATTCTCCAGTTTCACCCCTCTCCTTCGACTCTTAATCCTTTTTTTCGACTGTTTTCCACGCTACGACACCTGCAATCATGTCTTCATTCATGGATGGAACCCTTTCTCTCGGTCACTCTGGGACTACAGTGACGTTTCTTGGATGTGGTAGGTTCCTCCCGCGGCCGGGGCTAGGGATGCATGTTCCGAAGAAAAACAAATGAGTGACTGCGGCTAACTTGGCGCCATCAGGAACCCTTGGGACTTCGATCCTGTCCGGCATAATGGCATCTCTCTCTGAACCCAGGAGTTCGTCAGCCTATCCTCCACTGTCAGGTTCCGCCACGCCTTCAGAGGGTTTGCCCTTGCACCAGATCCCATCTCGATTCATTGCCTGTGTACGAAGGGCCGAGTCGGTGAAGCGTATACAGCATATCCTGAGCCCGTACCACCTTCCCTTGACCATTCTGCAAAACGAGAACGTCAAAGGTGTCACCGACAGTGATGTCGTCATCCTCGGCTGCAAGCCATACATGCTGAATGACGTTCTCAATGTTCCCGGAATGAGAGATGCCCTCAAGGGTAAACTCTTGATCAGTATCCTTGCTGGTGTGCCGGCTGAACAGATCGAAGAGGTCCTGTACAAGGACTCTGATGTTGACATGGCAGACAGATGTCGTGTCGTTCGTGCGATGCCAAACACTGCCGCCATTGTTAGGGAATCGATGACCGTCATTGCTAGCACCAACCCGCCACTTTCCCACATCCAGAACACAATGGTTGCCTGGATCTTCACTCGTGTGGGTCGTGTCATCACTCTCCCCCCACACATCATGGACGCAAGCACTGCTCTGGCTGGATCCGGCACTGCTTTCGTCGCCCTTGTTTTGGAGGCCCTGGCTGACGGAGCCGTCGCCATGGGTCTCCCAAGAGCCGAATCACAGTTGATGGCTGCTCAAGTTATGCGTGGAACCGCTGGGATGGTTCTCAACGGTGAGCACCCGGCTCTGATTCGTGAGAAAACTAGCACCCCTGGTGGTTGCACTATCGGTGGCCTTCTTGTTCTCGAGGAAGGGCGAGTCCGAGGAACGATCGCACGCTCTGTTAGAGAGGCAACCGTCGTTGCCAGTCAACTTGGCAAGGGTGTCCAGGGCGTTAACGGAACAAGATTCTAATTCTAATTATTTGTTGTATAATACTCATACCCCGTTCTGTACATTGGGCTGGTCTACCCTCCACACAATTTGTCAACACGATTCCCCTTGGTTCATGATAAACTGTACAAAAAAAACTTTTGATACCTTCATTTCTTTTGTTACCATAGATGGTTAAAAGGTGGGTGCATGGACATAGGCTTAAAACAAAATAGCTCTACTTATTCGTATGACTCAATTTTAGAGGGATATTGAATTGGACTATTATCAAATACATTACTTATACAAGCATGAATGTGTCTTTCTCATAACATGTTTCCATCATCGTCAACGGGGCTAACAAGCATCGGGTTATCAGAACGGGTTGACAAACCGTGTTCTCCCAAGCCGTCTGTCCGCAATATACCCCTATCAACCCCAGTGCCGTTTTCCCCTTGGGACTCATTAAGAATATACCAGATATCCTTCTTCGTCAAGAAACCTTCTAACCTCCCTCTATTAACGATAAGCACATACCGGAGGCCAAGCCTCTGAAACATATTTACCACAATCTGAAAATTGGCATGTATGTTAAGTGTGATGGGGGTCTGGTCCATCCATGGGCGAAGGTCAAGAGTTTCGGCAGGATCGGCAAACGGCTGGTGTGAGAAAAAGGCTTGTGTCTCTGGAGATAGATTCCCTGAATGGCGAGAGGATGAGACCTTCAAGGCATATGATAGTTCGTTGCGCGAAATATAACCAAGTAGTGTAGGGCTGGCCATGTCCGAAACCACAGGGAATCCGCGGTAGGGGGTACTGGAAAGCAAGTTATTCAGGGATTCAACAGTGTGTCCGACGGCGGTGATTAATGTCAGATCGTTGACGCTAGTCATAACCTGGCTAACCGGTACGTCTGGAGGCGCACTATCGTCTTTCTGGTCCAGGAATGGATACTCATTTAGATGTATCCAGGATTCATAAATGCCATGCTTCCCAAATATATCACCACACCACTTGGAAAGCATAACGGCAATCATAATAGGAATGACATGTGTTAAGGCTCCTGTTAGCTCAAACATGATAACAACAATTGACACCGTCATCCTAGTGGCTCCTCCTAAAGCAGCTGCGGCTCCAACAATCGCATATGTGTCTGGTGTGACGCAAGGCCCGCCAGGTTCGCAATCACTAAAAAATAGAGAATTTGGATGCGCCTTTTGCCATATGCTAACGGCTGTGCCGAGAGCCCGACCATATAACGCACCGATGGCAAGAGACGGAAGAATTACGCCAGCAGGAATATCCAAGCCAAACGTAATCGACGCAAGCAAGAACCCAAGAGTTGCAGCGAAGACCAGAGCCCAGACTGTCCCGGGAGAGTCAGCATTACTCTTACAAAGTCCAAATTCATCACCGGGAGTCTTTGCACATTCCGCAAAAAGAGCGTGTAAAAGCTCTGATAATTGTGCTTTCATAAAGGAGTTTGGAAAATTTATTAGGCCGGTTAACAGAGCCACGAAGACAACTTCGAGGACAGGGAAAGAAAAACTCCGGGACTTTCGCCATCTAAAGACCTGTATATTTAATTTGATGAACAATCCACCGTACAGACCTCCGAAAATGCCGAGTAAAATGAATGGTAGAATCTCAATAGGATGCCATCCCCGAGAATCGGTGACCTGGTAAAGGACGATGTTTCCTGTGCGGAATGGATTAAGAGCATGTAAAGCGATTGCTGCCGCCATAGCACAAACGAAGCTTTGCCACATGGTTTTATCAGGAAAGTAGTAGGAAAGTTGCTAGTTCGAGTTAGCAGACTTAGACCCAGTTATGGGGGCGGGACATCATGCCTCAAGACTGAACAACACGCCGCCTATAGGAGATCCGAATGCTACTGATATCCCAGCAGCTGCGGCTGCAGATAGGACTTCTCTCTTCCTTGCTATATAGAATTTGAGAATACAGATAAAAAGATGTATAAAAGGCTTGGTACTCACCTTCATTTTGATTGAGACTGCTGAATGGTTTCATGATCACATTTGCACAGCAACATGCAACATGGACTAAGGGGCCCTCCTTCCCTAACCACATACCGGATGCCACAGAAAGGCACTATAAAAGGGTGAGCCTGAGACGTTTACATTAGAAGCTAAGGATACTTACCAGGCCAACGGATTTGATCGTTAATGTCCATAGTCCCATGAATCGTTTGATCACAAAGCCTCCTAAAATTGTTTTAATTTCAGGAATTCCGCTGTGTTTTGCGTGAGTGGCATAGGACGTGACTAATATAGCGGCACTAGTAGCAAACAAAATCGAGTACAGGATGAAGACCATATACTCTGCAATGAAACCACCAGCTTTAGACTGGATATGGAATGCATCACGCCATAGGATCCAATGCCTGCAATCGGCCGGATCTAAAGAATGTAAGAACTTGGCCACAAGTTTTCATTAACTTAACGTTGGGAGTCGTACCATCATATCCCCAGCAACAGAAACTTCGATTGAGGTAAAATTTCCCCCCTTCCATACCTGACTGGCAGTATCCCACTTTTATATCAGCAAGCCAACGGCTTGCTATATCAATGCATCCTGCTAGAAGACCAACTGCTAAGCCGGTTATAATTAGTACCAGCCAAACCTGACTTGCATCTAGCAGCTGCCGGAACGTGCCCAGCAAGCCAGGGTTGTTTGCGTTCAGGTGTCGTATCCGCTGCCTCTCTTTTGCGTATTCAAAAATCCAATCAATCGCAGTCAAGTTGTCATATCCTACTCTTCTCCCGGGTCCTTCGATATACCAGTCCAATGGCGCTCCAGGCTTCTGGGATGAACCGGACTCATTGTGCCCTCTGATGTTATCTTGAGCAGTTGTATTATGCTGTGGCTCCGGTGTACTCTCGTCGATACTTCTATGGCTGCCATGAGATGGCAGAGGTGTATCGTGCGTGCTGCCAAATATACTGTGGAGGCCGAAACGTGATGGAGGTTTCTGTCTGCGCTTAAAGGTGATCCTTCGAATGGAAGTTAGAGATTTATTCCGAAATAGCTGCTGAGGCAGGTTAACTTACGGTTCCTCTGGTGATTCCTGGATTTGATTAAAAGATCGTGGTAGCCCATGGTCCGCGCGATCCGTGCTAACAGCATCTGCCATGTCTATTGATAGTTCCCCAGGCACCGCCATTCCATCTCGTGCAGCAGGACCTATGCTGGCCGCAGGGTTTGCACAACAAGCCCGATCATAGAGCTGCGTCTGGAATCTTCTTCTCTGTCGTAAATATTATTCTGAGGCTAGAGCTACCGTAATTAATATTGCTACCTGCTTTTCGTCCATAAATTGCGGTCGTTTCACAGCTGGTCAATGCGCAGAAAAGGCCGTATATCACGTGACAACAAATGCGCAGGCGGTGAGAGATGGCAGAAATAAAGTTTCGGCAGAAAACTATCTCGATAAGGAAATTTTTTGAGATTTGATAAAGTTATCAAATTCCTGTGCGTACAGGAAAAGTTGCGCTGTGTAGGAGCTCTCAAGATGGAAGCTATACCAGCTGAGCCGGAGTTCTCAATAGAACCTGGCCTTTTACATAAACTACCCGAGGAGCTGTCACAAACGATTCTTCAAGCTCCAGCCAGTGTCCAACAGGAGCGATTGGTGCTGGCTTCTTTAGATCCGAGCTATACAGCTATATTATTCCCATTGCTAGAACCCGTCTTTGTGGACATAGCTGCTCAATGGCTTTCTCTAGATCTTACTGTCCATCTTGACAAAGTTATCTCGGCATTTTCACGGATCTTGCCGCATTCCCCATACTTACGGCCGTTTGCTGAGAGAGCACTTCGGACCCAGAACGTATGCTTGCCGTTATTCTCAGAGCAGTGTCCTTCAGATATTTTACATATCAAGGATGGTTCTCTTTTATCATTGCTACTCTCAGCTTTCCGGCTGCTGAGTTTCGATGTGGGCACCTTTTCACCGTTCATATTTCCTGATCAGCTGCAAGCTCTATTCCTCCACTCCGACAGGATAATACGATGTATGGCAATCCGCTGTTTTTGCCTACATATCCGAGCCGCAGACGCTATTTTGGAGAATATGCTTAGCCGGTATTGCGGTGATGGCCCTCTTGATTCCAAGTGGGAAAACCAGATTGTTGATTTCAGGTTGATCAGCTTCTGGGAGGAACAGAGATATAATGACCTTGAAACGGCACTACACATTGCCCGACGAAACTGCAATAAGGGTTTCTTTGAGTTATGGATTAAGTATTTCCGATCATCGAGTTTTACAGCTGAAATCGGAGGAGTTCTTATCCCTACATTGAAACGGAGCACCAGAACTCAGCCATTTAAGCTAGTGCAAACACCAGCTGTCCGAACTAATCTTCGTAAGGTGGGAGAGGCACTCCTATCCCAAGACCCACTACTACTTGTCGGGCAACCAGGAGCTGGAAAAACATCACTAGTCATGGAAGCTGCGAGTGAGATGGGAAATTTATCATCCATGATAACATTGCACTTGAACGAACAAACGGATTCTAAGAGTTTATTAGGTGTCTATTCGACATCGGGTCAAAGTGGCAGCTTTAAGTGGCAACCGGGGGTATTGACTCAAGCAGCCAGAGAAGGAAGGTGGATTTTAATTGAAGATCTAGATCGTGCACCAGCGGAGGTAATCTCAGTTATCCTACCTTTGATTGAGAATCGAGAACTTGTTATTCCAAGTCGACAAGAACATATTCGCTGTGCGGAAAGCTTCCGGGTTATTGCGACAATGAGATCCTTTTTAAACGGCAGAGGAGATGAAGTTTTGCCAGGAAATGCTACGCTTGGGGGCCGACTGTGGAATACGATACGCGTTTCACCATTACCAATGGATGAGGTCTCACAAATTGTCAAGAACGAATTTCCTCTACTTGACCTTACTCGATATGCTGATATATTCCTGCCCCTCTATTCTCGAATCATTTCAACACTTGTCGGACGCGGAGCGTCGAGGCGGGTGCAAGGAAGGCCCATAGGGCTCCGAGATTTGATGAAATTTTGCGGTAGGGCAGAGACACGCTTAAGAAGGCTAGGGATCAAGAGGGGGAACGAATCGGTACCAGCTCGTATCGATGACGAATTTTTTATGGACGCTGTTGACTGCTTTGTTGCCCATATCCCAGACAATGAATTGCGTTTAGCTCTTGCGAGTAACATTGCCGAAGAAATGCATATCCCACCGCAAAAAATGAGGTTCTGTCTTTTGGAGCGTGTCCCAACTTACTCCAACGAGGCTTCAGAGCTAATAATTGGAAGGGAGACCTGCCAAAAGACCAAATCACGGAACAAGGATGGATCAAAGTCTAAACAGAGTAAATCTTTTGCTGCTACAAAAGCCTCCCTGCGGCTAATGGAACAAGCTGCTGCTGCCCTTCAAGTATCAGAGCCTATACTACTTGTTGGAGAGACTGGTATTGGTAAAACTGCGGTCGTGCAGCAATTAGCAGCATTATTGAATCAGCGGTTGACTGTCGTCAATTTATCCCAGCAAAGTGAGGCCTCAGATCTCCTAGGTGGGTATAAACCTGTGAATCTTCGTTCAATAGCAATACCACTAGTGGATGAATTCAATGCACTGTTTGAGTCCACATTCTCAGTCAAAAAAAACCAGAAGTTTTTATCCTCGGTTGCAAAGAGCGTTGGTGCTGGAAATTGGCCTCGTCTAGTCAATGTACTAAACGAAGCTGTTACAATGGCCGCTGACTTGTTTAGTGTGTCAAAAAAGACCCAAAGTGATGCAAACGAGTTAACTGAGCAACCAACCAAAAAGAGAAAGCTGGATAGTCCAAAGTATAGTTCGCTTTCAGCAAAGTGGTCATCATTTGCATCAGATTTCCGACAATTTGAAGCCAGAGTTTTACGAGGAGATGCTAAATTTTCCTTTGCTTTTGTCCAAGGAAAGATTGTGAAGGCATTGAGAAATGGTGAATGGGTGCTACTGGATGAGATTAATCTTGCATCACCTGACACCCTTGAGAGTATTGCGAGCCTATTACATCATGGGCGTGATGGCAATCCATCAGTTTTACTCCCAGAAGCTGGCGAGATGGAACGAGTTATTGGTCACCCAGATTTCCGAATATTCGGAGCAATGAATCCTGCTACAGATGCGGGAAAACGGGATCTAGCCCCTGGACTGAGATCTAGATTTACAGAGCTCTATGTTAGATCCCCCGACAGCGATATAGATGACCTCCTGAGTCTGATACGTACTTACCTTGGCCCCCTACTGAACCGTGATTCCCGAGTCGCCTCAGACCTTGCCAGCGTCTATCTCGAAACAAAAAGATTGGCGATAGAGAATCAATTAACAGATGGTGCTGGTCACAAACCACATTTCAGCATCAGAACTCTTGTTCGCACTTTGATGTATGTGACAGACCAGGCACATATATATGGTGTTCGTCGTGCTGTGTATGAAGGATTCTCAATGAGTTTTTTGACTCTTCTGAGTAAGGACTCTGAAAGACTCGTTATTCCTCTACTGGAAAAACATATATTTGGGAAGGTTGGCAATGCGAGGTCAATATTATCACAAACTCCCCGAGAGGTCAACGATGGAGCGACATACGTCCAATATAAACACTATTGGATGCAAAAGGGAGATTTTCCGCCAGAGTCCCAACCTCACTACATCATTACCCCATTCATTGAAAGGAATCTTATGAACCTTGTACGAGCAAGCTCGACTCGACGGTTCCCTATTCTCCTCCAAGGACCAACATCTTCCGGGAAAACAAGTATGGTTGAGCACCTTGCTAAACTTTCTGGAAACAAATTTGTGAGGATCAATAACCATGAACATACGGATCTTCAGGAGTATCTGGGATCGTATGCTACGGGTGAAGATGGTACTCTAAAATATCAAGACGGTGTTCTTGTTGAGGCATTGAAAAGAGGATACTGGATAGTACTGGATGAACTTAATCTTGCGCCTACTGATGTTTTGGAAGCCTTAAATCGGCTACTTGACGATAACAGGGAGCTTTTCATTCCCGAGACACAAGAAATCATTCGCCCACATCCAAATTTCATGTTATTCGCTACTCAGAATCCCGCAGGCCTTTATGGAGGGAGGAAAGTGTTGTCTCGTGCGTTCAGAAATAGATTTCTCGAACTACATTTTGATGATATACCAGAAGATGAACTGGAGTTTATCTTGAAGGAGCGTTCACAAATTCCGCCCTCATTCTGCACCAGGATAGTTTCCGTTTATCGACAGTTATCCATACTACGCCAATCAAACCGACTTTTCGAACAGAGAAACAGTTTCGCCACACTTCGTGATCTCTTTAGATGGGCAATGAGACGTGCAGATGATCGCGAACAGTTGGCCGCCCATGGCTTTATGCTCCTGGCTGAAAGAGTTAGGAATAGCCAGGAGCGCGATGCTGTTAAGAGGGTAATAGAAAAGGTCATGGGGGTGAAGCTTAACAAAAGCGAAATATACGGTAAATCTGCCGTTGATGCACGTCTAAAACAATTGTCAGCAGCGATTCCAGAAAACATTGTCTGGACACCGGCCATGAGGAGGCTTTTCATTCTTGTGTCTGAAGCCATTGAGCATAACGAACCCGTTCTCCTTGTCGGGGAGACAGGGTGCGGTAAAACTCAGATATGTCAAGCCATCGCAGAAGCTTATGGAAAGGAACTTTTCATTGTTAATGCCCATGTCAACTTGGAAACAGGAGATCTCATTGGTTCACAGAGACCTATAAGGAATCGATCCTCAATTGCGCAGCAACTCGAGGCAGATATACCTCTACTCTTAAAACAAGCCTATGGCAAATGGGATGAGTCCTTTGAGTCACTTGATAGCCTTAAAAGTGCATTTTATGCAGTGGATTCTTCAGCTTTAGTCAAATGTGACCCTGATCTTATCCAAAGAATAAAGATCAACATCACAAGAACAAATTCTCTTTTTGAATGGGCTGACGGGAGTTTAGTAACTGCGATGAAAACTGGACAACATTTCCTCCTGGATGAACTTTCGCTCGCAGACGACTCAGTCTTAGAACGGCTCAATAGCGTGTTGGAAACCACCAGAACTGTGCTTCTAGCTGAGAAAGGCCCTATTGATTCTCTAATAACTGCCGCTGACGGTTTTCAATTCCTTGGTACAATGAACCCTGGTGGAGATTATGGGAAACGAGAGCTTTCTGCAGCGTTGAGGAATCGACTTACAGAAATTTGGGTTCCCGAGCTGCTAGAGGATGACGATATATTACCTATATTAGAGGCCAAGGTCCAGTCACCTCTACGTAATGTTCCTCAGGGAATGATTGTCTTTGCGAAATGGTTCAAGGAAAAGTTCCGAGGCACGCAATCTTCAATATCAGTCCGTGACCTATTGGCCTGGGCAGAATTTATTAACTCTTGTACCCAGTTGGAAGCAGATTCGGCTGTTGTACACGGTGCCTGCCTAGTCTATATAGACGGCCTTGGTGCAAACCCATCTGCACTGCTAGCATCAACTTCCGGTGATCTTGAAAGAGACAGGCACTCTTCTTTGGAAAAGCTAGGAATGCTATTTTCGATTGATGCTCTATCAATTTATAAACAAAACTCAACAATGCAACTTGGCAGAAATAGCTTGAAAATTGGTCAATTTTCCCTATCTCTCGGGCCTAATTCTAACCCGGACTCAAAATTTGCGCTTGATGCGCCCACTACCCTATCTAATACGGTTCGCGTTGTGCGTGGCCTCCAGTCTAGCAAACCAATTCTGTTAGAAGGAAGTCCCGGGGTTGGAAAGACCACCTTGGTTTCAGCGCTGGCACAGGTTATAGGGGTGCAGCTTACTCGAATTAACTTGTCCGAGCAAACCGATCTAACCGATCTTTTTGGGTCAGACGTCCCTACTGATGGAGGTGACATCGGTAGCTTCGCATGGAGTGATGCTCCATTTTTGCGTGCCATGCAGCATGGCGGATGGGTCCTTTTGGATGAAATGAATCTCGCCTCACAATCCGTCCTCGAAGGGTTGAATTCATGTTTAGATCATCGTCAACAAGTGTACATTGCGGAATTGGGGCAAACTTTCAAGCGGCACCCTGATTTTGTCTTATTCGCCGCGCAGAATCCGCACCATCAAGGAGGCGGGCGAAAAGGACTTCCAGCATCCTTTGTAAACAGATTTACAGTTGTGTATGCGGACTCATTTACCTTTCATGACCTGGAAATTATTTGTCGTAGGCTAAGCCCTACATGTCCAGAAGACAAAATCAAGAAGCTTGTCGAATTCATCACTACCCTGAATACAAAGCTGCTCACGGATCGTCGACTTGGAGCCCTAGGAGCGCCTTGGGAGGTCAATATTCGAGATATCTCTCGCTGGCTTAAACTGTTTACTTCCAGCCCTATCGAGATATCACCTTCTCAATATCTTGACGTGGTCATCTCACATAGGTTCAGGACTGCTCCTGATAGGTTGTTCATTTCTCAGCTATACAAAGACGTCTTTGGTACTATACCTGACACTAAAAACTATTATCACAACCTCAGCCCATATTCGTATCAAGTTGGCCTGGGGAAATTGGACCGGAACCCAAAGTTGTATGATTCCTCGGTTAACGACTCCAAAGAGTTCCCTCGCAATCTGCATATTACTGAATCTATGATGCTTTGTGTAGAGAACTGTTGGCCATGCTTATTGGTTGGACCATCAGGCTGTGGAAAGACTTCTAGCATACGGCGACTTGCTGCCTTGAGTGGTGCTAAACTTGTTGAACTTGCTCTTAATTCCGATACAGATGCCATGGACCTTATCGGTGGCTTTGAGCAACGAGACAGCCACCGGCAATATATTTCATTTGCCAACGAGCTTGTTCACTTTTTGCGAAATCAAATTGTGATTGCTTATTCGCAAACTGATGGTGGTGGCGCCTCCTTTGGAGCGAAGTTAGTAGAGTTATACCAAATGACCATGCATAGTTCCTTCAACCCACAATCACTCTTAGGCCCTCTCTCTGAAATAGCTCAACACCACCCAGATAAATTATTTCGGGATATCTATGAGCAGTGCAGGCGGGTATGTATCGATGAGGGCTATGGAGAAGCTGGATTTGAATGGACGGAGGGTATCTTGATCCATGCGATGAAACAAGGCAGCTGGGTGGTTCTAGATAACGCCAACCTTTGCAATGCCACTGTCTTGGACCGTTTGAACTCCCTTCTTGAACCGAATGGCTGTCTCATTATGAATGAACGCAAATCTCCAGATGGCCTTGCGCAGATTATCGCACCGCATCCCGATTTTCGACTGTTTCTAACGGTAGACCCTCGACATGGCGAACTTTCTCGAGCTATGCGAAACAGATCTATCGAAATTTTCTTTCTGCAGGAAGATGAAATAAACCGTTCTTGTTTGAGTGGAGCGAGGTACTTGAACGAATCCGCCATATATCGTATCCGGGAATGCGTAAACTTGAATCGTTTCCATAATTTCTCAAAGAAAAGCCTTCAATCGATTGGGGTTGCCCTTGATCATTTATCACCTCGGGATATGACGTATCTTCAGCATTCCATCAAACAATTTGCCCAGCTATGGTCTAGAGACTCGGCCATGTCACCTAGAATTGCGGAATCAATGATTGAGAGTTATACTACTCTTCTCAACAAGGACGCAATGATTGGGTGGGTGCAACCCCATAATCATAGTAGAAACATCATATACAAGAATGTCGATAGCCAGGAAAAGATAGAGGTTTGTGTTTTATACCCCATATACATATATGTCCTGTTAACATTGTGTTTAGCCGCTACATCCACTCATAAATGAGCCGCGGCTTTTGGTATCTCTCCCCATAAAGAGTTGTCGAATGAAACTTGCCCAGGCGGCAAAACTGCAAGAACTTCAGTTACGAACTGTTCAATTTTACCAACAACTTTGCCAAACGGAATTTATCGCAGGGAGCAAAAAATCGGTAGATATGAGCCTCATAGAACGGTCTATGACGTCGGGAGCTATTCGGTCACATTTGAAAGATTCGACCCAACCTGTTTCCAATTTTCTATACGGCTGTTGCAATGCCCTTAACGAATATCTAAGTGCACTGATTTTGGAAACATGCCCTGATGAAGTCCCTCGGATGCTGGAAGACATCTTAAACTTTTGTTGGGATATCTTCCAATTAACACAGTCCAGGCTCCTGGATGATGCCGTCTTTTCGGCATATCTCCTTATTGGAAAAAACATTGTTGCTAGGTTTGAACATCTTCACCTAGATCTTCTAAACAATTTTACAGAACTTTTGAGCTTATTTAATTCCAATTGGAAGTTAACCTCTGGAGAAAGCATGCAGCGTATGTGGAACATGTGGCGCCCTGCCACACCTACTGATTCCCATCAATTAGAACAAAAGGTGCAATTCCAAGAGCTTCGAGCAAGATATGATCGAATTGCTTTGAAATCTAGGGTTCCTATCCCTGAGTTGGGCCGGCTCTATGACCTATTTTTACGCGCCCAAACGTCGATTTTACAGGGGGCTGAGAGCGTAGCTTTACTGCCTGTAAGTTAAGACCCTATGTTTTATATTTCTATGCCCCTTTTTATTGATAAGTTTGATTAGGAATTGAACAAAACGATAAATCATTTTGAGGCTCAGGCATTGAAACCTGACTTCTATGGCACTCCTCACTTTGCTACAGAGTTCGAAACGCTCTGTCAATATAACGACTTGGCAGATACCAGCCCTTACAATAATGCCCTACTTCCGGCATCTATCAAGCTGCTAGCTGGCAGAGCATCCCAACCCAATGAAATATCTACCATTGGCAATATAGTCCCCGGGCTTCTATCCAAACTTACGCAGTACCTTGGAAGTCAACACTCATCTTGTGGTCCTTTGGCATTGCTAGGGAATATTACTAACTCCCTTGTGCATAAATTTCAGAGTATTGGTGATGTTCCTCTTGGCCAAATGGATCTTCTGGGGTCTGAAGTCAGTCTCCTCCTGGAAGGATTGGCTGCGAACACTTATCAACTTTCCACCCACCAAGCCCTCTTCCTTCAGCACCGACTAGCACAGTTGTTCAAGGAGCTCATACAGTGTCACACCGATTTAGTTGAGCCTGACTCGTTTAGTACGGCGATCAGATATTTACAAGACTTGCAAACGAGAGGAATTGAGAACCCACCACCTACTAATTGGAAAATCGAAAATCGTCCAGAGTATTCAAATAATACATTCTCCCGTTACGTACTTGGGGGCGAGATTCCGAGCTTGTTCCAAACTATCTGTGAATCCCAAGCCAGTCAAGAAGTTATTGGTCAATTAGGAAAGCTTTTGGTTAGGCTATCTATAGGGCTGCTACACTGCTATGTCCCAAATCTGCCCTTTGATCCATCCCTGAACTTAGCCATTGATCATAAAATGCATACCCAAAGGCAGCAAGAGAAGTCCGTGAAGCTTGACTGTCTTCGAACATGTGAGCTTCTATTCTCTGGTCAGGATTCAACCCTCCGCATTGAAACCGCTAAAGATGAGCTTGACCTCGTTGGCTCTGCCCCTCCGAACACTCCAGTGACTCGCCCTGAAATTTCAAAGCTAGATGACGTGCAAGCTCAATTTACAAGTATTCTCAGTTCCATCTTAAATCAACCTATAGAGTATATTCTCTCAGCTACAACCAATGCTGGAATATCCTCCAATAACAAATCTTCCCAGGCTTCAAGGACTTTGCTCCAGCTCAACATCCGACAAATTGCCCGTCGACTTTCCCTTAACTGCCCCGGTTATGACGATATAACTATCCTACCTGTCAGGTTCCTTCAGCTTCTTGACCAAGGGATAGAGTTAATCCGCCATAGTTGTAAATATTCCACCCAAGATTCTTCTACCATCCGCTTCATTTGCGGAACAACTCCCTTCTTGGGTTCACATTTACCAGATCTGCCATTTTCCCCTTCTCATTCCTTCAAAGGAAACCAGGATACAAATGCAGAGGTAGAAATTCACCGGCTGTTGCTACTAGGCGCCGCTCAAAATATAGATGAGCAGACCCTTTCGATATCTATTCATAAAGAAGTCTTGCATGATGTCCTCGATAGAGCTTACTCCTTATGGAAGGAGAAGCTAGAAAAAGATCAATCTCAGGAAGCCGAAAAATCCAAATTCTACCATTATCGAGGGTCATTTGAACATGATGAGGAGTCGGAGTCCGCAGAAATGCTCCAGCTCTTCCCTACTTACGACAATCACGACCAGCCTAGCGATGAAGATGCGAAACCCGGAATTCAAACTGACGACCTTCGCATGAAATTTTTCACGGCCTTCAGGAACCTTTTCATTCATGAGAATAAAGCTTCCCGCTTGAAAACTGTGGTTAAGGAGGGACTCCGCTTAGTTGGGTCTCTCTCTCATCAATCAGGACTGGCTCTATCTCCTATAGATCCCAGGTTTCATCTAGCCCCGGTCTTCCTCCTCTCAGAAGATATTCATCAAACACGCAAGGCCACCAACTACAACTTTTACACTGATGCCAACATAGAAGAAGTGAAAAAGTTTGCTTCTCTTGTCCAAAGAGTGCAAGTTCGCTTTTTAGAACTCCAGGGGTCATGGCCTGAGCATGCAACCCTTGCTGATGTTGTGGACCGATGTTCTAAAATTTTCAAGTTTCAGCATCGAGAACCACTTGCTAAATTCCTTACAATGGCTGAGAAACTTCATGAGCATGTACATGAATGGCAAACAGTTGCGAGCAAAGAATACTCCGCAGTTGACTGTTACAATGAGCTAACCTCGACCTTGATTCACTGGAGGCGGCTTGAACTATCTACTTGGTCCCGTTTATTGGACATGGAAGATGAAAAATGCCTGGAGCAAGCAGCAGCCTGGTGGTATATGGCATACGAAGTTATCGTTGCTGCACCGCTACAGCTAGCCCAAGAAAAACAGCAGCTGGATAGCCATGTTGCTGACCTGCTACTGACGCTAGAAAAATTCCTCCAAACAACTTCCATGGGCCAGTTTTCTTCCCGCATCGATCTTATTGATAAGTTCAGGATGCTACTTGTGCTTTATTCCCCTGGGCTCCCAGCCTTGAAACAAGTGGTTACGGCACTAGATAACCTACTCAGCCATTACGCGCCTTTCATTTCTTCAGTGAAAACCTCGCTACAAACAGGACGGCAAAGCCTGGAGAAGGAGTTAAAAGAACAGGTTCAACTGGCAAGCTGGAAAGATACAAACATCACAGCGCTCCGTGAAACCGCACGGCGCTCTCATCATAAACTGTTCAAAATCATCCGAAAATACCGTTCGTTATTAGCACAACCCTGCGAGGAGCTCCTTGCAAGGGAAATTCCAGACACTACCCAAGGATCTCAAGACCTACCTATCTCCGGAACCCACCATCTGAGGGACGTAGATTCCGCTGCAGTGAGCCTTTATCAAAATAATGAGGAGCTATGGAATCAAAGGCCAGCGCGATTCCAAAACCCTGATTCTACAGCCAAAAGTATGTCCCGAGTTTATGAAAGCGCCTTGCCGGAGTTTCAAGCTACCATTGAACTGGAAGCCATCATGATTGATGTGGTTTCTTCTATTTCAGAATTTCAAAAGCGAACTCCAAAAACCCTGACAGAGGAAAACAAGGAGGAGATCCAACATCTCAAGGCCCAGAAGCGAAGCTTTTATGCTGCAAAACTGAAAGAACTGCGCCATATGGGCCTCAGGTCGAACCTTGGAACAGACTTGCTCGATAAGCAATCCTCCGTTAGCCTAGTTCTTGCTACTACTCCAAACTTCAGCTCCTATCATTTAGTTCCCGTGGCTTCTAACGCAGACAAGTACTTCCACCGTTTCCTTCATATGGTCCCAAGCGTACGCCGAGTGGCGCGAAACTACTCCGAAGACCTGAGCAATGTCGAAGCTGGACGGAGTGCCGGGTTCACGGAAGGCTTTCTATATCAGATGCTAAAACAAAGGGAAATTCTATCTCCTGCCTTGGCTTCACTTGAGTGTCTTGTGAACACCGTCAAGTTGGCTACCGCTATGTCGAGAAATACAACAGTAGCGGGTGAAGGGGCTTCTAGGCAGCAGCACACGATTTACCGGGCCCTTAAATGGCTACCAACCATCATAGAGCTATCTTCAACAGTCGTAAGTATCCATGCCAGGCACGCTCATACTAACTCCTCGGCAATACTTGCTTCCTTGACGTCTTGGACGGAATCTGCAACAGCGTTGCAGGAACGGCTTAACAACCTTCCAATCCTTCCCCCAGGGTTATCATCTCAATCCCACCAAAATATAATTGCAGATGCGGAAAATTTGCTGGCTGGTATGAAATCCAACATTTTGGCTTACATGGAATCCCGGCCTGAGATAGCCTTCGCCCTCAATCAGCTACTCTTCTGGACAGGATGTGACACTCAAAATACTTCCCAATCGGACCATAACAGTATCGTCAAGTCGTCCTTGAAGCAAGTGGACTCGTCTATGCTCATTGCAATGGACTCAATGCTGGTTGCATTGCAAAGAGTCCAAAGCTCCCTTACAGGCGCCCCTATCTCAACTGATATTGCTGCATGGTTATCTAAGACAGATACCGCATTGTCCAGGTCTCTCTCCGAACTTCATATTGACGATGTCTCTTGTAAATTGAAATCGTCATTTGACAATATAGGGAGTATATCTGATAGTCGTGACTTTAACCTAGCAGTTGCTGCAGTTGCTATCAGTTTACCAGTATTGGAGCAATATCAATCAATTTGCTTGGATTTGGTCAATCGATACGCTGCTTTCCATCATTCTTTGTGCAAATTCGGATACACTCTGGCGAAATCATTCAAGCAAGTGGCATCGGAAGGATTTTGCAGCCCATCTGCGCCATCTGAGCAGCAAGGACAGAGTGACAAGGTAGAGAGCGGCACCGGCCTTGGAGATGGCGAGGGCGCTGAAGATATAAGCAAAGAGGTTCAAGATGACGAGGATCTTTCGGAGCTTGCGCAGCAAAAGCAAGAAGATGGGGACAAGGAAGATATTGAAGGGACTGAAGATGCAGTTAATATGGACAATGAGGAGCTGGAAGGGCAAGAGGCTGCTTTCTCAAAGGAGGATGAGGACGAGGAAAAGGGAGAATCGGGTGAGGAAGACGCAAACGATTTGGATGAAGAGGTTGGAAGTGTTGATGGCTGGGATCCTTCAGCAGTAGATGAAAAGATGTGGGATGGTGCGAATGATAAGGAACAGAAAGATACAGAGAACAACGACGGTAAAGGCAACGAGAAAGCAGAGGAGATATCAGCTGCTGCTGAGCAACGAAAGGAAGACGAATCAGCAAATAAAGAAGTTGATGAGGAACAGGGTACTGCTGACAGCGATGAGGAGGTGCCAGAAGATGAAAAAGAGGGAGTTGGTCGGGAAGACATGGACGTAACCGATCCACATGCACAGGAGGGTGAGGTCCTCGACTTGCCAGAGGATATGGACCTGGATGGCGATAAAAAGGAGGATGAAGGCTCTGACATGGATGACTGTATGAGCGAGGAATCTATGGAAGATGCTGCTAATAAAGATGATTTGCCAGAGGATTCCAACGAACAAGACAATACGGATATGAGATCACAAAGTCCCGATGCTGATATGGCAGAGGCGGTGGATGATGGTAACGAAGAAGATCAAGGGGAAGAGGCCGGCGAGCAAGATTCAGAGCCTCAACATGATGAAGAAAAAGAAAAGCAAGAAGAAGATAAAGGAGATATAATGCCAGTGGAAGATGAACAAAAGACTGACCCTGACAACGCCGTGCCCAGTAACCAGGTCTCTGCAGGTGTTGAACAAGAGCAGAGTAACGAAAAGGGGTCCTCTGGAGACGCTGCCATTGAACAGCCAACTACTAAAACGGAAGACGGTGGTGAAGGTGAAGGCAATGGAATCGAGGAACAAGGTCAACGTGGAAAGGATTCCAACCAAGAAACCAGCGATAGGAACAACAACGAGAAGCAAGATCCGCAGCTCCAGGCGTTTAAGAAGCTCGGTGATATCCTTGAACAGTGGCATAGGTCTCACCGTGAAATATTAGAGGCTTCTGAGAAAGAGAAAGAGCAGAGCCAGGAGCAAGATATTGGTGAAAAAGACGTCGACTTTGAGCATCTCGCGGATGATGAAGACACCGCAGACACACAAGCCCTTGGTCAGGCAAATGAAGAACAATCTCAAGCTATGAACCAGTCCCAGGCAATAGAGTCTGACTTCAAGCCTCAGGATAACGAGTATCTGCCAGATGCTGAAGAGATGGAAGATTCCAGCGCCCCCAATAATCTGGAAGACTTGATGGATGTTGATGCACAGCTCGCCTCGAATGACCAACAGCAACCAACGATCTCCATTTCACGGCCTGGTAATGGAGTTAATTCTTCCCACAGGGAGGAGGGTGATACGGCAGAGAAGGACGAGCTTGATGATGTTGATAGCCATCTTTCCATCATTAATCTATCATCTGATTCCGCCCCCCTGACGCCTCCAGATGAAGCCCGCAGGCTGTGGACCCATTATGAATCCATAACTCATGACCTTTCGCTCTCGTTAACAGAACAGCTTCGTCTTATTCTAGCCCCTACTATGGCCACTAAACTCAGGGGAGACTTCAGGACGGGCAAGAGACTTAATATAAAACGCATCATCCCTTATATTGCTTCTCAGTATAAGCGTGACAAAATATGGATGCGTCGATCTGTGCCGTCGAAGCGAAATTATCAAATAATGCTTGCTGTTGATGATAGCAAATCCATGCTTGAAGGTGCTAGTGGTCAGCTTGCACTCCAGACCCTAGCCTTGGTTGCAAGAAGCTTGAGCATGCTTGAAACTGGTGATCTATGTATCGTCAGCTTCGGGAACGAAGAGCACATCCGCGTTGCTCATGACTTTGGAAAACCGTTCTCTTCAGAGGCTGGGTCCCAGGTATTCCAGCATTTCAGCTATAAACAAACTGGTACAAATGTGCGGCAGCTCATTGCGGATTCTATTGCATTATTCCGCGAAGCTAGAGCGAAGCGGCCATCTTCATCAACTTCTGGTGACCTTTGGCAGCTGGAATTAATCATATCCGATGGTGTTTGCGAAGACCATGATAGGATTACTCGGCTCGTTCGTCAGGCTCACGAAGAGCGCATTATGCTTGTTTTCATCATTGTTGATGCAGTTCAGGAGGAAAGCCGTTCGATCATGAATCTTTCCCAAGCCACCTTTGAATCCAACGGATCTGGACCTGGTGAAGGAAAATGGAAAATGAAAAAGTATCTAGATAGTTTCCCTTTCCCATATTATTTAATTGTGAGGAATGTTCAGGAGTTACCGGGTGTTTTGTCTTTGGCGTTGAAGCAATGGTTTGCAGAGGTGGTGGAGGTTTCTACATAAAAGTATAGGATATATTTCCCTTGCTTGTATTATGAAATGTAAATAGCTATAGAAACTGTTTCAAATTATAATATTCTAGATTTATCTGTCTTTGTCCTCGTTGCTGTCAGGATTCTTGGAGAATACCAGTTATATAGTACTGTGGGAAATAAACTGATTTTGATAGTTGTCCTGTGGTGCATTTTAATAACCGTCAAATCTAAGACTAGATGACTACCTCTAAACTTTTCGGCTGGTAACAGCTTATTCTATTTACGTATAATTTTTATTCAATGGCCTCCCGGAGTGGTATATGCCTGGATTCTAGCAGCCAATTTCTCTATGTCCGATGCTGTCTTTCCCCCAACGCCAATCGCTCCACAGCTCAGTTTCATTGAGTCGTCATACGACCATGCTATAACAATGAAGCTCCCATCTTGCATTTCGTTGATAAACGCCTCTTCAATTGTTTCCCTGGAGGAGGTAAAAAATCCCGTTACGGTCGAGGCTACATCCAGCGATCTCTGGGTAAAATGCTCCTTGAGGAAGCCCAAGTGGCATAGACCTGTTAGACGAACATTAAGGTCGACAATATAATGCTCTCCTTGGCTATCTGTCAAGATATCGACTCCTGCAGGCCCATAGTAACCCTTTTTATGTAAGAATTGAGCCGTCTGCTCTATTACCTTTGTATATTTTTGCTGCAAAGCGGGTTGATCTGGGTATGAGATAGAGCCCCCAGCCCAACGCCCCTGTTTGTCGAACTCCTGGTCAAAGCAACCAACAAAGATAGAGCGTCCTTTTTGCGTGACGAAGAACGATAGTGCTACCTCTGTACCCGTGACGAAATTCTGGAAGATCAAGGACAAAGGGTTAAGGTGGTAGTTGGCAGCGTTGATTTGTCCTAGCATAACACGCATATAGGCACTGAGCATCTCTTTCACACGTTCTCTGTCACTGTCTGAACGCACTGTGAAAGTGCCCATTGCCGCCACAGACTGGGGTAGTTTCACGACAAAAGGTGTTTGATAAGTATCAAGAGGTTTCAGCATGCGAGCAATTTCTTGTCCCAAGTTGGTGGTGTCCTTTAACTGGTCAAGTGGAAGATGAACATCGACCACAGTCGACGGTGGGGTGGGCAGCCCCGACACTGCCAGTCCTCGCTTCGATAGGAGCTCAAAATGCACATCCGGATCCAGGACATGCGGCAGATGAGAGACCGGGTCAATAGGAACAACCACCGCGACAGGGCTCTTTGGGGATAAAGTGATTTGATCTGCTCGAGAGACAAAGGTTACCGTAGGTTGCTGGTCTTGTCGCATCTTTGACAGATGGTTATATAAATCCGCCTTATCTTCCGGGAGGTTTTCTAAATCTCGATTGTGCTGCGAGTAGGCAAAGTCCATCACAATGACAGACATCTTTCCGGCCAGAAATACACGACGCTCGGTTTGACTCCTTGTCAACAGCGTCAACATCTTGTCTGAGCCTTGCTGCACCCCTAAATGATAGACATATTTGGCTGTTGGTAACACTGCATAGTCTTCCACTGGTTGAGAGTCGTAGACGAGAGTCGGAAGAGGCGCCCCATCGCTATCGAGGGAGTAGAGGTCGTGTAGAGTGCAGTCGAGGGCAACCTGAGGGTTGAAAGTCATATTGATGGTTGCTTGGATCAAGTATCGTAGGTGAACATGTCCAAATTGCCAACAGCCGAGAGGGCTGGGAGTCTCTTTCACTACTAGGACAGGGATAAGGCGGTTTCCCCTCTTCCTTTTTTCTTTCCCGCTGACTGATGTCTCTGCTCCGTAGACGCCCTATCCTTGCATTCTAACGCCACAATTAAGGAATAACTCCGTCATAAGCCGAGAAGGATGGATGGGTTAAATATTGCCAGGTATCCACCGCTACGCGACTCCGGATAAGGATCTCGATGTTTAGATAGCGCTCAAATAGACCAAGAATACGAACATACGATCCCAGGAGATATATTAATAATTAAGATAACCATTGTCTTTATACTGTACGAGATCATTACCCCCACTGTTAGCCCGTCCATCCTAAAGAGGGAATGTGTTTCCACTTGTTAAAACGGGGCCCGTCAGCTCGTATTGAAGGGATTTATATTGTTTGAATGTTACCATTATTTAGTATCTTTATTCCGAAAGATCTATAGGAGATATACCACCAGAAAACCCCACCCGGGTCTAGGAAATGGTTGCTCTGGGGCTAAGTAGAAAAAAATTGGCGAATAATTAGATTGTATGTTAATAACGCTTTTGATCGCTTTAAACTAGCACATAGGGAAAGCAAGAACTATGGCCATTGTTATTCACATTGGGCTAGAGAAGTGAAGTTATCCCCGCTAGATAGTAAGAAAGTAAAGTTGCTGGTAATGCATATAGGGTCGGCAAAAAGGGATGACTATGAAAATCCGTATGAAGAGTGTTTTAATAGTTAGAGGCCGTGGGGTATCGTATTCTAAATTGTTTCATTGCAAAATTAGTATACCGTAACTTTTGAGGAATAGAATATATTGTCATTAAAGCAAGGTACGTAAAGGAAAACCGAGCATGCGCGGGTTAAAGATAAGCCGCACTCGAAAAAGTTAAGTATTATTCGTGACTATATGAGTTAGATAATATTTAGGTGCCTGTGTAGCTGTTGAATGTTGATCTGCATTATCTTTAAATGGTGTGATGCCACAATTCTCGATCAGAAAAGTCACGTCCTACATAAAGCTACCATGTCCATTAAAGAGTCATAATAAGGTAACTACATATAGCCGCGTTCGAGGGCTGTGGCCAACAATTTTTGTACTAATAGTATCTTTCAAGCGTGACTAGGCGTTCATGATTTGTAAGGCTTAGATAGGAGCGTATATAGAGCCCGACGTAGCATAGAATGCATCATGTACATTCACAGGTTTTGATCTAATAAAAGTGGGACCGGGAGCTAAGTTTAAGCTTAAATGGATCTAATCTGATAAGATAGGTTGAACTTCTTCCTTTTTACGTTCCAGTTCTTGTTTGACGGTCGGCTTAAAAGCTAGCCATCTGCTAAAGGAGATTCTGATTCATTATTGTTTTAAGGTAGAAGTTTTATCCCCGTCCTAGGCAGGATCAAAGTTTTAACATCCAGCAGTCTGGCTATTGTGTCGACTACGGGAGCGCGATGATCCATTATTTTGCCAAATATAAGCAGGCACACCAAGAGATGATTGGATAACTGATGCCCTACGTCTATAAATCAAGCTCTGTTTTCCTCAGTTTTGTATCTCTGTTTGGTTGGTACTGGGATGGATGTGATATCTTTCTAACTAGTCCGCTTTATTACCTATATAATATGCAAGGGGTAGAATAACAATACAGTTATTTACAAGCTCAACGCCCTATCAAAACAGCAGTGATTGAAAACTAATAAGATAACTGTATAGGGAAAGCAAAATAATCGGCCACGAAACGACTTGCCGAGGGTACCATCCAGTAGGAAGGCGAAGGACTCATGCCTTCTAGCTGGTCAAGGGTGCCTAATTGCAAGGATGCCCCTGTTTGCGAAGATATTGTTAGGCCAGGCACGAGTCTGCGCCCTGAGTCCGGGCTTAATATAGGTTAACAAGAGGCTTGGCCGCGTAGTAACGCGCGTTAATAACTCATGACTTTAACGGAACTGTGACTATATAGGTCAACTTTAAATTCTACATAATATCATATAATCATTCTTGGCATATTCTCGGAGCCATCCCGATATCTAACTACCAGATATATACATAGCTGCTTTACTTAGCTTCACTATGCCTTCATTTGGCACATCGGCCTCCTTGACACCTACACATCCCACCGCCCCAGCTTCCTTCAGTGCCCTAAACATCGCCACATCTCATCTTATGGCGGCCGAAAATCGCCCCACAATATCCACCGAGACGCTTCCTTCTGCAGATTCAATATCCTTCCTCGAGTCCTCATTCTTCACACGAAACGGATCAGGGGCCAAGCTACCATCTCCCGCGGAGGTTCGTGAACAAGGTGCTATCCAAGACCCATCGTCAAAAGATCGTAACTTTTCTTTTCGCCCTGTCCGTTACAAGCAGCTCGGCCTAATTGTGAAATATGGGCGTGCTCCAGAGGTAACAGTTGCTGAGGGCCAGTTACTCTGGGTATTCCCTCGTATCTTACCTACTATACCAGTTCCAGAGGTGTATGGCTGGACTCATGATAATGGCCAAATATTTATCTATATGGAGCTAATTCAGGGCGTTACCCTTGAGCAACGGTGGGAGTCCCTAGACAAGGCCGAGCGAGTAGGTGTCTGCGAACAGCTTCGTGGTTTAATCCAAGAACTTCGCAAGCTGCAGCATGCACTGGGTGATTTCTTCCTTGGTAAGTACTATATTCCTGAGAGGATGGATATCAGTAACTGTTGATACTAGCATATTTACTTACTTTTATATCAGGTCACATTAACCGCGATCCTCTCGGTGATATCGTTTTTACCAATGAAAACCGACCTCCTGCGGGACCCTTTCTCTCAGTTGCTCAATTTCACGATTGGATAGCAACGGTCCTTAAACTATGTATTCGACAAAATTGGCCAGGCAAAAAACTTTCTGAAATCCCGGATCCTTATCGAAGTAGTCTACCTGATGATGCGCAAGTAGTTTTTACTCATGCTGATCTCCATCCAAGCAACATCATGGTTTCAGAAGATTCTAATAAGATCCTTGCAATTATTGATTGGCAGCAATCGGGATGGTATCCAGACTACTGGGAGTTTTATAAAGCTGCATTTACGGCCGAAATAGGTAGTGAGTGGGTGGAGGTGTATATACCATTGTTTCTAGAGAAGCCTACAAGTACCAGTCTTGAAGCTATTGACTTCTATGCTGGGTCGCTGGGATACTGAAAGACTGGGACAGACAGCCAGGTTCTATTAATTACCCAAGTTCTACAATAAGTTTGGGATTTGATAATCATTGTTGTATCGAATACCCTCTAGCGTTCTTACCCTGGACGAAACACTTGAGAAGTAAGACAAAGCTTTTGCTCTAGGGATGCGTCATTGCCAACTGATTAAGTGTCTCCAAAGTATTTGCATCGCCATCTACCAGTGCGTAAGGTAACCAGGGACCTGAAACCTTTATATACACACACTCTAGGTTGACTTCTGCTCCTAACCACCCGGGAAGTAATTTAGCGCCAACTAATGTATCAAAACAAAGATCCACTTCTATTGTATGTACTTGTAGGCGCCAACGAAAAGAACACTTAGTTCCTCCTGCTATGCACCCTCGTATTAAGAGGAATGTTGATTGGAGAAGAATTCCCTGCAGAGTAGATGTGGGTGATTGAAGGCGACATAGGAGCCTCTTTTTTCGGTATCTCATAGCCTATAAATTTCTATATTTGTGGGGTGAACAGGGGTTTGGCGTTCTCCTTGCAAACCCCATGGGTTGAACACAAATAGACAAGGAATAACTGTGAAACTGGACGAAATGAAATACTCTGTATGCTTGCCACCTAACTTAAGACACAGAGAATAGTAGGGTGTACAATCTTGGATAATTGGCTCAGACGAGGGATCCGCTTCCATCTAACTTGCTGATGGAGATAGCGGGGATATTTTCGGCGCTTATCACCCCAGCGATTGAGTATTTGTGGAATTCGTTGCCCACACATCGATATGCCATCTCTGAGGGTTTCATTAAGTTAATATGAGTGCATTCACTTTCCCGGGCCGCATTTGATTTGGCCAGCTTTGGTTTTAGTTTCTTATCAAATATTCTACCCTTTGGACAAAAAGGCGAGCCAGCACTATTAAGCAGCAGAGATACGAGTTATCTAGGTTGACATTTCTTTGCGGATATTTTGAGTCTCCTTAAGAGCATCGGTATTAGGCTTCTCGTTTATGGAGGTGGAATAGTTTAATATCTTCCTAGTGAAGGAACGCGCACAATCCTTAAATGGGCGGTTGTTCTTTTTGTATCCGGTGCATGGGGTCTTCATAACTGAACCGCGGGAATGTAGGCTACTGCGCTTATCGGGCTTCATCTGACTAGTTGCATCTGGACAACCTGCTTCCTAGGGACAGTTATTTCAGTATAAGGGGCACGGTGGGAGGCAGCTTTCCTCTTTTGGGCGAATAGTCATGCTTTCTGACTTTGGCTTTCTCCTGATTATCTATCCATGGCTTGGCCTAACGGTAGTTTCTGTTCCCTGTGCTGAGTTGATCCTCGTTGGTGGTGGCATTGGGTTTGGTAGAACATTTCCAATGGGGATTGATTCATCATTGTCTATTTCACCGTTCTCACTATGGTCAGCTACAGACAATTTTCATTGATATTGCGCTCGCTACTACTCAGAGATCGGGTCCTCGGTAGTAGCGTTGGGATGCGTTGTTCGAGATGTCCAACGCGTGCTATGAACTCTCCACTAGGCAGTTGTGGCAACAGGGGGGCATCAAGACAGGCTCTAGGTATCCATAAGCGAAAGGTGAAATGTCAAGTTCTTATAAACGGCCCAGGATGTGATGGTGTCATGCAAGCGAGCTCACTGCGTATGGTACATGTCAAATAGTTATACAAGTCTGGGGAAATAAGGAAAAGAATTAGAACAGTCAGCCTCATCAGACTCAATATATGCAGTATGTCTTTGGTTGAGCTTTTTCGAATTGTTTAAGTGAAAAGATATCTGCCGCTGTGTTCTTCATTATCTGTTTCTTCCAGCTGTTCTTTCATCTGTTGCTCGCAAAGGCCCAATGCTGCTAAATTGCACGACGTGGCCAGGCTTGGTATTCCGATATGCTTTGTAGTGTAGTGTTGACACAGCCTATGGTACGGAAACTAAATAAGGCCTACGGATAGATCCATCAAAGCAACAACGAAGGGTATAGGTATCCAGTTTGGTTGAAACAGTATTCCTACCAACCGTACTTTGAGCTTGCTTTTTTCTTGTTTCTCTTTCCGATGGCAAAGCTGTCCTCGAGCGCGTCACTCTGGCTAGTCACCGCATTCACAAGCTGGTGAAGGCTGTGTTTTCCAGGAGCAACAGCCCTGACGGGTCTGTGCTGCTGGGCAGCAAGCTCAGCCTCAGATGTGTTAGCAAGGTATGCTGAGTTGGACTTGTATTCTTCGTCCGTATTAAAACTAATGACTTTACTAGAGGCGCCTTGTAGATTACGTCCTAGCAGTTGTCGCATTTCTGATTTTGAGAGATTGAGGTCACTAGCAACACTTGCAAGATCTTGCGGCCCAGCGGATGCCTCTTGAGTGGTTATATGTTGGCCTGTAGTTGTATTCGTGCTTTTCAAGGCATCTGATACCTGTTCGTCTGCTGTTTCTGCTGGCCCAGATGGTCCTGCATAAAGTATAGACTCGTATGGCGTGGCTTGTGCAGCTGTATCGGCGTATGGAGTACTTTCAGTACTGCTAGAAAACCCAAATAGGCTCACTTTTGACTTCGCTTCTGGTTGAGGGGGTGTTTGGGAGGTTTCGGTCTGCGTTTTTGGGGTAGTAATGGGTTGAGAGATAGTTGTCATCTTCTTCTTTGGCTTATTCCTTGCGACAGATAGCGGTTTAAACATCATTGAGTTTCCTTTCTTCTCAAAAACAGGCTCTGTCACTGGCTTCTTTGAACCATCTGCCGTATCGTCACTGCCAGAAGGTTTGCCAAATTCGTCATACGAGGTGTTGAGGTTATCTATTCTCTCGCTGCGGTCAAATCCAGGCTCTGCACTAGTTTTCAGAGTAAACGGCTTTGACTTCCTAGGCCCTGCCTCTGTTTTGTCTGTCGGTTTCTGCGCTGCACCAGCTCGCTTTGGTGCAGGAAGCATATCGTTAAACCCAGAAAATAACCCGCCTCCTCCGGTTCGCAGCCGTTTCCTAGCAGGGCCATCTTCTTTATCCTGTCCCGGACCTGTCCCATCACCGTTAGATCTGGTCTCTGACAGGTTAACTAGTATTTTTCGGGGGTTGCCACGGTCAACCAGTGGTTTGAACGAGGGCTTGGAGCTCGAGGTTGAAGACTGGAGAGGGGCCTTAGGTTTCTGAACAGGCCCAGTCTCAGTATCTGAATCCCCCTCGGAGTCTGAATATGTGACCAAGGCCATCGTGAATGCTTTGCATCAACTTCGTTCTTCTTGCGCCGTCAAAGTCGTAAATCGAAGTTGATAATAAAGTTCGATGTCACGTGAAGCCCTTCTTTTCTTCTGAGCTTTTGAAGTCCACAGAAGACAACACAAGCTGGTATCGAGACGATGGACAACGAGTTCTTAGTTCCAGCCTTCACCTTGTGGTGTCTTTGCCGCGATGACAGATGATATACGGAGCTGCACACCTCATAACACCTGCCATTTCGACAGGCCCTGGTGATGGACCAAGCCTCCGAGAAAGATAACCCAGGCCGCAACGGGCCTCAAGAAGATGAGCCACCCAAGGGCGATGAATACCGCACATCACGGCCTGGTAAGGTCCGGCTGAAATCTAAACATTCGTTAAGGGAGAAATCCCGCGATAAGAAGCGATCGCGAGAGGAAGACAGCCATTACGAAAGCAGTAGGCACCGTTATCAACACCGCCGTCGCCGTCATCGCCATCACAAAGACCATGAGACTGAGCCAGAGCCCGCGGAGTACCGTTCTCCACCTGTTTCGCCCAACACAGCGTTTCGTGAGTCGTTATTCGATGCGCTCGCGGACGACGAAGGGGCGGACTACTGGCAAGCCGTGTACGGACAACCAATACATACGTATGCTAGACCAGATGAGAGGGGAGAATTAGAAAGAATGACTGACGACGAATACGCTGCCTATGTTAGAGCGCGTATGTGGGAGAAAACGCATCAGGGCTTACTAGAAGAGAGGGAACGGCGTCGAAAAGTACGTGAAGCCGATAGAGAGCGGGCAAAAGGATACGGAAACTATTCTGGAAGAGCAGAGACGGAACGCGAAGCATTTGACAGGATGGTGGAAGAAAGTTTGAAGCGTGGGAAGGAGAGAAAGTCAAGAAAAGAAAAGACGAATACTTGGCTTACAATCTGGAAACGGTATCTGGACTCCTGGGAAGAGTTAAATGCGCAGGTTCAAGAAGGTAGACCTTCATCTAGTGCAGCGGATTCGCTCCGTAATACTCTTGTTTGGCCTGTTGAATCTGGCAGGCAAAAGGATGCGAATATTGACTCCGTGAGGCAGTTTCTGTGCAATGCTCCTGTTCCGCAGATCACTACGGAAGCTCTCAGTTCTACACAATCTAAGCACAGCAATATGCTAGCTGTGTTGAAGCTGGAGCGTGTTCGATGGCATCCTGACAAAATACGGCATAGGTACGGGGCGCTGGGAGTTGACGAAGATATAATTAAGGCTGCCACTGAAGTATTCCAAATACTCGATCGAATTTGGGTAGAAGAGCACGCCAAATGATGCGATGATACTCGTACATAGTCTACATTTCAGCACAACAGTTACTCAATATGCTGACCACCGGAAACATCATCCTTGTACGTCCGATTTTGGCTTTCAATTGGACATAACATACGGAAAGTAGGTAACAATGAGAAGAACATTAGAACAAAAGAAAACGCTTGTAGGAGCCTGAGATAATAACAATGAATGCCTGCCTTAAGAGAAAAATTTTATGAAGCCAGAGAACACAGAGACGGAATATAGGTGTGTATCCAAGTAAAAAGGGGGTAACTGATTATGTAGGCTGTGAACGATAACGGTGTTATCCAGGTTAGAATCGCCTGCTCTTCGCCGTTCGGTAAACGGTCCATCCAACGTATGCTCCAGCAATGACGGCAAAGAATAGTATGACCTTGAAAAAGAACCATAGCCAACTGCCTTCGCTTTTCGCCACGTGATGCGTGTGCTCCTTTTGGGCGTTTCTCTGGTTGGCAGATTGGGCGGTTTGGCCAGGGCCGGTGCTGTCACTCCCTTGCTTGGTATACAGAGAGAAAGCATCTACTTCAAGGATATCATGGGTATCGCTGAGCTCGCCGGTTTCCGCACTGAAACCAAGGTAGGCTGCGGCAGGCAGGTTAATCGGAGATTCAGGTTTTGACTGAATCTTGAAGCAAGAAGTCCAGGTCATATCCGACTTATACTGCAGGTCGAGGGCAAGGTATTTATCCTGGAAGTATGTAAGACGGAGTTTAGTGGGGTATGACGAGCCGCGGATTCCTCGAGCCTAGGAGAACCAGTTGGTTAATGATGCATACTTTTGAGAGTCGTGAACCACCGTACCGAGCATGATGCGATTTCATTCGCCTGGCCGTCTTTAGCCTTGTCATATGCGGTATGACCATCACCAAGCATGGCCATAACCAGCGGGAAAGTCGATCCTTGCCGGCCGTTCTTGTAGGTATCAATGAAGATACCTAGTCCCTTGAATCTATCCGCAGATCCAAAAACCGGGCCTTGACTTGCGCGACCCTCAGTAAGCCACATAGCCATGCCGTCTCCATGGAGAGTTCCCTCGCCGTTGATCGCAAAGTCAACTTCGACCTATATACCACCAAATTAGGATCCGTAGAACGAGACCTGGAATCGAGAAGCCTGTGCCACCCACCTGCCAATTGGTCGCAGTAAGAGGTACACGGGAAAAAATCCAACCGCTTTGTGAGGGTCTATCGGCAGTCAAACGGATAAATCTGCGTATATCAGCATGTTCGGCCCTCGTCCTTTACATTGACGGCAAACGTACCGGTCCGCACGAATAACGGTGTCTCCTCCAAAGTCGAACCATCGATTCGACATATCGGAATCTAAATAAGGCTAATCCGTCCAAGAACAAGCATGCGATCCTCCGTCAGCAATCATTATTTTTATCCCAGGGAGCAGCAGCTATTGTGCTTATCCGGACGTTAACGCACCGATGATAAACTAAATGACCTCATCTACAGGGAATAGAGATTAGCGCATATCCTCTATCATTATATATAATCTGCATATTGCACTAGATATACTACATACCGGCACTCTCTTCGTAGTAGGGTGGTTCTCGAAGTCATTTTCGTTCGCCTGGGTGCTGGCATTGGCCACCCCAATAAGAGATAGTAATAGGAACGATAACAGCTTCCACGCCATCTTTAGAGCGGGTTCAACAATAGTAAATGAGATTAGAGAGAGAGAGAAAGAGAATAGGCCAAGTAGGAAAAGTATTAGAGAGTGAAAGAGAGGTCCAAGAGAATGTCGTGTGTCACCGGGACATCTGCTTGCTCGAGTCGGTTGCTGAGCTGGGGGAAGAAGAAAGGCGGCGGACTAGACACAACGCAGCAGGCAGTGATGTTATGGTTGAATCCGCGTAGCCTGGGTCTAGACGATGCCGCAGTAGCAGACCATGAAGGACATGACAACCCTGCGTCTTGTTCAATCGTTGCTTCGGTTGTTTCGTGTCTACTATGTAGATATAACTGTGTCCACTTCGACCAGGCGGATCAACACTTTATCCGGGATCTACTTTAATGCAGCAGTCCTGGATCGACGGATGGAAGTATTAGAGATTATCTAGAACGAATAGGGATATAAAAGACATAAATATAGCTCGACCTTTGCATTATGTTCATATCATAAAGAAATCAGCACTTTTAATAGTTGATTTGCCGTTTTTTCCTCGAAGAAAGAAAGTAGCTTCTATCATGACTAAGCATGACATCACATGACCTTCTCTAAAAACATCGAAAGAAGAAAGATAGAAGAAAGCAAGACAGAGAACAAGACAGAGAAAGATACAGAGAACAGAGAATACGCACCAAATAAGACAAACCAACAGCCTCAATTCGCCGTCACCATGTCTCTCTCGAATCCATTCAGCTCCTCCTCCGGCTCCCCCAACCTTTCCTCCTCAGAAATGAAATCCGCCATAGTACAACAGCTCCAAAGCGAGGCCGCCATGAACAACGCCCGAATGCTGATGGAGGTCAGTTGCCCTTATCTCTAACATACGCATGCATAACTAACAAGAGTATAGAAACTAAACTCGAACTGTTTTGAAAAATGCGTTCCTACCCCCGGCTCCAGCCTTTCGTCAGGCGAGCAGAGCTGCATAAAGACCTGTATGGAGAAGTATATTTCTCTCTGGAACGCCACGAGTCAGTCGTACGTTAGCCGATTGAAGCAGGAGAACGAGAAGAACGGATCGAGTGGAAGCGGCGGGGTTTTCTAGTTGGGATATATGCATGCATACTTTTAATGTGTTGGGGAACCCATGTTGGGTCGAGACTTGGGATGGTTTCTCATGCATGGGCAGGCCTCGAGGGGGTGTGTTTGTACGATCATGCGTTAAGACGAGTGCGTGGATGTTGTTATATTATCTTGGTCTAGCCGGCCACCAGGGGAGGGTGATGTAGCAGCCACGGCCTATTTTGTACCTGTATATTACTAGGAGGGAGTCCTAAAAAAATATTGATATTCATGCTACTTATATAGAAGAACGAAGCTTGAATTGTGCCTTGTAGTCAAGTAGATATTGATCAACTTTTAGATATTCCCACGTATTATCCCCGCATCCGTATACAGATGCATAGTTTGAACCATTACCACCAATATCGAAGAAGTCAAAAAGAAACTCGACTCAACAGCCAAACATGCAAAGGCGGAAGAGGAAAGGCAAACAACGGTAAAACGTGCGAAAACGAGATGCAGACCATGTATCGATATATGGTATGGAATGTATATATGTAGGCATAGACATCTGCCGGCAAGACAGATGGAATTGGCCAGTGAGATAAAAACATAACAAAAGAAATGAAATAGATAAATACCCTCCCCGAAAAAATAAACAGAAAAACTCGTCCATGCATCAGAGGTGTACAGAGACAATTAAGTATTAAATTGCCTGTTCGTAAGGGGGGAAAAGCAACCAAGAAATGAGAAAAGGGGAACAGACAAAACGACAAGGGGACAAAACGACACCTTTCCTACTCGTCCGTATTCCATATCGCCAGGTTTTTCATAAAAATCTTTTCTTTAAATGTGAGATGAAAGGAGGTTGATGGAGGGAGAAATCTGAATATATCAAGCGATGAGCGATATAGCAGGCTCGCGAATCAAGAGATTGGAATCTTGATCAGGATAAAACCACGAATAAAGACAAAGACGAAGAAACCAAAGGAGGAGAGAGAGGGGGGGAAAAAGAGAAAATCCACAGGCCAGCTGTTGCCGAGCATAAATATAGGAGAGGGATGTCTTCCGCTTTCTCCTGCTAGCTTTGAATTTTACCGGATGTGAAGGACAACGGAAGGATATATATATGAGTATATATGAAGGCAGGAGAAAAAATGGACTGCCTCGTTAAAATTCTCGGAATAGATGACCATACCTGCGCGCAAGGTTTAGCAACAATATATATCAACCATGTTGACAAGGATATATGGGCAAACTTACTCATCTTCCGCCGGGAGGCCGTACTGTTCCGTCTCTTCCGCATAAGTATCGAACATGCATGCATCACCCGATCCGCCCTTGACAGGTGGTATATACGGGGCGTCTATCCGTCGCTGGGCAAGGAGTTCCCAGGTGACTTCTGCAAACCACGGGTGATTCTTTACGTCCTGCGACCCACCGTGCAAATTGCCCAGTCTCTTAGTCAGATCGGGCGTGATTAGTCGAGATAGTAGGTCCTGTGCATCCGGGACCAAGGAAGGGGGGTATTTGACACGGCATTTTAGGATGTTTTCGTATATTTTCATGGGAGAGCCGCTGTCCCAGAACGGGGTGAAGCCGCAGAGCATTTCAAAGATGAGTATACCGAGGGACCACCTGGTCTAGTTAGCAAGCTATTATTACATATTGAATAGGAACACCTACCAATCGACAGATTTGTTGTAGCCCTTGGAGGAGACGACCTCAGGGGCGAGGTAGTCTGGTGTCCCGCACAGAGTCCATGTGATGTCCCGTACTTCCTTTGCGAACCCGAAATCCGTGATCTTGAGATGCCCGTTCTTGTCTAGAAGCAAGTTCTCGGGCTTCAGATCTCTGTATACAATGTGCTTGGAATGCAGGTACTCGAGAGCCAGGGTAACTTCGGCGGCGTAGAATTTCGCCACCGGGTTTGGGAATCGCTAACATCATAATACCTTGGTCAGCAATCTACGGCCCCGCGGGGAAAGCAGCGTACGGGTATACGGGTTATATGTAAAAAAGAACAAGACATACCTGCGACTTTCTGAGCAGGCTGAAGAGCTCACCACCTTCGGCGAAATCCATGACCATGTAGAGGTTCTTTGCATCCTGGAAGGTCCCCCAGAGAGTGACGAGGAAGGGGTGCTTGACCCGTTCGAGCATCGCACGCTCGTCATTGGTATGCTCGACCTGCTTCAGCTTGACAACCTGCGCCTTCTTTAGGACTTTTATAGCGTAGAATCGCTGGTTGTGTATAGACTGGACGAGATGGACTCGACCGAAACTGCCGGTTCCTAGGGTACGGTGGATGGAAAAGTCGCCCAGGGAGTATTTCCCCTTCAATTGGCGCTGCGAGGCACGAATTGAGGCATCAGCTGCCGCCGTAGAGTGCTGCTGTAGCTGCTGATGCTGCTGCTGGTGGTCATCGTGGTGGGGTGGGTTTATAATGTTCTTGATGCTGGTGACGTTGTGAGGCGATTGAAGGGCCGACGGCTGCGTCTGCTGGGGGGATCTCGACTGGGAGACATCTCCTGTGTTGGGACGCTGGTAGGTGGTGGACATGTTCGCGAGCGCGGGCGTTACGCTGGTCGAGGGCGGTTCGATGGCAGCACCAGCACCAGCAAGCGCAGAAGAGGCAGAGTCAGCAGCAGTAACCCCGGCGGCGGCACCGTCCTCACTGGCGGCAGAGAGCGGTATGTTCGAGGTATCAGCGCTGCTGTCGACGCTTGACTGGGCTGTATGGCCTTGGAACGCAGCGGGCGCGGAGGCGGCGGTGGCAGGAGGATGAGCAGCAGCAGCAGCAGTAGTCTCAGCGGGAGAGTCAAAGTCCTTTGACTTGGAGTCCTTCGTCCGCCGCTTCTTCAGTAGCCCTCCAAAGGTCGGCATGGAACAGGAAAAGAGACCAAGACAGCCCACCTTGTCGAAAGAGGGCAGGCCAGAGCGAGGCTGTGGGTGAGAGTGTGTTTGTGTGAGCGAGGCAAAAGGCGGAGGAGGAGGAGGAGGACCAAGAGGCACCGGGGGGATGCAGCACGAAAAGCGTTATCGGCGGGCGCAAGTCGACAGGAGAGACGATAACGAGGACATGTATTAGCTGTATGGGTTTATCTAGTTAATAGTCGTAGGTGATATATATATGCGTATTATAGCTAATATATATGCAGTTATAGGTCGAGGGTTCGCTGGCTTTTTAGTTCTCCAAGAAGTCCGAAACCTGCGAAGAAAAAAGTGCCTTTTGGCAGAGAAAAAACGCCTCCTGATCTTCCGTGGCAACGCGGCAGGATAAATCCTGGCTCCAGAACGATGGACGAGGCTGTCGAAGGCTGATGGCTTCTCTTCTGTCTGTCTGGCCGGTCGTTTGTCCGTCTGGCCGTGAAGAAGAGCGGACGGCGAGGACGAAGGAGAGCAAGAGACAAGACGAGACAAAGCTGGGATTTCCGGTTAGAAGTGGAACAAGGATCGTTTCAGCGAGAAGACGATGTCGATGCCGATGTTGGTTGATCGATGCCAACGTTGATAGTTGTAGAGGTTGATGTTTGGGCGAGAAGAAGACGAGAAGAGAAGACGCGGATCAACGCCACAGAGATGGCGAGAGCGGAAGATACAAGTCTAGAGAAGTCTACGGTGATGCTCTCTGTGTAGTCGAGAAGGTCGAAGATACACTATGGGATGCGGGAAAGGTCGAGATGCCAGCTACAGACTACGCAGAGAGGAGATGAACGTAGATGAACATAGAATAGATTCTATCCAAGCTGATAGTTGATAGACGAAGAGTGCTGAGTCCTCAGAAACCGAACATAGAAACGCCAGACAGTAGACAGAGAGACAGTAGACGGAGAGACGAAGAGTAGAAAGACGACAGAGACAAGAGCAGACCTCACAGCCGGTAATGGGCCATATTCTTCTTAATCTCGTCGACAATCTCGATGGCTTCCACTGCATTCCTCGCTTCAAAGTCATATCTCTTCTGCTCCGTCGCCTCTGTGCCTCGCAGGACCACAAACCGGAAGCTCTTTGGATGCCGCCTGCTCACCTTGGAGCCAATAACGTCGCAGAAGGAGATCGAGGTCGTCTTGCTGTTGGCCTCGAACAGCGTCTTGCCCGTCTCCGCCGGCATGATGTGCATGTAGTCGTTGTCAAAGGCCAGGATGCGCTGGCTGGACGTCGTGAAGGACATGGACTGCTTGCGTATGACGTTGTAGCGCTTGTAGTAGCCGCCGACGATGACGTCTTGCTTCTGCGAGAGCGGATGCAGCATGCGTGAGGCGGCGCCCTTCTTGCTCTTCTTCGAGGCGCCGTTGGTGTTGGTGTCGACCAGTAAAGGGGCGCTGGGGGACGAGCTGCCCGGTGAGCCCATGAGGGAGAGAGGGCCGGCACCGAAGCGGCGGCGGATCAGGTCGAGCTCCGTGTTGCTTCCCAGGGCTTCGACGGTGCGATCGAGCGGTGCCACGGTGTTGGTGTTCATGATCTTGAGCAGATAGTTGCCCTTGTCCAGCTGCCATTTCTTGCACACCGAGTCCAGGATCTCGGCGATGTAGCTGTCCGTCGACGTGTTCAGCGTCGTCGTCCGTGTAGACGCCTCCAGGTCGATGTACCGGACCTTCAGCTGCGTCGACACGCCCAGTCGAGGCGTGGCCTGCATCGTAGGGATGGCTGGGAGGTCGGCTGGCCGCAATGAGCTGTCGTTCAGCGCCGAAGTGAACGGATGGCCCAGTATCGGGTTCAGGCGTCCGCCGATGGCCACCTTGATATGATTCGACGGCAGAGCTGATGCCGTCGACGTTGCTCCCGTTGCTGTCGCCGTTGCTGCCGCTTCTCCTGCCGTGGGAGTGGCGACGTCCGGGACAGCAACGCTATCCCCCGGACAGGCTGCTTCGTTCTCTGCAAACTCCGCCGGCGAGGCCTCCACCAGCGCAAACTCGTCGTAAGGCTTGCTCCTCGACCGGCCCCTGAACCCAGCTGCCCGGTTGTTGTTCGAGGTAAAGTCTGTGATCGGCCGTTTCCTCGCAAGGGGCGGGAAGTCATAGTCAACCTCCCCGTCCTCAACCATCCGCAGGTTCCAGTAGTTGACGCCCAGCTTCGAGGCATCGATGGCCGGCTTGATCTTGTCGTCAATATATCGCCATAGTGCGAGCCCGATGGCTTCGGCAACGGTCACAGGCCGCGAGTGGTCGCCGTCCTTTGTGTCCTTCGTAAGAGGCATGTCCATTGGCTCTTCCGGGTCTTCTGCGCAGGGCGTAAATAGTTTGATATACAGCGGTGTTCCCGACGAACCCTTGCCGGACAGTATAGCATACTTCTCCATCGGGTTCTCAGGAGCCTTCTTCCGCGCATTCAGCATGTTAGACAACAGACTGACCGGCTCCGTGGCCGTAATAGGTTGCGCTGGCGGTAGTCGTGGCAGTGCCGGCGTACCTGTATCCTTATCCTTCCTTGGTGATGCGCTTCCTACTGCTCCTCCTCCTCCGCTGCCCCCACTGCTGCCTCCTGTGCCTCCTCCCCCTCCCCCCTGCGCCTCCATGCCTTTGGGTATCTTGTTCAGTATCAGGGGCGACGATACATCGAGTCCACCGCGGCCCAGCAACGACCCCGATCCGGCTGTGTTGCCAAAGTCTGAGGATATGGCTGACCCAACAGACCCGGCGATAGAATCGTCGTCCTGCTCATGCTCTCCCCTCTGAGTCCTCATGGCCCCACTGGCCATCTCGGCTTCCATCTCTACCTCTTCCTCCAGCTTCTCGCTCTCCGCATCTTCGTCTTCCTCCCGCGGAACAAACGCTTCATTTTCATGCTTTGAAAACTGCATCTGCCGTCTTTTCATCGCCTCTGGGTCTAGTTCTATATCAGATGACATGTCACTGCTTGTAGTTGTATCTCGTCTGGCTCGAGACTTGATGGCTTCCACCGCCCCCAGCGAGCTTCTGCGGAACCGGTTATCCACCGACCGTACAGACGGTGATGTTATCAGCACTCGCGGCCCGCCTTGATGCTCAGAGCCTCTGATGGGCGATGAGTCCGCCCGATGTCGAACAGGCATCTTTGTAAACTGTATCTGATTTACCGCCCTAACCGAGTGTCAGCCCTCAGATTCTCCAGTAAACGATCGTTGCACATACGTACCTCTGTCTGGAAGTTTCTTCATCACTCTCATCACTGAGATCACTGCTATCCTCCTCCCCTTCACCGGGAGTCACAGGCCGTCTGGAACCCTTTCCATGCCCTCTCCGCCCCAACTCGCTCCGGCTCCCCTTCTTCTTATACGTCTGCCGCATGATATTTGCAAATCCCAGCCCCGCAATCCCCTCCGGGTTCAACGTGATCTCTTCATCTCCGTCTTCTTCGGCCGCGTTCCCACGCCTGGCGCCTAGCTGCAAGGTGTCCTCGCCACCAAAGCTGCCCTCCCTTGTAATCGCTTCTGTTCTTCCGTTGACGTTGACGCTGGCGTTACCACGTCGCGCAGCGCCATGAGTAGCATATTGTTCGCCCACCGTCGTCGCCGTGGGTATGGGGGGTGAGTGTGTGCGTTTGATATGAGCGGCGTTGGGGTCAGCAGTGGCCGACCACCCAGCGGACCGGAAGCAAGGCGAGTTCAATATCGACGAGTTCACATTGATAAGACGGTCGCCGACCCCGTCCTTGATCGTAGCCAGGTAGGAGGTCCGAAGCTGCCAGATGGTGAATCTATATATCTCCGTCAGTCAGTCTTTGTCTCATCTTATTCTCATTTGTGTATCTCTCTCCCCAACGTACTCTTCGTTCTGAAGCAACGCCATCTCAAGCTGCCGTACGCCGTCTCATCAAGACAAGAAAGAAGATGAAGAAGAGGAAGAGGAAGACGATGTCAAAAGAGATTTATGTGTCTTCGACCGGAGTATGCCGGTTGCGATGAGGGCGAGCGGGGTGTTTTTCTGTCTGTCTCGGTGGTTCTGCTGTGCTTCTTGTCTCAAACCGGGACTTGTTCCAGTATCTGCATCTCTGCAGCCAAAGGAAGACGAGGCGAAAGAAGAAGCGAAACCAGGGCCAGCCTGGGCTGTTGTTGTTGCGCTGGATGTCTGGACACTTTTTTTTTACTCGAGGCGAAAGCCCTTGAAACGCATCTTCATCTCTCAACGTTGTTTTCTGGGGTGCAGCGGTGGCGTTGTGGCTGAGCAGGTCAAGACTTTCTACTAACTACAAGACAAGCGATGATAGAGACGATATCCATGCATTTATACTAATATACAGTTTATGGCATCAATCATAAAGGGCAGACAGGACAGAAGGACCATCGGCAGAGAGCCTTTGATATCACTTGGTTGCGTCAGTGGCTTCAACAGTCGTCCTCTTCCTCAGAAGAGTCGTTGAAACTAAACCTTTCAAGCAAAAGAGCAATCAACTGCTCTGACGGTTCGTCATCCGGTTCGCCGGCTTCGAAGGATGCCGCAAGGTTGGCGTAGTAGGCAACCAGCTCAGGAGGAGTGTGTGGTAGAGATTCCATGATTCTGCGCCAGCAGGCCATCTCTCGCTTATGCTCCCCGGTAAAGGGGTACATGGAGTCCAGGTTGAATTTGGCCACCGGCACAGGCTCTCCCGGCGTTTGGGGCCCAACGGGTACGTCGATGACCGGCCCAGCAGCTTGTGGAGATGGTCAGTGGCTGAGCCTCTATTATATGACGATGATGACATCTTACCTTGTGCCAATAACTGGGTAGAAGTAATCGGTTTGTCACCCTCTTCACGTTCGGGGATTTCTCCTCCCTCGGGGACGCCGTAACTAGCACAGAGAAAGTCACGCATCATGAGGTTATGGACGCGAGTGATATCTGTGTCTATATTAGCGCGGCGGAATGGGTCGATTTCTTTTTCGCGAGGCCTGAAATCAGGAATTTCAGGCATTGCCCGGGGAGCCTGGGTTGGTATCTTGCCAGGATCCTCTCCCTGATGGTCAGTCAGTATTTTCACGGTAGTTCGGCAGAGGGTATAGCAGAGAGGAGACATACCATTAGGAAGATTGGGTTGGGAGCCCTTTCGATGGGTTGATTGTCCATGTTAATGGCAGGATACGGTATGTAGGCTGACTATATGTGGTGTGGCTGTATTCCGGCGTATGCAGTCAGTTTAGTGAAGAAGAGAAGGGGAAGATGGCTGCCGGACCGTATACTTATACACAGGACCTGGATGTCATGGAAGGCCATACAGCGTACCATGGATACGGTCGACACATACCATGGCCTGCCCTATCAATGACGCCCATCTCGTTCTCGAAACCAGAGGTACCCTTCCTCAGGGGCATCTTCGACATAGTCACCCACAAGTTCAGCAACAGCGTCCGTAACTCCATGGTTGTCCTTGCCATGAGTTGCAAGGCCAACTCCACGGTTCACAATATCGATTGCCCCCTTGGCAGCACGATTTATATACTTTGCATCATCAAGCAGCTGCTGGTTGGCTGCACCCGCATCTGTGCCGGCTGAATCACGCATCGACTCTGTAATCGCCTCTTCGGACAACAAGAACGGTTCTAGCACGTAGAGCAGTAACGTGGATAGACGCAGCATTACCGCAGTAAGGAGGTCATGTGTCACTGCCGTAACTCCCTGGCTAAGCAGTCCTCTGGAAACCTCTAGCATGAGACCTGTAGTAGAGTTAGCATACATTCAGCATTAAGAGGAGATACGTTGGTAGACAGCTTACTTCCTTTCCCCCTTGTATTCGCACGCACAGAACCACCGGCTCTCGCACAAGCCTGCATGACAGAAACACGGTACAGAACCGACTCAGCAACGGCTCTGGTAAACCCTATACTTACCGCACCTTCCTTCCCATCACCAGCATGTCCCCTCACACGAGCCAAACAGCCGCGTAGCAACGAAACCGCCAACGCCATAATCGAAGACTTCGTCGACAAAATCAGCGTAGCCCAGTATCCAGACCATAATCCCTTTACCCCTTTTTCACGCATGACATCATCAAGTGCACTCATCCTACCAGAACCACCAACCTGCCTTCTCACAACGATCGTAGCAATAGGTTCTGTCAACAGGCTGGCCAACGCCCTCGATACCAGGGAGATAGAAATATCATGAACAAGCCCCGTCTTGCCACGCATCTTCAACCATAGGAACCGGCGCGAGAGCATCGAATAAACGGCGCCAAAAAACAGGTATTCCAACGCCTCTTTACCCGCCGCTTCACACACGCCTGCATACAGTGCCTTTCGGGCGTTGGGATCTTTTAGTCCTTCCGCAGCTAGACCGCCCACATCGCGAATCGTGTCAAGACAGTTCTGTATCTCGCCCTCTACGTTTCGTTTGGTACTGTCCGAGTGCTTTGGTACGCTATCTTGGGTATATCGAACTTGTAGACGGGTGATTATTGAGTCTAGAGGGTAGAATAGAGCCGTTGACAGGGCTACGGCTAGGGCTTCGGTTGCAGTATGGCTTGCGGAGGTGATGGAGTCGTTGTTTTGAGCTAGGGAGGTATATAGATCGTAGCTTCGTAGGTCGTCCTATAGTTACGTATGTATCAGTCAGTCAGTTGGGCTTCGACGGCGGGCACGAGAAGCGACTTACCATTGTCTCTTGACCAGTTGCTAGATATATGAACACCTTTACCTGGTGGTATGATATAATTCATATAATAATACTGCGTCGAGATGTTCATGAAGTCGAAAGTTGGAATTAAGCTTGCTTCCCACCTCCGTAGATTATATAATCTTGCATATTTATGCGGTTACTAGCAAAAGAATAGAAATATGATATAAAAGTGACCAGTTCAGTTATTTATTGTTGGAATGTCGAGCTTTGTGGTATTGTTGGTAGCCATCTCTGGTAGTGGCATACACCCGCTGGATGTCTTCACTGTCGATAACTGCTGCATCGAAACGTCGACTTGTTAAAGCACTCCACGGCAATGCTACAGCTAGAGTCGAGCGATCAGCCTATGTTTACGTGGAAAACACTTAGTCGAGTGGAATGTGTGGTATTACTGCTGCTTATATCTACTACCCGCGTCACCGAGACTGATTCACTATCTTCATCCTCGCTACATTCTACGTTCATTTAAGAGCAGTGACGAAAGAAGATATCAAAGAATTCGCGCAGAACAAGTGTAAACGATATGTATGTCCATATATAATATAAACTATGTACAGATATGCATACACATGCATCAATCATGTCATATGTCATATCAGCGTCCGCTATCAACGCGGATCCTCCCCCAATCAACTCTCTATATCAAATCAACTCCCATTTCTTCTTCTATGGCGGTGTCACGCGACGATTGGTGATTTACAAGTTGGCGAAGGCAAGCTCGTATGCGAAGCCGACGACGAGCTTAGCGTGTTCGAGCATCTTGGCAGGGTCGAGCTTATCAATGGTGTCGTCAGGGGAGTGGATGGCTGGGTTGTCCTGGCCGAGCACAGCCTCGTAGACGAAGGCAGATGGGTAGCCGGCCTTGTTAGCAGAGGCGTGGTCAGAGCAGGCGTAGCCGCACTCGGAGTCAGCGTACTTGGCGGTGGTGTACTGGAAGAGTTAGCTTGTTTTTCCCTGAGAAGGCCTAGAAAGAAGGCAAACTTACGGTGTCGAGGATCATCTTGGTGAAGGTGGTGAGGGCGGAGTCGGAGTTGTCAGTGATGATACCCATGGTCTTTCCGTATCCGGTCATGTCCTGGTTAAGCATGGCAACGACCTCCTTGCCAGCCTGCTTGTACTGCTGGAAGACGGCCTGGGAGCCGAGGAGGCCAGCCTCCTCTCCGGCGTACCAGTGGAACTCGATGGTGTTGGTAGCCTGGCCGCCAGCAATCTTCTGGTCAGAGACGAGGGCGGTCAGGGCCTCGAGGATGGTCATGGAGCCGGAGCCGTTGTCATCAGCACCGGGGGCAGCTGCCTTGGGGTTTTGGCCGTTGATGCTGTCCTGGTGAGCACCGACGACGACAATCTTCTCGGACTTTCCGGGAATGATGGCACGGATGCTGGGCTGCTTCCACTTGTGCTCGATCTTCTCGGCCTTAGCACCCTGGATCTTGCCAATGACTCCTTGGACCTGGGAGAGGACCCATTCGGCAGACTGGACACCGGTGTCAGCCTGGTAGTAGCGGTTGGGGAAGTCGGAGAACTTCTGGAGGTTGCTCATGAGGTGGTCAGAAGAGAGTTTTCCGAGAAGTGGCTTGACGTCTGCCTGGTGGCTGACGTTTCCGGGGAAAGCATAGGACTTTGGCTTGGTGACAGAGCTGGCAGTAACTGGCATGTCGGTGATATCAAAGAAGCCAACGTTGTTCTATATACTCTGTTAGCATGGCCCCTTAAACCTGTAATACGGACAAACGTGTATATACCATGGTCAATTCGAGCTTCTCAGCATCGGTGACCCAGCGAGTCTCCTGGGGACCAGTCTGGATCAAAGACATGCCCGGCATGGGAGGAGTTGGTTTGGCCAGAGCCAGGGCGCTCAGCGCGAGGGCAGCAAGGACCTTCATGATGAATGACTGAGAAGAAGTCGGGCGTAAGGAGAGAAGAAAGAAGAAAATGGAAGAGGAAAAGAGAGTGTTGGTTTCAAGAAGTGAAAGGGGAGAGAGAGAGAGCAAACGTCTTGGAAACGGCGAGACGAACCAGCTATATATACACGTCCATCCGTCCCCTTTCATCTTAAACCAAAGGGGGTACCAGCGGGTGATAAGCAGGGCCGGATGTCTGCCCGTCCTCACCCGCCCGGGCCCTGATCGTCGACCTCTGCTGATTTCCAGAAACTGGACAGAAATTCTTCCCCACGAAAACAGGTCAGACATGATCCGCCACCAGGGCTCCGCAAGCTCCTCCTCCCCAGACAGGAAGTAGAAAGGGTCAACGTCATACAAATACCCATGGCTACCCGTATTCATCAAAGCAATCGCATCAACAGCAGCACAACATCACAGCAGCGTACGATGATGTACTATCTGCATGGCACACACGCATGAGCATGGTAAAGGGGCAGACGAGCGTTCCAGGATTCCCCAAACTGGGCCCCCTCTTCTCTCACCCTGGCCAGCATGTCGAATCAAGAAGGCGATGTAACGCGTTTCAGCTCATATTCTTTCCCCTCAGCCGCGTTGGGCGAGATGAACCTTTCTTGGCCCGGCCGCAGACTTGTCGAATTGTGGTAGAGAATCAGCGCTCGCCCAGTCGTTTCCATCTTCTCCATCTTCCCCAGCACTATCAGGGCTTCGGTTTAGCCCGGGATGGGCAGTGGCAGAAGTTGCAGAAGTTGCATGACGATCACTCCTGCGGCCGACGATCAGTCACTCAAAATCCCAGCTGAAGGAGGAGGAGAGAAAACGAGCTTGCTCCGAGTGGAACAACTCTACTTACGAACTGGACCGTCGTTCACATGTAACCTCCAACTGGTGCTCTGTTGATAAGTAGTAGATGCCCGGAGCTTTTACTATGTATGCTATATGAAAGTGAGTAACGGCGCCTGGCGCATAGGGCGACGCTTGTCATGCCTTAAGAGGCGGAGATATTACTCTTTGGTCTGCATTATTGGCCGGGTAACTGATCCCCTTGACCTTGTCATGCTTCTTCTCCTTCTCCTGGCCAAAACATGTCGTGATGTTCTTTTTCTTTGCTTTTTTTTTTTTTTTGCTTTTGGCGTGTTTTAAGTTGGTCTTGGCAGGTTCCTTATCAGGACTAGCTCGAGTAACAAGATTATGTAAGTTCAGACGGGCCTTCTTTTCCCCGTTGCTTAGTAATGCAGCCTCGGCTTTACTCATGGATAGGTGTATGTACTATAAAAGAGATAAAGAGAAACCAGACTCCATTGCCTAAAGCTCATTAAACATGCTGCAACCCCAAGTATCCCGTCCGTCCCACTCGAAGAAAATCCACCCGTTAAAAAGGAAAGTGACAAGAGAAAGCAAAGAAAATAAGGGAATGCGTCTATCCACCGAATCCATAGAGGGTACGGCCCTGTCTCTTGAGAGCATACACGACATCAAGGGATGTGACGGTCTTGCGCTTAGCGTGTTCGGTATAGGTGACTGCGTCGCGAATGACAGATTCGAGGAAAGACTTGAGCACGTTGCGGGTTTCGCCGTAGATCACTGACAGGCATTAGCAACTCATGAAAGATAATCATAAAGGACATCATGGGTAGAGACGTACTGGCAGAGATACGCTTGACACCACCACGACGAGCGAGACGGCGGATAGCAGGCTTGGTGATGCCGTGGATGTTGTCGCGGAGGATCTTACGGTGACGCTTGGCGCCACCCTTGCCGAGTCCCTTGCCTCCCTTGCCGCCTGTCAAGAGCAAAGAGGTTAGCTAGCTTCGAAGAAGAAAGACAACGAGATCGTCCAGGATGCAAGGACGAGGTGGTGACGCGGTGACGGTGACAAGTCGCGTTGACCAGCATCGAGAAACGGCCTAAAGTGGCGACCTTCACCGCCAAGCCTCACCAGCATCACCGGCACCAGACGTCGATGAGAAGAGAACAACTTACGTCCAGTCATCTTTGCTAGTTAAAAGGGTAAGAAGACGTGTAATAAGTCGATAGAAGACTTGAGATGTCAGAGACGATGAAGAAACACGCGTGGTGGATGAAAAGTCGATGACGTTGAGCGTTGGTTGAGCATGAAGGTAAAGAAGAAGAAGAAAAAGGGGGAAGAAAGTGTGTGGTGCTGGAGCCTTAATATATACTTGGGGCGGACGCGCAAGATCACTTGCTGAGGGTTGATCTTGATTTTTTTTTTTTTTGCTTGGTAGCCTGATTGCTTAGTCAGAGGTTGATGTCGGGAAACAAAAAAAAAAGATCAAAAACGAAAGCGAGATCACGCCAAAAAAAGGGCGAGAAAGTCGCGGCGCAAAGAAGCAACTTTCTAGGCGTGTTTTTTTGTTAGGGAAAAAAGGAAGAAACGCTTAAGGCGGCTTTAGGTTTCGGTGATTAGTAAGGGTCACGTGAAAGAACCTCACTCTATATAGATCCATACATAGGATGATACGGAGTACGGTTGATGGAGTAAGACGCTTCATTATCATCATACGTAGTCTCCCTCGTCCGGAGGAAGAATCCACAGAAATAACTAAAAGTAACAAGTGACAGTGACACGAAAAAGAGACGCTTTTCCGGCCGAACCACAGCAACTCCGGAATCCCACGAACAAGACGAAAACAGCCCAAGAGACAGACAGATACAACGCTGGGAAAAAAGAACATAAAAAAGGGAAGACGCCACACCCAGTCCCCATGCGCCAGGAAGGGGAGGAAAAAGCACAGAGAGAACAAATACATAAATACATCACGCATCATCAAAAGGACACACTGAAGGGAAGATGTTTTTGGTGATGGGTTTCTTCGTAGGAAGACATGCAGTCTGGTCGATGGAAGGGAAAAGGAAAAAGGCCCACATGCTTTGCTACTGGAAGCTGCTGAAACGAGAAAAGAGTAAAAAAGCTGACAGAGACGAAAAGTCGAGGATTAACGGTAGACCGATCAAGCCGGGTGGAGGAAGTTCCGTCCGTTCATAAACAGATGGGAAGAAGAGAAAACAAAAGTCGTCGCTGTTTAACGAGGATGTGTGCTGCTGGGTGTGCTGCTGCTGAAGGTAGGGTGATCATCCTAATATCGCCGTTGGGGCAGGAGAGGCGGGCATCCCTCTCTCTCGCGTAAAGGGGAAGGGAAGGATCCCCGAAGTCGAAGGCGGCGGGGTCTTCACACCCTCTGTATCAGACGTAGATGTGGATGTGGATGACGGTGAGGCAGAGGCAGATATAGTTGGTGGAGGTGACAGGCGGCGGGGGAGGTGCCTGTTCATGTGCATGGAGTGCAAGGTGGGGGTAGACGTCGCTGGTGGCCTGGCTGGCTCACCCTCTGCTTCGGGGTCTAGCTCTGTCCCGTCCTTGGAGGGCATGCTGGAGCAGCGTTTTCCCTTTGCAGAGCCGAACTGGTGGCCTTCATTAGTAAATAGATGCATGGGGAAAGAAGTTGAAGGGGGAATGGGAAAACTCACGAAGCAGTATTTGTCGACTAGCTCCTTGTAGACCTGGGACTCATGGTTTGGTCTGTCGGAAAGGAAATCAGAGAGTCTCTTCTCGTTTCCGGTGGGAGACTCGTCCGACTCGCTGGTGCTGCTCTCCTGGCTCTCAGCGGTCCGCAGCTCGGGCATGCTATGGCTGTGCTGGTGCCCAAAGGCCTGGGTGCGGGAGCTGGCCGCCGTGGTCAGGGACGCAGAGAAGTCATACCGGTCGCCAAACACGTTGGCGCGTATCTTGTTCTTTCTCGTAGGGGAACCAGACTCGGGGAACCAGCCTTCCTTCTCCGAGTCGACGTCTACTTCGACTTCGTGCGGCTGAGAGCTGGTGATCTGGAACTGGGTCTCTTTGGCGGCTACCTTGATCCCCATGTCCACGTTCATGTTCATGTTCATACCCATGGCAACCATCGACAGCGGCCTGGATCGAGACTTGGAGTTCTTCGCTCGTGCCATGCGAGCTCTGAAGAGCGGGTCTCGGGCACACCCGCCCACTGCAACAGAGGCAGCACCGGCGGGCCGTCGGGAGAAGACGATCTGATAGTTCATGTCGTCGTTGTTGTCCCAGAACTCCCTTCCGCCAACGTTATACTTCAGGCAGAGGAAGAGCGTCTTGTTCTCCATGCCGTGTCTGAGCTGGTCCGCCAGCTCGATGGAGAAGGAAAAGGTATCGAACCCTACCCTCTCGTCACGGTCGATGCAGGGCCTGCCCTGGGCCACATACTCACCCGTGACCTCCGAGACGGTCTTCCAGTTGTCCAGGGTGAAGCGGGCGGTGACATACTTTGAGTATGAGAGGTTGGCCACCGCTATGGTGCCGAGGAGGGCGCGGGTGTCCGGGCAGAGCTGGATGCGTCGTAGACGGACAGGCCGGCTGAGACGCGTGTCGTCCAGCATGGAAGGGAAGTTGGTCACTCGTGCTTCCCAGGTATCTTTGGCGGCGGCGGCGGCGGCGGCGGCGGCATTAGCGGCACAAGTGCTGCCGCCGCAGGTGTTGAAGGGGAACTCCGTGTCTCCGTCGTACTCCTCGACGGGCGAGGAGCCGGCACTGACGGCCAGGGGCCTGTCGAGCTGCATGAAGTGACGGACCTCCTCCAGCTGGGCTCCAAAGTGGACTGCCTTGGAGAAAGTGGGGGTTCCGGGCATGCTGAGCGGGCGTCCCTGCCGTAGCCTGATGGCGGGCCTCACCAGCTCACCAGACTTCTTCCGCAGCATCGGTGGCTTCTTGGCCAGCTCCTCCTCGTCCTGGTCACTCTGATCGGGAGTCTGGGTCGCCTGCTCCGGCATCGAATAGAGCAGGATCCCGGATCCTTCCTCTGTCTTGCTCTTCTTCTCCTCCTGCTGTTGTTTCTTCTGGTCAATGGATGAGATTGCGTCTGTCAGACCACCAAGCATCCTCATCTGCTGCTGCTGGTGGTGGTGGTCCTGTCTCTTCGCATCCTCCTCGTCCCCAGAGTTGTTCCTCGACTCGGGCGGGGACAGGACCATGCCCATGCCTCCCGTCCAGACGTCGTGATGAGGCTGCTGCTGGCCGTCGACCTGCTGCAGACGGGCCACCGGCGTACGCATGGTGGGGCTACGCCTGTGTCTGTGCAGGTAAGAGGAGCTCGACGGCCGCGGGAAGCTCAGGGCCGGCTCGGAGTTATGGCGTCCATGGCGGCGGGCAGGACCAGCTGCCCCTCTGGCCGGAGACGAGACCGTAGCCGTTCCCGAAGGCAAAGACGGTGCAGGCGAAGTTCCTGTGGGGGAAGGGGGTGCGGACGAAGGGGGAATGTATGGCATCCGGCCTGTTGTCGTCCTTTTTCCTGGCTCTTCTATAGCTCTTGTCAGCTGCGTGTCTTAGCTGTAGATCAACTCCACTTACAAGCCCAGCAGTAACAGACGGGAGAAGGTCGAACTGATCACTGCATCAGGGGGACGAACAACGAACTGAACAGGATGTCCTCGTTCTAGTTCCTGTAGCCTGTCGTCGTCGGTGGTGGGTACTCCGTGGTTGATGGTTCTTGAGCGAGCGTGAACAAACCCACCAAAAGAAGGGGAAGAAGAGGGGGAAGAACAGCAACACAACGACGAAACTTGAAAGAGAAGAAGAAGAGGACAGGGGGGGGAAGAAGAAGAGGAGGAGGAGGACGTTGATAAGTAGCTAAGAAGAGGACGAAGATATGAAGAAAAGGAATATAATAAGAGGGAAGAAGCTGGGCGGCGGATGCAGATTTCTTGCCGTCAACCTGGTCGCCACCGGTAGCGCAGCAAGCCAGGGATAGTTAGAAGAAGGGGAACAAGGGCGAATAGGCTGTCTAGACTGGATCTGCCATCAGTGCTCTTCGATCTCCCTGTAGCTCTTCTGTCCGTCCTCGCCGTCTTCTCCCCCCCTTGGAAGGTCTCGTCTATAGGGAGAAAAAGAGATGAAGAAGTACCAGGTACTTCGGCCGCCCTTATCAGCCCCACAGGCTCGCACTATAAAAAGTCTGCGGCGAACTCGATGCTATTGGCCAACGCCCGTAAGTACCAGGTACAGCTTCGTCCTCGATGTAGTTACACCTTCATATACACTCTTACTTCTGCTCCAACTGACTTCAACTACTTTCGCAGAAACTCTCTCGCCGGAGATAGACTCCATAGCTCCTGTTGCTGCTGGTTTATCTTCCCACAGTCAGATCGTGCGACCACGGCCGGTTATAGACCAGATAGACATGGTACAGCTGCTGGACTCGATGAACTATGTGCTGCAACACTCCTGCTGCTGCTACCATAACAACTTGACCTGCAAGCCACGCCCCGATGCCTTGGTTTCGTTGCTTGGGGATAAACCGCATCACTGACTAGAACTGATACTCGACACCTCTTCGCTCCTACGTAGTATGTCATATCACGCCATGCGACGCCAATCAAGCGGCGAAGAGACAGCCACAGGAATTAAACTACTTCCCCTCGCGACTCACGGGCTGTTGGGATGTTCGATTGTCTCTGCAGCAGAGCCCATGGGAGTTAACTGCATGGGAGGGTGCATATTCCATGCACATCCTCAACTGATAGCCGACGCTTCCACTCCCCTCGTATAGCATTCTCGCGGCAAGGGGGAGGCGGTGAAGCGTCAAGGTTTCCCCATGCATGCAAAGAGATAAAGGATGTCTGAAGGACGGAGCTCGCCTGGATACTCAGCATTATACTCAAGTGGCATAACCCGTACGGTTGACTAGGTGTTATCGACGGGAGATGAGATGGGACGATAACTGGTACCATCTTTGTCCCTCGACCGTCACCGCTGCACTGGAGTGCTATTATCACCAATCACCCTCTCACGCATGTCCATATTATCCCTCTCCCCGTCACACCCAAGCAAGGATGAAACATGCAAGTCATCGGCCGGTCTTCTTTTTCTCCCTTGCGATCAGGGCTAAACGTCCGTGTGTGTTCGCATATCCAGAGACGCAAGAAGGGATCCCGGTCTACGAGAAGCAGCCAAAGAGAGAGAAAAAAAGCAATTATGGGGCTCGACTTGCTTCATGTCTCGGCCATGCAAGAGAAGTTGGTCTTGGAGGTGGAAAGACTTTTTTATCTTTTATCTCTGTGGCGAAGATTAGTTTTGTTTTCCCTTTGCCCTTCCCGTCCGATAGTTAACAAGGCAAGGCACAGAGAAGGAAGAAGAGATAAGTTAAGAGAGCAAAGTACCAGAAGTCAATGGTTGGAGCGCAGCGGAACTTCCAGCATCCATGGCTCTTCTTGTGCTCGATACCGATATTATATTATTCACCCTATCCGACCTCTCCGTTCGGGCCGGGCGACCTTCTTCCCTCCCTTCCCCCCCTCCCTCCCCCTTCTCCTCCCCCCTTCATCCATGCAGAGCGCCCATCGATCCATCCAGAATTCAAGCATGGCCTGATAATGAAGTCTATCCCGGCATATTGCTGATTAGTGCGTATTGTGTATGTGTCTATATAAATAATATATATATACTACTCCTCCGGTCGCGGACTTGCAGGGTTCTTCTGTGCGTGGCGCTGCCTATGCAGTGCATTGCATATAACTATCTGTATAACTATACTCTGTACATATTAGTACATGCCTTCACCCCCTCCTCAGACGCACACACACATCTATACCAAGGACGTCTCGCTCCACTCTTGGTACCCATGTATTCATACTATATTGGCACGGCGTGGCGGCGTCTATCCAAGGTCGAAGTGGGGTTGGTTGTTATAGTCGGGTCTAATATTTTATGCTGCTATATTTGCTATGATAACTTTTGTACCATGTACCGTCAGAACCAAGGTTGAACCTTCGCTTCTTTTCTGGATCTGGCTCCGGCCTTGAAACAGACCGACTTGGGTTATAAGAGATGTGGATTAAGCGGGGATGGGCACCGATGTTATGGGGCGGGTATGGAGCATGCACTGATCGAGTGGGAAGGTATATGCTAGATTTCTCGTCCACTTCCGCCATATAATATGGAGTCCTCCCATCCCAAGCATCGAGTCGTTGTGTTTGTAGACTCGAAAGTCTCATCTCAGGACAGCTAACCATTTTTTGTCTTCACTTTTTTCGTTCGCCGTCGCCTCTTCCCATTCCCCAGCTTAACATCTTCCTTACGAAGGCGGAGGAGTCAACTTTCCCTCGGTAGGACAGTGACGAATTCTTCAGCCTCTAGGCATCCGTTGCCTCGCCCATATGCTCCTATAGCGCGCTGACATGAACACGTCAAACATACACCTAGCGGCAGCACAGTCTCGACTTAGTGTTCGTCAAAGGTGGAGCAGAGTGGACTTGCATCCTTAGCATCTGCGTCCAAGGGGGGGCTGAGGCTGCTCTATACTTGCTATGTATACCGTGATAGGGCCGCTGGCAGCCAGCGGTAAGACATATGCGTGATCAACCAAGCCAGACAGTATTCGCCATTCCTCAGCTTAAGCTGTTCTATCTCAATATTCGTCAGTGGCTGTCTGATAAAACATCGATAAGATAATAGATCTCATGAACTCTAGTCTTTATCCTCACCTATCGGATGGACAGCACTCTAGCCGGATAGGCCGAGAATATGTAGATGACTTCCCCCTTTCTCACGCCATGTAAATCGCAGGGTCCATAGGATCCCGAGACTCCTCTTCATCCTCGAGACCATCACGAAGCAGAGTAGGCGAATTATGCTCTAGCATGTCGTTGGGGGTGGGGGGTGAATCTATCCTGCTGCGTCCGTAGTCTGTGACCTCGGGGTCCATATGCAATACACTAATGTCGGCCCGTTGGACCGTCGACTCCCCAGTATATCGCCGGCGAGACGTATAAGGTGCAACCTCGGATGCCCTCGTCTGCGAAAGCCTATATGCATCTGCTTCTTGGACATGGGTATCGAAGATAGCATCATATGCTCTCTTATCCGCACTAAGCCATACAGTCGACTAACTATGCAGCCAGCCACAGACTCTTTAGCAACCATTTGTTATATATTACTAATATCTCGACAGTTTTGATGGGATATTAGTTCTTTCGACGATAGAACGGCAGAGTCTGTTCTTCTCGCCTGCACGGCGGATTCGACGGGTTGGGGTGTTCAAATCCGAATATAGTGTCAGATTTATGATAGAAAATGACTGAACTGCCATGGGTGGTTCAAATTATAAAACAGCCATCCTTCATCTATTTCCGCCCTTTCGAATTTTTTTTTTGTTCCTACAAAAATCGCGTTTATTATATTTTGAAACGCGCTTAATATCACATGACAGGATTAGCCGCAGAATTAAGGTTTACATTGCCGCCAGTTTGTTTTTCTTTTTTCTACTTTTTCAGCCATCTTGAAGTTCGTTTTTTTCAGGTTGTCAACGATACTCAGCACTGCATGTATCTCTACATCGCATTGTACTTCGAATATATTATGCAGGGCTCAGCCGTATACTTTCTGACAGTATTGCTTTTCCTTGCTCATTTACGGTTTCCCTCTGCATCCTCGGTAGCTACGTCCTTTCATTATAGGGGAGATAAATCAGGGATCTATCCTTTAGATCAACTTTTCTTTGCAGTATTCAATGTCCTGTCGACCTATTAGCAATTAATGTATTGCCTAAGGGTTAATTATTGATGATCTAAGGCTTAGCAAACTGGCGGTACTTACAGGAGCTCATCAACCTTATCTCCAATGATCGGCTGTCTACTTTGCCATATACATGGATACCATGTAGAGCAACATCCTATGTAGCTCTTCTCATATTTACATATGGTCAGTTACTAACAGCCCTGCAGGCTCGGTTAAGTTCAAGGAGATTTAACTCCTTAGGGATAACGCGTCCCCTCGCCCACCGAAGGGCCAGAAGCCAGAAACTATATTGCGCTCGGATTCTCTGAAAACTCTGCCCACCTCGTTAACTAATGATGGCTCAATCCAAGCTTCCAAGAAAGTGCACAGGCAGTCGCTACCAATGCGAAGTACATCAACTTGCCAAGGAACAGGGGTTTTACGAGCTCCATCAAACGACTTGATGGTAGTAGAACTTGCTCAAGAATTGATATCGATGTTGGAAATTGTACATAGTTCATGCTATGTAATGCACGTGGGGATGGAGACTACGGAAACCGTTTAGAAGCAATTAACGAAAATAGCAACTGGGGCACTATGGGGCCCTGCGGGTAGCCGAGGATAGGCCTGAGCAAAGCCCACATGAATCAATGCGCAGGGTATGAAGAGCTCTCTCTCTGACCTAAGAACAATTCTCCCATGGATTTGAGATGTCAGTGTCACTACATCAAAAACTGGGTAAGGGTCAAAGCCCTGAATGCATTGATTAGCCTCTCCTCTTTTCTTTTTCTTCCCGCATCCTAGCTGGTGCTGGTCACTGCGGGCATATGGATAAATGTGCTCTGTGCATGGGTCGAGATCTCGCGACAGAAACGATCGACCACCCAACTGTCTGATATTTCGTTGTGTTTGGACAATATCTTATGTTCACCCCTGTTTCTCCCATGCAAGCCAGAGGACAAATGCCGCACTTCGGGCCCAAGCCAGATCCCATTTCAGCAGCTTTGCCAGCCTATCTCCAACATATAAAACAGGACAGCAGGCGGGGGTGGCTGCAGGAGCTGTGGGAAGATTGAAATATTGTCGGAGTGAGGCATGAGAGACCCAATAACGTACTTCTTGCGTACAACGTGAATGCTTTGACTTCTGATATACCTGGAGTCTACTCCGTACCTCCTGGCGCATTGCCGATTTGCTTCATCCCATCCTCAAGGCCGACGAGGAGAAAAGAGGTTTGTCCCCTTGATTGGGCCGGAATTTACGGCCGTGGGATGCAAGTATATACTCATATGAGTTCCCGCTGCTTGCTTGGGGTGTACATATATCTGCATCTTCGTTCTCTTATTCACCCCCTGAACGCCCACTTGCACGGCTGGTCCCGTTCTCAAGCGTCAAACCATGGTTCTGCTCGCTGAAAATGATCTCGATAGACCCCTTTCGAACCCTGGAGTTTGGCAAGTTTATCTTTAACCACACACGATATCAAGTTCCAGTTGCATTTGGCCCACCACCTTTTATTCAATGTCGAGAAGCGGACAGATAGGCAGACCCTCTTGTCAGCTGTGGTGTGATTTACTACCTTATCATCGTGTATATTCCCCCCTCCCCCTGTGCTACCGTCTCTGCTACTGATGCATGATGCCATGGACGGATAATCGGCGTCAATGCCAGACATACATGGGCACTGATGTTACAGAGACACAAACACGGTGCATATGCAGCGTAACTTCAACTTGGGGTAAAATAGCCTCACGCTGAAGCATCATCTGCCTATTTCTTCCCCTTTTGCGCAAACAGGCACACCGAGCTATTTCCGATAACGAATTGAGCTCATTCTAGGAATTCCGATTCGCTCCATGAAGTATAGTTCCCGTTACCCGATGTTGAAGGCTACCTTATGTTTCAAGTATATATGAAGTACCACTTGAATCATGGCTGTTATTTACGATCATCGTCGGCATTTGATAACATCTAACCTTTAGACAACAGCTCTCTTCGTCATACCGTTGATTTGCTGGCCGTCGGATCTTGGGATATTGCTATGATATCCGGTTTTACTAGAGAAGTAATACCCCCTTTGTATCAGGATTGAGCGGGTACGCCGTTTAAACGTCCGTTGTATATATACATCTACCTGTATCTGCCCTGCGTTGCCTCAGACAATGCTTGTCTGTTACTGTTAAAAGTCAAGTAGATTTTGTGCAACAGGCTATTGCTCTGCCGATGTCGGGGCTGATAAGCAGCTTTGTGGCTCTTGTTTCACTTGAAGGAGGATCATTTCAGTTATAGATGGACCCGCCTAGAGATAGCTGATAAAAGCTATGTGCCGAAACTTTCTTAAATCCAATAATCATGATATGTCCGGTATATAAATATCAACCTTGTATGTATGTAATCCGTCCGTCACCTTTATTCGTCATGACTCGTGCATCAAAAAGGGAAAATATAATATCAAAAAGAAAACATATATATATATATATGATTGAAATCATCATTTATCGGACGCCATCAGCCCCGACTTCATCGATGATAAGAACATAGCCGCCCGGCAAAAATCCTTTCTGCCCAGCATAACAACCCCAAAGCCAATCGTCGTTGATATTCTCCGCTTCCGTAATCTCCGCTCCCCGAGGGAACATTATCTCGTCGGTGTCTCCTGGTTCAGGGTAATGCGACCATTTAGCGATAAGACGTAGGCCGATACCACCTGATGGCGGGAAGCGGGTGGTAGGAAAGGGGGACGGAGAGGAGCTGTCCGACGGGCTATCGGGTGCTGATGATAGATGCTGCCTGGCACGGTTAAGTCTGCGTCTTTGACGGAAGCTGCCATCACTGGACTCTGCGGGTTCTGTCCACATCCATCGGCCGGAGTCTTGTCGATTAAGCTGTAGATTTGTCCCGTTGGCATCGGAGACGGGGCTCGAGGGGCTTGCTGCCGCGTTGTTGCTATTGTCTCTTTTGGAGCCGGATGAGGGGTTTGGGACATATTCATCCTTCCATGCGTGTCCGCCCACAAGACCCTGAACGATAACTCTCATCTGTCCCACTCGATGGTCCTCAAAACCAACTATTATCATGCGATGGCCCTGCAGACAACGCCGCCAGCCGTTTCGGCCGTTCTCTTTGCTGATTTTCCCCGATGCACCTAGCTTCAGGTAGCAGTTCGTGCACATATCGTAATCTCCATCGTTACACTGGATGCAATGGAATCGTGTTGTCGAAGGGGGGATGGGATATGTGCAGACATTGCACTGCGTAGAGAATGTGAGGGGTCTATATTCAGTATCCGTTAGCGGAGGAGGCGAGGCTGTCGTTCGTGTAGATATTTGTGCATCGGGCTTTGTTTTTATCTTAGCACGGGATATCGGTAACAGAGGATGTGTGCAGCATTTGTCCTGGTTAACACATTTGTTACAGAATCCCCATTCCCCATCATTGCACTCTCTACATTTCCAGAAACATTCATCCGAGAACCGCTCACACATATCACAGAACATGCCCGTCTGTACCCGTTTGGAGAGCGGAACGTAGCTTGATGTGGCAGACCGTGAACTCTGAGATGGCCGTTCCTCTGATGGCCGTAAGTACTTCCGCCAGCTGAGCTTATGGGGTGGCTCTTGTTCTTCCAGGGGCTTGTTTAAAGATGCCATCTTCCTTTCAAAAAAGTACTGCGCTGCCTGGCCGAACCCAAACCAATGTAAGCACCCACGTCCTAGACGGTAACAGCGCGCACAAAGGCAGTAATTGCCTGACTTGCAATGCTTGCAGACTTTATGTAGCTCATACTGTATATCGCTCTTCCCGCACCGTTCACATAATATTGATGGCTCCGGAGGCATCTGAATGGGAGGCTGATTAGACGGTAAAGGAGCAGGATTCGACACCCGCCTGATGGGCGCTGGCGGAGGAGAGGTAGTGGTTGGCGTGTTTGTAGAGGCTGTAGGAACAGCTGGAGTAGTTGGTTGTGACTGTGAAGTCTGAGACCGGTTTGATGTACGGAGGGGTGCGATCTCGCTTGTAGCAGAGAGTGCCATTTCAGACGTAGTATTTGCTCTATTTGGATTTATAGAAGCAGGGCTGGGCCGACGTTGCCTCTCTCCAGGCGACGATGGACGTCTTTGACGACTGGCCTGAAGCGGTGGAATTGCCTGCTGGCGTAGCGAAGGCGACGGCAGCGAGCTATTTGAGGCTCGTCTGCGGGACGGCCCCGTTCCAGTAGCCGCAGAACCACTTCCAGAGCCACGTCCAGTACCAGTTCCACTGCCCGCTGCTGCACTAGTCGTGTGAGCCGTGGGTTGCGCCAATGTCTCGGAAGAAAGTGAAAAATTAGTGGATGGAGTTGGCGATGTCCGACGTCTTCGAGTGCCGGTGCCTTGATCTGAGGTGCTTCGGCGGTGGTTTGAAGTATGGTTGGCAGTACTGGGTTCTAAAAGACGCGGACGAGAGGTCGGCGGTGCCCGTCTGGCAGGCTCTCTAGTCCGAGGTGTAGATGCTGAAGCACTGGGTGACCGCTCTTGTGGCTGTCTGTCCTGTGATACCGGACGTTGGGATGCTGGCTCTCTATCACTTTGCCTTGAGCTGCGCGTTGGAGAAGGAACCCGATGCCGTCGTCTAAAGGCTTGCGCGATACGCTCTGTCAACTCATCCTCCTGCGTGGGGGTGAGACTATGGAGGTCGATGCCATCCAACAGGCCTTCCTCTGCGATCTGGCGGAGAATCTCGTCTTCGATGCCAGATTCACCTGTAGACCCGATAAGTGACCGTAAGCTAGACTGGTGCTCGACTCTTCTCGAGTCTGGACTCATATCTCGGGGATCGCGCATTGCCGGTGAAGCATTCATTCGTCTCTCCGCCCGCCGTCTCCGTCTGGCATCTTCCACCCGTTGTTCCCTCGCCTGTGCTCCCGGGCTACGCTCCGACCTCCCCCTCGAACGAGGAGCCAGTGGGCTGCGATGGCGATGTCCGCTGCTCGTGCCCTGAACATCCCGTAGACTCATGTCTCTGACCTCGGCTAGAAGCCGCTCGTCCTCCTCGTCACTGGCAGACCGCACCGCCCGCTCAACTTCAGGCAGCACAGAGTCCCCATGTGTGTAGTCTGCAGCAATTTCCTCCTTCTCCTCTGCCGTCTTGGCCTGGTCTGGGTTCGACTGGAGGAAGAGTTCGAGCAGGGTAGCCACCTTTGCATCGTGTCTTGTATCTCGAACAGAGGCCCGACACGACGGACAGGTAAACTGTGGTCTGCTGCTATCCGTCGGGTTAGACGCCTGCCATGAGAACCAGCTTTTCAAACACGATCCGCAGAACGTATGTAGACAGTCGAGTAATGTCAAGGGCTGGTAGAGAATTTCGGTACATATCTTTGTCATAATGTCAGTCGCAACAACCGGGCCAACGTGAGGAGAGAGACATAATTACCGAACAAGTCAGCTCTTTTCCCAGATCTACCAGTGTAGAACCACTCTCTTTCGAGTCTCCCATCCTCAGAAGTCGAGATATCGTTGAAATACGAAATATAATATAAGTCCCAATCCCCGTATGTTGCGTCTACCGCTGGTCGGAGTCGATCATGGCGTCTCACTCGAGATGCCAACTGCTGAAGAAGAAGAGGAAGAAGGGATAGAAGAAGAAGAAGTCAAAAGCCCCAGTCCCCGGTATCACTGGCATATCATGGTGTCTGTTGACTTGGAAGCTGAAGATGTTGTTCTTCAAGATGTTTTCCAACCCCCACAAAACCGCAACAAGCGCCTTCGTGACCTTTTTCCTCTTTTCTTCGTTCGCCTGACTTGAGACAACCACTCACGCCGGCATAACTCAGGACATCTTCGTGTTTGATGCGTACAGCGGACTATATGTGCTATACTCTCAAAATAAACCTATATATAAACATATAGGAATAAAGACTTATAAAATATGCTATATAATACTAGATTATATCCCCACCACTGTTATACTTCTATCTATACACGTTCCTTTGATAGCCTGCCGCTTTGCGTACTTTGTCGAGCTTGCATGATAAAGTAATATCTCTATATTAGAGAGATCCATTTACAAGAGCATAAGTACATTACCACTAATTCTATAAATGAGGCTCCTAAGACACAAATCGTCGGCACCCAGCGTTGCTACTGGCGCACCATAGGGAATCTCAACAGGCACAACCTTACATATCTCAAGATAGCTGGTTGTAATTTCGGTACGGGAATTCGAACAGTGAATCTGGCTTTTGTTCCGAAGGCCAGACAAGTTGAGTGTTCCTAGCATATGTCCTCTGGAATACATCCGAAGTACGTCCTAGAATAAGCCATAATATTATTAAGGCATCCCCAGACCTCTCCGCGTCCATTGAAATTTCAAACGAAATGTCCAACCCAACGGAGCATGGTTTAACTTCCCTAGCATATTGAAAAAGAGGGTATTCTCCTGTTGGTAAACGCTTACTTGCTGCGCAAAACTTTTCTCTAACCACCACATGAACAACTGTGGCTCTGCAATATAGGCTGGAGGGATAGTAAGGCCTTCATACTTGCTTAGAATACCAAATGCGAGCTTCCATACCTCATGGCTCTTATCCTTGAGTAGCAAGATAAGTTCATCGAGCATAGCTTGAGGTAAGTTTGACTGTCTTTTTAAGACATTAACTGCAGAAATTCTCTTCTGCCAGTCATTACCCTTAAACAGCAAGATAAGCTGATCAAGCACAGCTTGGGGTAGATTTAATTGTCCTTCTAAGACATTAGCCGCAGCATAACTACGCCTCCAGTCCTCATCCTTGAGTAACAAGATAAGACTATCAAGAATAGCTTGGGGTAGGTTTGGCCGTCCTTTTAGAGCGTTAGTTGCAGCATTTCTTGGTCCCCAGTCGTTATCCTTGAGTAGCAAGATAAGTCCATCAAACGCAACTTGAGGTAGGTTTGACTGTCCTCCTATAGCATTAGCTACAGCCTTTCTCACACTCTGATCTTTATCCTTAAGTAGTAAGATAAGTGCATCGAGTGCAGCTTGAGGTAGATTGGACTGTTCTTTTAGGGCACTAGCTGCAGACACTCGCGACTCCCAGTACTCATCTTTAAGTAGCAATATAAGTCCATTAAGCGCGGCTTGAGATAGATTAAATCCTCTTCCTAAGGTATCGGCTGCGGTACTTCTCACCCTCCAATCCTCATCCTTAAGCAACAAGATAAGTCTGTCAAGCGCGGCTTGACACAGGTTTAACTGGCTTCCTAAGGCTTTAGCTGCAGCCTGTCTTGTTCCCCAGAAGTTCGTATCGTGAAGTAGCAAGATAAGTTTGTCGAGAGTAGCTTGAGGTAGAGTTGACTGACCCCCTAAGGCCCTAGCTGCAGCCCCTCTTATATCGGCGTTTTTGTCTTTAAGTAGTAAGACAAGTCCATCAAGAGTAGCTTGGGGCAGGGTTGACTGGCCTCCCAAGGCTTCAGCTGCAGCCCCTCTTATTGTGGTATATTTGTCTTTAAGTAGTAAGACAAGTCCATCAAGAGTAGCTTGGGATAGAGTTGACTGACCCCCTAAGGCCCTAGCTGTAGCCTCTCTTATACCGGCGCTTTTATCTTTAAGTAGTAAGACGAGTTTATCAAGAGTAGCTTGGGATAGACCTGATTGGCCTCCCAAGGCTGCAGCTGTAGCCACTCTTATATTGGTATCTTTGTCTTTAAGTAGTAAGACGAGTCTGTCGATAGTAGCTTGGGGTAGAGTTGACTGAACCCCTAAGGCCCTAACTGTAGCCTCTCTTACACCGACGTCTTTGTCTTCAAGTAGTAAGACGAGTCTATCAAGAGTGGCCTCGGGTAGGGTTAACTGGCCTCCCAAGGCTTCAGCTGCAGCCTTCCTTATATCTGTGTCTTTATCTTTCAGCAGTGAGGTTATAATGCCTATTGTGTCTTCTGATAATCTTGGCCGCCTACTCAATGTACGTAAAATATGACTCTTCCTGATGCGAAAACTTTCACGTAGAAAGGTATTTATACCAACCTCTAGAAATTCAGCCTCTGACAACAGCTCAGTTGTTTTGCGAAATTCCCATTCAAAATCCACCCACTGAAGCAGCCGGGTCTCCAATTTCTTTCGACCTTCTAGAGCTCCTCCAGGCTTAGAGCCTGCCACCTCGCTGAGGCAATGCATGATTAGTCGTTGATGCGCTGGTCCTAGCAAGTCGCGTGGTTCAGCCTCCAGTTCCCGAAAAAATTGGTTGAGCGGTGCGTTGCTCGGTCTCTTTTGGTTCCATCCTATCCGAAAAAGGCCAGCAACAAAGCGCCACATTATATCATACCGCGAGTGATACTTTTTATCTTGTAAAAAGATTTTTGGCATAGTCGTCGAATTGCTTTCGACCAAATATAGCGGCTTATCGTCCAACCACTGTCTCACGAAATATCGGGCAGCGAATAACTCCTGAAAAGTAAGATGGAGGAAATGATAACTTCGTAGGTCTCCTCCGAGGGTATTATCCGACGTGCGCAGAAACGACACCTTTCCAAGAACAAGGCCCGGGGTTCTGCGGGACTTTATACTTTGATTGGCCAGGTTCTTGTAGATCAGGCCTTGCTCATCTGCCCCGAATTCAACGATTCCATTATACATACCGTAGAAAGCAAAGCCTTCTACCAGATTTTCTGCATCCTTCACTTCTTCTTCATCTTCTGGCTCGGCAATTTCCCTCAGTACCTCTTCCGTCTCTGTATTTCGTGTTTGCAGCTGAAGTAAATCTTTCCGCCATAACTCTTTTATAATATTCTGATAGATATCAGTCATCGTCTCTAGAGCCTCGTTCTTAAATGTTTTACTCCAGCTGTGGCACAGTGCGTCGAGCTGAATTGGAATCCGGACCAACTCCTGAACGATTGGACGTTTATTTAAGAAGAGTTGGATCTCTTCAGCCACATTCCTTAATACAATATCTTCATTTTTGAGGTAGGATACCACCTGCTCGGGGTAGAATCCAATAGTCTCTAGTTCAAGATCAATCGGCTCGAGATTTCCCCGGTCCAGTGTATAGGGCCGAGTTGTAATAATGACCTGGTCTTGTGCGAGAAGATATTCTAGAAATCGTTTCATAGGCTCCCCTGGCTTCCACTTGCCATATACCTCGTCCAATCCATCAAGAACGAAGAGAGTTTTGTCCTTAGCTGACCCTGTAACGGCATCCCATGCAAGGTCTGGGAGTTCCTTGCTATTGCAAAAATATTGAACGAAGAGATCTCTGAGCGTATAGGGCCCATTTGCCTTGATACCATTGAGTATTCGCAGAGGGATCCAGATCAGCCAGTCAAAATGCTCTTTCCACATTCCATTATGAATGTATTCGTAAACAATCTTTTTACATAGGGTAGACTTTCCTACTCCTGCTCTCCCACGGATAAGGATTCGCTTAGGCCTCTTTTCTTCGTCATTTGAGAGTTTTATCGGGTTAAATAGATTATATAGTTGCACATTTTCGCCGTTTAATCCGAGCTGAAGGCGCTCGGTAAGTAAAAACGAAGAAGATTCCGATATATGCGGTACTTCAGTAGGATCCAACCGAATGATGGCTAGATTAATGTAGCAGTTTTCCATCGGCAATTGTTTACCGGAGAGCCGTTGGATCTTGAGAGCGTTCCCCTTAGTGTAATATGCCTTTAGCGCGCTAGCCGCTTCGGAAACCGATGGCGCGGCTAGTGAGATTGTTAGTGGATTAATGCACATTGAAGGAGATGAAATAAACGACACCCATGATCATAAAAATCAATTGATTGGCAGTATAAAATGGAGAACAGTGCGGGACAAACAGGTGAGCCCCTGTTAATTACACAAAAGTTTGCTAGGATGAGGTAAAGCTCGTAGCCTCGCCTCTGCCTCCCTGTCTAGCTCGGAGATGTGCTGACCTTTATTTCGAATAGCATTATCCACCACCATCTCAAGCTGGGGCCGGAAGGTCGACTCAAAACGACCTTCTTCGGGGTTACCGAACTTGCACAATTCCAGGTGATTACATTCCATGCCAATGTTTCGAGCGCCGTTGCCGTTAATTACTGCTGATGCTTTCTTCACAATCTATACATGACGGTTAGAGTCTCTTACTAGCATTGATATTGCTGATGGGAACATTGTACACACCATTTGTTCCCCTTGAGGGAGTCTGGTAGGTAAGGTCTCATAAAAGCACACGATTTCTAGGGATCGTGATGCATTCTGCATAAAGGACTGGTTGATGTCCATTGTCGAGGCTGAATAGGTCTCAAGCTCCTGTGTCAGGGACGTCTTGTTCTGTCCCATCGTGAAGCAGGAGGCGATATTCTGAAACATTTGTACCAGCGAGGCCTGGCAAGAACCCTCGTGAGGCGTTCCCATGAATATTAGACCGCCTGTTGTGGACTGAATATCTGCAAAGCGGTCGTTATCAGGGCATAGAATCAGGGCCTAGAACGGTTAACACATTCGGGGTCTGAGTTTGGCTTAGAGTCAAGGTTTTGTACCTTTTTTACTACGAGGCCGCCTAAGCTATGAGCCACAAACACAATCGGTCTCCCCTTGCAATTGACACGGCGAACGCAGAGGTCTTCTAGCAGCTTACTTGCATGGTCAATGACCCGACTTGTGGTGACATTTTGAAACACATTGGCGTTATAGCCAAAGGTCATGATGCGCGCCCGTTCGTAGAGGTCGTCACCCAAGAAGCTTTTGTCCATGATCCATGGCACTTCGGCATCGGCGTGCTTCCATGTCTCGATGCAGTCGCCGCTTAACCCATGGACAAAGATGATACTAGTATAGCATATATTAGCAGCCATTCGATGCAGGGTGAAGATACGATGCCTTACTCTACCACAGGCTCCGGGCCTGAACTACCTGGTCTGGGAACTAGCACTTTTAGGCCGTGGTACGGCCCGTTGCTCTGTGCAAAATGTCAGATATATTATTAGGTAGAAACGATAGGAGATAATGGCAGATTGTATCTCACAGTTTTAACCTCTTTCTGTTGCCTCCAAAAAACCATGGTGTGGATGGCGCTAGATTTTGGTAGGCAGGTTGAGCGGGGCTTCATCAGTATTAGTTATATAAGATCCAGAGGATCGAACGCTTCTTTCTTTTTCTTAGAGTTATTAATTGATGGTATCTCAATATCCAATTGTTTAACTAAGAGGCAACGTACTATAATTAGACGACGCTGAGATATTTACTCTAGCCTATAGGCAAACTCCAATGGATTCTAAACACAGAGTTTTACGTGGGGGCCAAACGATCTTGTGCATTAGATGGATTATTGTCGAATAGAAGAGGTGGGTAGACATGGTCGTCGACGTGGCAGCAATGCAAACGGGGTCGTATTACGTCTCACAGGGGGCACTGAATGATGTCGAGCTTGCTACCCCTTGTTTCTAATAAATAATAATTCTTGCCCCTAACACCTACAAGTTTTCCCTTTCGAGCAAATTTACCCAGATGATTCTAATTCACCGGCTTCCTAGCAACTTTAGTTTTGGGAGGTTTTCTAGCATACTACGTAGTAGCACAGAATGGAGACTCTCCTATACCTTTAGTGCCAAGGCCTTAGCGGGAGCCATTTTTAGATCGCCAGGGCATACATAGTATGTACATACTATGTAGTAGCTCCGCCCATATACATTGTGTTCGGATAAGGCTTCAGCTCTTGGGAACGAACACAATGTCTTGAAACTCTGATCATTAATGGGGCAAGCTTGTGGGAGATCATGGGGCACCCATCAACCCTGTTCCTGTCGTTCGGAAACGAGAAAGGCACTTGCATGCAGTCAACCAGGATAAGACCCCATAGTCCGGCCCCATTTGAAAGATGGCTAAAAGGGAATCTCTGAATTCTTGAGATACTGAAGTTCAGCCCTCTCGGGGTTTGACAGGTGAAAAAGGTCGTGTTCGAACTGACTATCCCCTGCACGCTAATATCCAGTTAACGAGTAACTAGCAGAAACGGGAACGGAGTTCAACTTGTTTTTCGGGGGGTTTAGATATGTCTTCTGCTGCGTGTTGCACGATCAGGTTTCCATGTCTGCCATGGAGTCGATGATCTTGTACGCGAGGGCCCTCCAAGCGGTTTCAAGTTTTGGGTCTACTATGTAACTGTCGACCAGCCTTGGACAGGGTCCGAAGGGTCGCCCAGCTGCATGAAACCATGCCCCCTAGGGCCCCGGAGCTGAAGGGTTTCCATAATGAATAGCATATTCGTCCCGAGATGAGGGATTGAGCGGCGCGAGCTCGTAGAAACTCTGATGTTGGGGAGGCGGAGATGGGAATGCTTCGAAACACAGCGTGGCTCTCGCTGACACTCCCCGCTTACCTGAAGCTCTACAACAGAATGTAACGGGTATTCATGAATCGTTATAGGAAAATCCTGCCGTACCTGAAGTGCTTCCTGTGGCAGTTTTGCTATATAGGGAGACGTGGCAGTCTGAATGGAATGATAGAGCTGCTCGAATTGTGTAAGCGACCACGGTATGTTATAGGCTATGGACAGGCGCAAGTGGAAGAAGGGGAGGAGGTCTAATAGGTCATTGAAACCCACTGACTGAATTGGAAACCTCGCGTTGCATTCCGACAGCTACTCTTCCAACTGCGAATTCTTTCCAGGGCCATTTCTCCAATCCTTCTCTGCTTATCTAGATCACATTGGCAGGTTTCCATCCTACTAGCCTCCTGCATTTAAACAGGAATTGTTACTTTCTAGTTCCCGATTCTTGTCCCCAGTGTCAAGCCTCGGCTTGATGTTCAGCTTTTTCTTTCATCTCCATCCTTTCACGCTCCAAAGACTTCGCATTTCGAATATTCTCTTGCTCGAACTCCTGCTTCTGCCCCCACTATATTGGAAAGCTGCTCAACCGTATCCTTATTTTGAAGTGCCTCACGCCCGTTGGAGCTCTATCGGGAAACTTCAGAATCTAAACCTTAGCCGTTGTCTTGGTAACCGTAGGCTAGTCAGTGTCAAATATAACCAGTCTCTCTGCTACTAATTGGGGCAGGCTCGCCTCTTTGGCCGACTGACACTTAGTTAACTAGTTACTAATCTTCCTATCCTAGATAGCACGATAGATCATGCAATGTTCTAGTCATTCAATTTTATAACGAATCAATAAGGCGAATTTTCTCTTCATACCTTCGGTTCTCCTATATACCTATCCCGCATGAGAGCTCTACACCACTTCTGCTCTTGTAACCGGCAGGATGTTTACATGGGAACGCCCCGCGCTCATTCCCCACCATGCTGAACATTGATAGGGTGCCTTCCCTTCCATCCTGAACGCGTCCAGCCTATGCCGCCTTATCACACCCTGGTAAAGTTATACTGATTGTGCATCCCTTCTGGTCTAGCTGGAGCCATGAATGTAAAGATTAAGAGGCGTCAAAGCATCATGCAATGAGCGCCCATGGTGGGATGAAATCAACTAAATTTCGTATACTGCATATGCAGAAATAGGCACCAAGAGACATCGTCAACCGGTCTCAGAACTACTGTCTCGGGAACGACTGGGGAGATTATGTGATGAATCGCCTCACGGTCGGAGCATCTGCTGTCGGGTCCTCCTGTAGTCTGTTCGATCCTCTTACTCTGAACAGAGCGTGGCTAGGAATACCCTAGGCGAGAGATTTTATAACCTATCTTACTGTAACCGTGCTTACTCTTTAGGCGAATATCGACACTCAAAAGTCTAGACATGAGATTCATGCAGAGTTGTGTAACTGAAGGGATACTGTGAGTCGTCGCCGAGTAAGCCATTTTCGTCATCGAGCAAGCCATGAGCTGTTTGGCGCCACAGAGCATCAGACTTGTTCAACGGCCAATTTTGCTTTTATGACAATACTGACCGTGACTACTGTTGAGCCAAATAGCAGCACTGCTATAAGGCAGCAGAGTAAGAGGTAATATCTTTGGTATTTATATGGCCTGATATATCTTTATAAGGATTCTCCTTCCGCTAGCCCCCTACCTAACCGGACTATCTCTCTATCAGTATCGGACTCTCTTCCACAGTTGGCACCGCCTTTTCTAGCGTCACACTCACTAGTTAGACCATGTCACCCAAAAAGTTAAAAATAGGGAAAGAATGGTCCTTGCACCCATCACTCCACGATGACGTATCGCGCCTCTTGGAGGCGGATGGCCTTTATTTCGAATTCCACAACGTTGACGATGACATAAGTTGCACCAAAGAACATGATACAAATATAACGGGTCTATTTTTATGCCCAAACCGCACATGCAGCGCCGGCGGATGGTCAAGTAAACACATTGCGGTCACTATCCGAATGTACACTGGAACGAGATACAATGCAAAGGTGTATCATCAACGCTGCGAGACCTGCGAGACACTGGGTCGGCCTCTTCTGAATGAGTCCTATGCGGAACGGGTTGTATATCGTCTTAAAAAATGGAGTGGGATACAAATGGAACCACCACCTTTCTCTGGTAAAAGTAATCGTCCACATAATAGAAAGTTATGTGAGGGTTGCAAGGCTGGTCACTGCAAGGTGCAAGACCCAGATTTGGTTTTGACGAACATTTGATGTGAGTCTACAGTTGATCAATATATAAAGAAACATTCTGATTGCTGGTAAATTAGCTATCCGTACTACACCGACATTGAGGGTTTCTTCAAATTTGAAATTCACCTAATTCCTCAGATGCCCATTTCCCGCTGATTGACGGTATCGGATGTCCACCTTGGCGCTGCTAAATTGATGAAATACGTTGTTCCTCTTTTGAGTTGTACTATTACCCCCAAGCCAATAATAAATATTCAATTTGGTATATATATCGCATTAGGCAGCTAGCCGTAGGGTGGGTATATTATTCGGACTAAGATACCCCACTATTACTATTAAAGAATTAATTCGATTAAGAAAGTATTAAATTGGTAGTTAAATAGGCGTAAAAAGTGGCCGTATCTATGCTAAAAAGAGTAACCTAGATCCCTTCTTGCTCCCTATTTAGAGATATATATCATATTGTATTTGGCTATAGATTCGGTCCCCAAATGAGATATATTGGCTTGGGGATGATGGTATAAAAACCGTTAACTATATAACTCAAAAGAGGAACAACGTACTCCATCAAGCTAGCAGCGCCAAGGTGGACATCCGATACTGTCGATCTGCGGGGCATCCGAGGAGTCCTAAAATAATAGAACGCTAAACTAGAACAGGACTAGTCTGTTAACAGACACATCTGTCAGCTGAGTCAGCACTCTCTAAATCACGTGGTGATAAGCAGCGGAACCCTTGATAAGGGGTCCAGTTCAACCTTACTATGTACAGTGCGGCTTGTTCGATATCCTCCTGTCCATTCCTGACTCCTCCTGAGAGACCACCACAAGTATATCCATCCATCTCCCAACTCGTCGAATAACCTTCGCCGTATAGATATGTCCGACAGATCTGCATACAGAAACGTCTTCCTACACATTGACTCAACAGGAGCCACTTTTGGAGGCTTCTACCAGGCGGGCTCAATCACTGAGGAGATATTCCTCTGGATGCTTCAAAATGTGCTTCTAGTTGCAGAGCAGCCGTTAACTGTCACCCACAGAGCTTCAAGTCGAGTCATCACCCGTACCACACATGTGGTTGAGCTTGGAGATTATGATGTCTCCTCTGCAGGTACGCTATGCTACTTTCCCCCAACTTAGACTTCACATAGTAAACATATTTACTTTCGACTTTTGTTTTCTTTTTCTTTTTTTCCATAGGGCCCATTCAAGTGACGGATGAAGTTGCTTCTTTGCGAGTCCTGAGCTACTCTGTTTCAGGTCGAGAGAATCACTTCCGGGATGGAGTCCGCGCAAGGGACGGAAGATGTGTCATTACCGGAGTACTCAACCAATTCGCGCAGTTTGGCAGGTGGAATGCATTCAAGGCCGCTCATGTGTTCCCCCTGCAACATGAAAGTATATGGATCGATCAAGGTTACAGCCGTTGGGTTACAAATATGGCAGATGAGGTTGGCGTGTCGCGGATAAACTCGACCCAGAACGGATTGCTGCTAAAAAGTGATGTCCATGAACTTTTCGATTCATATATGCTTTCAATAAACCCTGATGTAAGTGAGTTGGAAAGCGCCCCCTCAATATACTGCGGTACTAACACAAATATAGGACGGGTACAAAATCATATCATTTGGCCCAGATATTCTTGGGGTTGATGGAAGGATACTTGACCCAATCTGTCGCAACCCGAATGATAGTAATCGCGTGTCAGATGACATACTGCGATGGCATTTTCGGCAAGCTGTGCTTGCTAATATGAAGGGCGCAGGGGACCCTGTTTTTGAGTCCGATTTTCCCCCCGGTACTGACATGATAGCGGATATTCGCGAGGGCCCAGCTAGCCAGCAAAGGTTCGAAATGGAAATGGCGTCAAGACTACAAGGCTTCTCGAGGGCAGGCCAGGGCTGATACAGTATAAATAGCTACATCAGCTCGGCCTGCCCTCTACGCCGGCCTAGTCGTCTATAGTTCCGAGTTCGTTCTCATAACCTATGCTTGAATATATGATGGTCCAGTTAACCCGCCAGTGGACCTTGTACTCTTAGAAGACGTCCAAAACTCTGACGCTTCACTTTCGCTATCATCACGTATCCATGGGTCAGAGTATATCTCCTCGGGAGGATATCCTTCACAGTTGCGAGTAACCCACGCAAAGACTTCTTGTGATGCCATCATGGATGCTTCCTGGTCTGCTAGGGGAAGTGTTTGGTGGTCCATGGCTGCCATAGGAGGGTCTACTTTATAGGGGTGACGAGGCATGGCTCCTGAACAATAACCACGATCTTCCAACCCCGAACCATTCGTTAGGCCCCATGACCAGTTATGGTAAACCAGCTCGTGACGGGGGCAATCTCTATGGGCTTTCACCCTAATCGCTGTATATTCGAAGTCGGTCATGCCGACAGGTTGCCATGGTGAAAATGGCGGGCTATTGTATTGCAAGTCATCCTCGACAGCGGGCGGTAGGTAGAGAAGGCGCCAGGCGTCCGACCTAAAGAGCTTATCATACATGGAATCAGACTTGATATATGGGCCTGAACCCGGAACGTCCATGAAAGACTGTGGATTACCAGTCCATGGCGCACCGTTAGTGTCCAGAGGAGGGGTTCCGCTGCCAACAAGCTCAACGACGGTGGAAGAAAGCCCACTAAGGGTGGCTCCAAGCCAGAGAGCCGCAAGATTTGGACATCGTATCGCACAAAGTAAAGGGAGGATCTCATCGAAGGAAAGAGAGCCGGAATAATTATTGGGTATTTCTTTGAGCACAGGATGAAGCCATGGGCTGACCAAATTACAGCATACTTTGGGTTCCCAAAATACACTGCAGAGACTTGAAACAGTCACGTTGTGGGCACAACTCATCGTCATGTAGTAAGGGATTTGGGAATAAAGCTCTTTAACATCCGCTGTGGCTTGGGGAGATTCGAGAGTATTCGATCCACGTAGGTGAGGCAGCCTGGATGGCGTTCCATAGTAGTTGTGTGCTGGGAATGTCATAGCAGTTACAAGAGCGGCAAATAGTTGGCTATGGGAACCGTAACGCGCACAAAGTTCGACAAGAAACTCCAATGCTTGTTGGGAGGATGGAGGACTTGGGGATTTCATTGTTGAATTTGCTGGTAAATCACTCACCCTGACCTTGAAGCCTTCGTCGTGGTCGAGCGCCACAGACCAGGGCGAGATGTAGCGGACACCGTCGCTCTGCAACACTGTGGCTTTCCAACCTAGTCCAGGTGCTAAAAGCGATGCCCACCATCGTGCTGCCTGCGCACTCACACAGCCAACATCAATTATGTTACCGATCGCTTCTGCCTCTCCATGGCATATTTCCGCAGTAGAGTCGGTATAGTATAAGCTGGACGATCCTGATCCTTGTCTCTTGATCAATTCTGCCGAAAATATGTACGACCATCCCAAGGCAAGTACCCCGATGATATTGACCTCATGAGCTCCGTCCACTCTGACCCCTTTGTGAAAGGCATCGTTCTTAAGACAAACAGGCGTGGGCCGTCGAACACCTATCGGGAGGGACGCAGCTCGTATCTTCTGCTTTCCGCCGATGCCACACCCACCGCCATCTGAAACAACCCACACACCCTCTGCTCTAATGTACAGGATGCCGTTCGATGTAACTTTATCAAAAGCCTCATGGCACTGATTTATATGAATATCCGGCATCGCCGGGACATATCCAAGCATATTTTCGGACCGAAGACATTGAGAAGGGGGGCCATGCCTGTATTGGATGATAGCTTGCTGCGCAAGGCCATGCCAGTAATAACGAGCCTCATGCAAAGCGGCGTCAAGCTCGTCTTGACTCGGCTGGAGGTGATCGCGACTTCTCTGGGCCCTTCTTCTAATCAGCTTGAAAGTCCGCGCCTGGATCGAAAGGGGTGTATACCTATCTAATTCCTGGGAAACCATCTGCGCAAAGACTCGCTCTTTCGTGAAGTTCTGTCATAGGCAACCAGCTTTCACTCTCTAGGACCGCGTGCTTTTATGGTTCCTTAGCATTCCAGGCTGATCGAGCTTCGCCTTGGACGCTCATTTCCATATCATATCTTTGATAGGGAACGTGCAGCTGATACTTGATACTCCGGAGCATCTAGAGCATATAGAGCATACATACAGAGAAGAGGCTGATATATCGTATCTGACATGATATAAAAAGAATACTTTTATTGGTCAAGTCCCCCTTACTAAAATTAACCTGAGCTTAACTTGCTCCTCGCCAAGTAGCTATATAACCAGTTTATTAGGGGCTCATAACCAGGTTATAACAAACTCTAACCTTCTTAAACGTTACTACGCATTAAGGTTGTTCCTGCTTATTAATCGGAGTGTTTTATATCACGTGATTATATATATTCTTCAGCTCCTTTGATGAACACAAAGACAAAGAAGAGGATAAAGAAGAGAAGACAAAGACGAGGAGACAAAGAAGAAGAAGAAGAAGCAGAAGATAGGGAGATAGCGAAGAGAAAAAGGCGCAGCTGGAAAATTACAGATTGACAATTGGGAGAAATAGGAGGGATACAAAATACTCAAAGCTGGAACTTGTGTCTACTTCTCCATCTCTATCTAGCAGGAGAAAAGAAGATATCACAAGAGAATCAAGATGCAGACCTCTACCGCCGCACCAGCTTTCACAGCTGATATCCCGACACTCCTCTCAATCGTTACCGCTCTCTCGATAATGCCCGTTGCCTACATCCTCAGCACCACCTTCATCCCATCCGGACAGCTGCGCAACCGCATTCTCTTCTTCTGGCATGCCTACGATGCAGGCACCCACCTCCTCATCGAGGGAGCCTTCCTCTACCACTGCTTCTTCAGCTACAAGCAGCTTGCACCGGGTGAAACGATACCAGGAGTGTATGGACCACCGTACTTCCTCAACCGTCCTGATCGAGCGTACGGGCCTGCCTACGGTGTGGGAGCCACTGCGAGAATGTGGCAGGAATATGGCAAAGCCGACGCCCGATGGCTAGGTGCCGACCTGTGTGTGGTCTGTCTTGAGATATTGACGGTGTTTATCGGCGGTCCGTTGGCGGTATATATCTGCTACTTGCTGACTAGAGCTTCGTCGACGAGCACTTCGGCCGCCTCCAGGGCGGGGTATTCTGGCTGTTTGTGGTTTTCATCCATCGTTCTGGCCGTGGGGGAGCTGTATGGAGGATTCATGACTTTTGGGCCCGAGTGGTTTTCCGGGAGCGTTGGTTTGGAGACGAGTGACCCTGTATATTATTGGCTGTATCTGGTGTTCTTCAATGTTCTTTGGGTCATTGTGCCGCTCTGGGTGCTTTCTGTTGCCTTTGGGGAGATCAAGGTGGCTTTTACGACTGCTTCTGCTGCCGGCAAGCGCAGCACCAAGAAGTTCAATTGATGATGAGTTAATTTAGCATGCCCTGTCAGGATGTGAAGCTATCTTCATTTCGATTGATACCAGAAAGCATACATGTCTAATGAAGATACCCCTTTCGTTTTATATCGAGAGAGAGAGCTGCAGCGGTAGATTCCAGCATGTACCTTATATTCATCAGGTAATAAACGCACCTCGAAACTAGAGCCTAAGTCCATTTGTTTATCTCAGCCTGAAGCCTTGCTAGTAGACATGGCCATCGTCCCTGGTTAATCCCATGGATGTATATGTATTCTCCAGCCTTGGTAGTGACAGTCATCTAGACAGCTCGAAGGAATATATCCCCGAAGGATCACCGGAAAGAGAGCAGGCTCGGGGGCTGTGTATACAATATCAACATTCCGGTCCTGACGCTTCCACCAGGATTTACCCTCGATAAAATGAGACAAAAGGAATATAAATCAGCTTGAGACGGCCTTCCTGGCCTCCAAGGCGGCAAGCCTTCATGCAAGCTGCAGCCTAGTTTGCTGCTATCCGCTTGTCCGTACATATACGGAGTACATAGTCGTACTTTCAGGGGCTTCGAGGCGCTTCCCACAGCCACAACGATGCATGAACTTATGCTTAAAAACTGCCAGCCACAGCGAAGGGTCAACGATGGATGAGAGAGAACAAGACAACAGCACTGCCACAGTTCGTGATTGGCGTGTGGATTGAGAAACACGAGAAAAAAAGCGGGTGGTGAAAAGAAGCGATGGAGGGACTTCAACTATTTAACCAGAAACTCCCCGCCAGCTTCCGCCCAGCTAGTTACATCTGACTATCCACTACGACGAGAGCTACATCTATATTTGCGGCCGGATAACTAGGAACTAGCATTAGCGTCTGCTAGTTAACTACTTGAGATCGATATCGCGGGCGCCTGCTCGTTACTCCTTCAGTCATGGCCGGATATCCCCCGCCAGGTCGTATGTTGCATCCCATAACTATACACATTATCGGTTATATTGTCGATGAGACCATACTGACTAGTGTCTATAGAGAACCCCTATCCGCCGCACGGTGGTCCACCTCCTCAGGGTTATCCTCCTCAAGGCTATCAAGGCCATCCGCCGCAGGGCCAGTACCCCCCGCCGCAACATGGACAGTACCCTCCACAGGGACATCATCCACCACAGGGCCATTATCCTCCGCAGGGACATCATCCTCCTCCAGGTGGCGCGCAGGCCCAATACTACGCACCACAGGGACATCCACCTCAGGGTCAATATCCCCAGGGACAATATGGTGCCCCTCCACCGGGAGCTCCGCCGCACGGATACCCGCCGCAGGGCCTTCCACAGGGACAGTACCCTCCGCCGCAACAGGGGCATTATCCCCCTCCTCAACACGGCTACGCCCCACAGGGACATTATCCTCCACAGGGACACCATCCACAGCCCGGATACGGTGCCGCACCTAGCGGACCACCCGCGCAGCCATCTCCAGGCTACGCGCCCGGCCAGATGGCACAGGGAGACGCAAGCAGAGAAGCCGACTCACTCCGTAAGGCCATGAAGGGCTTCGGGACCGACGAGCTCACTCTGATAGAGATCCTCTCGAAGCCAGATGCGCTGCGCATGGCTCTCATCTGCCACACTTTCTATTCCCGACACAAGCGCAACCTGGATAAGGATATTGAAAAGGAATGTGGTGGGAAGTTCCGAGATGTGATGCTCGCGCTTGTCCGCGGGCCCCTGATGCAAGACGTCTACGCCGTCAACAAGGCCATAAAGGGCATGGGCACCAACGAAAGGCTGCTCAACGACGTCCTCTTGTCGCGCTCAAACGCAGACATGAACGCCATCAAAACAGCGTATAAGACGACCTTTGGTCGCACCCTCGAGGCAGACGTACGCGGCGACCTGTCAATGCAGACAGAGCAATTCTTCAACCTCGTGCTGGCCGCTACACGAGCAGAGGAAAACACTCCTCCTAACCAGTATCAGCACGACCAGGACATGACGCAGATGTGGGGAGCCATGGGCGGAAACACCGGCGTCCCTAAACACACCGTCTGGCATATCATCACGCAGCGATCCGATGCTCAGATCCGCGCTATCAGCGAAGACTTCCCCAAGAAGTACAACACGGCGCTGAGCGCGCAGATAACCAGCCATTTCTCAGGCCATATCCGGGACGCACTGGTGCATATAGTCAGCAAGGCCGTCAGGCCTGTTCTGCACGATGTCCTTGCACTGGAAGACACCATGGCCGGTATGGGCACTAACGACTGCCTGTTGATCGAGAGGCTGGTCCGTATACACTGGAACAGGCACTATATGGAGCAGGTCAAGGACGGATATATGAAGAAGTACGGCAAGCCGTTGAGGTCGCGGGTTGCCAGTGAGACGAGAGGCGACTACGAAAAGGCTCTTCTTGCTATACTCCAGTAAATAGTATCTTATCCCTGGTAATTTTGTTTAACTCCTCGGTTATGAATCCACTGTCATGAATATAATGGAGGGGATGTTTCTTACTAAAAAAAAAGTTCATTTTCTCTGTCTTATCCGTATGGTTGCCCCATGAAGTAAAGGAAATATAATATATACAGGGTATAATTCATATAATACATAAAAACGAAGAGGAATGATAATTCAACGCGGAAAATAAGCCGAATGTTGTTATAAAGCAGGGTTTTTGCTGAAGGAAATTGTGACTGTTTTTGTTAGACGCCAACGGGAAGGCCGTGATACTCGTGCTGTGGGCAACACCCTGAATACATCAAGATACAGGCTCATTAGCGTCCACATTATATAGCTTAATCTTGCCCTCCCGGCCAACTTCATCCGGTGTCTGAGTTTGGGGTCTCGGGCTTCTTAGAGATTGCCAGAATTATTCACATAAGGAAGCTAGTGGAAACGAAAGGTGAGCCGCCGTTCATCTTACTCATCTCAATTGGTTTCAGAGTAAAGTAAGCCCTCTCGTGGTATCGATGAGTGTTGGGTGCAAAGCAAATTCTTCACAGTCTAGGTGGTGAGTTGGGGCCACCGGCCTAAGAGGCTGTGGGAGAGATAATGGAGATTTGTGTGGGGTTGAGGCCGCAGGCGTACGGCTCTTTTGGGTCCCTAATATAAGCGTCAGGAACTGGCTGCCTATATCTCATGAACTTTTCAATAAGGATATACTCACAGTGTTTAACCACATTTCCCTTCTCAACCATTGCGTCAAGATAGACATACAAGGCATCTGGGTCATTTTCTGCACGAGTAACAAGTTCTTTTAGCATTTCAAGGGCAGAACGCCACAAGTAAGCCCATAATTCACGAGGGACTTTCTTTCCATCGAAAAGGCGCTCGAGTTTCCGTAGCAGTCCGTTCACTGCTAAAAAACTCGGTCTCTAAGATGTGCCAGGACAGAGTATCCATCTTAGAGGGAAAAGTCCTTAAGACTGAATCCAGTGTCAAAATCTGCCATCTGGCCAAAAAGGTGAGCCCGCGCTGATTGGCAGAAGAAAGATAGGTTATGTTTGACAGGTGCTTATAGATGCTCCGTAGGCAAACTTCGTTCCAATCCCAACTGGCTTGTGGAGTTCGCGGCTCTATTTTCGCGGCTAAAAGCGCGAACCCCTGCACTTCACGTGATGTCGCTTAATTCTACGGTGGATAGTTATACCGCTCCGATAATGTTTACTAAAGGATTGCGTAAGGTAATTCCAGTAATACGAGAAATTATTGCTATTAGTTGCGATATTCTTTTACGCTGTCGCAGCCACAGCATGTAGAGAGCAGAGACAATGGAAAGGTTAAACACAAGATTGTGTTGACAGAAAAGCATGAGTAAACGATAGCATTATTTAGTATGGTGAGTGATGAACTATGCAGGGGATCAGAACAAAGCCAACCACGGAAATCAAAGGTAAGGACAAGGGCAAGCCCGAGTCCAGAGCATATATATATATTTAGGCATGAGGTCATCACTTCGTAGGAAACAGATGGAAAAAAAGGGAAAAGAAATAAAGGCAAGCCCTCCCAGAAGGCATGTACTACTTGTCGTGATCCAAGATCTTCCCCACACGGTCCCTCACGCTGAACCCATTGAAGAGCCAGTCATTCCCATGTCTACCGACCTGCGTCATGGTGCTGCTCCGTCGCTTATGACCTGCGCCGCTACTATGCCGTTTCTTCTTTTTCTCCTTGTCGTGGCACTCTTCCGCAGCAGAGTCCGGGCTCATGAGCGTGGGCGAGGTGGTTCGTTGACCGCCGTGGGTGTGATGGTCAGGTGTGGCGGTTGTATCAATTGGAGCTGGGGCAGGGGACTTTGCTCGTGAATGTGAACGAGACCGAGAATGAGAGAAGGAGCTGAAGAAATGGCCTCGGGAGGGGGAAGTGGGTGGTTCCAGGAGGGGGGACGCGATGCCTGAGCCCACGCTGGATCCTCGGCTGTGGCGGTGGAAGAACTGAGGGAACGAGGAGGACTTGGATGGATTATCGCTTGTCCCTGCCCCTGTTCCTACGGATGTGCCTGTGCTGGTGGACGTGCCTGAGGTTGTGCTTGGGATGGAGGAGGAGGTCGACTGCGTCGTCTGAGCCAGGAATGGTGGGCGGTCAGACATGTTGACCATAGACACAGGATAAATATGTGACGATATGTATAATTAGAGAGCAAGTCTCGGTAGATATCAGGTCGATAGCAGAGAAAAAAGCAAGGCAGATGTATTTATATCTTCATCAAGCTGACTCGAGAGACATCCACACAGACAACCTTCGCAGGTCGGCACGGAGCGATCGCCTGTGGAGATGTCGGCTAGTTACTTGCTCAAAACTAGTCATATATTACCATGTACCCCCGTAATAGTGAAAAGTCCACAAGTGCCAGGCCGTCCTTCGCCTTTGAGCCGCATCTTCTTGACGTATCACGCCGTTCGAGGAGTTAACTCTCAGCCAGGTAGCATATGCAGGTTACAACGAACTTGCGGCCAATGCCAGGACGCCACTTATACGTAACAGTCCCCTCCTGGGCCTTTCAGTCGTCTTGAGCCTGTATGAGAGCAAGTGACGAAGAAGAGTGTCTCGTCCGGCATCTCCTCGTCTCCTCGACACCTTCTCAGCCCTACGGCAAGGCACGCAGGGCACCGAAATATTATGACGCACCCGTTTGGATCCTTCGAGCTGGTAAATATGGGGTGTGGAGGGCAGATGACCAGATATATGTGTGTATTTCCTCGGAGATGGCACAGTCTGTCTTCTAGAAGGCTTCGTCCTTGTCCTCGGCGGGCGATAGCCGTGGATCGAGAAGGATTCGGGAGTGGATCGATTGCTCTGCGTGATTTTCCATCCTCGTATTCAGGGGCGGCCTTGCTCTCGACGATATATCAACTGCCGTGGTGAGTGCTTGTGTGTGGACGAGGACATCGTGATGAACCATCATTCAGTTGCCGTTTGGCGTTGTTTGTGCCTTTTGTCCGTGATAACTAGCGAACTCGAGCCCCGTCTATTACATCTCTTGCGTCATGAACACATGTGGACTTTTATTGTCAAAGCCAGTAATGGAGCTTGGTGACTGCTAAGCTGTTGCTTACTATGTACTCCTTGGCTTGTATTTTGAAACCACCGCAAGGCATATGTGATACATGCTGAACCCACCACGTATAGCTATACGGAGTACATATTAATCAATTACCGACATCATGATAATACGCAAGCATCTGCACTTTCAGCTTCATCCACATTGAGTACAGAATTCTTGTACCCGTTGTTGCAATACCCGTATGAATCGGTAAGATGTGATTGTAAAATGAGAAGTCAAGCGTAGCTAGAACATTTTACGGGGCTGAAGAGTCTAGGTTTTATATATTATTCCCGCAAGACCTGGCCCGTTTTCTTGCCTCTGCCGCCTGAATATATATACAATTATACAACCCAGGTAATACACACAGACAAGCAACTATGGGTATCACTATCAAATATCATTGTCCCCAGGCTCACGATAAGTTGGTTTGTGTGGGCTGGAACAAACCTAGGGAATCAAGGTAAAACTCCTCTATTCATGTTAGTTGAACAGCCAGATAAAGTACAACTGGACGAATGCGGATGTAAAAAAAAATAAAGAGCTTATCAGAGACATGTTACCCTCGAAAAAAATAATATATAACTATTGAATAAAAAAAGAAAAAGAAAAACGATGAGCTCCCTAGCGGGGAATCGAACCCCGGGCACGACTGTGAGAGAGTCGGATGTTACCTCTACACCACTAAGGATGGCTGGATGGTAGTGTCGCACCTCAGAAACAAGAAGAGCCAGAAGTCAGTCATGTGATACATGAAGACGCCTACAGAAAAGGTTGTCTATCATCTTTACCATCTTCTTTTACTGGGATGTACTAGAGGGTTGATTAAACGACTATACCCATGGATATCATTATGAAGAAGAAGCAATGGCACTGCTGTTTTCGCCCAGTGTGATTATTAGATACCGGTACGGGCATCAAGCGGATGAACGTGGTGGATGATTCTCAATATTACCCTCTCGATATAGCAGGATTTCATCATGCCTACTTATACAGAATGGCTAAACAGACATGAAGACGGAAGGGAAAATACCCAGGACTTGAAGCCTGAAAAGAAACTGTTTAGTTGGGATGGATGGAGTCCCAGAGAAACCGAGAAAGAACTACTAAGAGTCGGTTGCTACTACCACAGCGCAGACGTGCGAGCCAGATGCCCGGCATACCACAATAGAAAGGGTTCATTAAACGCAAAGAGCATGCAGGCTATCATCTTATACCGCTCTGCAATGTTCTTCCTCTCTATCATTTAAACTTATACCCGTCTAATCGCTCCTTGGTGCGACAGTTCACTCCTTTTATCTCGACCGTCTTCATGCATGGACAAGGACCATCTAATTATACTCGTTGGAGCGAGCTTTGCCTTTTGGCTACTGATTGTTATCCTTATATTCGCTACCTGGAAGGCTGCGGACTGGTTTGCTCAGGATACCACAGACGTTGAAACTCCTCAGGCTCAACCCGACCTCCCTTCGCCTACCCTTGGAGTTAAACGCGTTCGCTTTGCTCCTACCGTCGAATTCATCTAGTGGAAGCCGGAGATTCAGGCATTCTTTTATTCTGACGTCGTGTTTCGTACTGCCGTGGCTGATGTTTGCGTTAAGAGGTATAATAACCCATGGCTCCCATTTATATCATCTTTCTCCAGCATCGAGATGTCATCCAGCCTCCTCGTCACCCCAACGGCCCAGGTACCGCGATCCCCGTCGACGAGCGCATCAGCTTGAGAACTTTCACCTTACTCTTTATGGGAACTGTGTCTATTTTCGTATTGGGCGTTCTCTACTGGAAGCTGGGAACCTTTCTACGGTCGTTCACACGCTCAAGGGTAACTGGGGGAGGGAGGAGTGCGGCTTCGCACCATGTTAGAGCGTGGTACGGATGGATTCCTACCATGGATTACAACTATCACAAACAGCGATGGAAAGGGGAATTTCGTTGGGTTGGAAAACTGATGTTTTGGAGATCCTCGCATGCAGATTATAGTTGGATATGGTGGGATCCGGATGGTGAAAAATCAAAGCAGCGGGCTGAAGATGAGGGCCGTTTACGGCGTATCCCCTTGCGGCTGATGAGATATGCGATTAATGGCTTACGGCCTGGACCTGCCCCACAACCACCGGTCAACGCAGAGAAGAGTCCTTGTACGGCCAACATGCCCACGCCCCGATTAAACCGTTCTCTCTATCAAAAACACGGAGATCCCGGGGCCATGGAGTGTGAAGACTTTTACCTACCGCACACCCCTGGCTCTGCCTTTACAATCTCGCCAAGAACACGATCTAAGTCCTTAGATGACGGTAACTATGGGTTGAGATGTACTTCACGACTCCGTCCTATAGCACGAAGGGCCCTTTCTGAGGGCCATCAAGGTAGTTCTCGCCATATACAGTTACACTACCCCTCTACCCAGCCCATGCATGCTACAAGACGATATGGCCGAAGTAGGATGTTCAGCTACGAAAACTCAATGGACGAGATTCCTGCTGCCAAATCTCTCTCTTGGAAGTATCGAGCTTGGGGAGCAAGGATGCAATGCCAGACGTTTGGTGATACTAATAGAGCTCTCAGAGGCCATGCTGGGCGGCCAGGGACAGCAATGTCCTTTGCTATAAGAAGCATGATATCGTCAGGGTCAGGCAGTGGTTCAGAAGTATATCAATCCCTCCATGCGGATATCAGACAGCGCCCGGTTCCATCGTCGACTAAGCCCTGTGACACATTTTCCATACACCCTTCCTGCACGCCTTGGACCCAAGTGAATGAGTCAAGCTCTCAACACCTTTCTCATACAGAATATACCAGTTCAGTTTCTAGATTGCACGGTCAATCTTATTCAGGGAGGATGCATATGTCCAGTTCGCGTTACAGGTCTGGAGAAAATGCTCTTCGAATCCGAAAACGGCGTGGCATACGCCGTCGACTTCCCCTTGAAAACTGCCTAAGCCGCCCTGAAGTTCGACTAGTTGATGATTTGGATAGGAAACTAGAGTGGTTATCAAATGAGATGGACCCGGGCCGAAAATCTTTTGCATTTCTTCTTCTTCACAACCATTGGCTCAACAGGGCTACGTGGGTTGTAACCGACCCTTCGTCTAGAATCACCGTCCAGAAGAAAAGAATACGGGGCGACCCGAGAGTCAATACCATGGCCTTTGGTGGTAATGGAAAAGCTGCGGCTCTAGACAACACGCCGGCGCCACGAGTCAGAGCAGTTACACCGCGGATAGACTCTTGGAGGGTAGCAGTCAATCGAGCAAGGGCATCGTCTGGGGCTAAAGAGATAAAAAGGGTTGCCGAGTTATTTGAAGGCTCTGCCGAGGAGGCGGCTGATAACAATGTTGACCCGGCTAGCTGGATCCTCAAAAAGCCTCAACAAGGAAATGGAATGTCGAACAAGCAAAAAGAAGCTTATTTCGAAGGACCCGGGGGTTGGTGTGAGAAGCTCGACTACTGGGAGAATGTTCCCCGGCTGTATAGAGTGCGCCGGGTAGTCCTTCAGGGCAAAGCCAACCGTCGATGCGTGGTTAGAACTAGCAAAGATATATGCGGCGGCGTTGAGAAAGCTGCCCAGAAGGCAAAACGACTGGGTGTTGAGCAGTATGCTAGGATCAAACAGTTTGAGAGATCTGAAAAGTCAGGCCGGGGAGTTGTAGGTCCACGTCACTCCCCGAGAAGCACTCTTCCTAGGTCTGTAGTAAATATACAGATGGAAGATCCAGCACAAGGACTACAAAATACGCCTGATTTGGTGTCGATGCAGGAGCGAGACGAAGGCTAAACCAAGCCACAGCTAGTATTATTACGCTTGAGAGCTAATTTAATGAATTGATCTTTCGTTTCGCATACGAAGAAGAGAAGTGGTCAATAATGGAGCTTATCTCCCCACTCTGTGAAGAGTCAACAGGTCTCTCCCTGCACACATTATAGCCGTGTGATTGCACAACTGCGAGCAAAGTCAAAAATAACCTAGTAATAGTACACACGTATATTCGGTGTAGATCTAACCGCAGAAGGACAGCCAAAAGCAAAAAACTCCGTACATGCCCACGTAATATATCAAGGAAAGGTATTTATACAAAGCGCAGAACGTATATCCGCGTCTAACAAAGGGATGAGAGAGGATACTAGTCGTCGTTTAGAAGCCGGGAGGGTTGACTCTCTGGCTAACACGAGTCCATTTGGGGAGTTCTAAGGGAGTTGAGCACAAGTTAGCAAATATTCCTCTCCTCCAAACGTGGTGCTTATGGCGTAAGACCAGCCAAAGCAGTCCATCAAAACAAGTAACCAGCCAGCAGGACCCAAACATACTATGTATTCCCTTGCGGTATTTCTTCTCCTTGCGATCGAAGATAGTATATTTGTCTCTCGGCAGCATCTCCTCCTCCCTAGGCATTTCACGGTACCACCGTTCAACAGGCTTCGTTGCTCCAAGTCCGTTTCTCTCCAGCGCAGCATAGACCGTGTCAACGACGCTATCGACTGCTCTTAACCGTTTCCGTTGCCTAGCCTTCTGTGGGCTGGAAAGCCGCCAGGGAATTTTCCTGCAGAGAGCAAGCATCTGGTTAGCCGTGGGCCCATCCATATCACTGCGCTCAGAAGGCTCAATGGCACGAATCAACAGGGAAAACGAACCATAATAGACCACTGAGTAAGGGGGAAGTTGGCTTGAACATCATGGGTTGGATTGACGGGAAATTGGTGGTGAAAACGGCCTTTTCAACGTCTTCTTCTTGTTTCGTTTCTTGAGATGTCGAAGTTGCGACTTTTTTTTTTCCGTCGAGAGGTGTTGGTCCGTGCACGCTATATCAAAGATGCGAACTTGAAAGCCTCAAAGTTGGCGATTTTGGATGCGATTTCTCATCCGACGGTCTTCTTGTCATATTTGTAATTTTATTCTTTCCTATGTCTTATATAGAGCATGGCAATTGGATTCGCGTCATTCTTCAGGGTCTGATGAATTAATCTACGGAGCCGCTTCTGCCAGGTCCCTTTTCGGGTCACTCTCTGAACATTCCCAATGCAGCTTCAAGATGGGACGCTGGAGCAGCCGTCCGCCGTCTGGAGGTTTTTGTCCACTGCAACTACGCTGAATATTGCGGCGCTATGTCGTGCATTTCTGTACTCGCTCAACACCACTGAAGTTAATGGCCTGGAGAGGTTCTTGAAGCTTCTGGAGTCGCGGCAAGATGATACTTCGAGGACACGCGGGTTGATAACTGGTGAGTTATTCTCTGGGTTAGTATCTGGCTAATAGCTCAATTATGATGGCTGATTATGTTTTCTACGCTCACAGTGTCAAACCATATAAGTGTGTACGTAGACTGATATCGCCCCCTGTCGACATATTGTACATCCAACATGGACGCTGGGCTGAAACTCTTCGGATTGGTGCTATAGTATGGACGATCCATTGATGTGGGGAGTGATACCATTGCGCAGTCATTGGGGGTTCCGGCCATGCAACCGAAGATGGGCTCTCGGAAGCCATGATATATGCTTTAAAAATAGGTATTATGGACCGTTTATTTGGGGAGACAATGAGGGTAATATTGTACTAACTAGCTTCTACAGATTTATGTCAGCGTTCTTTACATATGGGCAGGTCCTCCCAGCACATAGACTTTTCCATTCTCCCCGCGGAGGCCTCTTTCAACCAAGCATCACCCAGGCAATCCGGTTGTTATCCAAGGGGCCATTCCCTGCCGAACCTCACAGTGCTCCAATGGAAAAACAAAGATGGAGCATAAGCAACACTTGTGTCGACCCCTTTTCTGAGGTACCAACGGCCTTCACCACGACCGGAGAGGATGCCTACCTCGCTCCATCTGCTTACGCGTGCAACTCGTACTCTTGGATTCACGTCTTTCCAGAAGGAATGATTCATCAGTCAACACATAAAACTATGCGATATTTCAAATGGGGGGTATCACGTTTGATATTAGAGCCGGCCGAGTGCCCTGATATCGTCCCCATGTGGATTGAAGGAACGGACGGTATCATGCACGAGGACCGTGGATTCCCTCGTTTCATACCGCGTGTAAAGCAGAGGGTCAGTGTTACCTTTGGAGAAAAGGTAGATACCGATGCCATATTCGGAGAGTTGAGGAGCAAATGGCAGAAACTTAAGCGGGAATCAGAGCGAGAAGATACCGAGCCCCTGACAGTCGGGATCTTGAATGAGAAACTCATGTACGGTGACGAAGCTAGAGAGTTACGTGTGGAGTGTACAAGAAGAGTTCGCGATCTCGTCCTTGAAGTCCGGCGCTCGAGAGGCTTGTCGGACGAAGACCCGAAGGCTAGCATGGCGGAAACATGGCTGAGAGAGGGCCCTAGGAGAGAAGGGAGGATGGATGACGGCTCCCTTGTTAGAGACATCTAACTTCTACGTGGACGGGCTTATTTTGACTCTTGCTATGTATTTTCGTTCAGCCTGCCAAGCGCTTTTCAGCCGCCACTTGTATTAATCAGCCAAACCGTCATCATCGTATATAAACATCTACAACTTCGGCTGCCCCAAGGTCTTCTTCTCTCACCAGTTAAGAGTATTATATTGATTGCTCCCTATGCCCAAGAAACATAAGACCCCGTCTATAAAACCAAAACCTGACGCCCATCCTTCACTCCAGTCGTCCAGGCCTTCCAGCCATGGCAAGTCAACAGGTCAATCCTCTGTCAACGACATCCTGCAGCAGATGCGAAATGCGTCTTCCAAGGCAGCAGGCTCACGGCAGACAATGCTAGTGCCTAGATCAGTTCATCCGTCTTTGAGAAATATCCTTGAGCTCCCTGAGACACCGCCACCCCGGCCTACGACGGCTCGCCAGGCAGTTGGACAACGAAGAGTCCGCAGAACACCTGGCCCGCCGCCTCCTCTCAGCTGGGTAACTCCTAACCCAGGATCGAACGGCGGTCTGGACAGCCTGGGCAAGAGTTCATTGAGAGGTCACAGCATCAAGTATAGCCGTCGGCTGGACCGTCTTCCTGGAGCAGTTATTCCCCCACATGATAGTTTACTACACACCATACTACACTTCATGGCTAGGAATTGGGACTGGCACCTCCTTTATGACGGAACATTCCTGTCAACACTGCCAACACATATAAGGCAGCTTCTGTTGACATATATATCTGTTTATACAGACCATCCATCAATGGGGGTACACATGAAGGGTTTGGAACCTTTGTTCCTGACCTCTGAGTCTGGCCCCAGGGACGGCACCGAGGTGACCCGGTTAGATCTTGGATTCTCAATTGGATACTGGCTTACTCTGAAACAACTCTCAAAAGAGGTCAAGAGTAATACACTGAAGGGTAAAGAGAATGGCCCTCTTCCCACCTCGTGGGAGGAAGAGGCTGACTCGGAGATATCGAGTCCTTCCCCTTACGGCCCGGGCCAGATCGAATTTCCTGGCTTTGGTAATATCAGATACCTCTCTCTGGCATCTCCGGCTCCGGAAGCTGCGAGCTGGGTCTCTCTTCTCAAGTTACTGTCCCATCTACCAACATTAACCCATCTCTCCCTTGCCTACTGGCCTATCCCAACCCTGAAGCCCAATGCCCTCACAGCGAGCGTGAGCCATCCAAAACATAAACAACTCTCTTTCCAGTACGGAGGGTCTGATACCTATTCATCATATGAGAATAATTGGGTCGAGGCCTCGATCGTCCTCGCGAAGCTGTCTAGAATAACCTATAGCCTCAAGTGGCTTGACCTAGAGGGCTGCGCCGAGTGGATTCCTTCATTGTGCTGGGATGGAGTCGATATCTATGGAGGAACTCATGAAGTCACAGGCCCAGAGTGGAATGGCTCCTGGAGAGGAATAGAATGGATTGGCCTTGGCCCTGGCTGGATCCCCGAGATTCCAGCGCTAGACAGCATCTCTGTCAATGAAGATGACGAGGACATTATACTCAAGCAACAAGATAGATTTCGTAAGGAGCGGGAGTTATTTCAAAACACACTCGAGAGAATAAAAGACGTTGGAACGCGCATACGAACAATAAGGAGAGAAGGGCGTGGGAAATGGATACACTACTCTGATGGATCAGAGTGGTAAGAACTTACATATATATAAGCTTGACTGTATATACACAGGTGTATGCATGTTATTCATGATTATATCTATCCTGTGTGCTATTCACAATGGGGCAAGCCCATCTATTTTGATTTGAATGACTTCAACGGATCAATTTTTCGTCCAGCACCGCCCTTCTTCGCGACTCTCCCTCTAGCCCTATTCTTCTGCCTAGCCTGTCGGATTCTATTCTCCTTCGACTTACGTAGCCCAACAAAACCAATGTCTTCGCTCGTTAGTGCACTCTTCCCCTTGGCTGGCATTAAGTAGTCCGGTACATGTTTTAGATGGCTCTGCACCCTCACAGATCCAAGCTCATCATCGTGTCGTAACTGGCGTAATTCCTGAGGGTTCTCTTCAAAATGTTTCTTCAACTTCTCGCTCTTGACAAGCTCCTGTCTGATCTCCTTTGCTCTAGCTTCCTGGATAGCTATCCTTGTAACTGCACGGAGGGCATCCGTCATTCGGTATCTGAATACTTCGATTTGCTTCTTGTCAAAGTGGTATGGTTTGACTTCCCGTCCCATTTTAGCTTGGCGTTTTTCTATCTTAGCAAGGACAGACTCGTCGTTTTTTGCCGGTGGGAAGATTGTTGGTTTATGTTTCCCATACAGGTCCGATGGGACAACGAATGAAAGGGCCATGCCGGTTTTTCCGGCTCGGCCTGTTCGGCCAATTCGGTGGGTATATGATTTGGCGGTGGTTGGGAGATCGAAATTGAGAACGCAGGCGACGTCTTGAAAATCTATTCCTCGTGAAATACCATAATCCTTTTCCTTGCCAGACTTTTTTCGTTTCTTGTTTTTGTTTGATAATACCGTCTTTTCTTCCACTTCTTCAGGCTCGCTGAGTTCCTCCTTGGCTTCTTCCGTAGCAGTGTCTTCAACGGGCCCATCTTTACTTTCGACAGTCTCTTTTTTGGACTCCACCTTACCTATGACTTCTTGGTCATCGGCAGCGATAATAATGTCGTATACGCCCTTATTGAATTCCTGGACTGCATGGATGCGGGAGTTTGCTGGCAATTCAGAGTTAAGGATACAACTCTTGATACCAAACTGCTCCAGGAATAGTTTAAGGCGGTAACATCGATCCACATCGCCGACAAATATAATGCACTTGCCTTTGACAAGCTGTAGTTTGAATATCACGTATGTAAGCAGAAACTTTTCGTCCTCCGCGCACCTGAGAAGTAATATGTTGGTCAATTATCAAGCAGCGATTGGATAACAAAGCAGAGACGTACTTGACTGCGAATTGGCTTATGCCAGCACCTTCATCTTCCGCCTCCTCTAGCTTTAATATGGCAGGACTCCTGCAAAAGAGACCTTTCAAAGTGTCGACCTCAGATGTGAGTGTAGCACTCATCAAGAAAGTCTGGACACCATGCGGAATTGCCTTTGCCAAGCTCTGCATGTCCTGTTCATATCCGTATGAGAGAACGAGATCGGCTTCGTCGATAACGACTTGAGAAATATTATCTAATACCAGGGCAGAGTTGTTTACGTTAACTATCGCTCGCGCTGGCGTAGATATGACAATATCTGGCATATCTGCAAGCAGGGCACGTTGAACGGCATCGGAGACCTTTTGCGTGAGATTCCCAGAGCGAATATCTTTGGAGCAAAATTCCGAAAAGGCAGTAACTGTTCTATGAACTTGTTGGGCTAGTTCTCTCGTTGGTACTAGGATCAAAGTTGATATCGACCTGTGGGCGGGGTCGGCCTAATAGTCGCGATTAGCATAGGGTAGATGGGTAGATATCGTGCAAGGTTTATAGGAGCACATACGGCTTTCTTCTGTAAGATCCTCTGTAGTATTGGAAGTAGATACGCTGCTGTCTTTCCGGATCCAGTTTTGGCCCTCGCTAAACCCCGAGTACCGTTAGCCAGATGAACTGCATCCTAATATATACAACGCTAAGCGACATACCTAGTATGTCTTTCCCATCAAGCGCCAAAGGAATTGCCTCCGCTTGGACTAATGTCGGCTTCGAAAATTTCTGTAATTTTAAGGCCTGGAGCAGCCGTGGATCGAGTCCGAAGTCTTCAAACCTCTTGGAGGAGTTTTTCGTTTCTGCCGAGTCCGCTGAAGTAGGGACATCATTCTCATCTAGTTTGCGCTTCATGATTGAGAAATTAGCAGGCAAACAGTCGACAACGCAGTATATTGTCTAAGTTCTACTATCAAGACAAGCAACTTTGCGACCTTTTTTTTTTTTTTTTCGGAAAATGTTGAGACCGACGCGCGTCTAAGGCGTTTAGTTTGATAAGCGCCGCTACCCCTGCTTATATCGCTTAGGCACCAACCAGCCAATCAGCTGCGTCATCAGCCACCAGTTCGATATCTTTGCTACTGCCCTGTAATATCCTTGTCTCTTCTTCTATGAAACTACCATAGCCATCATGACGTCCAGAGCTACCGACAGTGAAGCTCCTCACCACCCCCTCCACCGTGATCTCCAGAGACCCAATCCACTAAGCGGTCAATGAGTACGCAGGAGGAATATCCTCCTTTCTGGGCTCCTGGATCGACCAGGTCTATACGGTATTTAGATCGAAGTTTGTTCATTCCGTCAACATTGACTATATGATCTGGCCTCGATTGAATAGTCGAAATCGAGGTTCTTTCTCCTCTGTAGACCCAGTAAGTACGTTGAGGTGGCCATGTGGATTGTCTAAGCGGAGTGTGGTTTGGGGCTGATGGATATATGGCTGTCCATACTCGACTAGCTTGTAACGCCGTTTATACGGATCGGTGTCTCGTATATTAAGAAACAAAGTTTGGACAGTGATGTGGCTTGGTCGCTTTGATGCCAAATGGTTGTGTCCCGAAGGATATTCTGGTCTCCCGTTCGAAAAATGGTTCGGACACCACAATTCTGAACGGGACACCACCACGCTCTAGAGTATATATAGACTAGCCACTTACCCCTTAACCTGTAAGAGCACAATTATCGAACGTTCACCGACCAGATCCATCAGATTACTTACTCATCTTTTCAACATGTTAGACAAACTATCCACGGAAATTCTCGTTCTTATTTTCTCCGAGGTATGTAGTTAATTCATCGATGGTTGGTTAACTGGAAGCTGTATTAAACTCCTTTGAGCAGCTTACGGAAAGACGAGACTTGACATCAGTGTGTCAAGTATCCAAACGCCTTCACTCCGTCGCATCCTCAGTGTTGTTTCGGTCAATTGCTCTCAAGGCAAAAGATTTGGCCCTTGATCGTGTTGCGGTGGAAGGGATTATCGCCACTCACCGACAAACCGGTGCCCTCCACTACACCAAGGATATCCACGTCTCATCTCCATTTCATGGCCGGCTCGAGAAGCGATGCCTCCACTACAACACCTCAAGTGCCTGTGGTGATGATGAAGATGGGTTAAATGATGATGACCTTCAAGAGTCTGAGCATCAAGACAAGAAGACTTGGATTGAAAACGACGATGCAGCTTTTGGAAGGGATGACTTTTGTCGATTCAAGGATAGATTGATGGCTGTTCTAATAAGATGCAGGGAGGGCATGCTTGAGAACTTCACGTTGGTTATAATCCTTTGCTCTAAGGGGTTCATTCATAACTAACATTGTCCCTAGGTGGCAACTCGGCACCTGTGTCCCTGAAGAAATCTTAGGTAAAAATGGCTATCTACCCTTGAAGCAGAAAAACCTGAAATCTCTTCGTTTGATTACCGATGCTAGTTGCGAATGGAATGGATATAACCTGGCACCATTCACAAAACTCACAAGTCTCTCATGGCATGGATTGCGACCTGACATAGATTTCATATCCATTTGGAAGTGTTTTAGTGTCTGCTCACTCCAGCTGATCTATCTCGATCTTGACTATTACTCTCAAAGCAGAACCGCCGCTCATGGATTTGAAATTTGGGATGATGGTGGCTATGAAATGCAGAAGATATTAAGACCACTCTCAGAAGGGGAGCAACTATTCTTTCCAGAACTACGGGGCCTTTCTTTATCAGGAATTTCACTATCATTCGCAGAAGAGCGGCTGGAGTCAGCCTTTGACTTTCAATATCTTCGTTCTTTAAAACTCAGGTTCTGCCCTGGTTTAGAAGAACTCCTTGCGCACCTCCAATCCGCGGTCGGAGCCATGTACCTGGAAAAATTAGAAATACAAACATCCAATGACCACTTCAACGATGAATTAGAACTGGCTATCCCAAACTTTCTTGATATCATCGAAGGCCTCCAGGAGCTTTTTATATCCACATGCCATCCCGATGATACGCTGCCGATCTGGTGCTCAATATTCCGGCACCACCTTACGCTTAAGAACGTTGTATACCACCGCAGAATTGTGGGATATCCAGGAGAGGAACCTCGCGATGCACCCGGCCCTTCGCTTGAAGAACTTCACTCTTGGGGGAAAAATCCTCTATTCAACCAATTTGGTAAACTTGATTTGGAGTGTCTCGGGCTTTGTTGTGATCTTCAAAATTTTGTACTCTCCCCTCAAACTCGTACCTATTCAGGATTATAGTTACTTATATCCATATCACAGATACCGCAAATGCACCCGTCGACTCGGAATAATACTCTAAAAGTTTTACACATCCGACAGTCCGGTCGGGACATAAAAGCCTCTAGAAATTGGGGGGTTGAAGAGGAAATGGATGCGGATGATCTGGGCAGCATTAGTAGCAGTGATGAATCTGACGATGGGGATAATATCTCTATACCCTTTCATTCCAACGATCACGGTACCGTTGCCAAACAAATGTGTCCTAACAACAAGAATGCCGCCAAACCTGTTTCTACCAACGAAGAGAACATGGCCGAACGTATCTATCCGAATGAAGCTTCACAGGATCTAGACTTTCTTGCACAATGGGCATTTGGAAAAAAGGGTTACCCATCTCTCCAATTGCTCGCGTTTGGCGACTTCTCTTTCAATGGGCGATATTCGTCGGAAAATGTGCTGCTTTGCCGGCAGCAGGAGCCTGGCACATCGAGGGGCAAGAAATATCGGCATGTCACCAAGGACGATTCTTTTGCACTACATTTATTCCGACAGTACTCTCACGTCCTACAAGCCTGTCCCTCCGATCCCGTGTAAATGGGCTTAGAGCACGCCAGGCTGAGATTACGAATTGACAAGACTGCTATAACGTTACACTTTGTTGTAAGGCGTTATATCTAGGATTACTCCGAATCAATTCAAATCAAGACGCCTCTTGGTTACCCAGGGCAATAGATATATAGCGCAACAGCTTAATACTTTAAGCTACTCAAGCTCTCATAGTTATCTTTGCGGCTAGATATTAAACTTTTGTTCAAATTTTTACTTGATCATCTAAGGTAACAATAATAACCTCCAGAATTGCATTGAATTTAATAGGTAGTCATAGCTAAAAATTTTCGAGGAGTGCTAAGTTAGTTAAGTAACTCGGCACTTAAAAATCCAACAAGGATCCATGTACATAGCTAACTAAACAAGTTATTAAATTTTGAACCTCAAATTTCTAATCTTAAACGAACTATCTTGTTGCCATGTCCCCAAAGGTACAACGAATAAGCTTACTTATCGCATTGATATCTCTCTGTGCTGTTGCATTTTTCATCGTCCGTTTGGCTCCCCCGGTATCTAGTATAGCCGCTAGCATGTCAGTCACCCATGTCGTCCTTTTCCAGTTCAAAAAGGGAGTCCCACCCGAGACTGTCCGCGATGTAAGCACAAAACGCTTTCGATGGCCTGTGGTAATGGACGAGGGGTAATTATTATATTACAGATTTGTACCCGAATGTTAGGCTTAAAGGACAAATGTCTTCATCCGCTTTCCCAGAAGCCATATATCCTTTCATCATCTGGTGGAGTTGATAACTCGATCGAAGGTATCCAGGTAAGCCAGATACATGCTCTGTATAACTTTCCATCAATATACTCTGTAGACTAATTTTTGTTATGAAGGGTGGCATGACACACGCCTTCGTGGTCAATTTTGCGAGCAAGGAGGATCGTGACTATTATGTTCAGAAGGATCCTTTGCATCAAGAGTTCGTTCGAAGTGCAGGTGAAGTCCTCGAGAAAGCACAAGTTGTTGACTTCACCAACGGAGAATTATAAGGAATCCTCATATAAGATGGGTCATGGAGCACTTTGGAGAGATTTTACCCACTCGTTATACGTTTAAGAGTAATGTGCGCTACAGTAAGGCATATAACGAAAATGAAAGTGGCTTTAACGTCGGTGTAGTTGCTATAGGATACCAACATATGCTATAGTTTTGTACTGTAAACGCAAGGTCTAATAGTAAATCACTCTGCGTTACGCTAATCCCTCCCTTACTCGCTACTAGCTTGCAATGACGCAGTGCCTGTAAAGGCGTTATTTGTGAGAAATACTACTCCTCTCCTATAATATACTATATACATCCACTATGCACATACAACCTAAGCACTGGATGAAATGACCCCTGACTACTGTATCACATCTCACTGTTTACCAACGTAACTAAACCTAGAAAGATATGTTGATAGTCAGCAAATTGGATAACAATAGAACGCTTCGCTAATGAAACTAAGCTATCACAGTAATATAATTTACTCTCCACTGCTCGTGATGACATTTCCCTTTAACTGGTAGGCTTTTATTAGCTATACCACCTACAATATGACTTGTATCAAGCTTAATACAATGCCTCTTCCACCGATAATTAATACGAACCAAAATATCTAGAATTATAGAGTGTCCTACGGTCCCGGTAATCGAGGTAGGTCAAGAGTCTTTAAGCTCCTTTAAAATAATTTTTCTCTTTCAGAGACGCAAAATAGACAGGTTTGTTAGCGGGTATGCTAAGGGTATGCGTATATGGCAGTCGTTTGCAAGTACACAACAACGAAACCATAGAATCAATGTGGCTCCCCTTCTTCTCTGGTGGTCGGAACAGTTGATGAAGGAGCTTCCTTGACTTTGCTGATTGGCTAAAAACAGACTATAGGATAAGATAACTTCCTGAAGGAGATGCGGTATCTTTTCTTCATTAGTGGGTCTACTCCGAATTTTTTTGATACCCGTAAACGAATATATAGCTGCTCTGGAAGACAGTATTTGTAGATAAAAAGGCGGGTAGCTAAAAAGAGATAGTGTCCTAGTCGATTTGTCGTAATCAAGGTGTAATGCAAGCCTATCGACCCATGGAATCCGAACACTCAATAACGCGCTCAAAAGATGCATATTGGTATCGGCTGGGTATTATGGTGCCCAGGATGAAGCTAGTTTGTTACTTTCATTTGCAATTTGTGGTGCGGCTAAAGATTAAGCCGGTAGAATATTTTGAACGTTTTCAGTAGCACCCATAGTGAGCGGCTGGATTATGTTGGCGCTCGGTAGGTGTCAAACACAAGTCCAGATTGTGGCTAATCTGAGGTTCGATGGATGGAAATTTCCCAAGTGGAACAGGTATTAAATGAAACCGGGTATAAAATTGAACGCCAACCGAGTGCAGCAAGTATAAGGAGCTTCTGGGTTTTCAAAAAGCTCAATTTTTTATAGGTATTTTGTAATTCCACCAATAGTTCTCCTCTAGCTTGATAAACCTTTAATTGCACTGAAAGATGATCAAACTGAGGTCTCGCGACAAGGAAATATTCCGCAACCCTTAGATCTCTTATGCAGGGAGGAAGTCACTGGGAGAGCCTGGCATCATACAAATCCATATCAGCAACATAGAGACCTCAGATTAAAACTTTGACCTAAGCTTGTAACTCCAACTAGCCACAAGGTCTTCATTGCCTTCATTGCCAGCATTGACTCAAATGACTGCCAGGTGATCTGCCGATGGCACTATAATAGAGGATATAACGTAGAGGTAGTTGTCTAAAGGTATAGTTGGATTATGGGCGAAAACAGGCGCGGGACGATGTATTCCCGCAATATACGAAGTTGGGAATTCTATCATAAAGTATTTGAAGAGTGTAATGAGAGCAAATGCCATATATTTTGGACGAAATTGCCGCACTACGAGTGGGCGCTTGCACTTAATCTATAGTATGTTGTTGCAGAAAGATAGTAAGCTAACTGACTTGACAACATATGTCAGAATCTGCCATTCGGCCAAAAAGGCGAGCCCGCACCAATTGGCGGCAGAGAGACTTGTTATACTAGTTAGGCTTGGCACGCGGGACGGCCCGCTGCCGAGGTCTTTCGCTGCCGAGATGAAACTAGGTTTGGGTCATGGAAATTCCATCTGCCCTTCGTTCAAACCCGCCCGAATCTAATGTTGTGAAGATGATTTGCTTACGGCCAAAGGAAATAGGAATCATCTTCACTAGTTGCTATATATTAGAATGGCCACTCCGTCAGTGAAAAGCAGCAGCCCCAATGACGGCTTTAGTGCAACATGGCAGGCCGCTATTGATCGGTACTATGATGAATTGAAAGATATCGAACATAATCTTTGGAACGTTCATAGCTCTGAGGAACTTCTTGACAAGATTCGAACTCAATCTTTATGGAACTTCAAGGTTCAAAAGGCCTGATGGGCCTCTCGCAGAGGCTTGAGCCGATCCTTGTCAGCTTCAATGATTTCGCTGCAATCATCACCCTTGCGGCGGGAATGAATAACCAGGCCATGGCGGTGATATGGGGTTCTATTAGACTAATATTAGAGGTAAATTACTATATAGATCCTCAAGTGTATTATCTTACTGCGTTCTAAACTTGGCGACTAGTTAGCTAACCCTGTGCCCCGTGAACTCTTGGATATGTTTGATGAGATGGGCCGAGCATTTCCCAGATTCTGTCGGGATAAACCAGAACTTCCCCTGACTTCAGGCCTGGAGAATGCTTTACTCAGCATCTATACTGAGATCATACTATTATGTGCACATTCGATCTCTTATTTCCGGAATAACCCCAACCCAGGGAGACGCGAAGTATGGTCCACGTTTAGTACAGGGGTATCGCAGCGCATATTAAGAATTCAGATTTACTCCAGACTGGCCGATGAAGCCGCTGATATGACCCGACTTTCTGGAGAGTCAAAAAGCTCAGATACAGTGACGGCAATGGAAAACTTGCAAATCATTCGGCTACACCCAACTAGGATGAATATTCCATGTTATATGATACCATACGCCGGCAATGTCAAGTCCTTTGGCAGATCAACCGAGGTGGAAATCCTAAGAATTTTCCTTGATCCTAATAAGAGCCGTGAGAATCTAAAGGCTATCGCAATATGTGGAACAGATGGTATCGGAAAATCACAGCTAGCATTGCATTACGTCAATAAAGCCATGGATTCATATGATGTTGTTGTTTGGATACCAGCTGAAACGAAAATTAAAATGACTTCAGCCTTGTCTAAATTTGCTGCAAAGCTTGGATTACCCCAGGCAGAAGGTAATGAAGGCGATTACAGGTCGATTCAGATCGTACGGGACTGGCTGAATACATCTCGAAAGACTTTTCTTCTCATCTTTGACAATGTTAAGCAACATAATCTGCTTGACGAAATTTGGCCAACCAGCGTTCGAGGCTCTATCGTTATTACTTGTCGACCCTATTCACTCGCATTGAAGCGGACATCTGAAATAATAAACCTTTCGTGTTTCGGTGTTGAGAGAGATATGGAAGTGTTCTACTCCCTAATAGGCCAACGACCTTCAAACGACATGGATTTAATAGCTGCGAAGGAGTTACTGCAACTTCTCGGTGGCTTACCCCTTGCCATAGCGCAAGTTGGGAAATATATGAATGATTGTGGTTATTCTTATGAGCAGGTCTTGCCAATTTATCAGAAACCAGCCAAAACAATATTTTCTAGAACTCAGGCATCCGTTCAATATGAGCATACAATAGATACTGTGTGGGAGTTTTCTGGCTGAATCTAAAACCCTATTATATAGTTATACTTGCATTCTTTGACCCCAAACTTATCTCCGAGTCAATCCTTTCAGATAAAAGAGCGGGGATCACAGATCCGCGCCTGGAGTTTTTATATGATGATTCCGAGTAAGTGCCGCTCACCGAATGAGATAATGGAGAATAATCTTCAGTAGGTTTCGAGCCGCCGTGGCTGGCCTTACTGAGGCGGCACTGGTGAACCACCTACCAACCCACAAAGCCATATCGATCCATCGTCTTATTCAACAATTTACAGCGTTTTCGCGGCTGTCTATGAATGAGGCCGGATCATTTTTCAAGCATGTTATAAAAATGTTATCGTGCAGCTTCCCTAATACCTGGAATCAGAGGTCTCACCAACAAGGCCACGGCTGGGCTTCGTGGGAGGCATGCCGTACAATTCTTCCACATGTCAGTTGGCTTATCAGACTGACGCAAGCACATTCATTCCCTATCATCGACCCCGAGTTCTTTGCAGAGCTAGTATTTCGGACAGGAAAGTAAGCAAAATCCCCTATCACATAGATGAAAGAGCTATTGGGCTTATTTTCTATTCAAAGGTATCTCTGGTAGAAAGAACAGCCAATAACTGGAACACATTTCATCCACTTCGGGCTCAACCTTGATATTAAGCACTCAACAGCAACTTATGCGCAAGCATACCGAATCCTAGGTCATATTGCCTTAGACATGGCACGGCCAAAAGCTGCCTTGTCCGCATATTTCCAGGCACTCACTATCAGAGAGCTTATACATGGCACTCGCTCGCCTGAAATGGCGGATGTATATGGCTCTATTGCCTATAGCTATGCAGAACAGGGAAAGGTTGATGATGCCCTCTATTACCTTCAAAAAGCAGAGGATATCCATAATGAAAATGACCCACTACGTATGGGTAGGGCCCAGGCAATATATGCCTTGACATATCTGCGAGTAGGCCGGCCGGGAGACTCTCTCAATGCCTTGCACCATTGCTGGAAATTGCAAAATTTAACTGAGGATGAGAATACACTAGCTGCGAAGCTCTTACGCAGCGTGATCAAAATGAGTAAAGGCATACCGGAAATGCAAGCCCACCTTGCACGATCATGATGGTTTTTGTCTAGGGTAGAGTATAAAATAGGAAACAATTTCATGACCGAAGAACTAAAGATGAAGGCTGGGGAAGAATGGAATAAAATTAGGGGCAGAGAAGGAGTCGATGGGGATACTGATGCATCCTTCATGAGTCTCGTTCCATGGATGCTTTGGTGATAGCGAATATCGCATATATATAAAAAGAGAAGAGAGGATGTTTAATTGTTTAATTTTTTGGATGACAGTTTTGACCACCAAGCCACCGCTAACTGCATAGTTAGAGATTGCCTTTACATGTTGAATGGATAATCTCAGACTTGAGGGTTGCTAGTCATATATGAGGGACATACTACTTGAATTTCGACCGAATAAGGGTAGATATGCAAGGAATGAAATCAAAAGTCAAATCAACCTCTGTTCAGCTAAAGAACGTTAAAAATGTCGAATATAGACGATTATAAAATCAAAGAGTTATCTGACTAATGCACTCGAACAAGATTAAAGACATTGAGGAGAAGAGACATAGGCATAGGCATACTGCTCGATATATTTCAAAAATGTTGAATTGTTGAATGAGACAGAAAAACGTTTGGTCCGAATTTGGGTGGCACGATAGCAAATTGACAACGTATGATAGGCTAAAAAAAAGTTCGTCGAGAAAAAAACTGGTCACCATGCGAATGAAGGCATCAGCGATAGGAATTGGTAGTATCGCTATCGCGGGGCTCAAAATCGTTATACTCGTCGTTTTCATTCAGGTCAACGCTCCGCCTCCAAGCACGTCGGAATGTTCTCATAGACTCTTCACTGACATGGCCAACGGGCTTCACCTTGATATTGTGATCAACGGTAAAGACCTTTCCAAAGTTCAGATAAGATTTACTGTGGAGTTGTTCTCTTGGGCTGTAAGGGTTTATCATGATAGGGGGCAGCCCTGGTACACGCGTTGGGTCATTAGGGGCGGGCTCACTCCCCCTCATATATACGGCGGCATGGGTGTTCAAGTCGATTCCCCGTTTCAATAATCCCCGTTCTCCGTAGGTATTAATTGCCCTTGAAAAGATAATTAGTTAGTCACCCTATATCAATGGTTTAGGGATGAGAGTTGCTCACAAACACCAAGAGCATCCTTGTTCATTTTTCACAACAACCATTCTACGAATGTTTGCGTGGACCTCTTGACCCAGCCTTGTTGCATAAAAGTATGGGTTATTACGATCGTGTGGAACTGACGTATCACCAGCAGGCTGCGCCCAGAAGACAGAAAGAACCTATAGTTATGCAACAATCCTTGAGTACACTGCAAAGGTAATAATAGACAGGGGCGGTCTCATACTCTACCAATGGAAAAGAATTGAGTAGATCGGAGAGTATACTCTATGGAAGCTCAGTTTTCCATTTGAATCATATTGTAGAGATGAAATTTACATACCCCTATTGAACCTTGCGATATCATTTCGGTGGTCATTCCAGGGCCCTAATGTTTTGCCTTTGTTATCTCCAATCTCCCCTGAGTAGACACATAGAACAAATGTAGCTACTGCATACCATCTTGGGGCTGTAGCCCGTGAGGATTGTACCCATCCGATTGGTAGCTAAAATGTGAAGCCGCGGAGTTGCCATTCACCGGAGGGAAATACCAGCGCAAAGTAAGCCTTTTAGTCTGATAAAGCGATAGGAATACAGACATATTTTCGTTATATAAGGGACGTGGGCAATCTACCTTGAGCTCAGTTGATAATTGCTTCCCTGGTTCTCATGGCTGGAATGTCTCGTATCTGTTTCCATGCAGCTTTGCCAGGCATCAAAGTGATTTGGAGATAGAGCCGGCGACGGGTGTAAGAAATCCGGGTGGCCCGTTTGATTCCATGTGGCTGAGGATGCTATCTGACTATGAATGGGATACGCCGCAAAGGCGGTCATGTCCCTATGATAGCTAGCACCTGCATCACCGCGGTCGACGCTCCCGTTATCTCCGATAACCCTATGAAGTAGTTGACTCTATCAGTTATTCTGGATATAAAACTTTAAATCTTCTCTGACAGTCCAAGATACCTGTCTATTCAATGATATCATCTGGCCAAATATGTAGACTTACCCCTCGTAGTTAGAGGCATAGCTCGAGTTCTCCTGTCGCCGAGAATCTCCATGTCCGTATGTTTGTGCTACCCAAGAGGTCAGTGATGAACAATATCCCATGTTATCTATGCTCACGGTAGTAGGGCTCTTGGCCTCCGGGAGAATACCCAGCTCTGTGTGGCCGCGGCCAATTGTTTGTATGTTGAGACATTCTGGCCGCCTTGGAGGCTTATGACAACGCCCAAGTCAGCACGGGGTGGCGAGTAAAATTTAATATATAACCTGGGCAAAGTTGATGCTTACCTCTTTACCCTCGACCCCAGATATTGAGAAGTCGCCTAGACATCTTATATGTCTGATGCCCATTAAAAGATGCAGCTTTTATAGCCTTCGCGTCTCCAAACTTTCAGAGCCGCATTCGGCAAACATATACACTTTCCAGAGGATAGAAATATCCATACCGAACCATGTCATGGCTGGTGAGTCGTGGCACGCTGAGGTGTAAGAATGGATGCATGGAGGGTATGCACCAGACGGATATCCCGAAGGCTTTCGCTGTCACCTAGAGGCTGAAGGGGCCTTGGCTAAACAGATATGGTATATGTTCTGCATAGCAGGATTGGCCGCCATTGGATATCATTCAATGAATAACTTATAACTTGCATGGGAGCAGAAAGCAATAGCGTATCGAACTGGTGGTTTAACCTGGCCGCCACCCTCAGGTGATTCTCTGTGCTGATACCAGATCCTTGGATCCTTGCTGACGCTGCGATGACATATAGAGACTCCATGCAACAAGGCTTGCAAGCATTGTATGTATATTATTTTCTCCCGGGTCTTCGTATATTTCATCGAGGTTGGTTGGTTTGTCGACGTTCAAACTCCGTATTTTATATCAGCTTTAGATTAAAGTTTACGTATTGCGGGTGTTTTTACGATACAATCACTTCATACATACAAAACACATACGAAGACGAGGATGATAAAAAAAATCTACACCTGATCTTCTATCCACAGTTCGCTCTGTGTTCATTGTTTGTTTAGAAGCCCCCAGTTGGATGGCAGCAACCTATCAACTACCTATGTCGAAATACAGTGCGAAGACGGAAAATCTGTCCAAGACAAAGTCGAATACGATGCAAATGTGCTCTGGCAGCCATGGCATCAAACCGGGCTTCCTTGTTTGTGGGTGCAGGCAACGAAGAGGTCGAAAAGGTGAGGGTGCTGTACGGTTGAAATACCCCTCTAGTCTTCTGTCAAAGTCCTAATGACCGTGTTTAAAGGGGTTCGACCATCTCATCGACAACTTTGTACCTAGTTTCGATCCTCACTACGATTTTACCTCCTTATCGAACTTAAACACTGGGTATATCGACATCTTCCAGCAGCTGGAGAATAAGTACGAGCAAAATGGTCCAACAACCGGCAATGACTCCCCCAATATGCCCACACTATCCATGAGCTTTCCACCAACTACCGTGTCTTTCCCGGAGATGAAAGCAAAGCTCACACCAGATACCTCTCAAGCTCCTAACCAATCTTCAATAGGGAGTTCGGACAGGGAAATAATAAAGTCGGAGCTGCAACGGCTAGTACGTAACCATGAAAACGTTACTTCAACCCGGTTTTCTATTCAGCAGAAACGTGCAAAACTACGAGAGAAAAGAGCTGCATCAACAAATTTGGGAATTACTTTGATGAGGGAACTAAATGCACATTTTGCGCAGGAAGAAACTCCTTCGCCTCTCCTCGCCTTATTTGAGCAGTATCAAAAGTCATGGGCTGAATATCTGCTCACGGAAAACGAATATGAAGACGAAGAGGACAAGCTGGATGAAGGAGAATATCAACTTGAAAACACTCAGCAGAAAATAAAAATAGCTATTGAACAATATGATAGTGACAAGGGTTTTATTGCCAATCTTGACCCTATACAAGACCAGGAGAATCCCGCACCGAACGTATCCTTCGAGGCTGGAGCTTACCCTCCTTTACTTGCGGAATATCTCACTCGCTGTGGTACTCTTGACCTTGTCACGGAAAGATTATGGGACCTTCGGATGGAGCACAAGGAGGCCTTCGACGATTATCAGAATGGAATAGGCCTACGGGCTTCTCAACCAAATGAAGATACTATCGACCTCCTCACCAATTTTAAAAAGTATGAAGGCGAAATTCTCCACGAGAAAGAGGCACTGGAAAGAGAAATCGAACAGCTTAAGACGCAGTGTCAGGAAAAGGGTCTTTTTGAGGACTCCTTGGGCCTTCAGCTGACTGATAATGAGCTGGAAGCACCACTATTGGACCCCTTACAGTCCCTGCCAGCGTATAAGCATATACTATGGGGAAGAGGTACCCCACGGTTCTTCGAATCTGCCCTGTCCCAGGAACCCGTTGAAACTGGGGCATTTATCAACAAGTGGATTTTTCATCAGCTCTGTCAATCTTCATTAGAAGTTCTCCAGTTCAGACAGAGCCTTAGCTCACAGAACGTGAAGGTCGATAGCGATGAGGAACTTCTGGATCTAGCGCTGCGTTACTGGAAGTTTGATGGCGCTGCCAAGCCAGTTTCTCGACCCATCTCCGAACCCTGCTCCGATACCTTTAAAGACTCTGGTCTGAAACCTCCAGATATGAGAGCCGATGATATCGACTTGAAGCCTACTGTCATCCACCCTTCTGAGGCGGACTTTACGCATAGGCGGCCAGGTAAAGACAGCGAGAAATGTTGAGATTCCGATCTACTCTCGTTATCATACCCCCTCTGGCCTTTCTACTACTTGGCCGACTACTAAATTACGGTGATCACCAACTAAACCTTGGTTAATGCCAAGTCTCTCTGGTAATCTTTCATTATGATCAGCCCTCAATATCACACGGAGAGCGGCTGAACCATGCCATACATGCAACTCATTGGCTGTTTGTCGTTTTCTCTTTTCTCTTTTCTCACACTTCCCCTTTTACTTTTCTCTTTCCTTTTTCTTTTTCTGGCGCAAGCGGGAATAACCTTCGCTCCATGGAATTTATAATGGTGTGTTCTGAATGTTTGTGGCTCTCCGCCAAGGCATACGAAAATGCGGCGTCTCCTTTATATAGACTTTGGTTTTCATATACCCCTTTACTTTTCTGGCTACTTTCTGTATCATTATTCGGCTTAATCTATGACTCCAATTATTTTATACTTAGGTGTGCCAATTCTAATAGTCCCCCTTGTGCCTCCAGAGCCATCAAGATGAACGGAACACCGAAGAAGGCTGGCTACTTTATGATATGCTCAAAGCCATATCAGAAAGAAAGGTTCTTTCAACCTTCCCTAGCCTGATGGAAACATTTGGGGAGCGCTTCGGCAAGCGGCCTATTCCAAATAGCTTCCAGCGCCTAAAACCAAGCGATAGGCTGCCAGTGACCAAGCCCGAGTGTATTTATTTCCTTGGACGTCCACGTCATGCCGCAGCGAATTCTTAGTGGCTCATCAATGAAACAGTAGCGAGGTTATTCTCGCCTGCGTTACAATTACTACCCAGGATATGCACGTTGCCGAGGGTAGAATCCTGTAAGGTGATTGCCCAGGTGATGGCTCCGAGTGCGCCGGACAGGGCAGGGAACAATACAAAACATCGAGGAAAACACTCTCCGTAATACGCAGACATGACGATGTACCGGACTTACCGGGTTTTATAACGTATTGGATGGTCTTTTTGCGATGTTCTGCTTCACTTATTGGTACGTTTCCGTTGGGTTGATGTATCAACCCCGCTGACCATACTGTATATAGAGTATAATAAACAGCCTTGGGACCCGCCTCGGCCCCGATGGCTGGCATGGTATAAATATTAACATCCAGCATATTATTTGAAGGGAAATGCATGCAAATACAGTGCTGGAGAGAGAATGTACTATATTACCACGGCATTGCTAGCTTGAGTATATTTTCAACCACACAATGTAATTAACGAATATAGTTTCAAACTCGAGCAGAGCACCGCGTCCCTGGGCCGAGCATAGGGAACATATCTGGAAATACCTCAGGCACCAATTCTACATAGTAAAGGCGGCCAAATACTTCACTTGGTTGATTTAAGCTCATGCTCGATAATAAGCTTAATGCGGTTACAGTGGGGCGACTCCATACTATTTCCGGCGGGTTGGGCTAGGAAAGGCAAAAGGATAGATTCTTTAGCTAACTACTACATAAAAGAGGGGCATTTCTTCATTCCCATAACCTGTACACGGCATCAAAGACGGATATAGCACATTATTAAACCAGGAAAGCGGCCTCAACTCCATTCTCCCAGGAAGAAAGATGGTAAAGAAAAGGTATGATGATGAAAAATAGATGCTTCCTTGCGCCAGCCGGCATATTGACTCATGACCGACGACTTTCATAATCCTCACCCTCACTGTCACTCAGACTATCTCTGCGCCTGCCACGGCCCCGGCGGTAGCCTTTGCTCAATGCAGGGAGAGGCTGGTGATAACTCATGTTGCCAGTGCCAATATCAGAGCCATCAAGATGGGTGTAGGAATACTCCGACATGTTGAGTGGTTCAGTGTAGCCAGTAGTTGAGGTGCGTTTGCGAGAACTAGATTGACGAGAGCTGCTGGCACTTCCTCTGGGTCCGCGAGGACGCTGCGTATGTCGTGCTCTGCGAGAGCGACGCTCAGTATCTGAATGGCTGACCTCCGAGCGGCTGACTTCAGAACGGCTAACTTCAGAACGACGTTCATTGTCACGGCGGCGGGGTGGGGGTGACGGTTCGCGAAGAGGCTGCTGTTCCTCTGTTACGTAGGTAACGGCATCGTCCTGTCCTGCCACAAATGAGAAACCTGACACGTTTCTGCCCCTCGAGATATCCATTTCCTCATATTGATTTGTGTATCCGGCCTGGCTCTGAGTCCACTCGCTCTTCTCATCGTAGGTATGCGTGTAGGTATAGCCAGCTTCACTTCGGCCATCTTGTGTGTTTGTGTGTGTGTTGGTATTGGTAACGGTAAAGTCGGAACCGTGATATGTCCCATCTGCTTCGCGGTTCATGCCACCAACTTCTGCTGGCTTCTCATGGCGATACGCTCGCATATCTTCATCATGCCCGCCCTCCCAATCCGACTCCTTTTGTCGACGCCACAGTTTCTCCCGTGCCGTGGCTCTGAATCCCTTTTTCCTCGGCTTACCAGTTGCAACAGTTTCCGTGTCCATAGTCGTAGTGGCATCATCAAAGTCCCGATATTCTCTCGCAACAATACTTCCTCCGCCCAAGGCTGTACTCCTCGTAGCATTGGACAGCGTTCGGCCATCGGGACCTTTCCTTCTCAATACTGTTGATTTATAGTCGTCCCAATCTGTCTCTCGCCAAATGAACCCGCCATTCTTTGCCCAGAAGAAAAACCAAATTGATGCAATGACGAAGGCAGCGCCTAGGAGGGCAAAAAGTGCCAGCAAACCCTGCATATTGATACTATGCGGGTCAATCGATCCCTGGCCATAAGCTGGTATTACTGCCGTTGTTGTTTCCTTATCTCGAGCCGTGATGACGTTCGTAACTTTCATAGATGTTTCCAATGACCTTGTTGGAAGCATATTGGAGAAGGAGGCCTTTAGATGTTCTGGCGTCGTGCGCTTTAAAGACCCAAGGAACCCGGCGATGATCGAAGACGACTCTGGGGATAACGCCCCTCCCTCCGGGGGTGAAAGAGCAGGAGCTGGGGCCATCTTTTTCCTTGCTTTTATGCCCAGATGAACCGATGTCTACGCAAGGAATGCGTCCTGCCCCAAGACGGGGGGGGTGGCTACACTCACGCTTCCTATCGCTCGAGGGCTCGATGTTGAAGTGTTCGAAGTCTCACAGCATAAATGGGAAACACAAACGGCTAGAAAATAGAGTAAAACAAAGCGTAGATGCAAGAAGTAGTAAGCGCTGGCTCTCTCGAGGCAATAATCAACGGAGAGAGAAGTTGATGCAAGTGAAATCGCTGTGGCGGGAGTTGAAAATGATGAGGCTGGGAAGTTTGTTTACTTCGCTCGTCGTCACGGGCAACGACTGCTTATGTCATACAAAATACATCACGTGAAGATAGGCGCCAAGGCCTCTGCGGGAGCTAAACCTTATTTCACTTTAAAGCCACGAAGAGCAAAAAAGAAAGAGGCGACAACACAGCAGAGGAGGATGTTGTATTTGCATACGGACATATTAACCACGGTGCCTATAGAGCGGTGTCTGTCCAACCAGATAGGCAAATTAGCATTGCACACGTGTTTTTAAAACTGTAAATACTGACAAAGGTAAGCAGCAGATGAAATATTTGCGGAGTAGGTGTATATAAATCGATTCCAGCTACCACGCACGAAAGTATATAAAGGTAACGTATTTGGGGAGAGGTGACGTATATTAGAGGAGAACACCGCCGTTAGCGTAAATGTCGCGTGTATCCGGCCATAACGTAAGTGAAAGGTCTTGTAATAAGATAAGGTCGAATGACTCAAGAGGGTTCGCGGTAACGGGAAATCATAAGAAAAGAGTAAACGCAAGGTATCATCAGAGAGGCAAAGGCGCTTCAATAATCAAATTGTACATTTTACAGGTCGATTCTGGTAAGAATGAGGATAATAAACGGGTGGAACTTCGCATCGGACAGCGAGAAGAAACACGAAGGATGCGCGAATCATGGTAAAACGGGGCCATACCAGTGGTGAGGCGGACATCACCGACAAATTAGGCAGCGTGGTGAAATATTAAGGAAGAATATAAGAGATTAGCAGTCACGGTCAAGTGTTGCTAATGCAAGATAAGTCGGGTATGAAAAAAAAAATGTGGGGATAATTAACTGTATATAAAAAAGGAATAGATCAAAAAAAGCCAGTCATGCATGCGTTGGTCTCATGCAAGATAGGTAGAACGGGCAAATGGTAGATACAGATTGAATCCAAGATGAGATGTAAGATGCAAAAAGGAGTTTGTTGGGGTTGATAAGGGTAATCGCGAATAAATGCCTCAGAAATATTATCATAACCACATCAGATCGTCGACAATCGTACAAAATCATAAATAGAAGCGCGTGTATAGCAAAGGCAAACATGGGACAAGCAGACGAAATAAATAGGCAGTTGAAGGCGTATGCAAAGGGCTAAGGCAAAACGGTGAATAAACAGTTGAGGTATCTTGAACGCAATCCATGCAAGAAAAATAGGTCATCGATAAAAAGCAGAAAACTAGGGGAAATGGGGTAGACATGAAAGAAATCATAATGAAAAGAAGCTAGAAAAACCGGAAAAAAGTAAAAAGGTGAAAAAAAGTACTGCCCCCGTCCAAAAAACCAGAACTAACTCTTTTTATAGAACTTTTGTTGTATCCCGTCGATTTTTTTTTTTTCTTTCCGTATCCGCGCATTCTTTTGTTCCTGTCAGAAAATAACTTGATAAAAATAATCAAACGGCCTCCCAAAAGTAGATAGATTGAACAAAGTCATGCGGACGGGACAAGCGTTTCCCGAATTTTAGGGTATATATAATGTTTTTGTCGTTTTCTTTGTCATGTTCTCATATCTCCCACCGAAGAAAAGTAGACATAGGCCCGTTACTCGAGCAAACCTCGTCCACTGTATCCGGATCGGCTGGAGCGTCTGCTATCACGTTCAGCCCTATGGTCTTCGCGTAGGCGTCTGATGTCATCAGCTTCCCTACGGCTGCCTGTACTAGCAGTATCCGAGCGAGGCAGAATATACCGATCACGTTTGCGCCCACCTATGTTCAACTCGACACCTCCCTCCTCGCCAGAACGGAAGTTGATAGTTTTACCATCGATAGCATCGCTAGAAAGACCGATTTTAACGCCTCGGATAATCATAGTGATACTATCGTCGTCAACTCGAGAGCCGGCAGCACTGCCATTTTTGGTGTGGACATCGCTAGTGTCATCTTCCGAGTCACTGCTTTCGGGCGAAGAATCATCGTCTTCAATGGCATCATCGTCATCATCGTCGCTTTCAGTTTCGCTATGTGGGATTGGAGGGGGCCGACGAGAAGCGGCTTTACGGAGCATCTCGTTTGTGAGGGGTACTGGTGCTGGTACTGGTGCTGGCGGGGGCGGGGGAGGCGCTGGCGGTTGCTGCCGTCGAGGTTGTTGTCGAGAGGCACGAGACACTGGGTAGACTTGGACCACCTGCTCCTCTTCCTCTTCCTCTGATTCTTCTTCCTCCTCGCTCTCGGTGTCAGTGTCAGTTTCACTTAGACATTCAATCTCCGGCTCCGGCTGCGGCTCTGGTTCAGGATCTGGCTGGCGTTGATGAATCGTTCGAGCCTTTGAAACACGGCGGGAAACCTTCTGAATCATTTCTGTGGTAAATGGGGCCGGCTTAGGAGCACGAGCGGCCTGGTATTCTTCTACTTCACGCTGCTTCTGCTCTAAAAGATTTTCCTGTTCAATACCGTAGGTTGATACACGGCGTGGACGACGAGGAGCTTCTACAGTGACCCTTGCAGGCCTGGCAGCATCATAATATGTCGCAGCCCTGCGTGGTCTGGAGCTTGCAATTGTTTGAATGGGTCTAGCTTCCGGTGATTCCTCACGCATAGCATTTTCACGAGCAATACTTCGGCTAGCCCGACGCTGTGGTTGTTGGGGCTGGTGATACTGACTCACTCTCGGTGGGGGGAGTGCTTCACGCATATCAGTCATGTCGAATGATGGAGGTCGATGGACGACAGTCGGTGCTGATGGCGTAGTGCTAGATTTCTTAGGAGTTGGGCGTTTGGTGATCGGGATTACTTGGACAGGAGGCTGTGCCTGGGCGGGCTTCGGTGCTGGAAGCCGAGGAGGAGGCATGCGGTAATAATCTTCATCGTGGTAAGTGCGTGACTGGCGACGAGCACGTCGTTCTCGAGACGGCCGGCGTTCCAAGTTGCGCTCCAGGTTGGGCATATGGCTCGGTGTAGGAGGGGTATTTTCCACAACAGCAGGGCCGTAGACCGAGCCTCGTCTGGGCCGTTCAGAGGCAGGCCGGGAGATAGATGAGGTGCGGGGACGTTCGTAATGCGTCAGCTGAGAGGAGTTTTCGTAAGACGTACCCATTATTGGCGAGGGCTGCGTGTAGGATGATTCAAAGGGAGATGGCATGTAGGTATTCGTATAGGCAGAGGCGGAGAGCGGTGGGCCGGTGTGGCTACCGGCGTATGGAGCCGACGGGCTGCCAGCCATGTACATCATGTTCATATCAGGCACAATTCCCGGGTGGAAGCTTACGGGGCGACTCTGTTGGTAATAAGACGAAGAGTTCGATCGACGGGAGTGCGAAATTGCTGGGGTAATTTGTGACATGCCCATATCCATTGGCTGGTAGCGAGGAGTTTGAGGCGACGGTGGCACGTCGTACCCTGGAATTTGATTAAAGTATGACGATGCGTCCATAGTTCGCGGGTCCATCATGTTCGGTATCATTCCCTGATGGTGGTATCCAAGGCGATCGCATTCTGTGCACATTCCTGGAGGGTGCCTGCCCGCCGACATCGACTCCCGACGGCGGCCTTTGGGGGCGTGTGTCAGAGAAGTCGGACGGCTCGAGCCTCGTGATGGTGGCTTCATGCCCTCGTGCTGCATCGCCTCCATCTCTTTTTGCTCTCTCTCCTTTGCTTTGCGGCTATGCTGCTTTTCTCTATCCATCCCATCCCCCCGCGACCTCATGCGAGGCATATCCCGTCCAGCCATAGCGTTGTTCAAAGAAACAACGTACGAGCTGCTGGCACCGCTGGCAAGCGATTCTCCACTGCTCCCAATAGTAGCCGCAGTACGGCTCGAATAGCCAGAATCGCTGGCTCCGTCAGTGCTGACTATCACTGGGTGAAGCTCCGGTTTTGACCGTTTAGCGGAAATGTTGGCAACCCGTCTCGTCTCGGGGATCGCTACATTAGCATCTTCATCAAATTCTTCGCAGAAGGCGGCGTAAGATTGTTGTGAGCTGACGAAAGACATGACGCGATTTCAAACCGCACAGTAAGGGATGGATCGCTATTTAGGTTCGGAAGAGAGCCGTGGATTCGACAACTTCAGACCCAAAAAATCCTCGCGGTAGTGTTCTCTTATATTTTCTTTCTTCTCTTTTTTTTTTTTTTTTTTTTTTTTTTTTTTGGCTGATGGTGTCGCCTTTTGCTGTATCGTTGGTGTCGTCGTCGTTCGATGGTTAATGATTCTCAATGGGATGATTTCCTTTCGTGGTCCACCCCCTTTTTTCCCAAATCTCGGTAGGGTTTGCTCCCAGTAGAAAAAGAGTGGTCTGGAAGCAGATGTCTGCGTTTCACCTGTATACAGTTGCTCTGAGCTCTAGTTCAAGTATAGATTCAAGTAAACAAAGCAAGTGCTCCATCGAAGAATGTAAAAGTTGAAGTTGAAGACGAGGGCGTGGTGGCTGCTGTAGCGCGTGGGGGAATGCGAGAACTATTATCTTAGTTGTTCTTGACCAGTGCGGAAGGGATAATGTTCCGGTTATATGGATAGGGGTAAAGGTAAATAAATAAATATAAAAAGGTAGTGATATGCGACTGAAGTATATAATTTTCTGGAAGCAAGAGTCGCAAGGGATAGAACTGGGATAGTAGCCCCGGAAACCGATGTCACGGAGAAGATTGGCCTGCTGCTCAGCAATCGGGTCACTTTTCTTGTCTCTGTATACTCCGTAACTCGATAGTTATCGCAAGTATAGCGGGGTGGTTGTTGGTAATGAAGGGTCTGAAACCGGGGCTGTTTCTAAGCCGGGGAACGTCGACGATCGATGGAGGATGTTGGATGGTTCCGGTCAAGCAAGTCAAGGGGGACAAGCAGATGGACAATAAGAAGCGAGATCAGAGACAGTCGAGGTATGGAGGGCGCAAGTCTGGTTATGGGTCGACCAGCTCAGCTGAGATAGAACGACGACGAGCAGGAAAACCGGGATACGAGACACGGAAGGTTTTTTTTTTCGTTTTCTCCTACTAGCAGTATTATTATACTGTCGAATCTCCGTCCTCGAGAGTTGGACTAACGGTTGCACACGTAAAAAGGCTCACTGTAGAGTCGTATGTTCGTCTTCTTGGTGGTGGTGGTGGGAGGTTTTTTGGGCGATGTGACCTCCCGGAACGACGATCAATGTTGTAGATATGGCCGAGGATAACGGAGAACAGAGCAACAGAGCTAGCAGTAAACGGCTCCAGCTGAAGAACGAGCACAGATGAAACTCGTCGTGTGTGTGTTCGGAGTTGGTTGAGGTTGTTGTTGATATGTCGTTGGTGTCGATGTTGTTTGTGGGAAGAAGAAGAGGTTTTTTTTTCCAACCCGCCAAAAAAAAAAGTCTTCCACTTGGTTATTTTCTTAGCCGCAGACCAAACGAGTCATCCTGAGCCTGTCGACTTTTTCTTTTTTCTTCGCCGGTGGAGTCGACGGATGTTTTCTTCGCTGGATACAGTCCCGATTGCACGGCCGGCTTCATCACTGCCTCGTGTGTTTTGGTGGGTGTCTTCTATACAACGTCTCGAGCAGGACAGTCGGATGGCCTGGAAGACGAAGAAGAAGAAGAGAGAGAGAAGCGAAAGAGTGGGAGACTTCCTACGAAGGTGCGAGAAGAAACAGAGAGTGAGTGAAAAAGTTTCTACTTGCATATCCGTATACATATGGTAACTAATATGTAAAGTAATAAATACAGGCTAGGATGGGGAGAAGAAGCAATGCAAAAAAGAAAAAGAAAAAGAAACACACGCACACTCACTCTTCTTCTTTTTTTTTATTTCTTACTATGTACGTTAAGAGCCTATGGAACCATGTTGAAGGCTCCTCGTTGTTACATCTGACGTTGAGTTGGCTCTTGGATTGAGATACAGACTGAGAATCAGGGAGAAGGGAGGATAAGCACGCTGGAGAGACATGGAGATATAGGGCATCTCTGGTACCTAGTTACAGAGTCTCTGACACAGGAAGAGCGAGATCTACCAGGATGAGGACAGACAAAGCGTGTCTCTTTCCCCTGCCCTGCGTCTCTCTCCCTTGCAAAAAAGCCGAGACGAGGCAACGATGGGACTCCAGACTGAGGGGCAAATATTTATATCGACAAGCCGTTTTCCTTCGGAATGATGACATCGTGTGAAGGACTGGCTTGAACAGCTTAAAAGGCAGTGGGTCGAGTTAAGTTGATTTAGCCGTAGTCTGGAAAACTTCCCTTGATCCACCATACAATAACTGATATTTGTATACAGGCTGATAATAATGCCTATCAAACATCATCGACGAGAGACACAAACATAAGACCTCGACGCCTTGACGAGCTTACGAATAGGACATCACGCCTGATATCTCAGCCCTCTGCTCTCCCCCCCCACGAATGGAGCCTGAACTTCGAAGCCTAGTTTTATAAATATCAGTGTGTAATGAAATACGCAGGCTGTACAAGGGCCCTAAAAGAAGGAAAGAAAAAAAGAAAAAAAGGTTTTTTTTTCTTCTCCATGATCCGATGCTGCCACGATTGGGCTGCAAGATTTAGGCTTTCCCACCTCGCACCCAAGGAGCCATTGGGCAGCAAAAAAAAAAAGAAGGCAGGCAAGACAGACAGACAGACAGACAGACACGATGCTGGGCCCCCTAAGCGTCATCCCCAGGCGTGCGGCGAAGTTGTTGTCTTCCCTGGACTTCTCCGTCCATGAGTCATCGTCCAGCAGGGCCTTTTACATACCAATACCGTGCATGAAATACAACAGATAACAACAGACAGCCAGGTTTAGGCAGCCGTGGAACTGCAACTCGCCGCAGCCGCAGAGTTGCTGAGATAAGCATCCGCTGTATCCTGGGTTGCATCTATATACATAATACATGCATTCATTAGCAGCTGGATATATGTAAATGATGTGCGCTAGGCAAGGAATGCCGATTCATATTATCGACGTCATAGGCGAAGGAAGATGCTGGGGGTGGAGAGCAGCTATTTTTCTATCGATTATTATTTACTTTCTCTCTCGATAGAGTAACCGATACTCCCAGCTTATTTGGTTGGTTGAGGTGACTTTTTTTTAATCTACGGGCTTATCTTTTTTCGGTCACATGAAGTTGGTTGGGAGGAAACAAAGAGGCGACGGTAGCAAGACTAGGTCGATGATGGGGATGAAAATGAAGAAGGGGGAATCAGGATTACATCCTAAGTTAAAACCTATTAGCTTCAATCGACGAACGATGGAGGGGGGGCGTCTGGAGTGCTGGAGAAAGACTCACCGCTGGACAGGGTTCAAACCTAGAAGTCTCATTCCATTATGCAGGACCTGCCGAGCAGACTCGTAAAGTGCCATTCTAGCCTTCTTCACGCCTGGCTCGCTGCCCACGACCTTGAGGACATCATAGCCTGAGCTCAGCGTATGGGTCATTCGGAAGAGATAGGTCAGGATGGTACAGGGCTCCAGCGTCTTTGAGGCGTTGAACACCACGTCCGGCCACTGGGCAAGCAACCGGATCAAGTCGATGGCATGAGACTCGGTAAGCAGGCTCAGATCTGCGTCGCCTAGTTCTTCAGGCTTGATCTCGGCCTTTCTGGTCACAGAGCAGACGCGCGCGTGTGCGTATTGCAGGTATGGACCGGTGTCACCCTCAAACGAGGTCATGTTTTCCAGGTTGAACTCGTACCCGTTGATCCTATCAGGTTCAAGAAAGTCAGTTTCATCACACCTAGGAGGACGCAAGGGAAAATAAAAGAATAAAAAAAGAAAAATGAATATATAAAATTGCCCGGTGTGCCCATATAATAATCCACGTGTGGAGGGAGATGAGCGCCTCGACTAATACATACCGTTTACCGCTCATGTCTTGCACCATCACCGATGTTATTCCGAGCACATCGGCCGTCGCCACTGGATCCTCAATCTGTTCGTACTTGGCCGGGTTCTTTTGCATGACCTCGTGCATTTTTTCCCCTACATCCTTTAGAATGTCGTTCAGGAACTTGACGGTTCCCTTTCGAGTGCTCATCCCTCTAACCATGCCAAAGCTGACATGTTCACATCGGCTTGCCAGGTCTTTCTTCCCAACCAGTTCGGTGGTCTTGAACAGCTGGGCAAGATGAAGCTCCTGCTGCGCCGCCACGACATAGATCATCTTATCAAAGTGGTATTTGTCATCTCGTTCAACGATCGCGGCAATGTCTCGTGTGAGATATAGCGGCGTTCCGTCTTTTCTGATGACGATGGCCTTTCCGAGTTTCTTTGCGCCCTGCTTTGCGAAGTCGATGATCACGGCGCCTTCTGAGCTTTCAGATACGCCTGAGCTCTCCATGGCCTTGTAGGAATTTTTCAAGCTTTCTTCCTTGACCTGGGATTCTCCGGAGTAGACGTCAAAATCAATATTCAGCCGAGCGTACGTCTCCTTGTACTTCTCAATACTGAGATCACGGAATCGTCGCCAAAGTGCAAGTGCCTTCTCATCTCCGTCTTCCATGCTCTTGAAGTATCGACGGGCCTTCTCATCGTAGCTTGCGTCGACAAGTGGTTCAAGTTGCTTCTCCAGCTCTGTCACATCCTCGTTCTTCTCTTTCTTAGCTTTAATCTGCTCCTTGAGCTCTTTTATAGGTCCTTCCTGCTCCGCTACGTCCTTGTTGATCTTCACATACACCTCAAAGAGATGGTTGATTGGATCCTTGAGAAGATCTTCCTCGCTGCCGTATTTCTCATATCCGTTGGCAAGTAACCCGTACTGCTTTCCCCAGTCTCCAAGGTAGTTTATCTTGAGCACATCCCACCCAAGAACTGTGTATAAATTGGCAATGAATCCACCAATGATGGTACTTCGAAGATGGCCGGCGTGGAAGGGCTTTGCAATATTTGGAGACGAAAACTCCACCACCACTTTCTTCTTTCCCTTACTAGGATCTTTTTGGTCTTGTAGACCTACATTCGCATTGCTCCCATAGGCATCTTTGTTTTCCAAAATTGACCGGATCACGTATTCAGTCAAAGGCTTATGGCTAAAGAAGAACTGTAGATGTGCGCCCACAACAACCGGTGGCTCAACTAGGTCGGACTTGGGAAACTTAGAAGCGATATCTGCCGCAATTTCTTGAGGCTTCTTGCCTTTTATCTGTAGTGCCGGTACCTATTTCATCCCAGGGAAATTTTAGTAACAATCACACCTAGGCTTTCCAATCGAACCGCACTTACAGGTAGAATCAAGTCTCCCTTTTCCAGCATATTCGTCCATAGAATTTTGGTGTAGACAAAGGCCGGCTCCAACCCTGAGGCTTCCGCGACCAATTCTGCGATATGCGCGCGGTACTTGTCGACAGGGTTGAAAGCCGGATAGCAATTAGGGTAGCTCGACACCTCAGAACTAACAGACTGGATCGACAGGCTCGCAACAGAAGGCATAGCGTCTGAAGCCATGGCTAACACTGGGCGAGTAGCTGTTGGTGCTGATAGATTTGCCCTCCTCCGCGTATATGGTGGGGTGTGACCCAAGTTCCGTGACAATGGCCGGCAGCAGCTGGAGAAACTCGATACACTGATTCGAGGTTTGAATATCTCAGAGTAGAGAAACAGTGAGCTTCGAAGGAGTTGCTGGTGCATCCAGAAGGGAGTTTTTGCGCTGAAGTTGAAGCTTTGAAGAAGAGAGAAAAAAGAGAGCAAAGATGGAGATTTGCCCCACGTGAGTCAGACTAAAGAGTCAGCAATTTGTATGACTGGAAGATGGATTATAATTATTTATTTTTGATGAAGCAGACATTTAACGAGAGACTTGAAAGATAAAGACGATGGTTTGTGATGCAAGAGGCTTTCGATCAGATACCAGCTATCAAGTTATCTATTCCTGTTTGAGCATGGTCTTATCGATATCAATATCAAGGCTGATGCGGATGTTTTACACAGTAAGAAGGGATAATATCTATATCATAACATCATTCCAATGCCAAAGACGTGAATCATACAAATACAAGAAATCTTGAGACGCTGTCATGAAAATCAAAATGTCGTTGGATGTCACCGTTGTAATCATTGCTCCAAAGTCCCTAATGGCCAGTGTTGATAAGCATCTAATGTTGGAAGACGGCAACAAATCGGTTTAGATAGCCTGGGCTAGGTAGAATCCTCCTCCGCTATTCGGTTGTTCCGCAGAGGCGATGGTGGAATGCTGCTTGATGATCTTTTGTTTCGAAATTTAGCAAGCTGAATCTGAGTGTTGACATGCTTGCGAGTAGCCTCGTCGAGACCGGGGCGGTGGTTGACGGCCAAGCCATCCAGTTGCTGCACCTGTACCTGCAGCGTCAACGGCGTGCTAGAGAGCTGATCGGCGGGGGTATCGGGTGGTCGAGCCCAGGCAGCATAAGGCCCGTTGTAATTAGGACCTTTCCCCGGGCCATATTGCTCATGTCGGACCAGTTGACCTGATTCGATCAGTTCATCGGCAGCTCGGACGCCGCTGTCCAGGTCATTTGTTCTATGATCTTCCGCATATTCAAATTGCATACCCTTGTCGTCATCAGGAGGCGTCGAAGTTGAGAATACATGGATTCCACCGCTGGTATCCCCAACAACCATACTCGTTTTATCTGGAGACAAGGCTCCAGAGGTAATTTCATGGCCGATATTAGCGACGTCTTTGACGAAGACATCCTCGGTAGCATTCATGATATTCCAAGCCTTCACACAGCCGTCGGAAGACCCAGTGTAGAACCTGGTCAATTCATCGCCCCAGAACGCAAGCTGCACTCCTGTATCCGCTTGCGCTCGTGTAAGCTGACTGTCCAACTCTCTGATTGGCAAACCGTGTTGGAGCTTGTGAAGAATCTTGTTAGGGTTTCTAAAGTCCCACACATAGGTAGTGCCATCCGTGCATCCTGCAGTAATGAAGTTCTCGTTAAATGGGCAGAAGGACACATCATTGATGTCAAGGCCAGGACAGTCATAGCTGACGATGTCCCTCTTACTCCTTAAGGGATCATAAATATTCACCATTGACCGGATATCAGAGCCTAGGCCCTTGGAACGGCCGCATGCCGCTATCCCAGCAGCAAACACTACCGAAGTTGGGTGCCATGATATATCAAAAACATTTTGAGAGTTAGGCGTGATGCTCAGCAGGCTAGTGCCAGATTCTTCTATTCGCCAAAGTGCAAGATGGCCACCTGTTGGGGGATCTCCGCGCTTGTCGGCGCGATCAGTAAAAGACATGCCGGCTGCAAGTAGATCTTTCGTGTAATAATTTAGGCCCCAGGCCAGAGAGGTTGGTATCATGAGTTTATTGTGGCGAATAGCTATCTCCAACGGCGTAGAGAGAGAAAGGCCGTGCTCTTGTTCGACTTGCCACAGCCAAAAGCTGTTATCGCAATCAGATCCTGTAGCCAATCGACAATTATCAATTCTTGAGAGAGCCATAACTTGCACTTTCCCGGGGTGGCGGAGAGTGGTAATGCATTTTGTATCCTGGTGGTTTGTGGTATCCCATATTTTGACGGTGCGGTCATAACTTGAACTGTACATGCGATTCCCGTCGTTCGACCATGCCACCGCGCTGATAGATGTATAAAGATGGGACTCAGATGTGCCACTCCTGTCATTGCTCTGGCTGGTATCCAGTAAAGCCCGTGGAATCTGATGGTCGGGCAGCTCTTTGAGGCTGTTGGTAGACAAGTCTCCTACCACCAAGTTGTTTCTCCGGTTGTAAATCATATTATTTGGATGGCAGTAGGTAGCAGCTCCGGCCGCGAAGCGCGTGCCATCCGGAGACCAGCCAAGCACCAAAACATCGCTCGATGCACCTTTCCAGGACTTGCAGTGTTGCCAGTTTTCACTCGCAGATTTAGCTAGGGTTTGACGTATGGAAGATCTCGCCCTATACGATCGATATCCCAGCTCACGAGCCCTAAGGTGGGATGAAACACTGTGAATATCGTACCGCAGTAAATGTTGATCTGATTGAGACGGGTATGCTCGAAGAACTGAAGGTGATGTGGACAGTCTACCATCTTTTGCATCTGTGAAAAATGCTAACAGCTCTTCGGGGGATCGATGCCTTAGGACGCTAACCTGAGACATATCTTGCGCCAACGCCTTTAGTTTTCTTTCATCAACTTGTTGTAAGAGGGCTTTGAGGTGAGCATGGATATCATTATTCAAAACCAAGGCAGAAACAGCAAAGGTATTCTTCAGAAAATTGCATATATTAACCAGGTGTGTGTCGGACTTAATATCGCGGGCCGTTTCCCCGTCTCGACAACTCAGGAGAAAGTCTGCTATGTTAGAAGAATAGCCTGAAAGGGCATTGTATACGTTAACAAGCTGCGCTAATCTGGAAACTAGATTCGTAACCTCGTCACAATGATACAATATTTGGCAGGAGTGGATGATATCGTCTTGAAGGCAGACGTCGACTCCTGGCTTCTCACCACCGGTCAGAAAGTAGTGAACTGCGGCCAGTTCACTCATGCAAAAGTCAGCATGAAGTAAGACTCCTTTGGAGGTGACGTTGGCGTGTTTCGCCCAAAGAGTTTCGCAATCATTTCTCTCCTCCCAAACACGGTACGGGGCACGCTCATTCCCACCTTCGGCTGTAGGCCTGAGCGGTTCTTTCACCACGGTAAGAGTAGGAGAGCGGTGGCATATACGTTGCCGCCAATTCGGGAGCTCAAATGGTAAAGCTGGAGATAAAGGAGCAGATGATGCTGGCGTTTCGCAAACCGAAGCGCTTCTCTCAACTTCTTCCCCCTGGCTACTACGCCGGGGTCCCCGATTTCGGCGTGAAGGGCGCGACGCCGTGTATTGTGAAGGGCTAGTCGGCGTATAAGTTGAAAAGGCCTTTTTTATCCTCCTTTTAACCCGCTTCAGCTTCGTACCGGGTCGATTATATGGCCTTTCCATGGCCTGTGCGGCTGCCAGCTCTTGTCGAGCCCTACTCACAATCTCCACCACTGGGAAGGAGGGAGGTGGCGAGCTGCATGATACCGATTCGTTTGACCGTGGCCTTGCCAGACATGGTGATCTGGGGGTGATGCGGTCTCTCTTATTATTTGTCGCAGATTTGGCGGGCGTCTCGGTGGAAGCAGCAGGTCGTTTTGCGGGGACCACAGAGGAACTTCGGGAGTCACTTTCTGTAGAAGTCCTGTCATTTCGTTCCTTGAAGGAGAGAAAAGAGTCCAGAAGAGCGCCAGCCTTTTGGTTTACGCGTTCGATATCCGACTCGCTGTCTGATAAGAATCGTAAGGGCGAATCGGCGTCTGTTGAAGCCAGGGCAGCGGGCTTGCCGCATTTCCTCGCAGCAGTAGGGCGATTGCTACCCCGGAGCCCCATCATTCCATTGCAGGTGAATTATCACCAACACGTCCAGGCTGCCATGCAGCGACTTCACTAAGCGTGCTTATCGACTATACAACCGTTTAACAGCGTCCAAACGTGAGCGCTTGCTCGCGTCGGCAAGGCTAAAAAGAGGCTCACCTGCTTGAGCAGCCTGTCGACTCCGTTACTGATACACGGAATAGCAAGCTTAGTAACCGGTATGTGCTTTGCTGTTCTGCGGGTGTTTGGTGGTAAAGGCGCGCTTGGTTAAAGGCTTTGTCTTTATCGCCCCTCAGCGGTCTTGGCATATATACTTTAATTTATTATCAGATCTAAGATCAATTTGATATCCCAAGGAGATCCGTACGAGTGTTCTATTCTTTTAGCACTTGTCCTGATGATACCCATGCTGCGTGTTTTGTGCTTTAATAGACTTGACAGTATTCGTTGGGGAATCCGCCATTCCTCTAGGATATTACCCGTATAACGAACGCTCTTGAAAGGATGGAAATATTACCAAGTTCATGAGTGAATTGTGTATTTCATTACATGTTGAAATATTATTTGACACTACCAAGCAGTAAGAACTGGGGCTGAGATGGTGTGAATGAGAAGATTATAATTAGATAGATACATACCCATACCGAACTGCCATATCGTTTTGACATATACTCATGTACCCATGATGCACCGCTATTCAAAGGATCTGTAGCTTTGAATACATATTTCCACCCAGAGCTATGCGTTTATGTTTTCATACAGCCTTCCCATAATAAGAAAACGGGAGACATATCTAGAAACAGAAAACTTGGTCCTCCAGCTTGCTGACAAGGTTGGCCTTCTTATAGCCTAGAGACTCCGTGGCTTTCTTCATAGCGCTAACCATGGGCGGGGGACCGCAGACCATGATTTTGATATCATCAGCTGGAGCTGGGAGATGGGCCTGAAAGAGGGACAATCGGATTAGCACAGAATAACCATGGACGGAAAAAGGATATAACCGGAGAAACTGACCTTAATCATGTTTGGAGTAACAAAGCCAACACCGCCTTGCCACATTTCCGGTGGGTTATTCAAAACATAATGAACACGGAAGCCCTTGTCGGTTTTGGCTAGCTCATCGAGCTCTTCCTTCAGGAGGATGTCCTCTACGTTGACGTTTGCGAAAATAAGGTCGACTTGGGTGGTGTCGTTTCCTCCGTTGCTTGGTCTGCCCTTGACGATTGCCTTGATAACCTGGAGCATAGGCGTAATACCGGTACCTCCGGCAATCATACCGATATGGCGGGCCATGTTCGGAGTGTAGACCATAGCGCCCTTGGGTCCGCGGACTTTCATAGAATCGCCGATTTTCAGGGTAGTCAGGTGCTTGGAGATGTTACCCTGGGGGTACGACTTGATAAGTAGGTCGAAGTATCCAGCATTGTCGTCGGAGGAGATAGGAGTATACGATCGAACGATCTCCTTAGTCTGGCCCTCGACAAGGGCAGCAAGGGAGATGTGCTGGCCAATTGGCAAACCGAGGATATCGGTGGGACGTGGGAGGGCAAAGCGGTAGATGGCAACGTTGTGAGAGACAATCGTCTTCTCCTTGAGCACAAACTTTTGGAACTCGTTGGGCTTGAGGACCTTTCGCTGTCCTATGAGGAGTCTTGTCAGTGTCACAGCTGAGGGATAAAAATTAATCACCGAGGGACTAGGGGGCGTAGGGAAGAGCAATACTGTTGCTGAAGATCTTATATGCCCCGAGAGCCACGGCCAACGCCACAGCGTAAACAATCCACTCGAACTTCATGATTGCAGTGCCAGCAATGAGCAGGCCAGCAGGAATATAAACACCGTCAATATATTGGCGAGAAGCCCATGAACTAACCCACAGTCAGTATTCACCAACACTCATATAGCTTCCCTCTAAGCAAACAGCAGGAAACCAACCTCATTCTTAAGCTCACGAAGCTGAGCAGACGGACTCGTAGCCAGGGCAATGAAGCGGTTTCGACTGAGGGATCTGTTTCGGCGAGGAATTGGCGATATCCGGGGGAGTTGAAGGCCGAACTAAACAGTTGGTGAAGAAAAAAACAGTTGGGATCCTTTTTTTGGTGGCGTCACTGATGCTTATGTGATCAATTCACGCCCTACATCCTTCTACAACATCTACACTTATTATACACAACTTATAGACATCTAGATAATACAAGGTAGCTGACATGGCGCCTTCATATACGGGCGATACGGCTGGGTTTGACCTGAACGAGAGTGACCGCCAGATACTGGCCCAGACAGATGAGGAGTTCGTTTATCATGACTGGAACGAGCTGAAAGATATCATAGGTTAAACAGCCCTGTCGGCCTCTATCATCGATATAACTACCGCCTAATCTTGCTTGTTGAGACAAAGCGTGTACTGTAACTAGCAGCAGGGAAGATATGACACTAATACAGCCTTTGAATTAGCAAACAATAAGCTGGAGCTACTCAAACGGAAACCATCCGACCTACGACGATATGCAGCATGGAGCAACGACATTAAAGGCCAATATGGTACTATAACGAACTTCATATGCCGTGAACGTCTACATTGGCCCGTAGATACGGATCCGCAAACACAGTGCCAGAATGCCACCCCGTTTGCGGATCCGAGGGATTACAGGATCCTTCGGAACGATTGGCCGTACGGCCTAACCCCCGATATCACGCATCTATGCATCTGGGTAAAGAACAGAATAGATACCACGCCTGAAAATGGGGATGTGACCGAGGAGTCACGGGCTCTGATCGATGATTTTGTCAATAAAATATTTATCTCCCGTCTAGACGAGTTCCCTGATGCGGCAGATAGAGTCGTGTGGTTCAAGAACTGGACAGCCCTGCAGAGCGTGCGATCACTAGAACATATTCATGTGCTTGTGCGAGATGTTCCGGATGATATTATCGTGGAATGGACTGGAGAAGAGGCCCGGGACCTATCGCAGGCGAACGGGGTCATTTAATAGAGATATGCATAAACAACATCATTTATCCTTTGGATATCATAAGAAGGGCAAGGAAATAAATTACATTTGCTACCATAAATCAACGCATACACAAAACCCTGACGCAAGAGTAACGCCGTTCCATCGTCATATAAATATACTAAGACAGCAAATGTGGGGAAAAAGGGACAGTATATCAAACATGCACGTAAGTAAGCAAAGATTATCGAGTGTTCAAGACTTCTGCTCGTCGACGAACTTCAGGGCCTCCTCACGGGAGACAACATCAATGGTACTGGCCTTGCTACGGAAGCTTACGCCATAACACTTCTCGGCAACATGAAGCATTTCGGGTCGGAATGTGGTACAGATAAACTGGCCGTTGGTCTCCTCTGATATAGATTGAAGCATTTGGGCTACAGCCGTTCGATACTGGGCGTCAAGGTTGGCATCGATCTCATCGAAGAGGTAAAAAGGTGCAGGATCACAAGCCTGGATGGCAAAAACAAGAGCAAGCGCACATAAACCTAGCGAAAGGTCAGCATTCTATAGCATACCGTTGGCGGTTATTTATATAGGAATGGGGAACACGTACTCTTCTGCCCACCACTGAGCTGCTGGATCCTTTGCTGGTCATCATGTTTACTGTTGAAACTGACACTGATACCTACCCCAATGTAGTTCTCCACACTACGACGAGCTTCCTCTTCGTCTGAATCCATATCCTCCTGCTGTCGAACGGTAGCATCAGTCTTCCTCTGGATGATAAGTCGTCCTCGGCCAGCAGGAGCTAGTTTCTCAAAAATCCTAGCAAACTCCCTTGAAACCTGCTTGAAGGTTCGTTCAATTGCTTCATCTTTCCTCTGATCCAGGATCATGATCAGCTCGTCGATTGACTTGTGCGAGGCATCCAGCTCCTCACGACGTTTTGTCAGTGTCTCTCGCTGCTTCGTGAAGCTGTTGTACTGCTCGAATGCTTTCTTATTCACATGTGAATATTTCTTAAGAGCTTCATTAGCTTTGTGTAGCTTCTTGACGATGGTGTTTGAATCTGTGTTTTTGAATTTCGTAAACGCTTCATCTGGAAGCACACCCAAGTCACGAATGTTAGCACTGCATTCTAAAGCCTGCGCAGTCAACGCTGCCTTCTTCTGCATGCTTTTTTCCATACGGCGCTGGTGCTTTTCAATCGATTTCGCAAATTCCTCCAGCTCGCGTTTTATATCCACCCGGCGTTGCTCAAGTTGTGCAGCTTCGTTGTTTTGCTGATCTATAGAATTCTCTAGTTTCTGAAGCTTTTGGCTGAGTTTTTCGAGGGTCTTCTGCTGTTTCTTGACCTCTCTTTCGCTCTCTTTTAAGCTTCCTTGGGCGGTGTCTTCGCCAGCATCGAGACCCTGGTCGGATAGGTGATTGAGCTGTGGGTAAAGGTTTTCTCGTAGTTCAACTTCTAGGATAGATTTCCTCGTCTCTAGTTCACTACGGCTGCTAGACAGCGCTGCATGTTCCCGTCGAAGATCCTGCACCACAGAGTTTAGGCTCTCCAGGCGGGCTTCTTCTGCGCTTGAAAGTGCCTTCTCGAATGGTGTAGCAAGTTCCTCCTCATGGGCAGTTATTTGGCTGGTGAGTGAGTCCACGTTGGCTTCAATATTCTTAAGAGCACGTCGTTTTGCCTCAAGAGCGTCTGTTTTGTTATGTAATAGATCCCGCTTGCTCTTAATCTCCTGCCGTAGTGGTCCGTTGCTAGATTGAAGTTGTTGCCGTTTTTGTTCCGCTTTTTGCAGGTGTCCAACAGCCTGCGTGATCAACTGGTCCATTTTCTCCAATTCCCGGCGAATTTCTCCTCCGCGGGCCTTCTTTGCATCATACTCATCTCGCCATCTGGCAACATTCTTTGTTGCATCAAGACGTGATTTCCGGGAATCATGAAAACCACCAGTCAAAGCACCACGCTTGTCAGATCTATCACCTTCAGGGGTGATGGCGTTAACTCCGTGGCTGCGAGCATATTGAGATGCGATCTGGAGATTGGGGCAGATGATAGTTCGACCGAAGACTTGCTGGAAAGCCGGTTCGTACAGTTGGTCATATTGCAGCTTTTCAATCATCGGAATCGTGTCACTGGCCCGAGGAATGTTACTAGCTCTCGGCTTTAGTCGGTTTAAAGGCATGAATGTAACCCTTCCAGACTTCTCCTTTTGCAATATCTCTAGTACTTTGGTAGCAGTCTCATCAGTGTCGACAACATAATGAAACAGACTTTGTCCAGCAGTTACTTCAACTGCAGTACGATATCGGTCACCGACATCGAATAGTTCTGCAAGTGTTCCATAAACACCCTCAAGGTTATACTGCCGTTTGATACGGCGTACTGCCGCAAGACCTCTGCTAGTATTTTGGTCCATCATGTGGGCAAGTGATCGTTCTGCTCTTTCCACTTCATGGGTGGCATTGGTGAGGATTGAGTCTAGTCTAGCCTCCTCTCTCCAAAGTTCTCTATACTCAAAAGGTTAGATATGTCACAGTTGAATAAGAATACTAGAGGGGCACGTACTTTCTCTGATCAATTAACCTATCTCGTTCATCTTTAGCAGTTTGAACTTCCTGGTCGATAGACTGAATATTGTCACCCCAACCGTCGGCTTGCTTCCGAAGCTTTTCAACCTCTGGCTCCAGCAAGGCAATGTCGTTTTCGAGCACCTTGATTTCCTCAATTGTGTGCATTTGAAGAGCCTTGACGGTTGAAGCCTGGGTATAAGTATTTTGTATTTCGCTTTGCAGCCAGCTATCACGTTCACTTTTGTTCCTGAACCTAGAAATTCTACCTTGCTTTGCATATAACCGCTGTCTACCAGTTTCAGCGTCGTTCAAGCTAGATTTGGCTTGGTCCTCCTTTTCCTTCAATTCATTGAACTGAGGGACAAGTATGCTCAACTCCTCCTCGCGTTCTTTAATTGCAGAGTTGACTCGTTCAATATTTGCGTCGCGCTCAGCTTTTGACTGTTGAGCAGCATTCTGACCTTCTGACAGGGACTTGCGCTGTAACTCGGCTTGCGCGAGGGCTCGAGATGTATCACGCCTATCATCTTCTAACTGATCTTTCTCCAACTTCAAAAGCTCCGTTTGCTGCCTGAGTTCTGCTTTCTGAGTCTCAATCTGAGCGATATCATTTTCGCCTTGAATGAGTCTGTTTCTGTTTGCATCTGTGTCCTCGACGCCTGCTTGTCTCTGATCATCAATGCTTTCTAGCGCGCTCGAAATTTCCGCTTGCTCTCGAGAATAAATAGTGTACTCAAGACACCGCCTTTCTCTCTCTTTCTCTTGGAAGTTCCTAAGCTCATCCTTTTCCTCCTCGAGTTCGCCAAGCCTCTCGTTGATATAATCCAGCAATTCGTCAATCTTCGCTCGTTTATTGTTTGTCTCGTTCATTATCTTTAAAGATTCCGTACGTCGTGCCTCATAAACCTGCGTTCCCGCAACTTCCTTCAGCAGCACTAACCGTTCGGAATCCTTCATGTTTGTTAAAGTCGTGACGCGGCCCTGCGGCACAATATAATATGGGTTTGACCTTGAGAAGCCGGCCGATTCAAGCAAGTTCATTACATCGGATTTTGTGGCATTTTTCCTGTCAAGAGTATATTCATCCTTCTTCAATCCGATGGTACGGCGCAGTATAAGCTCATCTCTGCCTGTTGGAAAACGGTCGTCAGAATTGTCAAATATAATTTCAACGTATGCTGACATCACGGCGGAACCCGAGCCCTCCTACTCAGCATTAGTCTCGACATATCATAATGCGCAAGTTCATTTCTTATCCATACGTGCAACAGCGCCTGGCGTTCTTCTCTTCCCATATGTGTATAAGCATCACTAAGAACGAATCGAATTGCGGCAAAGAAATTACTCTTGCCGGAGCCATTGCGGCCAACTATCACATTGTGCTTTGGAGAGAACGGCTCGATAACCGTTTGGTCTTTATAGCTATAACGAAATCAAAACCGTTAGAAGAATCCAGCTTGTGAAGTTGCTTCCCCTCACTCACCTCTTGAAGCCTTGGATAATAATTTGCTTAATGAACATTTTTCGAGGGTATAATACGAGGATCAATCAATCATCATCCGGGTGCGCTACTGAGAAGAGAGAAAACACCACGTCTCTACGCTGTGAAGAACAAACAGTCAACCAAAATCCTCCTTGAGCGACGAACTGCAAACGCGTCTAAATTGTCAAGCGCGTTTTCTCTTTTGCTTAAAGCGGCGTTAGGGCATCCGGCCTCGGCAAAATATTTAACCGATATATTAGTGAGATTATGTAATTCTTATCGCTGCCACCAACAAAGATAAGATAAAAAAATATAAAAATTATCAGGCACCAAAAAGTTATTGTTTGCGAAGGATTAATGAATTACGAGTCAAAACCTCGAATTAGCAATATTTTCTTCACAGATTCAGCATTTTAGAGCTCTGATTATGACGGCAGATATCAAGCTGGAGGAAACTCCTGAGAAAAAACCCGAGGAAAACACTGAGGTCGCCTCTGCTGACCCCGCTAACGAAACCGCCGATTTTGAAGGAGTTGAAGAGGAAGAAGATGATGAATACTATGATGATATCTTTGATGATGAACTGGATGAGGTAGATTTTGAAGCCTCTAATCCAGCTGACTTCACAAAATCCTATAACCGGCAGCGGAAGCTAAACGAAGTTGTCGCCGACGCGAACGCCCCCCTTTCTTCATACCCAAAGAGCAACCCTCAGAAGCCGACTATCAATACCTATGCGAAGGTCGATGACCAGATATCAACCCTGGCACGGCATGCTGGCAAAATTAGGCTCGATGATGCCCAGTCGGGGCTTAAATCGAAGGGTGGAAAGGGGGCGGATAAGAGTGACAGGGCTACATCAGAGCAAGTTCTGGATCCCCGAACGCGCATGATATTGCTTCAGATGATCAACAGAAATATTGTCTCAGAGGTGAACGGCTGTTTATCAACGGGGAAGGAAGCAAATGTCTACCATGCAATCTCTCAGCCCGATGATGAAAGCGAAGAGCTTCATCGAGCTATCAAGGTTTACAAGACGAGCATTTTGGTATTCAAGGACAGAGATAAGTATGTCACTGGTGAATACAGGTTTAAGCAAGGGTATAACAAATCAAATAATCGCTCAATGGTCAAAGTTTGGGCTGAAAAGGAGATGCGGAATCTCAAACGCCTGTACTCTGCTGGTATTCCTTGCCCTGAACCATTATACCTTCGTCTCCACGTTCTTGTTATGGGTTTCCTTGGGAACTCAAAAGGAATACCAGCTCCAAGACTAAAGGATGTACAGCTTCAGGATGAGGATCTAGAAACCCGGTGGAGATCTCTGTATATGGAGTTAGCTGCACACATGAGAACCCTGTACCAAGACTGCCGCCTGGTGCACGCTGATCTCAGCGAGTACAACATCCTATACCACAATCATAAACTCTACATTATTGATGTAAGTCAGGGTGTGGAGCAAGATCACCCCAGGAGTTTAGAATTCCTGCGCATGGACATAAAAAATGTTAGCGACTTCTTCCGCCGAAAGGGTGTCGATACTCTTCCTGAACGAACATTATTCGAATTTATTACCTCTGTTGATGGCCCGCGTGCAGTTTCGGGTGACCTTGGTCAAATGACTGCCATGCTAGAGAAGCTATTTGCCTCAAGAGCCGAGCGTCAGGGGGAGAATGGCGAGCAACCTGAAGGCGAGGGTAATGACGAGCTCGATACTGCTGTTTTCCGACAACAATACATCCCTCAGACGCTTGAACAAGTCTACGACATAGAGCGAGACGTTGAGAAGCTCCGGACTGGCAAGGGGGATGAACTAGTTTACCGCGAGCTCCTGGCTTCGGCCCCGGATGCAACCAAGTCGAAAGTGAGGGGCGAAGAGGAAGCCGATGAGGAAGACTCGGATGCCTCCGGGGGTGTGTCCTTGTCTGATAGTGGCTCTCACTCGGGTGATGCAGGCGAGGTAGACCTATTTGCAAAGAAACCTCCACGGGGTAAACGGTTTGAGGATAAAGATGCGAAACGTGACCATAAGAAGCTTGTCAAGGAAGAGAAGCGAGAACAGCGAGCCAAGAAGATACCGAAACATGTTAAGAAGAGACTCATCAATGCTTCAAAGCGGAAGTGAGGATTATACCCATGTCGTTACCCCTATGAAGGCTCAAAAAATTAACCCTTTCATTACCTTGGCACATATGACTATTTATTACCCAAAATACCTGAGTTTGCTGCATTATAAGAATAGCTTGCCCGACATGATGAATGAATTTACGTTTATTTAGCCTGTTGCCTTTTTTTTCTCAAAGGGGATATATAATTACTCGATCTACTTGTTCTAAACCACCAGAGCGTCTATAACGGGTTTTGATCCGCAAGGGTATTTTGATTTGGTTTAAACTACATATCTTTGATAACTATCAACGAGTGACGGGACCCCTTTACAGAAGCGAAAGACATCAAAGGAAACCCCGGAAAACAAAATAAGATACAATGCAGAAGAGAAATGCCTTCTTCCAAAGGCTCCAATTTGTTCCTAGGTTGTCATGTTGCCATCTCCAAAATGAAGCCAAAATAACTTTAGGCTGAACCTCAGAGAGGTTTATTGATGGATGGTATCCCCAAGTATCTGGAAGTTTCATCCTCCAAAACCCAGATATCTGACCAAGTCTGCACCACCCATCGTTGAAAGTGGTGCCCTATGGCGTCGTCTTCTTCCTGGCTTTTGGAGTTTTCCATTGCTTTGCGAGTAGCAGCCAACGAAGCTGATGCACATTGCACTATAATTTCAAAACAGGTGACTAGAAGACGAATAGGCTCCTTGTCCTGCTGAAATGGTGAGTCTTCGGTCATATAGTTCGTGAAGAGGTTCAGAGTGACCAAACACTTCATTTCCAATTCTTTCTTTTCCTGGATGCTGTATGGGAATCCAACCGCATACTCGGGCTTCTCTCTCAAAATCCGATGAATTCCTGCTCTTACTTCCATCATCCTATCCAGGCTCTTGCACACACGATCTACCACCTGTGCTGACTTCCAGTTGGGCCCCAGCGGACGGGGCGGCGGCTTAATATCAACAGTGAATGCCACTTGACTGCCGTCGTCGTATCCGGTCATCTCTAGCTCTGGGACAACAATTTTTGAGGCTATAGACCGCACGTCCGCAGCAACTGTAGGGTACAGTTCACTGATATCCTCACTCCCAGAATTACCCTTGCTAGCTTGAGGTCCAGGAGAGTAGCCCATGGCATATTCCTCATTTTTCTCTTCAGCCATTGCTTGCATTGCCTCGGTCAGGACATCACAACAGTGATGACCAGTGGCCGCATCCTTGGGTTGATGCCCTATTTCTCTCTGCGGATATCTAAATGAGGGCTCCTGGCAAGCAAAGCCATTAACGAAATAATCTCTGTCATGCAAGGGAGGCGGGCCTCCTGGAGGTATGGTTGGAGCAAAAGTTATATCATGTATCGGGTCCGGTGTAGGAGGATGCTGACCCGGCAGATGAATATGGTCTAGACCGATTGGAGGTAGTTGTGGTAACTGAGGAGGTTCTTGCTCGGAATCTTTGTCACTGTCATCCGAAACATTTACGGCCTCTTCGTCTCCTGTCAACTTGTGCTTTCGACGGAAGCATTTAAATGGGTCACAGTCAAGGCCGCACCGAGCCATGACTTCCGCTGGACTGTTGGCCTAATTCAAGGAAGAGATACTTGGAATATGGAAGTCTGGACAACTTTCTTGCAGTGCCCCTTTTGTTGGATGAGGATATTTGAATAGAGTATGGATTAGGAGGACGTCCTCCTAAAATCCGAAGCGTTCAAAGAAAAATAACCTATACCGGCCCAGGGATGGGACTGGCCCCAGGTTTGCTGTGATGAGCTCCGGAAGCAAAGAATCTTCAATGTAACGAGCGATTAAACTGCGTCTCAAGGAACGAGTGAAGGATGGTGTAAGCATATATAAGTATATAACTCCACACCAAACGAAGGACAGGATGATATAAACTATAATATCTGGTATAAACGACCGACTCTGACGAACGTAGTGAAGAAAAGAAAAAGGTATGAAAATAGAGGGAAAACATGCTTGTTATATAGCTTCCTTCAACCTGCTTTTGCGCAGGGCAAGGACAACTACCGTGTTTATTTATTTTATATCAAGGAAGTTGCACCTCTTTTAATATACACGAAGGCTTTCATCTTCTAGTCGATGGATTATAGATGCATAACCATCCTCAGTCATGTACCTAAGCTTGCGGTGGTGACATGGATGAATACTGATGATGAGGTCCATGGGTTTATATTGAGTAGAGAAAGGTAGGAACCAAATGACATCATCATATAGTTATTCGTATTAAAACAAGTAGATAATATACATGGCCACAAACGACGCCATCTTCCTGTTTGTGGTTGCCAAAGAGTTATAAACATACATGAGTAGACATACACATAGAACATGGCGGCAAACAAAGATTCAACAGAGATATATAAATTTGAAAAAAACAAAAAAATAAAAATCTCGAAACTTGATATTGGTTCGGGTCGGCCGGAGGCTGTAGGGGGTAGTCTGTCAGGTGGTCGATGCTAGGAGTTGTCGGTTTGTCGTAGTCTTGTCGGCTTGTTGTCCAGCTCCTTCCTTTCCTACGGTGAGGAACTATTTTGGCTCCTCCTTCTGCTTCTCCAAAGGGTTTTCTGCAGGAAGCTCCGGCTGTGGCTTCCGCACTTTCCGTATCGTGAACGGACGGGGGGCAAGCCTCCCATCCTTGTCTGGCTTGAGATGATGAAGCTTGTCGAAGATGTGGGCTGCCCTAGCCTTCTTCAGGACTTTTGGCTGGACAGTGGGCTGAGTGATAGCCCGGATCGATGCTGCCTTTTTCTTTTTGACCAGCGAAACTGGCTCGTATTCGCCAGTCTTCTCGTTAAAGATGGCCATCGCCTTTTCGAAAGGAAGGCAGTAGTCCTTCTCTTTTGGTTTGAGACCGGCACCCATGTTGGCTGTGGTTTTTTTAAGGTGTTGGGTCTCTAACAAATCAGCAACACATACAACAAGAGTGTAGTACTTGTATGTATAAAGCCAGCATACCTTGGTGATGGTAGGGGTATATTATATAACAGTATTATATCAGTATATATATGTATGTGTATGAATATATCCGGTATTTGGTTGGTGTGTTCAACAAATTAGAAAGTCGAGGTATCTGAAGAAGGTAGAGGATTTGTTAATGATAGAAAGAGAGAAAAAAAGAGGAAGGAAGAGCTCTAGAAGTGGGTTTATATAGACAGCAGGGGAGTCATACCTTGACATTGTGCTATCCAAACCATGGTTTACCAATTTCGATTGACCCAAGGAATCAAAGTGTCGACTCAAGCACGTAATCATAACCTTTGACTCTCAAACTAAAATTCCATATATGACCAAAACCAAGAGCAGAAACGGTCAGCAGAAGGCTCAGGAAGGTGTCGACTCTGACCTCCTGGACGAATAAGCCTGAGGCGGTTGGCCACCAGGGTTGGTAATCTTGAAGATATTTCCCACGCATTTATATCAATCCTAAGTCAAACAAGCATGTTAACTGCTATGCAAATGTCCCTGGTAGGTCCATATGGGTTGACTCACCTTGGAATCCATATTCCGTAAAAAGCCACCTTTACAAATGATGTCACTGACTTCTTGGAACCGGCGCCCACCGCTGCCATTATACCAGGCGTAGCGGCCTCAGTACTGCCCCCCATCCAGGAGACAGGACAGTGGAACATGGAGCTGACAGGTATGTTCCACTGCCTTCCCTGGCTGGGGGCAGTAGAATGTGCAAATTCTATCCAAACCAGTAGAAATCGCACGACCTAGTCAACCTTAGAAAGCGTCAGCAGAGGTAAAAGGCGCCAATAATTAACAGGAGAAAAGTCATATTCTGACCCGTCTGTCTGTTTTAACCCTTGGATGACAGATTTTGCCCTTCTGGGCCGTATATATAACCCTTTTCAAGGGAGACATCCTTTGGATAGACATTATAGTACTATCATTGGACATCAAATAACAATAGTTAAATATAACTGTAACATTATTGGTATATTGGCATATAGTTATATAAATATAAGTAAGAATATATGCGAGAATAAAATATCTGAATGTATATAGTTGTGCGAATATATATTTTGTCTTCAAGATGAGGTTGGTTTTCGCTCCAAAATATGCCAAACATTTATCACGTGATTATACTGGGCTACAATTCACATATCAATAAAGAAATTATAAGTAATTCACATAAACAGCTTTATAGAGTGAATAAGTTAGAGTGACATATGTAATTCCTAACTAGATAATAAAGCAGGAACTTGATATGCAAGTGGAAATACTACATTTTCTTCCTAAGCAACCCAGACCAAGCTTCTAAGATGTAGGGTGGTATAGTGAAGATGTTACTACACAAGATTAAATATATGGCTTGCCGCAGGATACTTTATGTGGAATCCTCAATTAGATTAATCTCCTGCGTGCCCCATTATTCTATCATGTGGATCAAATAATAGACCCAATCCTGACTAATGCTATGTATACCATTAGGAGACTTGGGATTGGCAGGACTGGAAGCACTTGAAATAGAGGTGTAAAGAAAGAAGTGTTGCGGGGAGTGTTTGTTGAGGAGATTGACAGCCAAACCATGGATCTTGTATCGGTCGTTAGGAAAGATGGATAGGAATGCGGGTTCTTAGGACTAAGTGTCGATACAGGGCTAGCTCGAATCGAGCGGGATATAATTAACAACGATGTTTCAGAGAATGCACATCTAATATACCACAGTATCTGTGAGTATCGTCCCACCTTACCCTCCACCAGCCTACCCGGAGTTGACTATCGAAATGAGCAACCGAAATGGTTGCCGGGATAGGCAGAGCAGGCTGCTGCGCCGCACTCTTAAGATAGTACGGTATATCAGATCTGCTATGTAGCTTTATATAGCCGCTTGATTGCCGCTAGAGTTTCATTATCAGAGACATTATGACATAGCCATTGGGAATTATGGAAGTAATGAATGTCGATCTATAGAAAAGGCGATCCATTTCTATATATGGCGCCGGTTCTTATGGACAGGGGAGATGCAACAAGTTTCGAAGAGAACTAAAACGACTCGTTGGTATTATTTTTAGAGAACGAACACTGTCATTTCAGATTCCCGAAGAGGTAATGCTATCACGTTAGCACCGCGTCAAAACTCGTAAAATCTCCGGCCACTAACTGTAGGTTCGCGCTGCCGGTAACTAGTGCTGGCTATGAGGCCCATAGTAGTTCCATCCTACCATGTGTTGGAAAGAGATTTGCAGCAGGCTGGATCCACCGGGAGTAGAGACGAACGTGATTAGCCGTTCTGTTTGAGGGAGTTGTCACGTCTCTGCCACGCTGGGTATCAAATTTCTGCTCTGGGTACAGAGACTAGGGCATAGCCGCCAGGGACCCGCTACAAGGCTAGAGGGGGGCTGTTCCTTAGGCGTGTTGTTTCTGTGTGGTCGGTCTGTAGGAGCAACTCGTGGGATCGGAACGTCGGTTAGCCAACACTCCGTTAACTAGTGCCTCAGGGCATTAACATCTCTTGTCACCCCACCCTCTATCCATGGCGGTGAAGCCATCACCATCCATCGCCAGGAACAACGAACACCCCAGCTTGGAGATGCAAAGTCTTCCTTGTCAACAAAACAAAAATTAAGGACTGGGCCGATCACGTGATAGTGTCTAAAAATAGGTCAACGGGCCAAGGCTTGGCGTCTATTTTTCCTCTTTTGGCACTTTTCACGTCTTGTTCCATCTTCTTCACGGTTTCAGCATTCTACTGGTCGTGAGATACCGGACGACTTGTTTCAACACTGCATGCAATGCCATATACCATATACACCGAGTATCGTCGACGGCGAAGGACGGAGTCGACATGGACAGCAGAGAGCTCTAAGCGCCGGGCCCCATGTCACAAGGTGGCACGGAGTGTCTCCACATCTATTGATATCAACAGGCTTGCATGCTGTATCCATACTCCGCATATTATATATAATACTTATGGGCCATCTTGGGCGGTTGGTCCATTCAGCGCTCTCGCTTTGGCATAACCATGCATGACTCCCCTGACTATCACAAATCTTGGCCAGTCAGCTTGCATGAACCTGCCAAGGGCGTTGCATTGCTCGCTTACTCCGAGTTAAGATTCTTCAAGCCATCGATATGCCGATTTGCTGCGACGAGGTCAATGCAGGATCATTAAACCATGACTGACTTGGCTTGGACATCAATCAAGTGGGCAAAGGCCCACGGTCGCAGCATCTACGGCCTCATCATTGGCAGTAACTGCCATGTTCCCTCGCCTCCACTCATGCATGCATTTACGGAGCCCGTACATAGCCTTTTATATTTAAGCCAACCATGGCGCCACTGGCGTCTTTCCTTCTTGGAGATATCTCCAGAGAAATATCTAATCTATAGCTATACATTTGCCTTCCGATCCATTTTTCGAAGATTACTTCATGCCTCTTACGGCCCTGGGATTCTAATGGCGTCCAGGAGCATTTAACCGAGGGATTTCACACGTCCTTGCATTTTGGGGGCATGCTATACATATGGCCGCCTCAATTCCTTGAAAATAACCCGGTCTAGTCTTATAAACCCTTGCCCTCGTGCTCACTCCTCATATTACACAACTTTCGATCTCTTGAGATGAACATACACACCGCAATCTCTGTACACCTACTACCTATTTCGCCATTTGCGACAATTCTTCGGTGACATTGGTTGAACAGGCTGTAGGCAGTGGCTCAACCGTCTGGCATCTGCTGTGCACCATTCATCGTGTCGTCAACGCCGCTGGCCGGTGTCTGACGGCCCTACGGCTATCGAACGTGGCATTTTTCTACTCCGCTTTTCTTTTAATTATCGATACCCCCTTCTACGATGCCGGCCGTCGCTCTAATATTAATGTGGCTTTGCGCCATTACTCTGATATCACTGTCAGTTGCATACAACATACCGATAGGCCTTTCACTCCGGCGAGCCTCTAATCTACCCCATTTTGACAACACACCTGTGTTAGCCAGCCCTGTCAGCTGGCTAGACAAATCTCCTCAACCATCCTCCACTGTATCCCAAAGGAAATCTGCGATAAGCTCACGACGCGATGCTAAATACATGTTTGACGAGAGGCAGTTCAATGCTACTACTGCACCTACATGTAATGACGCTCTGAGTGGGGTGAAATCGGTGTCCAACCCTTCCGGGCTCGCCGCGTGTTTTAATATCGCTTTCCTGAACGAGGACACAAGCATCTTCGGTGCTGATATTAGATTATATTACATATCCAACGCAAATGGAGAATTCAACAACACTCGGTGGGAAGATTTTGATTTAAAACCGGACTCTCGACTTATCGACATCTCTGGATTGAAACGTGTCTTCCAGAATTCTACCTCAAGCGTAAAGGAAGACTCACCTCATCTGGTAATGCAGTGGCAGTATAGCGGCAGGGTAAACGAGCTTATCCCGATCAAGAAGTTGACTCTGTAAGTTCAATTCAAAACCAAATCTCTTTTCTTTAGAAGCCTCGTGCTAACAATTGCCTGCAGTGATGAACACCGCTATCTCCTCTTACCAAATATATCCATCACCACAAACTCTCCCAGCCAACCTGACACTCTTATCCAAACAAACATTGCACCCGATACTCTCTCCTACACCGCTGGTTATTTAGCCAACGGCACCCATCTACCATACAATATCACCACCGGCGAAGCCAAGACCCAATTAAAATACATTATCCTCGCATCCTTAGAATATGAAATACCCGGTATGAGTCTTGGTATTTTCCCTATGGGTCTAATAGTGACTGGAGTATGGGCCGGGCTATTCATAGCTATAGTTGGCTATGGAACATTCGAGCGAAAACAGTATCGCGATTTCCATGAAAGGCGGTTGAAATATGCTGCCTCTACGAGAGGTTATGGCAATAGACCTATTGTACCTTAGACTTAATGACTTTACAGAATATAATAAACATTCTAAATTTTAACTACAGGCATTCGACCTAAGATTTATCTTCGTATGAGCTGTTCTTACTATATAGATTATCTTATACTATGGAGTGATACACTAGTAACAAATATATAGCGCAAATAGTTGGTTTTTTGGTATGCAAGAATGATTTCATTCATTCTTCTAAGTTGTAACTTGATGATTGCAGTAGCAAAGAGTATGTAGCTCGATTTTCGGCCAACCAACATGCGTACCTGTGCTGTATACCAGAATGGTGTCCCTGCAAAACATGTCCTTCGACTCTCTGGGTATAAATATAGTGGAGAAAGTAATTCTGCACAGGAAGATAAGTGGCAGATAGCGTTTGGGCAAGTTAGACTAATGTTTCGTTCCAAAGTACACACCCAAAGCCACTGCGACGCTGATGACGGCTGCAACCACAAGCCACCAGCATATACGTTTGCGGTCAGAACGTTCCCATACCTTGAAGCTACCGCCGCCGGTGTGCCCAAACGCAGCTGTGCTTATACCAGATGTTACTCCTCAGGCAGATTGGCCCAAGGGCTGACCGTGGTAGTCAAGAACTCCAGGAGGAAACGGACCCCGGCGTCGAGTAGATTGACCTAGGGGCATGCCGTGCGAGTTGATGTCGATCGGGGCACCCCGTATGCCTCTGAAGACTGGTATGTTAAATGAATTAGTGTCTCTAACAAGGAAGCGAGGGCCACGGCCTTCTGATCTGCTTCGTCGACTGCCT